CTGACAGGTGCTTTGCCTGTGATGTGACAGCCTGTAAGTTGCTCCCATCTTCAGGGTCTCCTCTGTCCAGTCCTTCTCTGCTCTCAGATTTCTAGTGGGTGCACGTTGGCTCAGTAGAGAGGTCTTTCTTGTGTTTGCAGCTGCCTCCCTCTCCTATTCCTGCTCCAGGGTCAGCCTCCTCCTTCCTGCCTCCCCTTGGGGGTCCTCTCCCTGAGATAAGGTAATTTCTATTCTCTGGACCACCATTTTCTCCCTCCTGATAATACAGGATGATCCCACTCATATCCTGCCTCCTTTGAATGTCCATTTTGCTCCTAGTGGACCCCTGATTATCTCAGTGCTGGGGGAGAGATTTCCTATGAGGTCTCCCCTGAGACCTCCCCTGAGAACCAGCTGCAGACCATTTAAAACGCATGAACTGTTGGCAATCAAGGCAAACCCTGCTGATGAGCCCCTGGGAGGGGGGAGTGGTGCTGCAGCCCCTTCCTGTGATGCTGTCTTGGCAGGAGTCACAAGTCAGTGATGGGGGTGGGCAATGGCATGGGCGTGGGGGAAAATGTAAGTGATTTGCCATCCCAGAGATGTCTACAGGCCACTTTCTTCAGGCAAAGATGACAGCTCAGGGCAACAAGGCCTAAGGTTTCTCCACCTCGGCACTATTGACATGCTGCACCAGGTAACTCATGGTGGGAGCTGTCCTGTGCACTGGAGGTATTTAAAGCATTCCTGGTCTCTGTCTAACACGTGCCAGTAGGACTCCCCACCCCCGCTGTGACAACCTAAAAATCTCCAGCTGAATCACCCCTACGGAGAACCACCTGCATTCCTGCCAACTGTCCTTCCTCTGCCCTACCAGGCTTCCTTCCACCCGCATCAGGGACCATGGTAGAACCACAGCTCTCCTAGCGGTCAGCTCCCAGACCCTCCCCTGCAGCCAGTGCCCCAGGTCAGCAAGGACCAGAGCAAGGCCCAGGAACAAGGCCAGGGAGGCAAGACTGCCCAGCGCCACCAAGGAGGCATCCTGTGTCTCTTTCTCTTTCTTCTTCCTGTCTTCCTCCTTCTCTGGCTCCTTCCTTCTTCTCTGTTCACACACACACACACACACACACACAAATACACACACACAGATACACACACAAATAGGCACACAAACACACAAATACAAACACAAATACACACACACAATGCTTGACAGCACTATCTACTACTTCAAAGAGAGTGAAAGTCCCACAAAGACAGGTGGTGAGTTAGTTTTTTGACTCAATGCAGAACAAGCACTAGAGACACACGAGCGAACAAAGCAGAAAGGACTGTCCACCCTCCTTCCGGGAACATGGAGTTCTGTCCATTCCTTTGCAGTCATTGAATGGGTACTCAGGGCAAAGTTGTAGGAAGACAATACTCTGACTCTCGTGGTGTTTGCATTCTGATAAGAACAAAAAGAAGTTCATAGGTTGCCCTAGACTAGAAGATAAAAATGTGTTATGTGGCTGATAGGAAGAAAATCTGATCTATAAGCCTGATGGTAGATCAGTCAGAGTTTATAGCTCTGGCAGAATGGGACAAAGGAGACCCTCTTTTGATCCGTTCTGTTAAGTCTGGCCACCTGGCCAGAGAGCCCATGAAGTTTCAGTTTTATCATATTCTGTCTCTCTTCCCTCATGTTCAAAGTTTTCTCTGATCTGGGAGGGATCAAAGACTGACAAGGATTGTGACATCCTATTTATTCTGCTCAGTTGGCTGCTAGTTCCTAGTAGCTCTGACCCTGAAAAAAAAATTCCCCTTCTTTTTGACAAAAACACAGAAGTCAACATATGTGCCAGCTCTCCAATCATACCCCAGCAGGTGAAGCGATGACCATCAGCTGGTTTTCCAGATGAAAACCCAAATCAAAACCAGATGGACACCCTGATTCTGGCCATTCACCCTTCGCCTTCACAAGCCATCATCTTGGCAACCAAAGCTCGTCTATCTACTCACGATGTCTGTATTTACTATCTCTAACACCATATAGATCATACATATTTTCATCTTTGTCATTTGAAAGTAACAAATGACAATTAGCAAATATTGAGTGAAATACTATGATGACATTAGGCACTATTTATTAACTTTCAAGAATGATTATGTGCCCTCTTGTTGTGTTGTTGAGGAACTATAGCTGTTCTGTGGGGAGGAAGCATTTGTGCCAACACAGACAGGTGAGACCCAAGATAAGACTCTGCTCAGCCTGGGGACGACAGTGCGTGCAGACTGAGGTCACTGCAAGGAGAAAAGCTCCTAAACATGGGGCTCATTGAAGGGCCCCAAGGATACAGTCCAGCTCAGAAATGTCAGAGTCCCTCTGTCTCTCCACCGCCGTGGTGAGCACCCATCCAGGCCATCAGCTGTCTGGCTGATACAGCACAAGGTGAAGACCCCAAGAATTAGCATCAAAGAGGTGGGAGGAAAAGAGCTAAGCCTAAAAGTATTCAAGCTCCAGAGGCAGAGAAGCCAGTGAGGATCCGAGACCCCAGCCGTGCCACAGAGAGAGGGTTCCAGAGACCCAAACCAGATGGGGGGCCTCCTCCTCCGTGAGGAGCCAGGGTCAGGGGGTGCGTTTTGGAAAAGGTCGAGCATGTTGGGAGGTGGGGCTGGGGCTGAGACCGGGTGAAACCTGGATGGAAAGAGCAGTTGGGGGAGTCCCTGTGGAAGGAGGCAGGAGGGCTGCTGAGGCACAGTGGAGTCTCACCAGAGCTCCAGGCCGATGGAGGATGCCTGGGGGAACTTGAACTTGAACCTGCCTGTCCTGCCTTCACCCTCAGACCCAGTGCTGTCAAGACCCAGCCAGGCCACAGCTGTCGCTGCCTGTGGGGGTGCCCCTGAGCCAACAGGTGGTGTGTGGGGGTGACATCTGTGTGGGACCCAGTGGGAAAGGCTTCTGAGCCTCGGGGGCCCCCAGGGCTTCCTGGCTGGGGGCAGGAGGTTTGTGCACGGGGAGAAGCTGGCTGTGTGGCTGTGTGGGTGCTGCTGGCGCACAGATACAGGGCGGAGTCTTCTGGTTTCAGGGAGTCCAGGCGAAGGACTAAGCGCGTCTTGTCTGTGTTGTTAGGTGAGAAGCGACTGGGCACGGTGTTGTTGTCAATGAGAACCTGGTTGTTGTAGTAAAACATGAACTCCAGAGATTTCTTAGCATCCTGTTTGTACCAGTACATGGCGTTATGTCCCAGGCGTTGTTGGCACTTCAGGGTCCCCTGGCCCCCGACCACTGTCACCAGCTGTTTCGGTGTCTGGTTAATTCCGGTGTCCATATGGCCTGTGGGGGCAAGAAACCGAGTACAGAAGTTCCTCTCAGGCAGTTATGAGAAGGACCAGAGTCTGAGGACAGAGAAGACCCCCGTTTCCAGAACTCACCAGCTCCCAGGAGACAAAGGACCACACAGCAGAGGAGCCTGGAGCCCATGGCGGCGCCAGACACGATGGGACCTTCCTGCTGGGCGTCCTGGTCCTTTCTGGCTCTGAGCGAGGACTTTGCTAGACGTCTCTGTCCCTGGTGGTTTCTAGAAACAGTAGTTTCTAGCTCACATTTCCTCTTCCCCTTCATGTCCCATGGGCCCCTTATTGGTTGGTTCAGACTGAGCGGCCACAGGCAGGCCCAGAGGAATGGGTGAATGAGAGCGAAGTGCTGATAGTGCAGGGTCGCAGGAGAGCGACTGTGTACCTGAGCTAAGGCACAGGGCACTGACTTGAAAGATAAGCCAAGGATCCTCAAGACAGGCGAGAGCTTCCAGACTTGACATGTGAGTGCAGGTGGTTAAGACCGCAATGGCCATCTCGCTTCCCCTTCGCCAAGAAGACAGCATTTTGAGGAGAAGGAAAGTGGTTTCATTTATTCATTGACCAATGAGGAGGGGAGCTGACTAGAGTCTGAGAAACGATTGTCCTGTGCACTAGCAGAGAAGAGGGGGGCTTAACTAGAGCTACAAGGACATGAAGGGGGGGTGCGGTCAGCACCCCGTCACACCCATTCTCGTAACCTAAGTGTCTGGTGACTCGGTTGACACCAGCTGGTTTTCGTCACCATCTGGCGACCAGCCGTTCTGACGTTGTCTTTGCCAGGTTCTGTCCTTGGCTTTGTCTTGAAGCGAAGGCCCTTTGTCCTCGGAATGCAAGGACAGAGCAAGGTGTTAGTTCAACATGTCAATCAAGGTTTGTTATACTTTGAGGGGAAGAGTGTGTCTCTCTCCAAGGAAGAGAGAACCCTGTATCACTCGGGGTGAATTCCACATTTCAGATTAGGCCAGTCCTGGGGATGAGGGTACATGGCGCTGACATAGGCGAGGAAGGAACAGGGAGCCATGATGAATTCAGCTCTAGATAAACTGACCTGAAATGCAAGAGAACACTTGACCAAATAGGTTCAGGTTGAAGATGGACCTACGGGGGCTTAGGAGAGAAGGTATTCGAAGGACAGGTTATGAACCATAAAAAAAATTATGAAAAATCTAAGAGGGGGAATGTACACAGTGAGAGAATAATTTACACATCCTTGTGCTGGAATTATTTTATTCTTTAACAATGCAGGGGTTTGTTTAATGCCACTTTGTGTCATTATTTCAGTAAAACCTTATTCAGCCAAGTCCCTGGGTCCTTAACCATATGGGGTCTACTTCTGAAAATGCCATTGTCCCTGTGTACTCATGTTTATGATTAACTCTAGCAACAGTATTGCCATATTTGAAAAATGGAAGCCTCCAGATGAATACATGGGTGTCTCCTCTCATCCCCCACCTGCTGCCTAGAGGCCTTTGTACTCATGTTTATGATTAACTTTAGCAACAATGTTTGCCATATTTGAAAAATGGAGGCCCCTCTAGATGAATATGTGGGTGTCTCCTCTCATCCTCCACCTGTTGCCCAGAGGCCTTGGATTAGCGATAAGGTTGGTTGGTTGGGGGGTATATAGGGGACGATCCCTGGTCTTCTGAATCACTCCAAGTGCGTTTGGAGAGATTCCCACCATGAAGACCATCGTATTTCTTATGTTCCTAGGAATTGCTGGTAAGTCTTTTTTCCCCTTTAATATTGAAGTGAGAGACTGATAGAGACTAAATTTCTAGCCTCTGTTGGTCTCCTGTGTTGGTCAGAAATCCAGTGCAAATATGTGGGTCTCTTTGTTCCACCTGGAAAAAAGAGGGAGGATGGAAAACGAATGGCTGAGAGGAGCTAAAAAGGCACAGGACAGCAAACCAGCCCTCGCTCTCTCCTCCAGGTGTGATATCACATGAGACTTTGCTACGTAATGAGGGTGACCATGTAATTTATTGACCAAATAGGAATGCTTTTCGAGAATAAGAAGTGACCTAGTTAGTACCAGGATTGTTGGCATAAACATCCCTGGCAAATCAAGGCCTTGAGGCCAGTGCTCAAGATCAATGCGGTAGGCCTTGTTCTCAGCTTCCTCCCCTCCGGCGTCTGGGCTCCAGAGTAGAGCCCAGAGATGTGTCTGCTTTGGGCAGTGTTGTTTCTTTTAAAGATGTATTTATTTATGCACACAGGCCAGAGGTGCGGGGGGTGAGAGGATTCACCAGAGACAGAGTGGGGAGCAGAACAGGTGGATCCACTGAAATACACTGCTGAGGGGAGCAGCGGGCGGTACAGGAGAGGTCTGCTGCGCCATGTGGGTTGCTCCCTGGCCAGTGGGGGATCAAACTCATGCAGAGGCTGCAGATAGCTCCACAGGGCTGTGCTTAACCCCTTGCACCAGGGAGGCCCTGGGCAGTGTTGTTCCAATGCAAAAATTAAAGTGGGAGGGACCACATCCAGTTGAGATCTTCCTAGAATTGGTTAGAAAAAGGTAGACTCCCTTTCACAGGTGAGACTGTACCTCACATGCTGCCCTACAGAAATTAACCCCTTTTACCACCAGGCAGAGGTCAGGTATTTTGTCCAAGTCACATTCTTCTCTGCTTTGGTAGCTGCTTGGGAGAAGCAAAAAATGTCTTCCCCACTTGCCCAGGACAAATAGCTTAGGAATAGTTTCTTTATATGAAAAAACATTATTTTTGGCCTCAGACATTTTCAAGTTTTAACAAGACCACACAAAAGCATCCCTCTTCCTCCTGTACTAGCCCCCTCTTTTCTTTAACTTCGTGTCTTCTTTCCTTCCTTCCTTCTTTGCTTCCTTTAAACACTTTAAAGTTACTCCCTTCCATGAACCCTTTTTAATCTAACATGAAAGTCCAGGTAAAGTACAGTTTTCTGGGTCTTTCTTGGGTCACAGCACAGTTTCAGGGCCTCTTTTTGTTCCAATAGGCTGTGCCCACAGGGTTCATATTACAAAAGGTGAACGTCAGGCATGTCCTTTCAGATAATGCTTCTGCTTTTGGAGATAATGCCTCCCCTAACACAGGACCTGTGTGTCCAGGGAAATCCCTAGATGCAGAGTCAAAGAAAGCTGGTCTCCACCCGGGGTAGCTCCCACTCTCACCACCTCTCTGGCATCACGCAGTCGTCACCTTTCCAAAGTGATGCTTCTGGAAATTTCGAGCTCAACCACCCCCTCATTCTATGTATTGATTCACCAATATAATCATCCATGTTGATGGAATTGTTTACTGCAGAATTGTAGAGTTTTGCCAAATCATGCCAGTAGCTCTGGTGCTGGTCACCTTGCCCCAGGGCTGTGTTTGTGCTATTCTGCTGCTGGGCAGGTGTGTCCTGAGGGTAAGATTGTGATGTTTGCTTTGTCTTTTAGCATATTTTAGAGTAGGAGACATCAGTGTTTCAAAATTTCTGTAGAGGGCCTCCCCGGTGGTGCAGTGGTTGAACGCTGGGTTGTGAAGCTGCCCGCAGCCTCTGCAGCGCTGGTTCGATCCCTGGCTGCTCCCGGGCCACCGGAGGAGGGTCCCACATGGTGCGCAGACCTCTCCTGCCGCCCGCTGCTCCCCTCAGCAGTGTACTTCGGTCCTTCTGCCTGCTCTGCTCCCCGCTCTGGCTCTGGTGAATTCTCTCACCCTCCCTCGCTTCTGACTATACCCAGTGCCTGTATAAATTAAAAATAAATAATCAAATAACACAAATGTTTAAAAAAAAATCAAAATTTCTGTAGAGTAGCACGTGAGACACATACACTGGACACATGTGAAAAACGTGTCCAGTGTATGTGCACCATGGTGTAGAGAAATACTTGCGAGAATGAGCAGATTTAGAGTGATTATTTTCAATGAGTCAAATTTAAGATAATATTTTATCTTCTGTGTTGCTGAGTTGACTGTATGGTACTTTTGCTTCATTTGCTACAAGAATGTGTGTTATATGTAAAAACAGAAGTTTTAAAAGTTATTTTCCACCTCAGGATGTTTACCTCTGTGGTGTTCAATGTGCTGTGTATTTTTACCCATTCATTTGCTACAGAAGAGATCAAAACATTTATTCTAACTTAAATTTTTTTTTAATTTTATTTTTATTTATTTATACAAGCACTGGGTACAGTCAGAAGCACGGGAGGGTGAGAGAATTCACCAAAGCCAGAGCGGGGAGCAGAGCAGGCAGATGGACAAGATACACTGCTGAGGGGAGCAGCGGGTGTGGCAGGAGAGGTCTGCGCACCATGCGGGACCCTCCTCCGGTGGCCGGGGAGCAGCCGGGGATCGAACCAGCACTGCAGAGGCTGCGGGCAGCTTCGCAACCCAGCGCTCAACTGCTGCGCCACCAGGGAGGCCCCTAACTTGAATTTTTTAATTACTACAAATTATATAATCTACACTTTGACCTCTTGTAATCTTCCATAACTTGTTTCAGCCGCTGTTCTATGGCTTAATTCATCATAATTACAAATTTCTTTGCTGTGGCTTTTCTAATCACTCCTCAACTGGCTAAATCTTGTCCAATATTGAGTTCCTCATCTTTCTGGGAACAAGGACGATGGAATAATCCCTTGAATCCCTCTTAAAAATATACGTTGACAGGTGAGTGGCTTAGGAAATTGTGGTACTTTTGGTCAACTTGCTTCAATTTCCTACAAGAATGTGGTTATATTTAAAAAAAGAAGTTTTAGTATACCAATGGAACACTACTATAAATACTATAAACATGTAAAACCTTGACTTTGTGACAATGGAATGATGCCAAGTGAAATAAGTCAGAAGGATAGACAGGATGGTGTCAGTTATGGGTGAAATACAGAGATCAAAACAAAGGGTCAGATAAAACCAAATTAATAGCAATAAACTCTAGGATTCTGCTTGCAGAACTGAGGCTACCGAAGGGCGAGGGAGAGGGGAGAGCAGAGTGGGGAGTGACACGGGCTGTGAGGAGAACTCGGGGGGCCTGCGTGGTGGGCGTGGTGGGGGAACACATATCCTAAGGGGGTGAGCCCGTATCTCTAAGTCATATTTAATGTTGTAAACCACTGTTGCCTCATTAAAAAAAAAGAATAAATTTAAATTTAAAAAGAAAAAAACTTTTATATATATTAAATTTTTTTAATGTATTTAAAATCTATTTGAAATATACTGGTTGAAGTAAACTTGTAGTTCTGGACAGCCTTCATAAATGACATATTCTTTAAAAAGTTGCTTTCTTGTGGGAAAAGACAAAAAGAAGGTCGAGGCTGGCGGCCTCCCGTGCCCCCTGAGGAGCTGCGCTGCCCCTTCTCAGGTCTGCCTTTGGCGGGAGCCTTGGGGACCCCGTAATCTGCAGGGGCGTTCCCTCTTCCTCTGCTAGGGGCTTTACCCATAAGTGATGATGACTCGGATGACAAGATTGTTGGGGGCTACGTCTGTGCCAAGAACGCGGTTCCCTACCAGGTGTCCCTACAAGTCGGCTCCCACGTGTGCGGGGGCTCCCTCATCAGGCGCCAGTGGGTGCTGTCCGCCGCCCACTGCTACAAACCGTGAGTGTGGGCCCCCGAGCCTGCGGCGGGGGTGGGGGGTGGTCTCCGAGGCCGCTGGCTGGTCCTGGGCACAGTGGTGCAGTGCCAGGAAGGACATCTCTGGACCATCACTTCTGCTCACCCCACTGAGGAAAATGTCCCCCGTGTTCTCAGACGCTCCTTCTTCTGAGACCCGAACCCCAATACTTTTAACCTTCACTGAGCCCCGAATATCATTCTAACGGACGTTTTCTTTTCTTTTCTTTTCTTCCTGCTTTTTCAAAAGACTATGGGATGGTGTATTTACTGTGAGCTCTGCCCTCTTAGCAATGTTTACGCACATGAGAGTGTCAGTGCCACTAGCGATGCCCCTACTGGCCTGTGGCTGGGGCCCAGCCATGAGCCATCAGAGGCTCCACTCCACGGACTCCTGACCTGCTCTACCCACACGTGACTCTTTCCTCCCTGGACGCGGTCTGGCAGCCTCCAGCTGCTTCTAGAGAGATTCACCATGACCGCCTCCTGCCCACTGTCTCCATGTCTGCAGGACATGGTCCTCCTGCCCCGCCCCCCACCCAAATTTTCCTTCCAGTCCACTGGTGGGCCCGGTCCTGCCTCTGGGTTGCTCCGTGGGCTTGTAGGTTCTGATGGGGTGGCCAAATGGGGGCTGTGAACGTAAAAGCAACACCTGGCCAATGAGCAGGCCTGTGGCCTTCCTGCTCTTTCCAGGAGCTTCCAGGTGAAACTGGGTAAACACAACCTCGCAGTCTCTGAGAGGACTGAACAGATCATCAACTCGGTGAAGGTCATCAAGCACCCCGGTTACAATCCTAAAACCTTGAAGCACGACATCATGCTGATTAAGCTGGCCAGGCCTGCCATCCTCAACAGGAGCGTGAGAACCATTGCCCTGCCCAGGGCCTGCCCCGTGAGCGGAACGTGGTGCCTGCTCTCCGGCTGGGGCAGCACCAGGCCTCTAGTGTCTAAAGCGGCCCTCGGGGCAGAACAAACAATTCCAGCTGCGGCTCAGCTGGAGCCGGGTATGGCGGGCTGGGTATGGCGGGCTCAGCCGTCTTGGAGAACTTTGTCTGAACTCAGCCTGGTTTCCTCTTCTGCAAAATGGGGCCAATAACAATCCCTAGCTCACTCGTTGAGTTTAAGGACTACGTGAGATAATCTATGTAATGAGCCTAGAAGAGGGAAGGGCACTACTAAAGATATGATAGCTATTATTGTATATCATCATCATCTTTACTATTTTTATTTTTTAAAGATTTATTTATTTATGCATACAAGAACTGGGGTACAGGCCAGAGGTGTGGGGGTGAGAGGATTCATCAGAGACAGAGTGGGGAACATAACAGGCAGACTGGCTGAAATACACTGCTGAGGGGAGCAGCGGGTGAGACAGGAGAGGTCTGCTGCACCATGTGGGTAGCTCCCTGGCCGGGGATCGAACTCAGGCCGCAGTGGCTGCTGATAGCTTCATAGGTTTTATCTTAACCCCTTGCACCACCAGGGAAGCCCCATCTTTATTATTATAATGTTATTGCTGCCCTGCCCTTTGGGGGAATCCTACCCTCTGGGGAGTTTGGAGAAAGGGTTTGGAGAAACCCCTATCTGTGTTTTGGGGTGCTGGTCGGTGTCGACGAATAATCATCACTATGCCCTTTCTTCAGATATGAGCTCCCCCTCAAAAAACAATTCAGAAGATGAGGACAGGGCTGGATCCAAGAGCTCTAATGTCCTGCGATGCCTGTCTGCCCCGGTGTTGCAGCCCCAGACTTGCCACTGGGTCTACCCTGGCCAGATCTACAGCAGCAGCATGTGCCTGGGCTTCCTCCATGGCGGGAAGGACACCTGCAAGGTGGGTCTGCCTGCATCCCCAGGCTCTGCGTCTGCAGGGGGTGGACACGCTCCTAATGTTCTCTTCCTCTTACTGCAGGGTGACTCGGGGGGGGGCGTGGCCTGCAAGGGAGCCGTGCACGGCATTGTTTCCTGGGGTGCAGGCTGTGCCCAGAAAGGCAAACCTGGCGTCTATACCAAAGTCTGCAAGTACCTCAAGTGGATCCGCAGGACCATGGCGGCCAACAGACGCAGCTAATCCTCCCTCTCTCTTCCCCCTCACGCCCCCCACACCACTCCCCTCCCAGGCTCTGTTCTGGGCTGGAACCCGCTGTAACTTTGTGTTGGCTTTGGAGGGGCTTGTAGTTCTCACATAGAGGTGTCAATAAAATTCCTTCATGAAAACTATTGTCATCCTTCAAATTCAATTTAGCCGAGCCGCTCAGATTAACCTCAAGTTTAGGCAAAAACACACACTTTATCGCTGGACTAGGACATGAGCCAATAGTCACTGTTCTGATTGTTTACAGCAGTTGGTTTTTTTGAAAGTAAGTTTCTTAGATCATCTTCTTTTCTGGGCATGAAATTACTTAAAAATTTCCATGCCTATCAGAGAAGTAAAGCGCCAGCCCACCTCAGGGGCTAGTGAGGTATTAACTGGGAAAGTGGCCAGAAAAGTTTTAGAAAAAGAACAAACTCTGGGAGGAAAAAGGGGAAAAAATTGCCTTTCGACGCTGGTGACTTGCTTCTGCCAATACAGAGGTCAACATACTTGTTGGAGCCCAGTCAACCCCCTTCAGGCACAGGTTCCGACAGTTCTACAAGGCCACTCAGTCACGCGCCTGGGAAAGAGATGACAGACACAGATTAATTAAATACAGACGCATCTGGGCCACCACGTCTTGAAGATAGGAAAAGAACTGTGGTTCCCAGCGCTCTGTGCTGGGCAGGAATGTGGGCATTACCCGCGCGTGGTTCATGGCCCTTTTCCTCGGGGGAGGCCGAGGAAGGAAACCCCACTTCCAGTGGCATCCTCAGTGTTGATTATGAATGAGAATTCATTATCTTACTGAGAACAGAAGTTTTGCTCCTAAGGTGCAGATGAGCATGCTTATTGAGTCTGGAAACTTTCAACCCACTTCTCCAAGTAGAAGGGATCTTGTAGTCCCAAGCTCCCCCAGGACCATGCCAGACCTCAGATTTGCTCATTCGCTTTGCATAACTGACTGACAGGTGCACGCACACCGCGATGCTTCATAGGGGCCCGGCCTCTCCCGGGTCCGCATGGGAGTGTTCTGCTAGTCACTTTCACTTAGGACACCACATCCCATTAATATCCACATCTGCTCTGCACCACGCCACTCCCGGCAGCCCCCAGCCACCCCCATGAGCGAGGCTTGGAATTTCCCACCCTCATTTCGTCCAACCACCTGCAGATCCATCACTAGCGTCTTCAACACAAGCTTAGGAAGTGCATTGGGGATCGTTATTACTTAAGGAGCTATTTTATTCAATATCCTGTGTTCATTTTAATGTGCATCAGATAAAACTTCACCAAGACCCAGGAAAAGAAGTTTGTTTAAAAATCACATTGTAAACACATCCCCATCGCGTGCTTTCATTACACGCAACCAGTGTGAGAGTTGTAGGGGAAAGACTGAAGACCGGAAGCCATCACCTGGCATTTCCCCTGTACCCCTTAACCCTCCGAGGCTTTAGTGACTGGAGAACCATCACACTGCAGCTGCCAGGCAGGCCCAGCTTCCTTTGCCTCGAGGTGTTTATTTGGGAATTTGCAGTCAAGCTTTGTTAAGTCCCTGCATCTGGAACCCTCACTTTTCCCTACCTCAAAGAAGGGGTTCAAGTGATAATCCCAGGACTTGCCAGAGAGAGCTCTCTAGGACATGAGCCAATTATCATGAAGAGCTCTGCCCTGGATGCTTTTCCTGGGGCCAAGATCTCAGATGAGGTTTGGGGATGTTTCAGGGGTGACATAGAATCAGAAAACATGCAGCACCTTATTGTGGGGGCATCAGCAGCGGACAATAATTGGACAGCATGAGGAGGCTCCCTCTTCCCCACCTTAGGTCCCACCTCTTCCCTTCTTCTTAAAATTTCCTGATCTCCAGGTTTCAGTGGAAAGCAGTTCCAGGCCCTGGGTGCTAATCACACAGGAGTGAAGGAGCCTGAGGCCCGTATTGTCCCAAAGCTCAAGGCACTGTCCCATGGCCATAGCCGGAGAAGCTCCTTTGGCCATTTCCACCCCCAGGCCCTCAGTTAATTCTCACCAGGGGGGACTTTGATGTCCAGGGGATATTTGGTAAAACTTGGAGACATTTTTTTGGTTGTCATAATTGGGAGGAGGTGAGAGTGCCACTTGTAACTAGAGGCCCGGGTGTTGATAAACAATCCTACTGGGTGCAAGGCAGTTCCTTACAATAAAAACGGCAATAGTGCCAGGGCTGAGAAGCACTGCTTTCTAGTAAGTCATCTTCATATTTGCAGAAGCTCAAAGGGAAAAAAATACAGAAATTACTTCTGGGGAGTTGACTTGCTGAAGCAGAAGCCTTAACTGCTAGGCTGCTCAGGTGTGCTGTGCCGGTGGAGCACCCGGCTCTATCCAGTGGGGCTAGTTCTCACTAAGAGCCACTTATTCTAGATAGTTCTGCCATGCCCATTAATTGTGACAATTGAAATGACACAGGAGCCTACATCTTGGATTTTTCAGATTCCCACAAGCTCCTTGGAGCCAGCCCTTAATTTGGTAAAGTTTAGATTGTTCTCCTGGACTATGCTTATGGCATGGGCCCGGACCATCACTCTTTTACCTGTTTTGAGCTATTGTCATTTCCAATCAGAATAATTTTCTCTTTTCTCAGGGGAATATGTGGTTCCTGTAAATAATGGAAGTTAACATGGAGCTTCAAGGCCAGAACTCAGGACAAATTATGTAAGCGTGAAAGAGCCAATGTCAATTAAAGATCAGGAGTGCAGGTTCACGATGGCCTTGGGACAAGTCTTCATCGTGAAGATGGCCAAGAGGCTTAAGTTTCTGACTGGGAATCAGGACACCTGTCGCCCTGTCCTCTGACCTTTATCTGGCTTAACATTCTGTTACAGGCAATAGACCTCACCAGGTGGGCTCAGGACTTCTATTCCCATAACCTTTTGGAAAAGTGGACAAAGGTGACTGTTTAAATTTGATGTTGAATTAGCTTCCTTTTGGCACAGACCTGAATTCTAAATTTGGATTCATGAGTTTTCCATGAAATCATTTTCTGGCACATGTGGCCATGGGTCTCTCTAGGTATAAATACCTGTGGATGAAACGCTTCATCCTACCAAACCCAGTGGCAACCATGAAGACCCTCATCTTCCTCGCTCTCCTGGGAGCTGCTGGTAAGTCTTGGCTATTCAGAATATCAGGAAGTAACCGAGACAATAGATCTTAAAAGTGCTCCTCACAGGAAGAAAAAACTTTCTTGCAATATGTCAGGTGACAGATGTTAACTAGATTTATTGTGGTGTTCATTTTGCAGAATATATGAATATTGAATCATTATGTTTATACCAGAAACTAATATAATCTGCTAATTACATCTGAAAAAATGTCTGTTATGTATGCCAATTGCATTTTTATACTGGAAGACAAAAATGAATATGAAATATCATCTCTGTGCTCAAGAAGCTTAGATGTTGAAAGAAGAGTGTATAGTACATTTTTATAGATAACCAAATTTCACTTATTGGGGACAACCACAGTGGGCAAGAATGATCAAGAATGATCACCTGTCTTAGAAGTTTCTAAGAGGCAGGATTTGCCACAAACATTAAGGTGAAGTCTATGAAGAAAGAGAGCAAGGAGTGGTGAACATTAAGGCAATGGTTGTTTTGACCTTCCTAAGGACATGTGGTTAAACGATTGGGACTAAGGCCAGCTCTGTACCCCTTGCTCTCTGTCCACTGTGAACATCAGTGTGGAGTCTCCTCTATAATCAAGGGCCAAGGGACCTCAAGACAAAGATAGTTTATTTCTCATGAATACACACTATGAGCTGAGTTTTAGATGTTTGCTAGTGAAGTCTCTCCAGTTTAAAATAATGTCATTCAACCATGAAAAAATGGACAAATGACTATTTCTATTTTTATACCGCTAAGAAGTACTACTAAATTTCATCAAATTGAGCAGGTATAAATTTAAAACACCTCTCTCTATACCTTGAAATGTCTTTCCCAAAATTACTTTAAAATACTTAAATAATAGGGGATGTAATAATATGATCGCAGTCTTTTAGAGCTATAAGAAATCTCAACATTAGTGGATCAGACTTCACAGTGCTGTGTTAATTGGAAATGCTGGAAAGATCACTGGGATGAGGAGAAAGGTTACAGAAGGAAATCTTAATAATGGTCAATGAAATTATTTCATGATAATTTTAAGTGAGAACCAAAAAGAGAAATTGGAGGGACAAAAGTAGAGAACCCCAATTTCCTTCTAGGCCAGAACATTCTCAGGTAGCCTCTACAAGCTTCCTTGTCCTTATACCGTGCCCACATCTGCCCTTTACTAACTGCAACAAATTAAAAAAAAAATACATGGTTATTAAAAATAATTTGAGCACCTATTTGCATGGTTGCTGGGCTGGGTTTTGTAGGAGAACTATCCTTTACATCCTCAGAGAGTGATGGTCAGGGCTTTTATTGTGTAAGGGATCTCTGATCCATGTGGATGTGAGTGTATGTATAGAAAAGTATGTTCATCACATTTAAAGAACAAATTAGATACGCCTAATGGCATATGTATGTTACATGTTAAAGGTATAGAATAACAAGTTCTTGAAAAAATTGCTTTAAAACCATCACCCCCTGATTGTGTGTGACCAAGGAACTTGGTCTGCTCTTTTCTGGTTGACTGGTAATGATTGGTGGCGAGTAGAATTCCAAGCTGGATCTGATTCACGGATGGTTTCCAACTTTTCTCTTGCCAGTCGCTTTCCCCACCAACGACGATGACAAGATCGTCGGGGGCTACACCTGCCAGGAGAACTCCATCCCCTACCAGGTGTCCCTGAACTCCGGCTACCACTTCTGTGGAGGCTCCCTCATCAACGACCTGTGGGTGGTGTCCGCTGCTCACTGCTACAAGTCGTAAGTGACCAATCTCCACATCTCTGCTCTCTAAACTGAACTCACTCCCCATCTTGCCATGTCACATCAGGGCAAAGTAGTCATGCCTGAAGTGTAAGCATTGCCATTCTAAGAGCCTCATTTCCCCAAGGGCATCTCACAGCTTTCTCATGGAGGCATGGGAGGGATGTGTGCGGGAAATATCCCTAGAGCTAGTTCAGAAGTATTAATCAGTAAATAGTCCTAAATGGCTCAACCAGAGAAAAAATACAGGTAATTTCTAGTACAATATTAAAATTAAGTACAGTCATTCTGCTTCCCTCATATTGCACTTCTCTGACTCCAGCCTTCTCTCCCTACAATCATTGGTAATCCCTACCAGGTGCTGATCAGTTGCGACCAGTTTCCTCCTCAATTCTCACTGCTTTTTAATTGGGGCCATTTGGTTCCCATTCCTTTGCTTTGCTATTTAAACAAGATGGCGGGCGAAGGGTCTATACTTGTGTGACACCTCCCCGAGGGACACTGGTAGGGCTGCCTTCAGTAAGGACTGTACTCTCGCTGGTGTGCATGGATGCTCAAAGGGCATGGTCTCCCCAGTTATGCCATGACTGGAGTGTGCTGGCAAGGGGAAGAAGCTCAAATTAGATACTTAGGGAATGTTCATCTATTCATTTAGCCGCATCCAGGTGCGTCTGGGAGAACATAACATTGAGGTCATCGAGGGCAATGAGCAGTTCATCAACTCTGCCAAGGTCATCCGCCACCCCAAGTACAACTCAGCCACCATTGATAACGACATCATGTTGATCAAGCTGAACAGCCCTGCCACCATCAGCAACCGAGTGTCCACCATCTCTCTGCCAAGATCCTGTGCCCCCGCTGGCACCCAGTGTCTCATCTCTGGCTGGGGCAACACCATGAGCAATGGCTGTAAGTGTCGCCACATCTGAGAACCCTGGAGGTGAAAGGCAGAGAGGGAAATCTTATCATGGTCAATGAGACCAGGTGTCAAGGAGAGAACCAGTTGTTGGTTAGATTAGCTGTTGATTTGCAAGAGCTTCCACAGGTGAAATGTGTTCTCCCGAACTAGAGGTTATTGACAAATGCAAAAGAAAGAATGGGGAATGCAGGGAGGGATATTGAAAAAGAAGTTTCCAGGAATCTGGTGGGTTAACTTCCACTTTCATCCTTGCATCCCACAGACAACTACCCCGAGCTCCTGCAGTGCCTGAATGCTCCCATCCTCTCTGACGCCGACTGCCGCAAGGCCTACCCCGGCCAGATCACCGGCAACATGATCTGCGCTGGCTTCCTGGAGGGCGGCAAGGACTCCTGCCAGGTGAGTTTCTTTACCTCCCTCCCTCCATCCCTCCAGCTCTGTGTCATGCATTCCCACCAGATGCGCCCTTTCCAAAAACACAGGGGACTGAAAAAGCTGTCATTGGGATGGATTGTGAGGAGTGAGGGATAGTTGTGGGATCAAAGAGAAATTTCTTTTTGTGATATTAATGGTTAGGGCTATGGGTGAAAAAGACAGAGATGATGGTGTATGAGCGGGACAGCTAAACGCACTTGTTCGCGGGCATGTTGCAGAAGGAAACTCTTTGAAAGGCACCAGGCTAGCTGGGAGCATTCTACTCACCAGTGTTGATGTTGTCTTGGCCCAACAGGTCTGCAAACTTGTTCCTCCAAAAAAAGGAGGAACCAGAAGGAGGGAGGAGAAAGGACAGGGGTGGAGTATGAAGGTTGAGGGTTGGAAATCCAGGGGAAGATGAATTGGCTTGTGGAGGACCAATGGGTTGGGAAGATGGCCCCGGGACCTGGAGAAGCATCTTTGAATCTCCCATCTGGGTAGAGTTGAAAACTCTGTCTCTTCCCCTTTTCTCAGGGTGACTCTGGTGGCCCCGTGGTCTGCAACGGAGAACTGCAGGGCATCGTCTCCTGGGGCTACGGCTGCGCCCAGAAGGGCAAGCCCGGCGTCTACACCAAGGTCTGCAACTACGTGGACTGGATCCAGCAGACCATGGCTTCCAACTAAGCACCTCGATCTCTTCATGACCCTTCCCCTGTTAGTCAAGTTCACCTTCCTTCTATACCTGAAAAAAATGTCTAAATAAAAACATATTCTCCTGTACCAAAGGTGTCCAAGAACTGTCTTTCCTTGCTCTTTGTGACCTTTTTCTTGAAACTGACCGATAAGAGGGTGGACATAGAACTGAACTCTTGTATGGGGACTGCATTTGAAAGATTATTCTTCAACCCAATCAAAATAGTAACTGATCACCTATGGACTCCAGACTCTGAGCGGGACACTGAGGACAGAAGGGGGACAAGGTTAGGGGTCATTCAGCAGATAATGACCGGAAATTACTGAACGCTAAAGTCTAGTACTCAGAGTCCTTCAACTTGTTCATGGAAAAGCTGGGATGAAGACCTCACTGTTCTCATTCCCAAGCCTTGTGACTTATGCGGTGTCCTCTCCCCGTTCTCTCTACGCTACATGAACCTTCGTGAGGGTAGGTCATATGGGAAACCTTTAGATGGAGACCGTCTTAAAAATCAGAGATTCCCTGTATTTTCCAAGATTTAACTTATTTAAATGTTCTACTTTTCCAAGACCTTTCTTGCTGGCATTTGGGACTTTACTGCATAGCAGGCACCATGTCTACAGGAGACTGTCCTGCCATCAGTCCCCCAGGTCCCAAATTTTTTTTTTTTTTTTTTGCCTTGAGCAATAAGAAAAAAGTACAAGTGGAGGTAAATTTGCATAAAATGTTCTCAACTGAGGCCCTGGAAATATTGAGACAACAGTGTTCAGGGAGCTCTGAACCCCGCAGGAGTTCAGTAATTCCAAACCTGCAATTTCAGAAGGAAGAAACCGTGTTCCAGAACCATCCTCACTTCAGAAAGAACCACTTTCCAGAACACAGCTGGAGCCAACACTCTGTGAGCCTGGAAGGTTTGCTCTTGCTTAGTGCCCAGAACTCAGTTCTCACCTCTGCAGAGGTGAAACTGTAATAATAAAAATGACATTTGTTAAGCATGCTCTTTGTGCCTCTGTATGCTTACATGTTTTTTGGTTATTATTTTATCCTCATAACTTGCCTATGTGGTAGGAATTCATAGTTCTCCCTCTTAGAGCCCGGGATATGAATGCTTAAAGAGTTTAGTGTTTTTCTCAGTAAAAGGCAGCTACTAAAGGGCCTCCCTGGTGGCGCAGAGGGTTGAGCGCAGCGCTGTGAAGCTGTCCGCAGCCTTTGCAGTGCCTGTTCAATCCCACTGGCCTCGGAGTAATCCACATGGTGAGCAGACCTCTCCTGTCTCGCCCGCTGCTCCCCTCAGCGGTGGATTTCATCAGTCTGCCTGTTCTGGTTCCCGCTCTGTCTCTGGTAAATCCTCTCACCCTCTGGCGCATCTGGCCTGTACCCCGGTTCTTGTATAAATAAAATAAATCTTAAAAAAAAAAAAAAAGGCAGCTACAAATCCTGAAACCAGGAACTGAATCTTTGTAGCTTGTCTCCAGAGTCCACAGTCCTCAATGTTATGTTAATAAACATTAAAATGTCACCAAGATTTAAGGGCTTCACAGCAACATTTAAACATTAAAATAAAAAGGTGTTCTCAGAAACCTGGTAAATATGAGGAACCTAAGGTTACAATTATTTTATTTAACCAGCATGTATATAGCATTTACTATTTCCCATTAAAACTCACTGTTCTAAGTACTTTATAAATAGAAAATCTGAACAGGTCAATAGCAAGGAAAGAAATCGAATGAATAATGAAAAACTTCCTAATATAGAATACCCCAGGACCAGATGACTTCACTGGCAAATCCTACCAAACATTTAATAAAGAATTAACCCAGCCCTTCTCAAATACTTACCAAAAATCTGAAGAGGAGGAAGCCTTTTCCAAACTCATTCTTCGAGGCTAGTGTGGCTCGGGCCCCAAAGCCACAGAAGGGCAGCGTGCCTGATGGAACCCACCAGCATGCCTGATGGAACCCACCCCTTATTATCAACCTCCGGAGCAGCTGGAAGGTTAATTTTCCAGGAATAACTTATAAAAAGAAATGTGGTGCGTTGAGAAAGCAAGAAGTTGTCAAAGACAATAACGGAACAGGTAAGGAGGTTGATTTTATTGACTATTGCAATAAGACCCAAAGATCGGCGTCTCAGGAGGACAGGTCTGCCTTCGACTTTTCTGGACACAAATAGCCAAGTCACAGGCAGGAGACTTACAGTGAAGGCTGTTTTTGCCGTGCAGGGAATTCAGAAGCAGTCAGCAGGACAGCAAGTGTTGATCTCTCTGGCACGCTTCATGGCAAAGCAGTCTAAGCTCAGCTAATCATTCGTGAGACAAAGGATGGGGAGCTGGCGGTCTGTGTGTGACCCCATCAGCGGGTGCAGGTGGAAGGAGAAAGGTCAGTGTTTGACCTTGCACAGGCAAGCAGGGGAGTCGTCTTAGGTCTTATGGGAGCCGTAAAAGTGGCAGAGTCTTCTCTAGCGCACATGGGGAGGGGTAATTCTTTGCATAAGCCATTTCCCAGAACACAGCAATGTTTACCCACCACAGTTTTGTTTCGAAGGACTCAGGAGAAGTTCAGCATGTCAGAGACAATCTCAGGATTGAATCCTTCTGACTTATCTCTCTTGCATTGTCCTTGAACACCTGTGTTGTCACAAATGGCAAGAGTTCATTTTTTATATATATAGTTGAGTAGTATTCCACTGTGCATCTCGACCACGCCTTCCTAACCCTCCCCTCTCTCCGTGAGCATTTAGGCTGGTTCCCTAACTTGCCATTGTACATAAGGCTGCGACGAACATAGGAGCGCAGCTATCCCTTCACATCAGTGTTCTTGTGTTCTATCCTCGGAGGAGAAAGACGAATACCGGATATGCCATATAGAGAAACAAACCGAAGGGCTGGATAAAACAAAACCAATAACAAACCTTAGAAATGTGACTGTAGAGGGCCTCCCTGGTGGCACAAGGGGTGGAGCACCGCACTGTGAAGTGATCTGAGACCTCTGCAGCACAAGTTTGATCCCCGGCCAGGGAGCAACCCACACCACGCAGCAGACCTCTCCAGTCTCCCCGCTGCTCCTCCCAGCAGTGTATTTCAGTAGATCTGCCTGTTCTGTTCCCCACTCTGTCTCTGGTGAATCCTCTCACCCCCCTGCGTCTCTGGCCTGTCTCCAGCTCTTGTATGCATAAATAAATCTTTATTTATAAATTTATTTATAAATTTATTTATAAATTTATTTATAAATTTATAAATAAAATCTTTAAAAAAAATAAAAGAAATGTGAGTGTAGAACTGAGGCCACGGGGGAGGATGGGGGAGGGCAGTGGGGAGGACACAATGGACTCTGCAGCCTCGGGTGGGTGTGATGTGGTAACAGACACCTGAGGGGGCGAGCCCACACCGCTAACTCATGTACGGTGTTGTCAACCCATGTTATCCCAGTTAAAACAAAAGCTCTGGACTTCGTTCCAAGCCCTGACATTGCACTAAGTTCCGTGAGGGCTGCAGATTCCTTGTCTCTAAGGTGACAAGGGGCCGGGGCGGGAGAGGATGGTTTATCTCACGTATTTCCTAACCCAGCGGGCAGGAGGCTCCGAGCCTGACGGAGGGGCTGGAAGAAGAGCCACGGCAAGGGAAGGCCAGTGACCCTTCACAGTCACAAAGGGAGGAGGGGAAGGGCTGTGTCACAGAAGGGGGCAATGTCAGCAGGTGTGTAGGGGCCAGCGGGGGACCTTCGGGGTCAAGGAAGGGGCAGCCGGGGCTTGGCTGGCTCTGCTGCTTCCTCTCTCGCTCACGCCAGCGGTCACGCCCAGCTGTGGCTGATAGAGCTGGGCCTGACGAAGGCCTCGTCTGACGACGTCTCCACGGTCCTGCTTCTCCCTCTCAAGCCCCAGTGAACGGTTTTCCCTGAGTTGCTCTTGATAAGAGCACTTGGGCTGAAGCCGGGCCCGTCCACAAGCGTGCACCCTGCCTGGCCCGCCCGTCACAGCCCATCATGATGTGGGGGCTCCTGTTTGCTCTCGTGGGTGCGGCTGGTAAGAGCCGGGGCCCTGTGGCTGCCTAGGGAGGGAGGGGTGGTGCGTGGAAGGGTCGGGAAGGAATGGGATCAGCCTACAAGAGGCAGGCACTTCAGAAAACAGCTAACGAGTGAAGGAAACCCAAGGCACCTCTCTCCACGCACAGCCACCCCCTGAGCGCGCCCTCTCTCCGAGGCCACAGGCACCTTAGGAGAAGTGGGGGCTCCTCACTGCCTGCACCATCTCTCTCCTGACACTCTGGGGGTATGACTTTCTAGGGTGCCCCTGCCCTGTCTCTGGGCATGGACTGTAGAAGGAGGGGCGCAGGAAAGAAAAGTGGGCGGGGGCAGGGACTCTGGAAGCCCCAGGACCTCACCCCACGAGTTTCCATTCCTTTCACCACTGAGTCAGGTAGTATTTAATTTTTTGCTCCCATGTTTGGCAAGAGTTAATTTTAAAAATAATATTTTTAATGCAATGATCCATTGTATTACTCCACAGAGTTCAACATGGCAGAGTTTCTGGTAGGCTGGAGACACGTGTTGGCTTCCTCATGTGAGGAGTTTGGGTCATATGCCTGATTCCCTCTGTTTATTAAACATATTTAAAATCATTTGAAGAGTTTTGTATCAAAACCTTCTCTTTTAAAGGTTTTTTTTTTTTAATTTTTAAAAACCTTAGGTTGGGAAAAACTACTGTAGTCAAGTCTCACCCCTCAACCTCTTTACCACTCTTTCTACCTACAATTCCTCTGATTTTCAGGAATCATTCTGGCCAAAGATTTAGAAAAGGAAAAGCCAAAATTAGCAGAAGATTTTACTATTCCTTACATGGTGTATCTGAGATCCAGCCCAGAGCCCTGTGTGGGGTGTCTCATTCACCCTGAGTGGGTGCTGACAGCTGCGCACTGCCCCCGGCCGTAAGTATCCTGCTTCTCACACCCCCTTACCATAAGCATCCTTCTGCTCACACCCCCTTCCTCTAAGTATCCTGCTACTTCTGGGAGCTGGAAAAGGTCTATTTATTTATTTATTTTTGTGTAGAAGAACTGGGGTATAGACCAGAGGGGTGTGTGTGAGAGGATTCACCAGAGACAGAGTGGGGAGCAGAACAGGCAGACTGACGAAGTGCACTGCTGAGGGGAGCAGCGGGGAGACAGGAGAGGTCTGCTGTGCCATGTGGGTAGCTCCCTGACTGGGATCAAACTCAGGCCAAGGTGGTGATAGCACTGAGACTTAACCCCTAGGCCACCAGAGAGGCCTGGAAAAGGAGTATATGAACAAAAGCAGGTCTGTCAAGACATCCCAACAAATTTTAGTGGCATCCTATGGAAATTAGAAACAAAATGAAAGAGAAGTCATTTCGGCCATTTCTTTCAGTTCTGACATTCTGTGACCTTGTTGCTTTCCTTTTCCCTGCCCCGCTTCTTCTCAAGTGATAAAATAAGACTGGGAGTTTATCAACCCAGCATCATAAATAAGAAAGAGCAGACGCGAAATTGCTCACTGACCATCCCCCACCCTGCATTCAACGCCCACACTCTGGAAAATGACTTGATGATGATAAAACTGTCCAAGGCCGCTGACCTCAATGCCCACGTGGGAACCATTGCCTTCGCCATGGAGCCCCCAGCCTTTAACGATTCCTGTTTTATCCCAACCTGGACTTGGAACGACTTCAAAAACAGTGAGTGTTGACTCTGTGTTCTTCATCCTGAAAAGGGTCTGGAGCTCAGAACATTGTGGAGGGATATGTTTGAAGGGATTAGCTGATAGGAGGTATAATGCTCTTGACCTTGGTTAGTTACTGCCAGGGTCTTAAACTACAGGCTTGAAGGTCAAATGATAAAACCCAAAGAAACTGTACAGGGCAGCCAACAGCAACCAATGGAGCAGGGAGTAATGGTTAAAGCTCTAGTACATTCACAACCAGAATTCAGGGAACTGAATTCAAATGCAGATGGAGGAACGAGGCGTCCTCTCTTTAGAGCAGCGGTCTCCTGTGGGAGGGTAGCTCAAGGATAATTGGGGAAAGTCACCAAGCAGTTAACAGTCACCAAGCAATTAATGGAATAAAGCAAAGAGGACTTGACGTAGGGTGAGGCAACAGAGGGGACTTTTCACCCTCTCCCACAGGCAAGCCAACCTATTGATGGTGATTCATTCAGCTAGACCCTGACAGACAAGAGGGTGGCTGAGGGAGCCCCCATTTCAGTCACCAGAGCTATTGCCAGGGAGTGAGTTGTACTTCCAGATCTACTGCTTCATCCAGTAGTTCCCACTGAGAGGTGGAGACTGGGGTGCTTCACAGGGAACTGGCTATTATGACATGGTGTTGGTGTCTCTCTGGCATGTCATGCTTCTGGGAAAAGTTGTCACAGTCCTGTTGTGGACACACCTCTCTTCCCCTCTGGGCTCTAATTGGGATGAGCAGAGAAGATCTGGTCTCTGCAGGATCAGGGCACTTTAGGAAGACAGCAGCTTTTTATGCATTTTTTTTCTGGCTCCATTTTACTGGCCATAACTCATCGCGCAATCTTCAGGTGTTTTCAAAGGATGGTGAGACCATCCTTCAATGTCTGAAATGAAATGAAAAATCTAAGTGGAATGAAGAAGCTATTTCTTATCCTAGCGAGGGAGTGCGGTGCTGAGCAAGCCCCGTCTCACACAAGGGCTTAGAGGACTTTGAAAGTGTGGGGGTGACGTCACCCATGAAGGCATAGACACTTGGGTGAGACTTGCTGATCGGCTGTTCCCGAGACCAACCTCAGCGCTTACTGGAAGGGCTGGTGGAGTAACTGGTTGGCTCTCCAGGTGACATTGCTTGATCGACTTCTAGAGCTGTGTTCAGTTAGGCAAATGGCCAGGGGTATAACCAGGTTCACACCCAGCACTGGAGGCTGCAGGACAAGTCACTGTTCTGTGAACAATAAATCAGAAGTGACAACTTTTAAAATCAGTCTGTTTTTGGCAAATTTCATTTTCAATTTAGAAACAACATGCTTGAGAATCTAAATATTTTTTTTCTGACCAGCCCATAGCTGTCTGCTGCAAGGTTCCCATTACTTTGAGGAATACTTTATTATAAATAACTTAAATTGATTGCACCTCACTGTTCTATGTATTTCAATTCAATTTCCATAAAAACTGAACACTGAATAAAAGTTTTTTTCTGCCTTGACCTAGCAGGCGTTGATCTTCTATTTTGGGATGTCAGAGTGGGTACACTCTACCAAAACATTTTGTTCCATAAGCAACATTAGGTTTAGGGCATTAGGTTTGAAAAAATTAGGTTTGAAAAATTTCTGGTCAATTTTTTTTTTTTTTTGGTTTGGATATGCTTTCTCCTTGTCACTCTCTACCAGAAATTAAAATTAATTAAATTAAAATTAATTAAAGTTAATACACACATATGAATCACCATTTATAAATAATCTATCATTAAAGGGCAATTTTAGACCTATTGTAATTCTTTTCTCCCTTTATAATTAAGTGTAAAGATGAAGCAGGTGCCCCAAACCGGGGGGAGTCTCGGGAACAATCACTTCGCATCTATCACTTCTCGTGGTTTTTCATAATCCCATGGATTTCCAACTCCCTCCCTATGCGCGGTGGAGGAACAGCTGCAGGTCTCATATCTGCTGTCAGCAAAAGCAAATGCTCTAGAAGCACTGCTCTGACACAGACAGAGCAAGGAGCCCTACGCAGGGTGAATGCCCACTACCTGCAATGAATATCCTCGGAGACTCATGTATTTTTAGCAGAGACTAAACACAAGAGTCTATGTGACCAAGAAAGTAACCTCAGGCTTCATTTACCTTCTCTTTCCCACAGTCAGCGACCCAGACATCCTGACCTGGATAAACGAACACATCCTACCCGCCCACGAGTGCCAGAATAAGCTCAATAAAAACCTGGCCGCATCCATCATGTGTGTGGGGAAACCCCTGAACATCATGTCTAAAATCAAGGTATTTTCCTTTCTCTGGACAGGAAAGCAGCAAGGGAATCAAATAACTGGTGGGAATCAAATAACACTCATGCAATAGAGCCCCGAGTGCCTTTCCTCTTGTCCCTCAGTCTGTGGGCTTATTATTAATGCCCCCCTTTTTTTATTGGAAGAGATTCTGGGTAGAACCATCTGTTCTTTCTCCTCCTGCTTGCACTCAGGTTGAGTCAAGCTTGAACCCGGAGGTGAGGCCAGCATAGAAGAGGGCTCTGACCCTGAGTAAGTGAGGCCAGTTCCTTAGCTGCCTCTGCACTATGATGCCCCCCCTTGGATATGTCTTGTTCTATGAGGACAGTGCAGCATTGACCTCCTAGTCCTTCTTTCTGCAGGAAGTGTCCGCCTCTCCAGCCATCTGCAGTGGGCGAGTGCATGGGATCTTGTCCTGGGTCAAAGGAAGTGTCATCCTGGGCAGTGAAGGATTCTTCACCGAAGTCCCTCCCTATGCAAGATGGATATTGAAGATCATTAGTGCCCACTAAGACCTCTGTTCCTCCATCCCTGCAGTGCAATAGCCTCACGAATCCAAATGGAAAATATTCAATTACAAAAAATATGGCACTAAGAACTCACCTTGTGACTCCTGCTCTCTCTGTCATATAAGCTGCAGGGCCAATGAGAAATTTAACAACATCCCCACCGTTTGCTCATTAATTCCAAAATTATTGAACCATTAGCTATTTACTAGGCACCACTGCGCTAGGGATACCTGAGTAAATGTGACAGTCTTGGCCATCCATTTGTCAATTACAAGACTTTGTTACAATTGCTCTAATGAGAAAAGCAGTACGTTCCATGAGGGTATAGAAAAAGACATTCTGGGGGGGTAGTCAAGAGAGGTGTCACCATAGAAGCAGACACATGAGGGGGCAACATGGTAAAAGGGCAGAGTGAAGAGGTCAGGCCTGGTGTTTCCCGCCTTGAGGAAGGCACATGTCTGCAGAGACTGAAGGATGTGGGTTTTCTTGGACATTGGTTTACTTTGAGCCTGGATACTTTTTCCCCCCGACTAGAGCAGAAAAAAAAATGAGATGGATAATGTCTAAGACCCCCAGCTTAGGACCTCCTCTGGTGGCGCAGGCAGTTGAGCGTAGCGCTGTGAATCTGTCCGTAACCTCTGCAGCGCGGGTTCGATCCCGGCCAGCCGGTGAGGGTCCCACATGGCGCAGCAGACCTCTCCTGTCTCGCCTGCTGCTCCCCTCAGCAGTGTGTTTCGTTGGTCTGCCTGTTCTGTTTCCCACTCTGGCTCTGGTGAATCCTCTTACCCTCCCACACATCTGGCCTGTACCCCGCTTCCTGTATAAATAAATAAATAAATGTTAAAAAAAGACCCACAGCTTATCCAAGCACCTACACAAAACCACCTCAACTGTGTGTGTTAATGCCTTTGAATTCAACAAGGATTTTTCTCGTCATCTTCGACCCACCCATTTGCCTGTCTCATCCCTATCCTCTTGCTGCTTCCTGCTCTGATTCACTGCCCAATCTTCTGTTCCCTCTTTTTGACTTAATTTTTCTCTTCTCATGCCAGATAATCTCCTCCTTCTCTAAGACGTAGGCAATGTGTAACTTCCAAAGCCCCCTTTTTCACACAAGATATAGACTGAAGAATTGTCATTAGCTCTGGGCTCTAAGGCACATACCTCGAATTTAAACAATTTCCTAGCACAATTTATTGTGAAAATCTTCAAACTAACAATAAGGGTGAAAGAATGGTTCCATGCATACCTGCCACCTAGATTCTAAAGCTGAGTAATTCATTTGTTAAATTGTTACTTTGCATTGGTGCAGTGTTACAATCAGCAATTGATATTGATATATTATCATTCATTAAAGTCCACAGTGGATGTCATAATCTGTTCTTTATGTTGTTCAGTTCTATGGATTTGGATAAATGCATAGGGTCAGTTACCCCCCATTACGGTATCACATGGAATACTTTACTGCCCTAAAAATGCCCTGTGTGTGCGTGTCCCCAAGATCACTGATCTTTTTATTGTCTTCATAGTTTGGCTTCCAAAAATTGGAATCATACAATAGGTATTTTCTAGGCTGCCTACTATCACTTAGTAATACTCATTTAACTTTCCTCCATGACTTTTTGTCACTTAATAGCTCTTTTTTTTAAAATCACTGAATCATATTCCACTGTAAGGATGTGCCATGCTTTGTTTATCCATTCACCCATGGATAGACATTTTGTTGCATCATTGTTGTTGCTGTTTTTCATATTATTTATTTATCTATTTATTTATTTTTATATCATTGTTCATTTTTAAACAATATTTGCTTCCCCCCACCCCCTCAGGTGTAGTCCCCCTGAGTTTCCTTCACCAATGCACCCGTGCACCATCACCTCAGTCCCCTGGGCTCCTCCCTCCCTCCCTCTGATCCCTCTCCCTCCTCCCCCCTGCAGGATGTCTCTGGTTTATAATTGTCCGTTTTTGCTCTGTTGTGTTTTGTACTGTGATTATTTTTTTACACTGCTGTCTTATTTGGTTTCCCTATATTCCTGCTATAAGTGAAACGGTTGCATCAAGTTTTATGAAGAAAATTTTCAACATTCATGTGTAAGTTTTTCTGTGGACATAAGTTTTCAACTCATTGGGGTAAATACCTAGGAGTGCATTTTCTGATTACATGGTAAGATTATGTTTGGTTTTACAAGAAACCCCCAAACTATCTCCCAAAATGCTGCACCATTGTGTGTTCCCACAAGTAATGGGAGTTCTTGTTGTTTTTCCACATCCTTGCCAACACTTGGTGTTGTCGTATTTTGGATTTTCACCATACTACCAGCTATGTAGTGGAGCTACACAGAGGAGCTGCACCATGTACATTCCCACCCACAACGTTCCTTTTTCTCCACATCCTCGCCAACACTTGTTGTTTCTGATCTCTTTAATATGTGGCCCACCTTTAATCAGTTTCTTTCCTTGTTAAGTTCTGTGATTTCCTAATACATTTTGGGTATAAAACCTTGATGAGATGTATATTATCAGATGTGTGTGCAAACTTTTTCACACAATCCATGGTATACCTTGATTTTTAGTTCTGAATACTTTGTTTCATTACCGCCCACCTATGTACCTATCACCCCCTTTATTCTATAAGCTCCTTGAAGGCAGGGACATGGTCTTCACCTTGACATCCTCAGCATTGAGCAGAGAGCATAGCTCAGTCACATATATTATGAATTACTGATCGCACGGTTAAATGGGTAAAAGGATGAGTAACAATATGAAGGACAGGGCTACTATAACTCACTGAGCATTAGGCAGAGTGGTCAAGGTCAGCACCAGAGGCCTGGGCAGCGTCCTGGAGATAAAAGTCCGTGCCACACAAATGAGGGGTCAGCATCACACAGGCGGGAGGGGTCAGTGTCCTTCATGCGGTTCAGAGAGGGACCTGTCCACGGAGTTTGACAAAGTCGGGGCAGAGAGGAGGAGGCTGGGGGAGCACTCCCGGTGCCAATGTGTTCCGGGCTGCCTGCCGTGTTCCCTGAATTCCAGACACAATCTCAACTCTCAGCAACCAAGTCACCAGGAATCTGTTCTTGTCCTTCCTACTCCAGACAACTGATTGCTAGACCCCATTCCTGGAGCTGTATCCTGTCACTGGAAGAATCCATTGGGATTCCAACCTCAGGACCCCTTATTGCTTCATCTTACATGCACACACAACCTTCTGCTCTGGAGGCTCCACTTTACTTAGTCCTTTTCCCTCCATCCTCTCCTTCTCTTCCAGAGACCTTGAGCTAAGCCTCCTCCTTCGAAAAGGCTTTTGACATCATTATGATGTTTATCCTCTTCTGGATGCTCTTGAACCTGTCTGGTGAGTGTACAATTTTCTCTTGATTTGCCCAAGAGAAATCCTGAAGGAAATATGCAAAATGGATAAAGAGATAAAGACAGGAGGAGGGGGCCTCCCTGGTGGCGCAGGGGTTAAAATCTCAGCGCTATCAAGCTCATGCCAGTCATTGCAGCATGAGTTCGATCCCCAGCCAGGGAGCAACCCACATGGCGCAGCAGACCTCTCCTGTCTCGCCCACTGTTCCCCTCAGCAGTGGATTTCAGTGGATCCACCTGTTCTATTCCCCACTCTGTCTCTGATGAATCCTCTCACCCCCTCTGGCCTACACACCCAGTTCTTCTATGCATAAAAAACAAACCAGGAGGAGGCGTTCCAGACTTCAGTACAGCTCTTGCTCCTCCTTCACCTGTGTCACCCTTCCCGCCAGCTTTCCTCCTGGGCTCTACCTGCCCACCTCCCCTCGGAGTGATTGCTTGAGTGTTTCTGGGGAGGCATGGACGCTGAAACCCCCAGACCAGACCTGCTCTTCAGGAGGACTGAGATGAGAGCCGTGAGCTGTCTAGAACAGGATTGGTCGAAATGAGGGAATGGGGATTAGGGGTGGGGGTTGAAGTAGGGGTCCAGTTAACACACAGCAAGACATTCAAGGGTTTGGTCTTGTCCAGGCCTGGTCCCTCTTACTTACACAAAAACATCGAGGATATTTATTGATCCTTTTTGTCTCACACCCACATCCAATCCATCTGGAACATTTTGTTGTCTCTATTTTCTAAACATATCTCAAATCCAACCTCATCTATCACCTCCAGCGCCCACCACGGTCCAGGACCATCTCTTGACTGGACTATCAAATTATGTTAACAGTTCTCTCTGCCTCATTCTCCATCACTCGACGCTTGTCCAGAGGGAAATGCTCATGCTTCCTTTACACAAAACCCTAAAGTGCTTCCACATTTCACTCAGAAGACAAGACACTAAACGAAACCTTAACCTTGCACCTCTTCTTTGACCTCTGTCCTTATTGACTCTTCCCAGCCCTCATCAGGCCCCCTATGCTGACCTCGGGGGTTATCCAGCCCATTGACTCTTTGTTTTTATAATTAAAACATATAATTAATTTCTTTATTTGTTTATATTTTACATCAGGTGTAGGCCCCATAAAATTCCCACCACCAATTCACCCGTGCACCATCACCTTTGTCCCTTGTGCTCCTCCCACCCACGTTTTGATCCCTCTCCCTCCCCCTCCCCTGCAGAAAGTCTCTGATTTATAGCTGTCCCATTGGCTCCTGATCTAGCTGCTTCCTTGGCCTGGGGTCTTGTCTCCCCGGTAAGGGATTCTCTAACTTCCCCACCTTCATTTCATTGTTTATCTCACCTTGCTCAAGAAATCTAGCCAACTGGGATTTAATATTGCACAATGCTCTCCCCCCCACCGCTGTGCACACACACATGCAAACACTAATACATATATACTTGCGCACACAAACATACACACAAGCACACAGACTCCTCTGATACCACCTAGCCCTCTTCTATCTTTTTCCCCACAGCACAAATCACCATTCAACACACCATACCACTTACTTATGCAGTGTGCATTATTCTGGAAGGTATTGAGGTAGAATGTATGAAGGCAGAGTTATTTGTGTTTGCTCACTATATAATCCAAGCACTTAAACGGACTCTAGCACATACTAGCTGTTTGATATTTACTTATTGAATGAATGGTTTTGCTCCCACTCACACTCTGTTAGCATTTGGTTTGTTCTTGAAATCATATTATTCTGCCTTATATCAGTCTGCCTTATACAGAAAGAGCTAAGGTTGGACAAAGCTTTCTAAAAATGGTAAAACTAGGACCTCCCTGTGGTGCTTAACAAAAGGTGCTTAACCTTTTGTTAAGCACCACACTATGAGGCAATCCGCAGCCTCCACAGCACGAGTTCGATCCCTAGCCAGGGAGCTACCCACATGGGGAAGCAGAGCTCCCTTGTCTCACCTGCTGCTCCCGTCAGCAGTGTGTTTCAGTCAATCTGCCTGTTCTGCTCCCCACTCTGTCTCTGGTGAATCGTCTCATCCCCCGCATCTCTGGCTTGTACCCAGATCGTGTATGCATAAATGAATAAAAATTTAAAAAAAAAGGTAAAACTAGTAAATCCCCCAGGATTTATTTCAAGAACAAACCAAATGCTAACAGAGTGTGAGTGGGAGCAAAACCATTCAATCAGATTTAAGATATGTCCTCTGAATTGTGGAATATATTTAAGGAACCTCATACTGTAATTTGAAAAATTATTTATTTATTGACTTCTACATTTATTTATTGACATCTAAAAGGGAGAACACATTTTATCTTTTGAAACGGGTATATTTCTATAATTTTTTTCATGTTTTAGAATAAAGTAAGCCAGTGTACAAATTCAATTAACATACAAAGGTCCTGGGGAAAAGAGCAGAGGAAAGTTGGGAAACTATTAGTAATTTTCCTTTATTTTTTCCTCATAATCCTTCAACAAAAAATGTCTCAGAAGTTCCTATCTCTGCCACTTTCAGTTGCTCTGGCCTTTGATCCGGATTTCACAAATGGCGTCTCTACACCCTACTTGGTCTACTTGAAATCTGATTACTTGCCCTGCGCTGGAGTCCTCATCCACCCCCTCTGGGTGCTCACAGCTGCCCACTGCCACCTGCCGTGAGTGATAGGACCTGCGGGCTCATTAGGCTTTGGGTTCCAAAGTTGGGCACAGTGCAAGCCCCGCTTGCAGCCACTGCCCAATTCTACGGTATTAGGGAGGCCCCCGGGGTTGCTGAGAAGGGCAGAGCCAGGGTGGGGGAGACGGTAAGGACACTGAGGAGGGATGAGCATTCTCTGTAAGTCCTCTCATGCACTCCACGACATTCCAGGAAGCTTTCGGTGATCCTGGGAGTTTCAAACCCATCAAATCCCAAAGAAAATAATGTCCAAGAGGTGGGCTTTGAGAAGATGATTCATCACTCAGGCTTCTCAATCACGTCTATCGATCATGACCTCATGTTAATCAAGCTGAAGGAAAATATTCAACTCAATGAGTATGTACAACCGGTCAGCCTGCCTCGTGAACCTGCCCCGGAGAATAGCACGTGCACGGTCTCCACCTGGGCCTACAGCAGCTGCGAAATCAGTGAGTCCAAGTTCAGTGTCTGCTCAGGAATGGACGTGCTTCTCTGTTGCTCCCCTTGAGTCCTGAAGTCCTTCCCAGTGAGACTTTCTTCTGAACTCTCGGTTCATCCTTTTCATCCCTTCTCTTCCCCTGTACTTCAGCTGAAGGAGTCCTGCAGGTTTCCCCCACTCGATCTTTCCCTTAGCCTTGCTTTCATAGATGATGCAAGTGATGCTCGTGGAAGACACTTGTTTTCCAGTCCAGGTGTGCTGTGTGATCGCAAGTCCTTTTACCCTTGGAACCTTAAGGTTCTTAACTCTAAAATGTGGCACATGTTAAGTTGGATATTATATTGTCAGACTCTTCCAGATAACAAGGAAACATAAAACTTTAAAATACGAAGTAAACACAACGCACTAAATAGAAGTAAATACTGCTTCATTAAATCAGAAAGAACTTTCTTGTACAAGATGGTGACTCAGATAAACAAAAGCTTAAGAAAAATATCTCTGCAAGTTTGATAACATTCTGAATGTTCTCTTATTTCTTTAGTAAAATGAAAAAAAAAAAAGCTTCTGTTATTTTCACAAGGGGAAATCTTCTATATATAAGATCTGAAATGACTGAACGAGATGTTCTACCTGATCTTCTATGTCACATGTTTCAGTCTATGAAAAAAAGCTTGGGGAAAATTAAGACCACTTTCTCTTTTCTAAATTTCATCCCTGTCTGCCCACGATCCTACCCCAAAATATTCATGCAAATTCGAATCAACCGTAGATATTAATCAAGAGAATAGGGAGCACAAGCAAAATTGAACTATGTTAAGGTCCTTGAGGAAGAATTATTGATACAACTCTACTTGTGAGTAAATTTATTTGAGTATACTTAATACCCACCACATAGTAGACACCAGAGTATGGGAAGAGGGCTCAGCTGCCCTGCATTCACCCACTGTCCTGTTTTCACCTGTTAGCCCTCCTATTGTGGAAGCCAAGAGCAGTCATTCCCCACCCCCCCAGTGTTGTCACGGCTCAAACCTTTTTAAATTGCCCTTGGGTAAGTGTCTTCAGTCCTTCAAGTACATTTTCTTGAATATATGACAAATAGAAATTCTTTTTTTAGCTTTATTAGGAATAGTTGACAAACACATCGTCTCTAAGGTACATGACCTGAAGTTTGATATCTGTGTACATTATGAGATACATTATGAGATGATTCACCATCACCTCACACGTTTACCTTCTGTGTGTAGGTGTGGTTGAGAACACCTGAGATTTACTCTCTTAGGAAATTTCAAGACTCCACTATAATATTATGTAGTCAACAGGCTGTCTATGAAACCCCCAGAGCTTATTCATCTTATATCTGAAAATTTTGTATTGGATTAACATGCTTCCCGCCCCTCCAGGCAGCCACCATTTTCTACTCTGTTTCCATGACTTCAACTATTGAGATTCCACACACGTGAGGCCACGCCACACTTGTCTTGCTGCATCTGGAAATACCCCTCTTTCCCCTGGTGAGCGGTGTGTTTGCTTCATCTGGGTTATGCCACTGAATGAAAAAGAGCTGTGTCCACACAAAGCGTAGTTTATCTTAATCGGGCTCAGGAAGTAACTAAGCATTTCCCAAAGGAAATGTGGAGCTGGACAATTATTGCTGGGCTAGAAAATAAAGCAGAGATTCTCAAATGTTTTCTTTTTAAGAATTCATCTGTAGTTTTCAAATAAAGGCATTCCAACAAACACACCCCTAATAGAAACAAAGATCTCGATCTCAATATAAAATGCTTCTTCCAAAGAAGACGCCTTAGCAAGAAACTCTAGCCATGAACAGATCAGACTGTGTTCTTGCTTTCTCATTTTGTTGCAGGTGAGGAAGGACTTTGCTGTAACTTGCACAGTCAACAGCACTTGGGAGCCACTGATAGATAATCAATAATTTGATTTTAGGAATCGAGAGACCCAGTTTTAAATCTTAGTTTTATGGGCTTAAGAAAATTATTTGTTGAGTATTTTTTTGAACAGATACTTGCTTTTCTGATTTGACACATGCAGAACTAGGCTCTGAACCCTCTAAAGTCCTTCAAACTCTAAAAATAGGAGGAACATTGCCTCAGAGTACAAACTTACAACTAGTAGATCATTAAATCCTGGAGTTCTAATGCACAGAAAATGAACACTCACAGTATTTTATTATAACCAAATTGGCAAGAGACTAGAGCTTAGGAATTCCTCCACAAAAATGAAATGATAATGATGAGATGTGACAGAGATGTGACCACAATAGCCATCCTATTGCCATCGACAAGTGGAGCCCATCAACACGTGATGACTTTACATTTACAAGACATTAGATCTCAAATACCTTTATCAAGTAAATCGTAAATAGGAATCAGTAATGAATGAAAAATATGGCACAAACAATAAACACGAACGCTCAAGAGAGAAATAAAATAAGATCAAATAAAACCTCCATCTCAAAGGCCCGCTCTCAGTGCTTAAACTTCCAGAAGACTTTCATTCGCTTCACTTCCCAGCAGATGCCTCACACTTACAAACAACTTCCAAGAGGTGCATCTCTTGCAGAAGGAAATGGATACTTGTCTCTTGAGAGTTTGTTAAGCTAATCCTTTCCTCAGGCCCTGTCCCTGTCCTGCTTTTTCTTGGTGTTTTCTCTCTTTTCTATTCTGCCTGGAGACACAAATGTGTGTGTGTGTGTGTGTGTGTGTGTGTGTGTGTGTGTGTGTGTGTGTGTTGAGAAAAGGGGAAAAGGAAGAAGAAGTCTTGGTGTGTAATGATTCCTCAGGGGCGTCGACCTCTCTCTCCTGCAGCCCAGGACCCCACCTCCCTGCAGCACGTGGACATCTCGGTCATCTCCCCGAATCAGTGCCGCGACGCCTACAGAAGCGTCAGCATCAAGGACACGATGATGTGCGTGGGCATCGTGCCGGGCAGGAGGCAGCCCTGCAAGGTGACGAGCTCTCCGGGCCTCGTCTCCCCACTCTGCTCCTGCGTCCCGCGCCAGGGGACAGTAACCCCGTGTCCTTCCTCCCGCAGGAGGTCACGGCCGCCCCCGCGGTGTGCCACGGCGCGCTGCAGGGCATCCTGGCGCTGGCCGACGGGTGCGTGCTGAGAGCGGACGTGGGCGTCTACACCAAAGTCCTCCACTATGTGGCCTGGATGGAAAACGTGATCCAGAACAACTGAGCTCCGGGGCAGGAGCTCCGGGCGGTGCAGCCCAGCCTGGCCCCGGGCCCAGCCGCAGAATTAAATCTAACAGCCCCGGGGGCTGCCCCGCAGACATGTCTCGCTGCTGTGACTCTGCACGAGAACCTTCTTGCTCCCCTGTTGACGGGCCCACGTCCCACCCCTTAGACAGGCAGGGTTCACAAGGGGGGCTGCGTCTCAGTAAACACGGGAGCCCCGTGAGGGGGTTGGGTCTCCCCAACGCCCACGGTGCAGCTCCAGAACCGTGGGCCGATGGCGCCCCCTGGTGGAAAAAACTCCCCTCCCCACATGCACCCAGCTCGCACCCCCTTGGCTGAGGTGCCCTTGAACCGCCTTCTCACGGGCTCCCCCCCACTTTGCACCCCGGCCACCTGCTCCTTCGGCCTGCCCTGTGGCGTCCAGAGGATCGGAGGTAGGAGCAGAGCGCCCCGCGCCAGGAGCACCTGCCCGGGCCCGGGCTCCCCAGGGTCTCGGCACGACTTCTCTCTGCCCCATGCGCCTCCCGCACCCTTGGGTGCTGGCGAGTTGCCTGCCCCAGAGCCTCGGGCCCTGCATCCCTCCAGGCTACCTCAATAAAAAATAATTTAATATAAAATGATCCACTTGGAATTAGGGTGTGGGCAAGCCAGGTGGGAGCAAGGCCTGAGGATGGGGGGCTAGTAGGCAGCATGGTGCTTACGTGTCCTCGGTGTGCAAGCGGGGGACCGCCCTGAGATGCTCATTCCTCCCCTGCTCTGAGCTCCCAGCATTTCTCCGGGTTTCTTCCCAGTCCCTGTGGGTTTTGTTGTGGGTGTTAAAGTGCATCCATGTTTGATGAGTGCTTGGAGAAAGCAGCCAGCCCCTGCGCCTGGGTGTTGTGCCGGGAGCTTCGCCTGCACTGTGGTGGTTAATCCTCCAAGCAACCCTCTGGGCGGGTCAGGTACCCCCTGCCTGTACAGGCACAGAAGGGAAGGTTCAGGGAGGTTCAGTCTTTTCCTGAGTTCACGAGCAGCAGAGTCCAGGTCTGTGGCTCAGCTCTGGGGAGCTCATGGGGGTGCTGTACCCTTCATGCAGGGGCTTCCCCGATGGGCAGTGGAAGAGCAGCAGGGCATCTGCTCCTCAGGGAGAGCCCAGAGGGAGGGTTGGCTGGGAGGAGGCAGGTTTGGGGGCTGCCGGGCAGAGGAGGAGGAGCTGGTCGTGGCTGGGAGCCAGGCGTGGTTTTTGCCCGTGCGCCCGCGGAGAGCGTCTCACTGTGTCTATGCTGCAGGTGCAGTACAGGGTCCTGCTCTGGGTCACGTTGGCCACGCGCAGCTCCAGTTCAGTGCTGCTGACCCGCTTGACCCTGTAGTCCGCCCCAGGGAGGGTAGTGACCTTCTCGTCCCCATCACTCCGGAGGGCGGCCAGCAGCTCCAGTTGCCCCTGGAGATCCTGTTGGTACCAGCTCATCCAGGGGTACAGGCTATCCTTCAGGGTGCAGTGCAGGGTCTTGGCCTGCATGCGAGGTACCAAGACCCACCGGGGCCTCTGCTCCACCAGGTTCGCAGCGGCGTCTGGAACACAAGGCAGGCAGACTGAGGGTCACGGAGCAGCCACCCAGGTCTCCACGCTGCTGGGGTCCCTTCCCTCCCTCAACTCACTGCATGACTCTCTCTGCCTGGCCTCTGACCTGTCCTCACGGCTGCCATGAGCACACAGCCCCACAACAACACGGGAAACACGGCCATTTTCTGGCCCCAAGGTCCTCCCGCAGGACAGAGTGACAGGGCTATGGGACGGCCAGGCAGGCAGGAGAGCAGGATCCTGGCCTGTAACACGGCAGTTAGTGGCTGACACTCTCTGGGCCTGAAACTTGAAAGGGAGTGGCTTTCTCAGGAAACTCAATAGTTTGTTTCATCTTCTCACTGAGGTTCAAAGCACCTTCCTGTTTCCTGTGGGCTTGTTGGTGGGACGAAGAGGGGTCTCCCCCAGCAAGCTTGGCATCCCCTTCCTGATTGCTGTGGGGCAGCGTGGGTGCAGACGTGGACACCCATCTCCAGTTCCCCATGTTGGATGCTGAAAGGGCAACACACACTAAATGTAAGAGGCATAATTCTCCCAGCTGGAAATCAGGGAAGAGACTTCCCCCACCCCTGTTTTCTTAGAGCACTTACTTTAGAAATATGGTCAAATTGGGGGCCTCCCTGGCAGTGCAGGTGGTTGAGCACAGTGCTGTGAAGCTGTCCGCAGTCTGTGCAGTGCCAGTTCGATCCCCGCAGGCCTCAGAGCAACCCACATGGTGTGGCAGACCTCTCTGGTCTCCCTGTTGCTCCCTTCAGCAGTGCATTTCGTCAGTCTGCCTGTTTTGTTCCCTGTTCTGTCTCTGGTGAATCCTCTCACCCTCCCACACATCTGGCCTGTACCCCGGCTCTTATATAAATAAAATAAATCTTTTTAAAAATAAATAAATATTTAAAAAAAAGAAATGTGGTCAATTTTATTTTTTAATTTAACTTTTAATTTATTTTTAATATTGGTTCACAACACTGGGTATCACTTAGGGATACAAGTTCATACCCCTTCAGATGTGTGTACCACCCACCCCACCCCAGGCACCCATATTTCTCCACCACAGTCTATTAGCCTCCTCCCCTCATGCTCCCGACCCCCACCCTCCCTGTCTTGTAGCCTTAATTCTTTTTATAATATTTCTCCAACAGCTCACAGGGCGGCTTCCACCGAAGAGGGAGGCCCTGGGCTCGCTTTCTTCACCTGAAGGATGGAGGTAACAATGAAAGCTATTGCATGGAAAAAATGGATGAATAGATGAGAAATTCTTAGAATAGAGCTTGGCACAGACTGAGCACCCAGTAAGAGCTGACTTCTATTATTACAGTGGTGAAGGTCAAGTTCAATTAAAATGGCAAAGCATTACCAGTAGCTTTTCTCTTTCTTTTATCACCCAACAGTACTCAAGTGAGATCAACAAGTTCTCATAACAATTTTTTTTGGACCGAGGAAACATTAGCTTACAACAACACATGGGTCCAAGGTTCATTTTCTCACCACACCCTCCACCCAATGTCCAGTCACCCACCTTCTACACCAACTGCCCCCTACAGAGAACAGTATGGGCTGGGCAGACAGGCCTCTGGCCGGCCTCACTCTCTCAAGGCCTGGGACTACACGACATTCAAATAGGCACTGGGCACCTGGTGTCCTCCCCATGTCGGGGAGCAGGGTGGCCTGGCACCTTGGGGCTGTGCCTCCCCGAGTTTACTTTTTTTCAATTTGCAGAAGCTTTAGCAGCTGTTGCAATGTGGCCCCATGGCTCCGGCCAAGGCTGGTGGCTCCAGGCGGGCCTTGCCGACCTTCAAGTGGTGAGGGCCTTGATTTAAAAAAAAATAAATACAGATTTTCATTATTTGCAACTCTGTATAAAGTGACTTCACCGACCATGTCTCCATTTCACTCCTTCGAATGTGCACAAAGGTCCACCCAGACCTTGGAAGTGACACGTGCTGATTCCCTTTTCACTTCGGGCTCCTTTGCCTGTTCCTGGTGTCGTCTGCTCCAGAGGGGAAGGAGATGAAGCTCTGGGAAGCTTGGCCCAAAACACACAGCTCGAATACTAGAACAATCTGTAGGCCTTGGCAAGCCGCCTACTCAGAATCCTGAGTTTTGCTCTGGAAAGGGTCACTCTGGGGGCCAGAGGTGAAGGGGGGAGGAAACCATAACTGGGCAAAAGGAGGAACGATCACCCCTGACGGCAGCTGGCCCGGAGCAGTTCCCCGAGTCCCGGGCTCCAGCCCTCCTCGGCCCTGTCTGAGCCCGAGGACCGTGCTCTGTGGGCAGATGGCAGGATAAGGGATCCTGGCCCATCTCAGTTTACCCAGCTGGCTGTGCTGTCTTCCCGTACCCCCACCCCTCCCTTAATCCCCAGAGCAATTGGCATCGGAGGGTCGCTGTCACTGCTGTCATCTCCTGCCAAGATGCCTGCTCCTCAGGGTGCGGCTCCCCACCTCCCCAGCTCCTCCCCTGTCTTGGCCCGGCTCCCACCCTGGGCCCAGGTAAGCCTCTTCCTTCCACCTGGCCGCCTGGCTCCCCGCCGTCTCAGTCGTGCCAGAGCCGGGTGTTAGAGCTGCCCCCTTGGGAAATGTGTCTTCTCCTCTTACACACCCAGGTGCCGCTCAGGTGCGCCCGGTAGCTGCCGACCCCCTCAGCCGTCCCCTGCAGTTTGACGAGCTCAGTAGGTAAGAAGGAGAATTTGCATGAACAGGTGCCCAGCTCCACGGTCCCCACGAAGCCGGTGCCCACGCGCCTCCAGTGCGTGCTGGGAGGCCCTGTGGACACCCACACATATGAATTTTTCAGACTCTCTGCTGCCTAGTGGAGGAGGGCACGGGGCTCCCTGAGTGACCTCCAGCTCCGGGTCAGCTCAGTCAGACAGTGGGCGGAAAAGAACTTGGGGGTCCAATGAGACTTTGGGCCTCCCTCTGGGAAGCAGTGAACAAATGACACCAGCGCCCTCCTCCAGGACCAGTCCTGGGTGGGGCCTGTGGAACCATCTTTCTAATATTATAACTTTATACACTCATCTCTGTCTGAGATATTTCTGGTCTATGGATGAGTTAGAGACTTGAAGTAAATCCAGTCATTTGTAGTAATAGCAAAGGCCTATAATAGTCTCATGAGTAAGGTTAATTATAATTTCCTGGAACTGCTTTAATATCTATAAATAGATAGTTATCAAATATGTGGAAAGAATATCAACAGTATCCATAGAAGTAATGGTAGCAAAGTTTGGGAAGTTACTTTTTTTTAACATTCATAATCATATCTTTATTTTCAACATGGTAAAGTAACAAAATATTCCTAATTATTCCATTTCTGAAGTAAAAATATATACAAGATCTATAATGGTAGCATTTCCCATATTTACAGTTACAGTTTGGATTTTTTAGAGAAAATAATAACTTCAATGTGGGTAATACAAAATTATTATCTAGGTAGTCACAGTATTTGGAAAAGTCCATAGGAAAACAAAGTGCAATTTTTAGCATTATTAAGTAAATAAACATCTGTGTTATTGACAACGGATGCTAGAGCACCCATGGGAGGGCCAGATCACAATTATAGTATTATGTCCTGACATCCAAGAACAAGAACGAGTCAGACTGCTAAATAACCGCACCAAAGCCAGTATTTACAGAGCACTAGTTGTAACGTCATGAGTAATTGTTTTTAAAGTGCTTGTTTTGATAGGCAGAGAAGCTTAATGGCCATGGTAGCTGTACTTATAGAAAAAGATGCAGTAGCATATGTATTAGCATTAGAAAAAATGGTTTTAGGTATAACTCTGAAAGTAGTTTTTAGGAAGAACTACTTATTGAGAAAGAGGTTGTTGTTAGTATTGTTGAGGGACTGCTTGATGAAGTTATAATAGCACTAGTGTCTTCAGTAGTTGTACTTGTCAGGAAGTGTAATAGCATTTAAAGTGTACAACGGTACTAGGTGGAACTTCTATAGTAGTTGTTGGGAAAGGATTATTGTTGGGATAGTGGTTGTTGTGATGGTACTGTCTGTTTAGGTATTGATTTTGGCAGTTGGAGTAGGGCTAGTGTCTTCAGTAGTTCTGCCATTTGGGAAATGTGTAGTAGCATTTGTAGTGGCATTGGGAACAACTGTACTAAGTGTAACTTCCAGAGTAGTTACTGAGAAAAGAGTTGTTGTGGTAGGACTGTCTGTGGAAGTATTGCTTGTGGTAGTTAGAGTAGCAATAGTGTCCTCACTAGTTGTACCTGTTGGGAAAGGTGTAGTAGCATTTGTAGTGGCATTAGAAACAGTCGAACTAGGTGGAACTACTGTAGCAGTTGTTGGGATAGGACTGATTGTTGGGAAAGGAGTAGTTGTGGCAGTACTTGTTGTGGTACTGCCTGTAGAAGTCACAGTACCTCTAGTACCTTCAGTTATTGTACTTGCTAGAAAAGGTGTAGTAGTATTTATAGTGGCATTAGAAACAGTGGAATTAGGTGTAACTACTGCATGACTTGTTGTAGCAGTACTTGTTGAAAAAGGTATAGTAGCATTTGAAGAGGCACTAGGAACAGTGGAAATAGTTGTAGCTTCAGTAGTAGTTGTTGGGATAGGACTGATTGTTGGGAAAGGAGTTATTGTCACAGTACTTGTTGAAAAAGGTGTAGTAGTGTTTGTAGAGGCACTAGGAACAGTGGAAGTAGTTGTAATTTCTGTAGAGTTGTTGATAGAGTACAGATTGTTGAGAAAGGACTTGTTGTGGCAGTACTTGTTGAAAAAGGTGTAGTAGCATTTGTAGAAGCACTAGGAACAGTGGAAGTAGGTGGAGTTTCTGTAGCAGTTGTTGAGAAAGTACCGATTGTTGAGAAAGGAGTAGTTGTGGAAGTACTTGTTGAAAAAGGCATAGTAACATGAGGAGGCACTAGGAACAGTGGAAGTAGGTAGAGTTTCTGTAGTAGTTGTTGAGAAAGTACGGATTGTTGAGAAAGGAGTTGTTGTGGCAGTACTTTTTGAAAAAGGTGTAGTAGTGCTTGTAGAGGTACTAGGAACAGTGGAAGTAGTTGTAGCTTTGGTAGTAGTTGTTGGGATAGGACCGATTGTTGGAAAAGGAGTTGTTGTGGCAGTACTTGTTGAAAAAGGTGTAGGAGTGTTTGTAGAGGCACTAGGAACAGTGAAAGTAGTTGTAGCTTCGGTAGTAGTTGTTGGGATAGGACCAATTGTTGGGAAAGGAGTTGTTGTGGCAGTACTTGTTGAAAAAGGTGTAGTAGTGTATGTAGAGGCAGTAGGAACAGTGGAAGTAGTTGTAGCTTTGGTAGTAGTTGTTGGGATAGGACCGATTGTTGGCAAAGGAGTTGTGGCAGTACTTGTTAAAAAAGGTGTAGTAGTTTTTGTGGAGGCACTAGGAACAGTGGAAGTAGTTGTAGCTTTGGTAGTAGTTGTTGGGATAGGACCGATTGTTGGAAAAGGAGTTGTGGCAGTACTTGTTAAAAAAGGTGTAGTAGTGTTTGTAGAGGCACTAGGAACAGTGGAAGTAGTTGTAGCTTCGGTAGTAGTTGTTGGGATAGGACCAATTGTTGGCAAAGGAGTTGTGGCAGTACTTGTTAAAAAAGGTGTAGTAGTGTATGTAGAGGCACTAGGAACAGTGGAAGTAGTTGTAGCTTTGGTAGTAGTTGTTGGGATAGGACTGATTGTTGGCAAAGGAGTTGTGGCAGTACTTGTTAAAAAAGGTGTAGTAGTGTTTGTAGAGGCACTAGGAACAGTGGAAGTAGTTGTAGCTTCGGTAGTAGTTGTTGGGATAGGACCAATTGTTGGCAAAGGAGTTGTGGCAGTACTTGTTAAAAAAGGTATAGTAGTGTTTGTAGAGGCATTAGGAACAGTGGAAGTAGTTGTAGCTTCGGTAGTAGTTGCTGGGATAGGATTTAGTGCTGGGAAATGAGTTGTGGCAGTACTTGTTGAAAAGGGTGTAGTAGTGTTTGTAGAGACACTAGGAACAGTGGAAGTAGTTGTAGCTTCGGTAGTAGTTGTTGGGATAGGACCGATTGTTGGCAAAGGAGTTGTGGCAGTACTTGTTAAAAAAGGTGTAGTAGTGTTTGTAGAGGCACTAGGAACAGTGGAAGTAGTTGTAGCTTCGGTAGTAGTTGTTGGGATAGGACCAATTGTTGGCAAAGGAGTTGTGGCAGTACTTGTTAAAAAAGGTATAGTAGTGTTTGTAGAGGCATTAGGAACAGTGGAAGTAGTTGTAGCTTCGGTAGTAGTTGTTGGGATAGGACCAATTGTTGGCAAAGGAGTTGTGGCAGTACTTGTTAAAAAAGGTGTAGTAGTATTTGTAGAGGCACTAGGAACAGTGGAAGTAGTTGTAGCTTCGGTAGTAGTTGCTGGGATAGGATTTAGTGCTGGGAAATGAGTTGTGGCAGTACTTGTTGAAAAGGGTGTAGTAGTGTTTGTAGAGACACTAGGAACAGTGGAAGTAGTTGTAGCTTCGGTAGTAGTTGTTGGGATAGGACCGATTGTTGGCAAAGGAGTTGTGGCAGTACTTTTTAAAAAAGGTGTAGTAGTATTTGTAGAGGCACTAGGAACAGTGGAAGTAGTTGTAGCTTCGGTAGTAGTTGTTGGGATAGGACCGAATGTTGGCAAAGGAGTTGTGGCAGTACTTGTTAAAAAAGGTGTAGTAGTGTTTGTAGAGGCACTAGGAACAGTGGAAGTAGTTGTAGCTTCGGTAGTAGTTGCTGGGATAGGATTTAGTGCTGGGAAATGAGTTGTGGCAGTACTTGTTGAAAAGGGTGTAGTAGTGTTTGTAGAGGCACTAGGAACAGTGGAAGTAGTTGTAGCTTTGGTAGTAGTTGTTGGGATAGGACCAATTGTTGGCAAAGGAGTTGTGGCAGTACTTGTTAAAAAAGGTATAGTAGTGTTTGTAGAGGCACTAGGAACAGTGGAAGTAGTTGTAGCTTCGGTAGTAGTTGTTGGGATAGGACCAATTGTTGGCAAAGGAGTTGTGGCAGTACTTGTTAAAAAAGGTATAGTAGTGTTTGTAGAGGCATTAGGAACAGTGGAAGTAGTTGTAGCTTCGGTAGTAGTTGCTGGGATAGGATTTAGTGCTGGGAAATGAGTTGTGGCAGTACTTGTTGAAAAGGGTGTAGTAGTGTTTGTAGAGACACTAGGAACAGTGGAAGTAGTTGTAGCTTCGGTAGTAGTTGTTGGGATAGGACCGATTGTTGGCAAAGGAGTTGTGGCAGTACTTTTTAAAAAAGGTGTAGTAGTATTTGTAGAGGCACTAGGAACAGTGGAAGTAGTTGTAGCTTCGGTAGTAGTTGTTGGGATAGGACCGATTGTTGGCAAAGGAGTTGTGGCAGTACTTGTTAAAAAAGGTGTAGTAGTGTTTGTAGAGGCACTAGGAACAGTGGAAGTAGTTGTAGCTTCGGTAGTAGTTGTTGGGATAGGACCAATTGTTGGCAAAGGAGTTGTGGCAGTACTTGTTAAAAAAGGTGTAGTAGTATTTGTAGAGGCACTAGGAACAGTGGAAGTAGTTGTAGCTTCGGTAGTAGTTGCTGGGATAGGATTTAGTGCTGGGAAATGAGTTGTGGCAGTACTTGTTGAAAAGGGTGTAGTAGTGTTTGTAGAGACACTAGGAACAGTGGAAGTAGTTGTAGCTTCGGTAGTAGTTGTTGGGATAGGACCGATTGTTGGCAAAGGAGTTGTGGCAGTACTTTTTAAAAAAGGTGTAGTAGTATTTGTAGAGGCACTAGGAACAGTGGAAGTAGTTGTAGCTTCGGTAGTAGTTGTTGGGATAGGACCGAATGTTGGCAAAGGAGTTGTGGCAGTACTTGTTAAAAAAGGTGTAGTAGTGTTTGTAGAGGCACTAGGAACAGTGGAAGTAGTTGTAGCTTCGGTAGTAGTTGCTGGGATAGGATTTAGTGCTGGGAAATGAGTTGTGGCAGTACTTGTTGAAAAGGGTGTAGTAGTGTTTGTAGAGACACTAGGAACAGTGGAAGTAGTTGTAGCTTCGGTAGTAGTTGTTGGGATAGGACCGATTGTTGGCAAAGGAGTTGTGGCAGTACTTTTTAAAAAAGTGTAGTAGTAGTTAGTAGCTTCAGTAGTAGTTGTTGGGATAGGACCGATTGTTGGCAAAGGAGTTGTGGCAGTACTTGTTAAAAAAGGTGTAGTAGTGTTTGTAGAGGCACTAGGAACAGTGGAAGTAGTTGTAGCTTCAGTAGTAGTTGTTGGGATAGGACCAATTGTTGGCAAAGGAGTTGTGGCAGTACTTGTTAAAAAAGGTGTAGTAGTATTTGTAGAGGCACTAGGAACAGTGGAAGTAGTTGTAGCTTCGGTAGTAGTTGCTGGGATAGGATTTAGTGCTGGGAAATGAGTTGTGGCAGTACTTGTTGAAAAGGGTGTAGTAGTGTTTGTAGAGACACTAGGAACAGTGGAAGTAGTTGTAGCTTCGGTAGTAGTTGTTGGGATAGGACCGATTGTTGGCAAAGGAGTTGTGGCAGTACTTTTTAAAAAAGGTGTAGTAGTATTTGTAGAGGCACTAGGAACAGTGGAAGTAGTTGTAGCTTCGGTAGTAGTTGTTGGGATAGGACCGATTGTTGGAAAAGGAGTTGTGGCAGTACTTGTTAAAAAAGGTGTAGTAGTGTTTGTAGAGGCACTAGGAACAGTGGAAGTAGTTGTAGCTTCGGTAGTAGTTGTTGGGATAGGACCAATTGTTGGCAAAGGAGTTGTGGCAGTACTTGTTAAAAAAGGTGTAGTAGTATTTGTAGAGGCACTAGGAACAGTGGAAGTAGTTGTAGCTTCGGTAGTAGTTGCTGGGATAGGATTTAGTGCTGGGAAATGAGTTGTGGCAGTACTTGTTAAAAAAGGTGTAGGAGTGTTTGTAGAGGCACTAGGAACAGTGGAAGTAGTTGTAGCTTTGGTAGTAGTAATTGTTGAGAAAGTACCGATTGTTGGGAAAGGAGTTGTTGTGGCAGTACTTATTAAAAAAGGTGTAGTAGCATTTGTAGAGGCACTAGGAACAGTGGAAGTAGTTGTAGCTTCAGTAGTAGTTATTGGGACAGGACCGATTGTTGAGAAAGGAGTTGTTGTGGCAGTACTTGTTGAAAAAGGTGTAGGAGTGTTTGTAGAGGCATTAGGAACAGTGGAAGTTGTTGTAGCTTTGGTAGTAGTAATTGTTGAGAAAGTACTGATTGTTGGGAAAGGAGTTGTTGTGGCAGTACTTATTAAAAAAGGTGTAGTAACATTTGTAGAGGCACTAGGAACAGTGGAAGTAGTTGTAGCTTCAGTAGTAGTTATTGGGACAGGACCAATTGTTGAGAACGGAGTTGTTGTGGCATTACTTGTTGAAAAAGGTGTAGGAGTGTTTGTAGAGGCATTAGGAACAGTGGAAGTAGTTGTAGCTTTGGTAGTAGTAATTGTTGAGAAAGTACCGATTGTTGGGAAAGGAGTTGTTGTGGCAGTACTTATTAAAAAAGGTGTAGTAGCATTTGTAGAGGCACTAGGAACAGTGGAAGTAGTTGTAGCTTCGGTAGTAGTTATTGGACAGGACCGATTGTTGAGAAAGGAGTTGTTGTGGCAGTACTTGTTGAAAAAGGTGTAGGAGTGTTTGTAGAGGCACTAGGAACAGTGGAAGTAGTTGTAGCTTTGGTAGTAGTAATTGTTGAGAAAGTACCGATTGTTGGGAAAGGAGTTGTTGTGGCAGTACTTATTAAAAAAGGTGTAGTAGCATTTGTAGAGGCACTAGGAACAGTGGAAGTAGTTGTAGCTTCGGTAGTAGTTATTGGGACAGGACCAATTGTTGAGAAAGGAGTTGTTGTGGCAGTACTTGTTGAAAAAGGTGTAGGAGTGTTTATAGAGGCACTAGGAACAGTGGAAGTAGTTGTAGCTTTGGTAGTAGTAATTGTTGAGAAAGTACCGATTGTTGGGAAAGGAGTTGTTGTGGCAGTACTTATTAAAAAAGGTGTAGTAGCATTTGTAGAGGCACTAGGAACAGTGGAAGTAGTTGAAGCTTTGGTAGTAGTTATTGGGACAGGACCGATTGTTGAGAAAGGAGTTGTTGTGGCAGTACTTGTTGAAAAAGGTATAGTAGTGTTTGTAGAGGCACTAGGAACAGTAGAAGTAGTAGTTGTAGCTTCGGTAGTAGTTGTTGGGATAGGACCAATTGTTGGGAAAGGATTTGTTGTGGCAGTACTTGTTAAAAAAGGTGTAGTAGTGTTTGTAGAGGTACTAGGAACAGTGGAAGTAGTTGTAGCTTCGGTAGTAGTTGTTGGGATAGGACCGATTGTTGGGAAAGGAGTTGTTGTGGCAGTACTTGTTGTAAAAGGCATAGTAGCATTTGTAGTGGCATTAGGAATAACAGTACTAAGTGTGAATTCTATAGTAGTTGTTGGGGAAGGACCACCAGTTGTTGAGTAGGTACTTGTAGGTGTGGCAGGAACTGTAGAACCACCGAACAACCATGTAATCTCAGTTAACTTTTCTAGACTGATATTCTTGCCGGTCAATTCAATTGATAGTGTCTGTGAGAAAAGAAGAGGCAAAGTTGTATTTAGGATATTTTTATCTCATTTGAGTCATACCTTAAATTATAATTTAACAAAAAGCAATGCATTCATCCCTCTTCCTGAGAGCAGGAGGAGGATATAAAAACACCTTTTTAGGGCACTGATTCCAGACACATAGATATGGAGACCTTCCTGTGTACAGAAGCCTTGTGCTAGAAATCTCTTTCACCTTCATTTAGGGAGTGTTCCATGGCTCACAAGTATTTGCAGCTTTGATTAAAACCAATGTTGATGAAAATCTCTCTGCTTTGCCACCGGATTTTAATCTTCTTGAGGGAAGATGGCTTCATGTCTCATCTGGTGCCTGGCACACAACAGGCATCTGATATGCTACTTAGAGTCCCCAAAAGAAGGTGTTCAAAGATTTTCTGGACCAGTCTTAACTGGAACTATAATTTTCTTTTGAACTTAATACTCCAGGAAATATATTGTGAAATGGAGAACTAGAAATGACTACTGAGAAAATCAACTGGAGTTTTCAGAAGAGTGTTTTTCCAAAATCCAAATACCCTTAGGGCACTACTTGACCTTTTAGAAAACAGGAACTATAGTGATCTATTATCACTCTTTAAGCCCCTCCCCCTTGAGTTACTGGGTGCATATTTTTGGTATATTTAGCAATCTAAAGTGGGATATTTTTCCCTCCATGTTTACTCTTGATCATTCTACTGCTAATTTATCTTCCAGTGAGTTGGTCTGGTTCTGGTAACTAAAATGAATGCTACTAAAAGTTCCAACAGGGTCTGCTATTTATGTCACTCTCCTTTGTTAACAAGTAATTTTATCTTATACACAGGTGGGACATTTTGATGCTTAGCACAAATCTTACCAAAACATGAGATTTATCGATTTAAATAAGGATACAAAGGAAGGGGGAAACCCAAAACAATCTTAGGGGATCACTCTTTCCTTTGTTTTAGCCCCTGCCTCAGAATTAAGTAAGTTTGATGATGCTAGTCTGAGAAAGCAAGCTTAATACACAGCACAATTTCTTTGGGAAAACCATGGGAAGGATTTCATCAGACCATTTATCACTGATCTCTGGGTGACACTGGGAAAACCTGTACTGTGGTGCATTTTACAATATGATTCAACACACAACTTTTCAGGAACATGATCTACTGCACATATCTCTAATCCTTTCAAGGGTGATATATATAAGTAAATATAACCACAGTAAAGATAGTGATGAAATTTTGCCAAATGATAAAATTAACTTATGGTAACATTCTTTGAGACATACCTGATTGTTAGGGTCACTGCAGAAATTTGTCTCCATGAATTGCTGATTGTTATAGGTGACTCTGACTTGTGTCACAGAAGTAGAATTTATCCCCCAGATTAAAATATCTCTAACATTCAGTGAGTTTGATTCATTCAAATACTTATTATGTACAGTGTGGATTTGCAATACGTTCTGTAAATAATGTACAAAGAGAAAAATTATATAATGTATCTACTGCCAGACTATGCTCCACATTAAAATGTTAAGAAAACTGGCCTTCCCAGTGGCGCAGCGGTTGAGCGCTGGGTTGTGAAGCTGCCTGCAGCCTCTGCAGCGCTAGTTCGATCCCCGGCCCTGGGACGAGGGTCCCACATGGCACGCAGACCTCTCCTGTGTCGCCTGCTGCTCCCCTCAGCAGTGTACTTCGTCAGTTTGCCTGCTCTGCTCCCTGCTCTGACTCTGGTGAATTCTCTCACCCTCCTGTGCTTCTAACTCTACCCAGTGTTTGTATAAATAAATAAATAAATCTTAAAAAAAAAAGTTAAGAAACTTCAAATTACTGTTATGCTGGTTGCAGTTTTTATTCTTAATAAGCACTTCATAAAGATCTATTTCCTGAACCTCTGCTATAATAAATAAAATTTGATGATGCCAAAAATAGCTCTAGAAAAGCATTAGGGAAAGAGATTTTTGCCTATATTATTACTAATTCTTATAATGGTTTTGCAGAAAGCATCACTTCTCTGTTTCACAGATGAGTAGCCCAAGGCCACAGAGTCAAGTGACATGAATGTGGCTGCAGTCACTAGGGGCCTGTTTGCAAAGTGTTGTGCAAGATGATACAAGCGGAACAGCAATTATGGCAAAGATTGCCCAGACTAAGAACAGTCTGCCACAAATATAGTCATTTACCTAGACCATGAACTGTTTAAGTGTCAATACAGGGTTAAAATAATGTAAAAATCAAAATCAAAATCAACAATCAAAATAAACCAGAGACACACTACAGGGTGGGGAGGAGGGATTAGGATCAAAATAAGGGGGGTGGGAATTGTATGGGGAATATAACCAAGATGAAAATGCATACATTGTGCAAAAATGAAAAATGATGTAAAAAATATATAAAATAAAATAAAATTTCACTAAAACAATAATGTAGACTTAGACCTCAAGTGGCACGTGATTAAGACCTCAATGAAAATGACAGCGGATATTTATTATGAGAAGTAAGAAAAAATAACATCTCTGTGGGAACAGGAAAGTCAAGAAAAGACTTGGAAGAACATGGAACTTCAGAACACCTGGAAGGATGGACAGGGGTTTTAAAAGTGACATGGAGACAGGAATGGTGGGAGGAGCAGTTTGAACAAAGGCACACCCAGGGAATGCAATGGCTGCTGTAGCTGGTGCTAAGCAAAGAGAGAAATGCCCTGGGTGAGTGTGGAAGATAAGATTACGAAGATGTTACATGATCAGTCAAGGAGACAGCTGCCAAAAAAAGAAGAAGAAACTCCTCATCTTTGATGGTGGCAGTGTAAAGAAAAAAGGAAAGAAGTTCAATTGGCATTCTGAAGAGGTCACAGGACTCTTGTGAAAATGAGAAAGGGAGATATAACTTGATGTAAATGCGCGTGCTGGAGCTACTCTTATTGACTTGGGAGAGCTTATTTGTAAATTTTCTGCAATTTTGCAAACCAGTTAATAGCTTGAAATAATCTTGAAGTTCACTAAAATGGAGAAAGTACTTACACCACAGAAATCTGCAAATACTACAAATTTGACCCACATCCCATAACCCTTACAAGTCAACACACAACTTATAATTATCCCCAGGGAAAGCTAGAAGCTTTCTTTCATTTCAGGCAACCGACCCTTAGGAAGATTCCACTAAATGACACATAGAAATTAGAAGCCGTGAATCATGACTTTGGAATAATAGAAGAATGGAATTCTAGAGTTAGAAGTTATTAAAGGGAAGTTTTGTAATAAAGAAACAGATTGAACAAGATAAGGAGTTAGCAATAATGAACTACTTTGGAACTTCCAGATCAATGGTGTCATTAAAAGCAATATTTATAATGTTTTCTACTTAACTTTCCTAAATTAAAAATCAACAAAAGTGTATACATTTAATTAGTATGCAGAGTCTTGCACTTAGTTTCCAGAAGGCAAATGTAGGATGGTGTCAACATGACCTGATTCTAATGTATACGGAAAGAATTTCAAGGTTTCAGTTGGCCTGGAGAATTATACATATCAAACATCTCATACATATGTTTTTTAAAAATTAACATAATGTGAGGCAGTAACAGTAAAAAAAAAAGATATAAAATCTAGCTAAAAATAGGCAACAGTCAATGAGTTAAACAAGTGCTTATTGTTATATGCCACTGAGGTTTTGAGGTATCTGCTTTGCAAAAGGAAGACATTATTCCCTGTGGAAATGTCATACAAATGATGTGTGTAATTTTAAATTCTCTCACCACCACATTTTGAAAAGCACAAGGAAACAGAAGAAAATGGTCTTCAAGTGTATTTTATTTAGTCGACTATATCTGAAATTTCATTTTCTCTACATGTACCCAATGGAAAAAATATTCATAAGGTATTTAACAATATTTCTAAGTGGACTAGTGACACCCAAGTGATACATTTCACTAGCTGCATGTGGCTAGTGACCATGATATTGGGTAGTGCAGTTCTAAGATAATCTCTCAATCCTGGGCACCATTGTTGTAAAAGAAATCTAGATTAACTGTAGTCCAAACAAAGTAATCAAATTTGGTAACTAGTATAAGCACAGAACAGAGAAAATGTGAAGTTAGCCTAGAGAAGCATGATTCTGAGACAAGAAGACAGAAGGGTCATATTAACAGATACCTTCAAATACCGGAAGCACTATGATGTAGAAGACAAAACAGATCTGTGCACCAGTCCTTAGTGCAAATCAATACATAAAAATTGAGAGCAGCAGATTTCAGACTGGACGTAGAATGATCTTCCTACTCTAAAAGTATGAACTCATTTAGCATGCATGGTTGAATGACTGGATAATAGTCTCAAATTATCACCCCTCCCTATCCAGAACCTTTTCCATGTAATTTTGCAAGCCTCCCTCACTGGATGAAGCATTATATTCTACCTTTGTCTCTGGGCATGGCCATATGACTTTGCTTTGCTAATGAGATACTAGTCAAATTGACGCAAATGAAAATTTTCAAAATCACTCAGGTATTCCACTTCTATTTTTGCCTTCTTTCTAAATCATGAAAAGGTAATGCCCAGACCTGAAAAAAAAAAAGACCTACTTAGGTCATCCAAGAGCCAGCTGACTGCCCAGGGGTGTGAGGAAGTGTGCCACAACCATCCAAGCAGCCCCACAGTCCCACTGCAGGTATATATGAGCCAGCCAAGATCGGCCAAGTCCAGCCCAGAGTCTGAACTCTGCAAACCATGAGCTAAGTAATTCCTGTATTGTTACATGCAGCCGAGGCATTCAGGTACATTGTTATGTACCTTATGGTGCAACAGGTATCTCAGACAGCATTTATTTTTCAAAATTTTATCATCAGGTAATGTTTTTCAACCCATGGGAAACATGTCATACATTTAAGTACTCATTTCCTCTCTGCCTGGACATTACAAGAATTATTCTAAGTTTCTTTTTACAGAGTAAGGGTATACTGGATAATTACCGCAATAAGGACTATTTCTTCCTTACTTTAACATCAACAGACCTGATTTAGAAACCTAAAGGCAGGAAGGGCCTCTTAGTAAGAAGTGAGCCACTATATTTATATAGTTAGCTAATAACATTTAATGTGCAACTAAGAAACTATTTACAAAATTCAATAAAACAGTCTTACCTTAAATGCTGTAAAGTTTGCCAAGAAATACTTTCCATTCTCATAGGTATCTATAAGTAAGAAGAGAGAACCCTTTATATGATGCATTGTATACCTACTAGAATGGTTAAAACTATTTGAACTGACAACATGAGTGTTGGTGAAAATGTGGTCTTGTGGGGCTCTTAGTTACTGCTGTTGGCAGTAGGAAACACACAGATGCTTTAGGAAGTAATTTGGCATTTTCTCCAAAAGTTAATGTATCATATGACCCAACGTGAAATTCTATTTCGTGTTCCTTAGCCCAGGACAAATGAAAACATATGATCACAAAATGACTCATACTGAAATAATCATACAGATTTACCTATAGTGGTGAAAAATATGAAATCAATATTCATCAATCAGTACATGGATAAACAATCGTGGCATGCCCACACGATGGAACATTATGCGGGAGTAAAAAGAAATGAATTGCTTTTACATGGATGAATTTAAAAAGATACATTTTGCTAAAAAGAAGCTAAATGTAAAGAGCATGTACAAGATGACTGTATTTATGTAAATCCTAAAAAAGCTAAATTTAATCTACAGTGACAGAAAGCAGATGAGTGATTACTAGGACGCAGAAGTGTAGCCAGTCGTGGGGAACACTCACCAGGGAAAAAGTAAAAAGTGAACTTTCAGGGCGATGGAAATATCCTGCATCTTGACGTGGTGATGACTTTACAACTGTATACATTTATCAAAACTTCCAGCCCTGCATGGGGACCCTCTACTGTTCTGCAATAATTATAGTGCAGTCTCAGTGAGTGAGCAAAAGCTGCAGAACTCCCAACACCACCACTTTATTAGCAGTAGCAGAAATAGAGATTCTTCAGCTGTGACATCTATGGTATTTTTTTTTTGCAGTTAATATTTTTATTTTTTTATTTTATATATTTATTACATCATTTTTCATTTTTGCACAATGTATGCATTTTCATCTTGGTTATATTCCCCATACAATGGCACTCCACTTATTTTGACCCCGATATCTATGGAATTTTTTTTTGAATGGTGTATGGGGGCCCAGAACATTCACACTCACCGATGCTTTCTCCATCATCCCAGAACATCTGACCTTGCGCGGTTTCATTCTCATCCAAAGCAACAACCAATCCCATAAAGTTTTGTCGACTATGAAAAAAAAATTATTTTTCTAAACTGGAGGTTATAAGAATGAAGGATAGCTTCTGTTAAAACTATTATCCAGGATGAAAAAAAATAATAATGCATTGAAGTGCACAAAGTTCTAAAAATAAATATAATACAAGCTACTTAAAAGCTAATAGAATAAAATGCTTAAACTTTAATGAAGTATTTGGTATAAATTCAAATTTCAAATAGATATATACAGTGTGTATATCTATTTTTGCCTTCTTTCTAAATCATGAAAAGGTCATGCCCAGACCTGAAAAAAGACCTGAAAAAAAAACACACACGCAAATATATGTTCTAAGTAGCAAGATAAGATACAATTTTCTTAGAAACCCCCCACCAAAAAAAAACCTTCAGTAACTTCCAGATTGCTACAGAATAAAATGCGAAGTATTTTTCCCTTTATCTGCTCCAGGACCTGACTGGAACCTGCTGGAGCTTTATTTATTTTATCCCTCTCCCCTGTGTATGTTCCAATCGGATGGTTTACTATTCGCTAAAGCCAGCTCATTATTCACCTTTACTTCTGGAATCTTCCAGAATGTCTTTCTATTGTCTTTAAAAACCAGATTCTATTTATTATTCAAGACTCGTTCAAAGCCCTCTTTCATGTGAAACCATGTTTATACCACAAGGTTAAAAATTCACTTTTCTCCTTTGGAGTCGTTACTATTATTTTTATGTGTGTATCTCTGGACATAAAATGTTTTCGTTAATGTGTGACACATATATGTGTGTGTGTGTACATGTGTGAGTGTGTACGTGTGTATACTTAAATATAGTCTGGGAAGGAGCACTAAATTCCTGGATATCCATCACAAATCAATGAGCTCATTAAATTCCCAACACTTTTCAGTGTGGAAAGAAATAAATGCTGCTGCCCTCAGGAGAACATTTGTCCTGGAACTTTGACCCAGACCTACAGACAACAGCTTTGCTCAAGGGTGGCTCAAGCTCCTCCTCTCCCAGCCCGCTCAGGTGACACTCACAGAGACAAATCAATGACACAGTCTGTCATTTGGTTCACTGACCCCCACAGCTCTGGTCAGGGGGGCCGCCTCATGATGGCAGAGCAAGGCCCCCTCTCACCTGGCATGAGTGTTTATCCCAGAGACTTGCAAAGGCAGGATGTGGCCTCCTCTGATGTGAAGGTTGATGAGCTCAAGGGGCGTGGACAGATTCTTCCATTCACCTCTCGACTCAACTATCTCCTCCTAGAAGGGAGAACACAGGTAAAGGATGATGACAGACAAATGGATGGAATGGACGCATGCTTTATTATAAGCCCTTCCTTTCCCAGGAAGCCTGGTGGGTATTCAACAGGAGACTGGGTATTCAGCCAGGTGGGTATTCAGCACATCTAAGGGTAAGAGCTCTGATTTTCAGCTTAGCTCAGAACCCTGGCAATGTACTTTTTTCTCTCTATCTCTTTATTCTCTGTATTTCTCTATTTCCCTGTATTCTCTTTTTTCTCTGTATTCTCTGTATTCTCCTGAACAGGCGGGAGTGGTGGCTGAGGGGAAGAGTCAATGTGATATGGTGTCAGGTTTTACCTATTTAAGCTTTGATGGATACTTTTATTTAAACAAACTAATCATGGCTGAAAGGCTGAAAATTACTGCCTTTGAAAATAAGTGTCTGGGGCCTCCCCGGTGGCACAGCGGGTTGAGCACAGCGCTGTGAAGCTGTATGCAGCTTCTGCAGCACGGGTTTGATCCCCAGATGGCCAGGGAGCTACCCACAAGGCGCAGCAGACCTCTAATGACTCGCCCGCTGCTCCCCTCAGCAGAGTATTTCAGTGGATCCCCCTGTTCTGCTCCCTACTCTGTCTCTGGTGAATCCTCTCACCCTCCACATCGCTGCCTTGTACCCCAGATCTTGTATGCATAAAATAAAAATAAATCTTTAAAAAAAAGGAAAGAAAATAAGTGCCCGAAAGTCAGAAGAAAGCTCCAGGCCCTCCCCAGCCTGCACAGAGCAATCTGGTCTTCACGGGACAGGGCAAAGCTTACCCTGAATAAGTCATACCAACGGGCTCTGGGGAAATAAGCGTTAACCTCAAAAGTGTTCTGAAACATAAAAGCAACACATCATTATGAACAGTCCGATATTTCATTTTATTTTTTAAAGTTCTTTCTGTTGAATTAAGATAGAAAAGAGAATGTTATCAATGATTTTAAGAGTTTGGGGGTTTGACTGAAAAAGATCTGGAGAAATTCTTCTCCAGACACACAGAAAAGTAATTTTTTTTTAAATGGTTAACTTCATAAGGATGCAAGGTGACAAAGAGACTAGAATGAGATGTCAGTTTGCATGTGAAGTTTTGTGAGTGGAGATCCTGAAAAAGGAGGTTTTAGAAATAGTGTTTTGACAGATAATCTTTAAAATGCCCATCCTGTCCTTTGATTATGTGTCTGAGGCTCTCTGTGGAGGTGGGGAGACTCACATGTTCCAGCACGGGGCTGATTAAGATGGCAGGACCCAGCATGAATTGACGGTCTATGTCCCAAGTTGTGTTGTCATTTGTAAACCTTAAAAAAATACATAAAACCTCATCCATATTGTTAGGACTGTTGTGGAGGGTTATTCACTATACTTGCTCAGATCTGCTACTTGGGGCAAGAGGCTTTACACTCACTCGTGGAGAAGGGGCCGGATGACAGTGCTGCCCTCTACGTGAGCCTTGTGCATCAGTGTGTAGAAATAAGGCAACATGATATATCTGATCCTGATGATGCCCTTTAAGTATGTCTCCAAGGTTGAATTCCAGGCCACAGGATGTTGGCTCTAAAGAGATAAAGGAGCAGGTGACAGGTGACCTCTCATTTACTTGCTGCTAGCGGTGCCAGAAAAGGACTAGCAAGCACAAATCCCTTATGCAGGTTACACACACTCTCTCCATTCATTTCTAGCCTGCCCTGCCCCCATGCCAGCCAGTTACTGAAGCAGAACTTGCCTCCCACTTTGTATGGTGGATTCCTATGTCCTCTGCAGCCTTGAGTCCATATATGAAAGATGGGTCCCTATGCAGTACATGAATATAACTGAGTGAAACACAAACTCAAGTTGTGAAAACAAAGGGAACTTCTCCTTATTTTGCTTTATATAGGAAGTCATACAATCTCCTCTGATAACTCCAGGGTTTTAAACTCCATGGATTTCCAAGGCATAGAGGCTCTGTCCATTTTTATGATTTTTCTCAATGAAGTATGATACTTGAATTTAAAACAGAGTTCTTATTTGAGGACACAAAACACCTGCAGTATAAAATGGTGTCTCACCTTTGTCCCAATGGTGATGTGGCTCCTAGAAAGTGGGTAAAAGGCCCCCAATTGGATCCAGCGAACACACATCTCATTATCAGCATCTCCAAAGAGGCCACACATATCTGCTCCTGTCTGATAGAGTGCAAAATCAGAGCATGAGGTGTGGGACTTTTGTAGGTGACAGACACGTTGAAGTCCAACTGGATAATTAGTAATGGATCCAATATAACTTACATAAGGTATTCCAAAGAGACTGAACTCCATCATGCCTGCAATGAAAAGATACAGCTGTGAGGGACAAAGCAGCCCTTCAAGCGGGTAGGTTAGACCTGTCTTTCCAGTAACCCATTGAAAAGCCTTGAGACCACTTATCATGAGAATGTTGAAATAGGGATAAAGATTAAAATCCACACCTATAACTCAGTTCCTGTTGATTTCACTGCCCACATGCATGACGATCAGACACAATCAATGCAGCAGTGACCACACACCCCTGGCCCCCTCTCTGCCAGCAGACACCCCAGGGAAATTGCCCACATACCAATGATTGATTTTCTCATCTGGTCCCACCTGGCCCTGCTGTCACCCAGCCAGTGACCTCCCCAACGGCCAGAAGAGGGGAATGTGGAACGGGTGATGATGATTCCTCGCTGTCCTGTCACCTCCTGCACGGCTCTGGTTGGAGGAGAACAAGGTGAATTGAACCTGAAACTTACATAATTTTATAGTGAAATGTTACTTCAATAAAAAATAAATTAATTTTTAAGAGATGGTGAATTTGAGGATGGACAGCCATGGAACTTGGGAAACCTACTTTGAATCCTATAGACTCCATTTTGTCTCTAATAGCCTTTTTGAGACTTTTGGGTGGTTACTGAGTGCAGCTTCACTCAGCAGTTCCCTGTTTTCTCCTTAATGGAGACTATAAAAGGAAAAGAAGCACGGGCTCATTTTTACACAAGACCTCACACTGCACTATTTTTTCAGAAGACTTGTCATTCAGTCCAAAACTTTTAAACCAAATTAAACTCACACCACTTCTTTGTCTGACACTTTAACATTGTCCTATGCCCTGACCCTGGTGGAACACACCTTGGGACAGCCCCTTGGTTTTGGACATCGGTAACAATCTTGATTACATTATAGCCTGATTCTTTCTTGGTTGGGGATGATGCAAACATTCGAAAATTTAGTTGCAATGACTGCTAACAATTCCATGAATATACCAAACACCATCTGCTTGCTCACTTGAAATAAGTGAATTTAACAACCTCCAGAGGTGCTGTGGTTACGTGAACAACCGCGCCTGGTATTTTGACATCCATGCATTGAAGTGACATCATGTAGATAGAGCTCAATCAATTTATGACAAAAGCAGCAATGTGGAAAGTGATCCTTATTGCTGGTGACACAAGCCATACTCACTCGTATGTGGGTCTGGTCTGGGACCACCCGTACAGGCTGTGCACGTCATAGTGTCGCACCTGGGAGCCATCTGGCAGCACCTGCTCACTCTCCATACACAGGGTCTGGCTGCTCAGACCCCTGTCCCTGGATTCCAAAACTGAGAGGAAAGGCTGAGTTATTTTCCAAACAATTCCCACATTCACTAGAAGCACCCAAGGACTTGACATTTATTTCAACCAAAAACTTGCTCCAACCTCAAGATTTTTTTTGTTTACCAAATCAATATCCTGTGACTTTATAAGTAATAAACACAAGGATAGGATATAGAGCTGGGAATATACCCGACCTTTTACTCCAACTCTGATGTTGATCAAGTACTATCATAGCCCGTTCATCAACATAATAAAGTCCTTTGTTGTTATAACCGTCATTTCCACTAGATGGTAATATTTTCATGGGAATAGATATTGTTTCAATCAACTTTGTATTAATGTCTCTAAATCTATCTAATTTGTCAGCACTTGCCTGATACACAAACATTAAGGGAGGAAGGGAAAATGGGAGGCAGGAAGGGTGATAGAAAAGCAGGGAGAGAGGCGGTGAGGGAGCGGGAGGAAGTCCATGAACAACAGAGAGTTCAGCAATGACCTAGACATCCAGAAACTTGGATTCCAAATTCTGTCCCACAAATTCCTGGTTAAGTACTTTTGGAAAGTAAGTCTCTTCCTGTCCTGGGTTTCTGTGAGGTGAGAGGATTCAACTTTCTGAGATACCTTTACTGGCAAGGTCCTATTTCTATTTGGTCTTCAGGACAATCAGAGAATGCCCTAAAGTATCTGTGAACATGGGAAAAAAGAATGCCTGGACTAGATTATCATTCTCTAATCAAAAGTGGTGGGGGGTGGTGTGGGGGGAGCAAGGTTATTTACAGCTCTAGCACCAGTTTATAGAGGAGATCCTATGAGGCATGCGTTGTTTGGATTCTTTCCTACCACATCATGTCATTATTTCTAGACTTGATGAGTAATTCATTTATTTGCACTTATTCAAGATATTCTATTTGAGATTTTATGCCATGTATAAGAGAATTTTCTGTCTCCAAAAATTAGGTTCTAGTTTGACAATTAAAGGAAACCTTTTGGAGGTTTGAGCGGGGGAATCATTAGAAGAAGTCTCCATTTACATACGTGGCATGTAGGGTGGCTTATTAAGCACTTCATCTCTGCAGCCCCCAACAGATCCATTCACATAGTTCGTTGGTTCATTCATATCCTGCAGTTAGTTAGCGAGAGATTCCTTGATGTCAGAGAGTGTGGTCTCTGCTAGGGAGGACACCCACCTCATGGAGATGCACAGTCCCAGGACCTTAATTCAGTAACAAGTAGCCTCCCTTTCCATTCCCCCAAACCTGCCCCCCTTCTGGTCTCTGAATTGCTTCTCCATGTTTTGATTGTTAAGATTTCCAAACCCAAAGCACTAAGGGTGCACTTACAATCCACAGGCCATCAAACTTCAAGCTCTTCTCTGGCTTTCCAGGGTTTTTATAGAGCTCTTCTATTTCCTTCTTCCACCATGCGGCTGTGCTTTTACGCAAGAAGTCAGGGAAAGCCACGTGGGCTCTGTAGAGCTGCAAGAGTAACACATATTCTCCCGTTGGGTCTCAGCGGATGTTTTGCAAAGACACCTGACCTAACCTCAGCTCTGGGGCTGGGGCTGCAAGTTTGCTGTGGACAAAGGTTAGGGAAGACTGATCCCATTCTTCATTTTCCTAGAAGCAAGTTAGTCTTCAATTCCTTCTCAAGAAAGGATTCATTTTATGGCAGGACATTTAATCCTATGAACTAGAAAGTTAATTTCCAGTGTTTAAACACTGGAACTTCAGAGATATAAATGCTTTTTCTATACTGGTTTAAATGAAGGAGACCAGTTGCCCAGGAAAATGAGTGGAGGGGATGCTAGATGCCCTGGCTGATGTGGCACTGAGTGCCAGGAAGGACAATCCTCCTTTTCTCTAGGAGGTGAATTCTTTTGTACATAGACATTCACTAAAACCCTGTGTGCTCATAACATATGCAGTGAAAATAGTCTAGATGTTAGTTCATTATTTTTCAAACAACAATGGTTGTAAATGAAGCACAAGTCATTAAAGGCACACATGAGAAGGTACTTCACTTTTGAGTTCCTTTTACATATTTCAAGCATCTTTTTTAGCTAAGAAGTTACCTGTTAACAAGCACATTCGACTTAGAGCTACTTAAGCGAACATCAGGATAAAACTAACTCATAAATATCCAGTGGTCCAGGGCAATGTAGACTGAAGTCTCTGTGCAATCTTACCTTGACCTGAGTTTCATGGTCAAGGGAGTCATCCACAGTCACACCGGGCAGGACTGGCCCAACCTAGAGAGAAAGAAGACGAATTCAAACCTTGAAAGGCATTGGACATGGACGGGAAGATGTTTTACATGACAGACTTTCCTGAAAACCATCTCTACAAAATCCAGTGGAAGCCTTTGCCATTAAGTTGCAAGGTCTGAATAGATGAAATTCTTCATATATTTCAGGTGAAAATAGGCTGCAGTCTTTGGACACATCCTATAAGTTTTTGAAATTTCACTTTTGAATATAATGATAAACTAAATCTGTTTAAATCTATCCCCAAACAGTTACCTCTCAGATAATTAGCTCCTTAGATGCGTGTCATAGACCCACACCGATGCTTCCTTTAAAATAACAAATGTGAGCTGGGGCTACAAGAAATAAGATTGATTTTCATTCACTACCCATATGCTTAGCTTCACTACTTTCAAGCAGCATCACAACTTATTGGGAACCTCAAGTATACATGTATTCTTGGATTTAAACAAGCCATTAAAGGCACACATGAGAAAGTTCTACACTTTCAATTTCCTTTTACAAAATATCGACCAATTTCATCCATTAACTATGCCTATTCATAAACTCATTAATTCACCAAACACTGAACACTTACTACATGCAAGGCTCTCCTACAATATTTATCTACTAATATTTAAGTTAAAAATACTCCTTGTGTTCAAAGAGCTCAGAGATAGAACCCAAGAGCTTAGTTGTATGTGATCTGCTGAGGACAATATAGAAAAGGGAGATGCAGGAAGCCACAGGGACACTGAAAGCTTCCTCAGAGGGAATCCTTGATTGGTCTTGAAGCGTAGATATTATTTGGGCAAACTAAGAAGACACCATTCAAACATTCACAGTCCCCCGTGATAGGAAACAGCACAGTTTGAACCCTGGCAAAGAGTCAGGAAGGTCACCTAAAATCTTGTTGCTCTAAGTCACACAATGAAGGTGAGATTGAAGCCACCCAAGGAATTAAAAGAGACAAGGAAAGAAAGAGAATTTACAGGATTTATTTAGACACAAGGCTGGTTAAGCATCATTAAGTCTAAGATGAGTGCAAGTTTTGAATGTTGTGACTGGGAGACACAAATTTCAGAGTTTTCCTCAAAGGGATCCTTTATGATTGTTAAATCCTAAATTCTAGGAAAATAAAGAATGGCCATCCGTGACCAGCTGGAATATGGAAGGAGTAAGGTATCAGAATATTTCCAGACAACAGTTCCAGAATGTTTCCAGTCCACTGATATCTGAGAGGATTAGACTGTAACCTTGATCTTAGTAATGTGTATTGAGCTAATCAGTATCAGAAATATTTCTAGTCATTAATAATTTACTAACGAGCTCAATATACTTTGCCAAGATTGATTCTTTTAATCAAGACAGTCTGACGCTGAATAATCACAGGCACCTTCTCCCAAGGCTTACCTTTCCCCAGACAATGTCATTGCTCTTGGGCCATTTGATGAACACATCATTTTCCTGCCCTCTTGTGAATGTAGGATATGCAGTCTCGTTGCCAGAAATGGCTGGGTCCTGCAATAAAATAGTTTAAAAGAGAAAGCATAAGAAAAACCTCTCTAAGAAAAATTCCTCTCCCAAATCATAACAATTTACAGTGTCAAAAGAAATGGTGAACTTCAATGCAAAAATAAAACCCATGGATAATTTGTCTTATGATGACTGAGTAGCTGAAAAATAAAATAATATATTGGTATGTCCCTTTACAATTCCTGAGGAAAGAAAGTACGTTCATGTTCAAAAACAGTTTCTGGAGATAAATCAGGTTAATAAGACATCACCCTCGGGTGGAGAAAGCCAGTTTAGTGTGTTTCCAAGGCATGATAGCAGCAGTCTTGACAATAGGAAACTTCTTTCTTCTATTCTGTGGACCAACTTGTCTATCTGAAGGGGCCTTCCCTGTTCCCCTCATCCCAAGCCCTCCCCAATTAGTCTCATTAATAATCTCCTATCTCACAGTTGTCATGAATGTCATCCCCAACTGAAATTATTTTTCTTTAATGTTTATTTATTGTTTGTCTCTCTCCAACAGAAAAAAAAATTCCCTATAAGTGAAAGGACATTGTCTTATTCATTAATTTAGATTACACACACACATCTTTTAGAACAATGATTTTCAAAGACCCAGTGTTTCATTAATACTTGAGAAAATGAATGAATGAACGAAGTCAGCAAATAATGCCCTACTTTCTAATTTTTTCCAGATAGAAGGGAAGACCATTTGCAAGTAACCACTTCTGTTTATCAAGATGTAGATTTCAATGCAAAATAATTGTTGTTCCTGATCTGTTCATGGCTTTAATTAAGAAGAAATAAATCCACTGAGCCTCACCACTGCTGGATATCAATACAATTTATGAAGCTTCAAACCCCCTGAAATAAAGATGAGACCAGGATACAGTTATTTCCTCTGAGACAAAGTCTGAAACAGACTTTTTCCCTCTCTGCAATATCTCACCCTCTAGTTTTCCTAACCAGCAAGAGAAGAGCAACAGTAAGTTGTATCCAGTAACACTCAGTGATGAAAATTAAACATGGTAAAATGTCATCTTTTAAAAGCCATTTGTACTTGTTCTTTCCTCCTTTACACACTTCTTAAAATTAAAAAATAATTCTATAATCACAGAAAATTGTAAAAACTACAGGGTAGCCTCATGTACGCATCACCTGGTTTCCATCAATAGTATCATCTTTGCACTATGAACATATGAAAATGGAACCATATTGAAATACTTACCAGAACAAGAATAAATTTCGTGCCATTTTTCTTCATGCCGTCAATCAGGAAACTGAGGCTTTGAAAGCTGGGGCTGAGGGTGAAGTCTAGCTTCCGGTCCCTGTAATCCATGTTTATATGCTGGACATCCTACAGAAGGAAGGAGCAAGCAAGGTGCTTGGGTCTGCTGCAGTACCCCTCTGGGCACACAGAGGGCGCTGCCAGACCCTGTGCTGCTGCTGGCTGGCCCCAGCCCAGGTCCTCCTCATTCATCACATTACTCTCCTAGGCTGACTTTTCAATTCTGCGGACTAAAACTGCTTTCTGATTTCAGCATACAGATCACCTGTCCTTGTTCATTCTCCTTCTGCTCCCCCAACTAGAATTATCTCCCCTTCCTTCCTCTCAGTTCATGTCTTTTCTACTCTTCAAATCTCAGATAGGGTATCTTTTATTTCTTCTAGTAAACCTCACTGAATTTACCCATATTTAGAACATCACTATTTTATAGTTTTCTGGAATGCACAAGTTTCTGCCATTCCCATTGGACTGATGGTCTTGAGATGATAACCTTATCTCTCCTTTTTCCTATGTGACAACCACCCAGGTTTCTGTATATGAAATACCCTCAGTCGATGAGTTGAATGTTGGCTAACATTGTTTCCTTTAGTTTAAAGGTGATAATCACCTGTTCTGCCTTAAGATTCTAGGTAAAACTCATTTGAAGGAACAGACACTTGTGAGTAACCCAAAACTTGGAAGAAGATGAACCCACATATTATTAACATTTATTGCCACGGTGAGATAAATATGTGGATTTTATCCCCTTAATTTTCCTATCCTTTCCCATTTATGTTTAGTAAGTACATGGTAGAGTAGCTTATAAAAAAATAAGCCTGGATGAATTATTTGAATTATCTTGGATGAGAACATCCTAACACCTTTTAGTATTTTCATCTTCTAATCACTAATTGTTCTCTAGAATCTCAGGAGGTGAACTGAAAGCAGAGAAAGAGCACGAACAATGAGAAATTGATAATTATACAAGGAGAAAGGGCACACTAGTTGTGGACTTCTGCTTGTTGACAGCAATTGACTGAGCCTCTTGGGGCTCCCCTAGGGGAATAGCTTGCCCCTGTAAGATATACAGACCTGCATGGATGTTTTAGAGAAAGTGAAGACTTGGTTTTCATTGTTTTCTTCTCATTGTCACTTTATATCCATATTCTCCAAGAATCACCTCAGTGTAACCTCCTAAAATTGTCATCATCTCCATGTGATTATTACTTAGGAGTCACCAAAGTCATGATCTAAGCCCAGTCATGAAGACTATTGAGGATATTCCTAGCAGGAGGCAGTGAGTGACAATATCCTCCTATCACACAGCTAATGGCTGAAGGATCTATGCAACTCTCAATTTTGAACCCTTGATTTAAAAGGAAAGCATAGAACAAATCTATAAAGCAATAGACTAGATCTACATAGGACTACCTCCATACCTACATTTTCTTTATACTGAAATGTTCATCAGCAATTTCTATGAAGAAATTGGCTACAAATTCCCATTACTAATTTAACCACAGGCTGAGTGGGGGTTCCATACATGGGGAATATTGGCTGCAATTGTTGCACGATATAAATTGGAGATTCCAGTATCATTCTGGTATCCATAGTGGCTCAGCTGGAATCCCAAGGCCCAATATGGAATCATTGCTGGTCGACCAATCAACTAGAATAAAACAGAGAATTGGTTCCAGGTAAATCTTAGGGAAGAAGAGATGACTGGCTTATATTTGAAGTAACTTGAGTAATTCTATTGAGTACAGTCTCATCTAAGAGGTCTTATTCAAGAAAAATAAGAAAGGCAAATAAATGTTGAACAACCATGGGGATGCAGAATGATAGAAAATCTCCCTGTACTTTAGAGCTTTCACTCAAGAAAAAGGAGAACCCAGTGATTAGACTGATTAAACATCCTTAAAAAGTCTACTTAGCAAGTAGTTAAGAGACATGGGGTTTCAATATGCATGTATCATCTCTTAACATTGAAGCCTGACTTTCAGAAAATATATCAGTAATACAGCAGGGACACCAAGGGTCAGAAGAAAAACATTTACCTACCTCTGGGCTAAGAACATGGCAATTCCCAGCAACACTTTGTGGTTTATATGATAGATGGAATCTATCTATCTATCTATCTATCTATCTATCTATCTATCTATCTATCTATCTAATCTCTTAGCTATTTATATGATGGGGCAGAATGACTACCAACCTCGGTGTACTGCTGAGTTACAAGCTCTGGAGTTGGCCCCAAAACCATATAAAAGTCTAGAATCCCTCCCGTGGTCCGGTATGTCAGCGCAGGGAGGGGCTGGAGTGTCACATCTGTTCAAAAAAACATAGAAAATGAGGAGAATCCTTGGGACTGTAAATTACTGAGATAGGGACTCTATCCCCAATATTTCTATTTCCATACTCCTTATTGCCCTCCTCCTCTAGAAAGTCTTCTTGCATGCACTGGAATCAGAGATGGATGTGCAGATACCCAAAACATAGCACCAACCTTATATCACTCGTGAAAAGGTGCTAAAGCATCACAGTAAAATAAGGTCATATAAGAGTAGGAACCTATTTAGTCAAGTTTGCTCAATACCTAGTCTCCAGCTCCTAACACAGTTGAATAAATGAATGAATGGAAGTCGGTTCATTTGTGCCATTTCTCTTGCCTTTGAATTTCTCTACATCTATTGGCATTTCAGATCCCAATGAAGGTGTTACAGTCATGTAGAGTGGTGCCGGAACCTTACCCATGGCGTTGCTGTTCAGCAGGAGCACCCCATGGGCATTGCCATCCTTCTCCAGTGCCATGTAGTAGGGGTGGACACCATAGGAGTTCTTCTTGTGTTAGGAGAGTCATGGTGAAGAGAAGGTGGATAATCAAAAAGAGTAAATGCAAAAAACCCTGTCCCTATCACCCCCAAACAGCAAGGGTGCACTCAACCATGAAGGCACAATGTCATGTCCTTTATCCAGGCTTCCTTGACCCCAGGTAAATGGCTAAATGGCCTCCCCGTCTATGCCCTCCTTGTTTGTTATTACACTATAATAGCATGAATTATACTGCTGCCACTACTTATGCATGTCTTTACCTCATTAACCTATAAATCTCTGGAAAACAAACACTGCATTATTAAATAAGACACTGTTTTATTCTATGTGTGCCTGGATCATAGACTATATTAAAAGTGTATTAAATAAATAAAATGCATAGTCCACAGAGGAACTTTCTTTTTGAGAAGAGCACATAACATGTGACTTATTTCACCTAAGAGTAGAATTTATCAATGTAAGGTAAGGCGGATTAATGGGCTACCATCCAGTGCATATGGACTAAAATAAAATAACAAAGAGAGAAACTGGTTGATAATCTTATTTCTCCGTCTTACCGCTGATGACTCATGACGAGCAAACATTCCCCACGTGTGCCAGTTCACGTCTCTTTTGAAAGTTTCATGCTCATTTTCCCCCAAACCGTAGATGTAGGGAGAGGGGAGGCGAGTGGAAATGGAAAGGAACATGTCATTGAAGGTGAAGCCAGGGAGCTGAGAGTCCCAACTGCAACACAAAGGGCACATCTGCTCAGGCCAGCGCAAACACAGAGCATGTCGGGACATCTAGCAGATTCACAGTCTCCTGAACTATTCCACATTTATATCCAGGGTCAAATACCATGGGAAGAACCAGTACTAACAATGATTGTGGCGCCCCACAGGCGCACTGGTTTGCATTGTCACTCTGTAGTTTGCAAGGCTGAGAACCCCTTTTCTGGGTCATGGGTTTGAGGCTTGAGGGACAGGACCACGTCTCATTCACCTTTTTATTGCGACTTCACATTGCTGGGCATAGCAGCTTACATGACCGTAGGCATACATGGGTATGGTCTAAGCAGAATTTCCAACAGGAGGGGTGAAACTTAGAATGACTTTTCTAGATTGGCCAAGGGACTTATCACCAAAGAAGGCAAAAAAAATCAGACATGTGGTCAAGGAGAGCCTGTGGCTGCCCAGATCCTCACACTTGGGGGACAGTTTCTGTTGAATGGAGGACTTTAGTCCCAGGCCACGTCCAGACCTTCACATCATTCCATTCAGCAGCAGACAGGGAGCGAAAGGCGACTCCTTTTGTGCTTAGCATCATGGAAAGACTTCAAGCAAAGTCTGTAAGGAGCCATTTCTCTGTCATGAGTCACCTTTGTCCCTCTCTGCTGACCTCCATCTTAAGTTGCTGTTGTCATAAACAGGGTTTTCTGTTCAGCTTAGCAGGCATGACAAGTGGAGTATGCCTTTTTCTTTCACAGACATCAAGCAACACTTCACTTTTGTAAACCTATGATTGATTCATTTTCTTCTTGAGTTAATGGCTAATAAAGAACTAAATCCCCATGGTGCAAGTAGGTGGAAATAGATGTACTCTCCATTTAGTGAAACACGCACTTTTACAAAGAGTCTCCAAGATGACTGTTTCGCATGCATGAATTAGAACCCCTGGAATTCGACCTCCATCTACTCTAATCAGAGCCATATAAGCAGCGCTTACATCACAGTGTTGGAGCTTTTTCGTCGAATCTGGATCCCAAAAGGATTGTTCTGAATGCTGACATCGTACAGGCGGTTTTCAGGGGAGCCAACGGGAGAGGGAGGGATGTTCAGCGGCACCGGGACTTCGTATCTTTTATAACTAGAGTCATAGATCTGACAAGAAGAGACAAGATGGAATCTGATGGAATCTCACAGCTAAAGTTCCTCATGCCAGTGCATATAACTCAGAGCCTGTGTTTTCTGGCCAGTTTGCATCGTAATAGGAGGCATCAAATGTCCCAAAGTGACTAGCTGGAAGGCCACCACACACTGTGCCCTGTACAGACCCTGAGCTCAAAAACTGCCTCAGTGACAGCACTTCAAAGCCAGGGAGGACACGTCTAAAAAATCTGTGATAGAAGAGAAACAGAAGCTGAAGGAGAGAGTATGTGAGTCTATGGGCGTGTGGACATGTATATGTATGCACCTGCGTAAGAAAATTATGTGTGAGCATAATCTTTGGAATTGTTTGGAATTGTTTGAAATCTTGAACTGTTTAAAGTGGGAGAACTGAGGGATTTCATGAGGACACCGAGGCCTCCCTGGTGGCACTTCCAGGGGTGGTCTGACGTCTCCCCACCTGAGCTTGCTCTTTGGTGCTAGTGACCTGTCCTACCTGCCTAACAGGACTGAAGGGTGGGAGAAGTGGAAGAAGTGAAAATCAGGGAGGATTGTCAGTTACCATCACAAGCCATCACCCTCTACCTTATCGCATATTGTGACACCTGATATCGCACTTCAGACAACTTTATCTAAAGCCTTGCTTCTCAAAGGTGTGTTTCCCAAATCAAACACAGCAATTACACCTGGGAATGTGTTAGGAAGGCAGAATATCAGGCTCCACCCCAGACCATTTCAATCTGAACGTTCATGGTCACGAGCGCCCTAGGGTGAGTCATCCAACACTAGAGTGTGAAGAGCAAGGTGTAGACCTGAGCTGGCCAAGGCACTGCCCACCTGTCACATGTGGCCACTGAGCACCTGAGTGGGTCTGAATTGAGACTCACTGTAAGTACGAGACACACACTAGATTTTGAAGAGGCAATGTGATTAAAACATGCCGAGATATCTCTATCCTTGTATTTGGGTTACACGGTGAGATGATAATATTTTAGCATGGTGGTTAAATAAAATGCTCTTAAAGTTAATTTCACTTGATGTTTTCAAATACCTTTCTTAGAATAGGACTGCTGGGAAGCATATGTGCGTCACAAGGTGTTTCTATTACAGCAGAGTAGTGGGCTCTAAGCGTGACCCCTGGCAGCATCAGTAGCACCTGGAACCTTGTTAAAAATGCAGATTCTCAGGCTGGAAACTCTGGGGAGAGCCCAGCAATCTGAGCTGGAACTCTGTCTTCAGGGAATTCTGATGTATGCTCAAGTGAAGAACCACTGCTAAGTGAGGTATGAAAAAAGATGAAATCCTGACATTTTCAATAATGTGGATGAAGCTGGAAGGGATTGTACTAAGTGAAATAAGTCAGAAGGAGAAAGACAAAAAGAAAGATGGTTTCACTTATATGTAGAATATAAAGAAACAAAACAAAGAACAGACTAAACTACACCAAAACAAACCCCAGAAATCCGACTTTAGAACTGGGGCCACCAGAGAGGAAGGGGCAGGGACCCCGCTGTCTATGGTGGGGGGCTGCGGGGCCTTGGGCGGTGGCCATGGTGTGCAGCAGACACTGGTGTGAACCTGTACACTTGAACCACAGGTGTGTCACCCATTGTTATCTCATTGTTATCTCAAAAATATTTAAAAAAATACATTTAAACAATAAATAAATAAGTCTAGCAATTCCGATTAAAAACAAAAAAGAATCACTGCTAAGAAATACTCTAATGTTGGAAGCGAGTTAACGACATTCTCATGAGTTTACCAAAGAGCAGATGTGATTTTTCTCAAGATGAAAGGATGGTTCCCTGAGGATGTTCATCACTCTAGAAAACTCATCACCATGGTAGAGCAAAGGGCATCTCCCGGGTCCTCTATCTCCTGACGGTCTAAGCTCTGGGGCTCAGCACCCTCCTTTATAAAACGACTGGGACTAGAGGTGACCATGGCTGCCGAGAGCGCAGGGCTGTGAGTCAGAACAGGCTGAGGATGGGGATCATCCCAGGGTTACCTTGAATTGCAGCATGTTTTCTGTGTGGTAGATCACGCTCACGTTGAGTAAGCGGATCTTTGCAGAGAAAGGATCAGAGGTGGCCTCTGCTGCTGCTGCTGCGCCCGGTGGCACACTCCGGGACGATCGAGGTGGAGTCGCTGCTCTTGCTGATGTGGGGGGTGCCAGGTGGGTGAGTTGCATGCTGATGCCCGCTGGCTGGTACTGAATGTTACTGGCCATGTAACTGGGGATGGTGTCGTGGAAACAGGGGGGCACACCAGCAACAGTGGTGGGCTGCAACAGGGAGACATTCATCAGCCACTCCACACCACATGCAGGTTACCACACACGTCGCTGAACACAGACAAGTCTTCACACCAGGCCTGTTGTCGTGGATTGAATTACATTTCCCCAAAAATGCTAAGTCCTAACCCCTGGAGCCTGTGAAAGCAACATTTGGAAGTAGTGTCTTTGGAGATGATCAGATACAACGAGGGAATTAGAACAGGGCTGGTCCACCATGACTGGTGTCCCTATTAAAAGGGATACCATGGGCCTCCCTGGTGGTGCAGGGATTAAAGACAGCACTAGCTATCGCCAGCCACTGCAGCACAAGTTCAATCCCCCACCAGGGAGGTGACACACATGGCCTAGCAGACCTCTCCTGTCCCGCCCACTGCTCCCCTCAGCAGTGTATTTCAGCCAGTCTGCCTGTTCTGCTCCCCACTCTGTCTCTGGTGAATCCTATCACAGCCCCCCTTCCCCACCCCCCACACCTCTGGCCTACACTCCAGCTCTTATATGCATAAATAAACAAATCTTTAAAAAAATAAATAAATAAAGGGGGGGCATGTAGAGGCAGAGACACATGGCTTGCAGAGAGAACACCACGTGGAGATAAAGGCAGGATCAAGGTGATGTTTTGCAAACTAGAGGATGTGGGAGAGCAGCAGAAGCTAGGAGCGAGGCACCAACAGTTTCCGGAGGAATCAACCCTGTTCACACCTCCATCTCAGTCTTTGAGCTCCCAGGACTGAGATTAACAAATTTCTGTTGTTCTAGATTGCCCAGTTTGTGGTACTTTGTTGTGGCAAGTGGATGTATCCATCTAACACGCACACACACACACACACACCCTGGCCTCCTCTGATGTCCAGCAGGAACCCTATCTGGAGACAGATCTGCTCCCCTGTCCCACTGGCCCAGTATGATCTTGAGGAAATCCCTTATTTTCTATGACTTTTTATTCACTTTTAAAATGGAGAGAAACCATCTGACTGCACCTGCCTGCTTGGAAACTCCATTCTCCAGCAGAGGGGAAAAATCTCTTACCCTCCTCAGTATACAATGGACCCCCAAGAATCACTGCTATATCAAAGATTAAAATGGGGTTTTAAGAGCTGTGGTTGGAGAAGAAGAGCCAGGGAGGCAGCGAGTTTCTTCTGGCTCAGGGTCTCTGAGGGGAACAGCGACCACTAAGGGGGGTGGGTAACAAAATAACGCACCTGCTGGCAGCGTGTCTTCCTCCTTGAAGAGCAATGACAGTTCAGCCCATCAACGCTGAGAAGTGCTTTCTAGACACCTACTGACCCATGGGAGAGTTTCCACAGCTCCCTGGTCACTGTGGGACACTGTTCCCACCCTTACCTCCCAGAGGCAGCCACGCAGCTCGCAGCTCTCCTTGGAGACAGCTGGGTCCTCCGGGAAGCAGTTGAACTTCTCCGTGTCCTTGACCGGAAGAGACCAGGAAATGGAAAATTCTTGCCCCAGGTCCAGACCCCTGACAATCTTGAAGTTCACCACCTGGGGCAAGAGAGGCCACAATGACCACCAAGATGAGACGGAGCCCCTGGGTAGTGTCCGTCCCTGGTGTCCTGGACGTCAGGGGGAGCTAGCCGCCCCCCCATGCCCTCTCTGCATGGGGTACTTGGAACACTGTGTTTTCTCCTCTGAAGCCTTTCACCTCTGCAGGAGAATGTACTGGGCTTGTTCCTGACCCTGCTCGCCTCTCGGAGGCTGTGAAAGAGGAGCCAGCGGCGGCGGTGGTGTGAGGGAGCTCAGAGCCCGACAGGCCAGTGCAGGCGGCTGTCGGGACAATGGTTCAGCATTCTGGAGCATCTGTGTGAGTGGACACCGGGATCACTCCTGCAGGTGCCTAATCGCTATTGACCCGGTAAGGGGACCCCATGCAGTGAGTAATATGGCAGTCTCCGTTGCACAAAATAGAAAACTGAGATTCCGAGGGCCTTGATGCTTTGCCCAAAACCTCATAGCGAGGAGATAAGGCTGGGGGGCGAGGGCGGGAAGCTGTCATCCTCTGCCCCAAGGAAGTAGTGACACTCCCAGCGCTGGAAATACCCACCAACCACTGGAATCTTTTGCGAGAGATGATGATGTAAAGGACTCATCCAATAAGAACCAAATCAGACTCCCCTTGTCTTTCAACCAACGCTCATTCCTGCTATGGTATAGAAACAGCTTATCGTACTGAGGAAAAATAGCGACCGTCTCAAAGAGAGTCTCTGTTTTCAATTCAGGAGGACAAATGAGTAAATACTCCTCTGAATTGTGCCAATATTTGGATTTGGGACCAGCACACTCATTTGAAATTTGCCCAGAGCACAGCCTGCTATCGGGGCCCCACTCCCACTGTGTTCCTCAGTCCCTGCAAACGCAGCCGGGGGGCATGTTTATCCAGCGCCCGTTTCTCCTTCTGCATCCTCCCCATGTTGATTCCCTGGCAAGCCAGTTGTCTCTCGGATTGCACAGAGTCTGAGAAGGGGAGGCTGACCTCCAGATGTCAGGCCAGTGCTCTGGGCACACGGCCTGCAGGAAGAACACTCCCTACCTTGGCTGAAGCATTATAGACGACGGTCAGTTTGGGAGAGTTGTTATTAGCATGCATGACAGTAACATTAGCAGGTTCCTTGTCCATTCCTAAGATTATGATGTCTGTGAACGTGAGGTTGTGAGGATCCGAATAATTATTGTTAATAATAGTTGCTTGTAGGCGGTTCTGGGAGGAGAGAAAAGTCACTTTAGAGACCAGGAACGTCACACTCTAGTTGTGCCCAAGCACCACGCAACACCTCTCTTTCTGAGATCCATGGTTTGTCTCTCTGAGGCTTTATGTGTCATCAGAGGAGAACACCCGGGGGATGGGTTATGCGGACTCGTCTTAAACCTGTTGGTAATACTGATATATTGTGCTTGCTTTGTTTTTTTGATTTATTGAATTAAACTATTAATTGATTCTATTATTCAAAAAATATGTTCTTAACATGCTGCAATTTTCAAGGACTCCCCTTCCCCCACCAGCCTTACCGCCTGGCTGCCTCTTATTAATAGTCCCTTTGGGAACTAGCAAAGAGGCGAGTCATGCTCAGTATCCTGCAGACTCGCAAAGCCATCACTTAATACCTGTGCCCAAGGCCAAGTTTAGAGGCTGGAAAGAACTTCAAAAAGTCACTGTACCTCCACAATCACCTCCACCCACACCGCCATATTCTTGCACCGAAGGACAGATCTAAGAAATCTAGGCTCATACTCAGATTCAAGAAAAAAGAAAGAGTTCTTTACAGAGCTCACACTGACTTTTTATTGGCTTCTGTGTCTAACACAGATTAAAACGTTCATTTGCATGTTACTCCTGTCTGGGAGTGTCACAGTCCAGCACTGGGCTATTCCTTGAACTGAGCAAACTTGAAGCTCAAAGAGCAGACACAGAACAGACACACTGTGTTGCAAAAAATGGTACTCACAGAGGAGACAGAAAACTCGTACAGAATGTAATTCTTTTTAGCCACAGCATCTAAAAACAGAAAGACAGAAGCACCTGTTACTACAGGAACATGCTTACGACCTGGCTCTGCTTACTCAGGGTCCACCAGTTTCATCAAAGGTCCACGGAGCTTTCCTGGATGGCTTCAACCTGCTGCCATCACTCCCTCCCTGAATTCTCCTGGTGCCTTGTAGCACCATTTTGCTGGCGTTTCAGACATTCTGACTTATGCTACCGTTACCCACATACGGTGTGTGTCTCCTGCTCAGCCAGGAGTTCCCAGGGGCTAAATCTATGTCTTACTCATATTTAAGTCCCCTGCATACAGTGCGGCAATAAATAGCAATACATCGTTGTAAATGATCATTTTATTCAGGGCAAGATCTATATTTAACAGAGACCACAACCTACGTGAGGACTTGCATGGAAATCTTTTTTTTTCTTTTCTTTCTTGCTTCTTACTGAGTTAACATTGGTTTATATCATTGTGTTTTAGAAGGACAGATTCTCCCCCTGAAAGTGTTGTTACTGCACCGCACCCACAACCACAGCACCCACAGGCCTTCCCCAGAGTCCACAGTGCTCCCTCCTCTCTGCTTTTGCCCACTCGTTTGGGTAGCCTTAGTTCTGTTGTCAGATTTCTAGGGTTTGTCTTACCTGGAAACCTCACAGCAGGAAAACAACCATTACACAATCAGACATTCCTCCTTCAAAAGTAACCAAAGCAGTCTTTTACAAGTCTATGAATAAAATATATTATTTGCCAGTACTACTGATACCCAGAGAAGAAAAGAGTTAAGCTAACATCTGTGGCTTTGGGAGTGTCAGTAGCATTCAAGTTGCTCCTTTGAGGTCTAGATTAACGCTCTGGGCTTGGTCAGCTTTCAGGAGAAACTGACACAAGCTGCAGAAACAGGTGTCAGAGACAGGGAGGTTTGTGCCCAGTGGGGTTTGGGCAGCCACGTGGGCTCGGCCCCCTGAGAAGCATGGAGGGTTCCCCGAGGCAGCGCACCTGCAGACACTCCATCGTCCCAGAACAGCTCTCCCTTTGCTTCTCTCTTGTAGTCCAAGGCAACAATGAGCCCCAGGGAATTCTTCCGACTGTAAAAGAGCAATTCTAGTGTCAGAGAATCAAGGACATAGAACTGTGCTGAACAAGCTCCCTTCCCGCCCTGGGGATGGATCATCCAAGAGTCTATCCCGGAAACTGAGTAGGTTGACATTGTGGGGGCCCGGGGGGCTGGGTGTGGGCAGGCACCTGAGGTCAGGGGAATGGTAGGGGGGCAGTGTCTGCTGAAAACTGGGTCGTGATGATAGAAACAACCTGCACTTCATGGGCGTCCCTGTGCCAGGCGTTCCTCTAAGTGTCCTGTGCTCGTCGCTATTCCTTAAAGTCTTGTGATAACTCCAGAAAGCCAGACTTGCTTCATTTCCAGTTTACAAATGATAAGCAGAAACTCAGAGTAAGCTGCCTATGGGCACACATCTGGGGCTTCACCTGACCTTAAAGCAATGGTGACTTTCACATGATCGCCCCAGCTCTGTTTTGCTTGCATGAAGGGGGTCCACTTGAGGACAACTCCTGACCACATAGATATCCTCAAGAGTGACTCTAACTTTTGTGCAATACAGAAGAGTAAAACGACAACCGAGGCTACATTTACTTTCAGCTGCAGGAGGACGGAGATGCTAACTTTGGGCTGACCTTGAAGCTCCTTGAGAGAAAGATTTCTGACCAGAGGGTTTTGTGGCTTGTTCGCTTGCTTTTGTTTATCTAACTTCAGCCTCTGTTAGTGCCCTGGAGCAGCGCCAGGGCAGTCACACCCTAGAAGAGCGAGGGCACTGCTTACCTGGCGTTGGTGGTGACACTCGGCTCCTGGATGGGAAAGATGTAGCCCCCTCGGAGATGAAGGCCCATCTTATCCTCTGGGAGATGCAGCTTCACCGACTGCTTCCTCCACGGGATGGATTCGTTCTGACCAACAGAAGAAACACATCAGTCGGGTCTAGAGGGGACCCTGAGATGGATCATCTAGTTCAGTGACCTCATCTCAAAGAAAAGAATAGCAGGGCCTCCCCGGTAGCGCAGCGGTTGAGCACTGGGTTGCGAAGCTGCCCGCAGCCTCTGCAGCGCCGGTTCGATCCCCGGTTGCTCTCCGGCCACCAGAGGAGGGTCCTGCATGGCGCGCAGACCTCTCCTGCCACCCGCTGCTCCCCTCAGCAGTGTACTTCGGTCCTTCTGCCTGCTCTGCTCCCCGCTCTGGCTCTGGTGAATTCTCTCACCCTCCCACGCTTCTGGCTGTACCCAGTGCTTGTATAAATAAATAAATAAATAAATAAATAAATAAATAAATAAATAAATCTTAAAAAAAAAAAGAAAGAATAAAATATTAAAAAAAAAAAAAAGAAAAGAATAGCAGAGACCCCTCCCCAAAGTTAAGAGTCAGGCCCCACACAAACAGGTACAAATGATAGCTGAGGGTGCAATTCACCCCATTTCTTTACATCATACCACCGTGATTGCACAACTGGGCTTTATTTTTTTTTAAGATTGTTTATTTATGCATAAGAACTGGGGTACAGGCCAGAGGTATGGGGGTGAGAGGATTCACCAGAGACAGAGTGGGGAGCAGAACAGGCAGACTGACTGAAGTACACTACTGAGGGGAGCAGCAGGCGAGACAGGAGAGGTCTGCTGCGCCATGTGGGTAGCTCTCTGGCAGGCCTGGGATCAAGGTTCTGCTGCAGAATCTGCGGACAGCTTCACAGTGCTGTGTTTAACCCCTTGCGCCACCAGGAAGGCCCACAACTGGGCTTTAATTCTCTAGAGGATCACAGCCTCGGGCCAGATACTAGTCCTGATAACCACATACAGCCAGGCTGATAACGATGAAAATTCCCATAGATCCAGCCCAGTTATTCCTGGAAAAGGAAACAACCTGAGTGCCCCTAAATGGAGTGTCCCTCGTCCCCGAGACGCCCCACTCTGAGACTGCTGCCCCCGATGCGCTCTGTGGGCACCGCCTCACTCACCGTCTCATAGTCGTACCAGGTGGCATCTGGTATGTAAGCCTCCACCTGGACCGCGTCCTGGGGAGACACGACAATGCACACCTGAGCACAGCCCTGCCCAGGGCACTCGGCACCCCCAGTGTGGCTGCATGCTTCTCTGGACAATCGAGGCAGAGCTGGGGTCACCCCAGCCCCGGGTGTAATACAGATGCTCAGAAAGACAGAGCACAGCTAGACCCAAAGCACAGCAGAAAGGGTTGGTTCATGGGTCCTGAATTTCCTAACAGAAGCTGAGAAGTGTGTGTGGCTGAGTGATTATAACCTGACAGGTGGGAGGAAGTGGAGCCAGCAGGGACCCCAGAGCCTTCCTGCTGGACCATCTGCTGGTCAGCAGGACCGGCCAGAGAGGGAGCCAAAATGCACCCACACAAGAACAGTGGCCACCTTACGTGCTTACAAGTGCTCCCCCTCCTCCCCCCGGCCCGGATCCCTCGCAGGTGGGGGACACGTGGTCCTTCACCAAGGACCCTCCTCTGCCCAGCTGTCCTTTCCTCTGCTCCTCCCACCACCCCTCCTTGTCCCCAGCCAGTCTCAGGAGCACATGCCCTCTGGTCAAGGGAAAACACACAGATGGCCGAGGAGGCGAACCCACCAAGGCATTAAAGGACCTGTCTGCTTAAGTCACCAGCTTTAAGGTAACTTTGCAAAAATGGAAGTTTTTTGGCTGGGTGAGCCCCGTGGCACCGAGAATGACTGCCTTTCTGATTTCCTGATCTCGCTGTCATTACCTCAGATCACTCAGCTCTAGAGTCACAGGCCAGTGTGACAGCCACCCCGCTGTTCAGATTAGAAACATACTTTTTGTAAAACAGGTGTGATGAGGAGTCCGGGCCCCCATAGGAACTGCTTGTACACGTCCCACGTAGCCGGGTCCTGGTAGAACCTGGAGAGCAGAGAAGGCAGGTGCGGCCCTCAGGACAGTGGCACATGGCGTGGGCCAACCTGGCCTCATTACCATGAGCTAGGTCAGCGAGATTAGCATCCCCAAGGGTCCCTTGAGGGTCAGAACACTCACTCGTGGACGAGGGGCCTCGCTACTGTGTCCCCCCGGGTGTGAGCCCGGTAGAAGAGGGTGTAGAGGTAGGGCAGCAGTCTGTAGCGGATGTGCAGGTAGTGCTTGGAGGAATTCAGCAGCAGGGAGCTGTTACCAAAGGCAGCGGGATCCTGGTCCTAGAAGAAGATGTAGCAATTATGGACATTTCCATCAGACTTCTCATTAGATTGCAGACAATGTCATTAAAAGAAAGGGCATCTCATCCCATCTTACTTACTCCCGCCCTGACCATAAACATTTTTTTTAAAAGGGACCTTGAACCCACTTCTATAGATTTGCCTATCAGAAATATGACTTGGGATAAAAGTGGACAAAGGTTGGATAAGTCAGGAATGCAATGGGGTGTGGTCTGCCAAGCTAGTCAGGGAATGATAAAATGCAACACGGTGGGAAAAAATGTTCCTATCACTGGACTGTTTCTTCCTACCTCCTTCCTCCTTGCTCCCTCATGCCCAGGAGGGGCTTCCTTTGAATTAATTGCAGTAAATTATAAGTAAACTCCAATTGTCCCATCTCATATAAGGCGGTCACAGAAGTGACAGCAGCACCAAAGGAACATTAAAAACCCTTCTCACCTTTGTAGGTAAGCTCCCAATAATAAAGTCATTTAATAGAAATCTACCCCTTCCCACACACCCTCACCCAGAAATGCTGCTTCTTAGGCCCATCACCCAAGAGTCATCTACTCTGTTCTTGCTCTCCCGACCAACCCAAAGGATTTTCTTCAAACCCTAACTTTGAAAACAAAGAGATTATACAATCCAAGAAGCTTCCACCACTTCTCTTGGGAACCTTACCCTGAAGTCAGGCCCATTGTAATTTCTGGACAGTGGATAAAAGGCTCCGAGCTGCATCCACCTTGTGCAGAGTTCCTCTGTGACATCATGTGTGTAACCACAGATGTTGGCACCTACCTGGAGAATCAGCACATGTACAAGCAGGGTGGTCAGCAAAAGAGAAGAAAGATTTGACTGAGTACTGATATAGTAAGAATGATTATAAAAGAATCTCTCACGCCCATCAATCCTCACTTAAAGAGGTCCCAGGCATTCAGGGCAAGCCCCCAGCCAAATGGGAGAAAGAAACAAGTGAAAAAGAAAAGTATTGCATGGTTTCACTTATAGAAGGAATATAGGGAAACCAAATAAGGGATCGGGAAAAAAAATAAATAAAATTAGCAGTCAACTATAAATCACAGGCAATCTGCAAGGGAAGGGGAGGTGGAGGGATCAAAACGGGGGAGAGAAGAGCACAAGGGATTATGGTGATGGTTCACAGGTGAATTGATGGTGGGAATTTTACAGGGACTATACCTGAAAGGAGAAAGCATACAAGCATATATTGTACAAAAATGAACAATGATGTTTTATACACACACACACACACACACACTTATAGGAAAATAGGAAAAAAAAATAAACAAGTGTGCATCACAGTTTGACTGATGAGAGAAAGAATGATTGTTTATCAGGGGTTCTTCAAAATTCATTTCCCAGTTTCATATTTTGCTATATACACTGATGCTCTGTTGATGGAATTTTTCCATTGATACTAACACATTTTACCCATGGTATCTCATTCCTAACTTCAGACATTCCACAAATGTCTACCCAATTAAATAGACCATTTCTGTTTTCTAGAAGGTGTTCAAGGAAGAGTAAAGAGCAAAGTCTGAGCCAGTGAATGATATTGGATGAACTCCACCCTCTGATGTCTTTACAGACTCCACCCCCTTCCAAGCCAATGAGATCACAAGACCCAAGAACTACAACTCACAGCATGCCATGAACCTGATTTCCTGAACAGGGGGCCCCTGGGAATTAGAAGCAGAGTTAAGAGCCCATGCTTGGCTTCTAACATGTGTGCTCCCTCTCTCTTGCTGTTCTGGCTTCAACTTGTGCCCTGATTTCTCAGATCAAATGGTGTTACTGATAGGAATTGTCAGCCAATGAATCTCTCTTTCTCTTCCTGTGTTCTTCCTCTTCTCGTTCTCCTTGTAAATAAATCTTACTTTAAATTTCTCTCTGCATGTCTGTTTTTTGGTCTTGTCCCAAATTCTTAAACTTCATAAGCATGCAGGTGAGGACTCACAATTTTGGTTTCCCCTATAACAAAGGCAGCTCATGCCACACATTAAAAAATGACATTTGCAATATATATCACAATGAGACACACACTGCTGCTTTTCACACACTCTTGAAGACTGGTAATTAAATGAATTTAAGAGGACAAGGTGTTATGTTCTTTGGTTGAGGAGGAAACTCACCAATGGGATGCCAAATAGGTTGAACTCAAGGATGCTGGGGATGGACCACTGGAGATCATCCCATGTGGCCGCATTGTCTCCCAGCCAATGAGCAACATATTTGCCAGATCCAGCAAAAGTAGAACGGGATAAAATGAAGTGTCTATTTTTGTGGAATATATTCTTCAGGGCCCTGAAAATGAATACAGTTAATTCAATATGAAATGAACTCTGAATGTCTGGAGCTCACCTATATCAAGGGCAGCAATGGGCTTTCCAGCCAAACTGAGAAAAACATCAGGGTATTTTAAGGTGGGTAAGACAGTTGAGCATTTTAAGAATTCTTCCAACTTCTGGATAAAGTTTAAAACCTCATGCACAAAACTCTAGATTCCAACCCCCCCAAGGAATCTCTCTAGGCTCCAATCCTCTTGAATGTAGTTTCTTCATCTTGTTGGATCTTGTTATGTTCTTGCACTTTTGGTCAACAACACAACGGAACCACATTTGAGGTTCTTGGTCTAATCTTCTTCCTTTAGACAAAGTTTTCCCATCATCCCTAAGTTGCATGCCTTGCTGCCCATTCATAATCCTGTTTAGCACAGCACCAGCTCAGGCTGGAATCCTGAATGATGTATGCTTAAGAGAAAAGTTTATATACCAGCTGGTTCCCAGCACCTGGGTTCCTCTGGAGCTTCAGAACTTATTAGCAATTCCCAATGTTAGGCAATATTAATCTATGCAAAATAATATTAATTGAAATGAATAAGTCTCAAAATATGATATCTGATACTCTTTATATATCTTAAAACAAAATATCAATTATTATTTTCATTGTACTAGATAGACTATTTCTTATTAAATAAAACCACACAGAAAGGAAAGGAATTATAAACAGAATTCAGAATAATAATTACTTCTGGATGGGAGGACATGGGGGGGTAGCATATAGTCAGATGTAGACCATTTGCTAGCTTTTATTCTCAACACTTTTCTAATACTCTGCTGAAATGCCTCTTCTGCCTTTCTCCTTCCATGATAACCAGCTCACACCTTCCCATAGTGTTCCAAAATTGAAAATTAGTACAACTACTAGATGCTAGTAGCTGAGCCATGATTGCTGCTAGCTCTTTGCAGGCAAGCTCTTCTCTTCTGTCTTTCCTTACAACACGTGGTCCAAGACCAGTGTATCACCAAGTACAAGGCAATTCTTCATAAATACTGTAAAAGACACTTATGCTTCCCTACTCATATTCCAAAGGGTGTTACGGGGAGTCTACAAATGAAAGTGACTTGTGTAGTAACAGAAGACTGGTTTAAGAAAGTGAAGTGCTCCACTCTGATCATTTAAAGACTAAAAATGGGTGCAGGTTGGAGGAGAGAACTCACTCTTCAATGCCCATCCTCATTTGTCTGTTGATATAGACCAGTAGATAATTGGCTTTTATTGCCATAGACTGGAGGGTTTATTGCACTCTGAAATCATCCATCATGAAAGACACACATTCAGGATTTTCAGAGTGAAACCAAAACTGGGAGGAAGTTATTTGAGGTCACAGTTTACTTAGAGACTGGCTATTATGCTAGCACAAATTAAGTAACTGTCTATTTTTCTACCAGCACAGAGGAACAATTTTACTCAGGGATCCTTAAGTCTCTCTTATCCAGTTTTTGGGTTTGGCCTTTTTATAATCAGGTCCTGAGTTCTGAGAGGATCTGATCTCTTTCTGCATTCAGCGTAGTGGGTGGTGAAATTTATTCTCTGGGTAGACCAATAACCACTATCCCCAAATTAGACTTCCAGCTAACACTGAGCAAAATAGTCAATAGATCTATGACTTAAATTCTCCTAATATTCACTGAGTGGCATTCTTATCCATTTTTTAACCAGCATTATTATGCTCTGATAATACAGAACTGCTAATTGTTCCCATATCATATACTATATCATTCTCCTATATGTCTTCCTATGCTTTTCTCCCCACACAAGATATTTTTACCTGCCCTGTCCATTTGCAAACATACACTTAATGTTTAAACCTCACCTCAGAGGTTAATTCAGAAAATTTTCTGACAGTGGAAAAAGATGAAAGAAAAATATTCAGAAAGGGTTAGACTATGAAGTTCCTTATAGGTCTTGCTAAAAAGGGTTTATTGTACAGAAAACACCAACCCATAAATAATCTTACACAAAGCAGAGAAATGAGCAAAACTGTAATCCAGAAAGATCACTTGAGAGCAGGGAAGAGAGATGCCCTTCACCTGCACCAAACCTGAGAATTTTATTAAAATGAGATTGTGATTCCCCAGGTCTGGAGCCCAAGAAGCTTCATTTCTAATATTTTCCCAAGTGATGCTAATATTTCTGGTCCTTGAACCACACGTTGGGTGCCAAGAAGATAGATTCATGGGAGATAAAACCTTAGTCATACAGAATAATATTCTTTGTAAGTGATCATGATGACCTTAATTAAGAAGTATAAATAAGGCCTCCCTGATGGGGCAGAGGCTTGAGTGCTGCACTGTGAAGCTGTCCGCAGCCTCTGCAGCGTGGGTTCGATTCCTGGCTGGCCAGGGAGATTTCCACATGGCACACCAGACCTCTCCTGTCTCCCTGCTGCTCCCCTCAGCAGTGCTTTCTGTCCTTCTGCCTGGTCTTCTCCCCGCTCTGTCTCTGGTGAATCCTCTCACCCTCCTACACCTCTGGCCTGTACCCCAGCTATTGTATAAATAAAATAAATCTTTTAAAAAAAGAAGTATAAATAGGAGAAAAAGGTATGCTTGTAGTCATGCTGTCAGATCAAAAGAATCAATATCTGATTGCACGTAAGCATGCGATAGGAAGAAACAAATCAGGATGATACCAAGTTTCTCACCTGGGAGTCAGGTAGATAAGAATGGTATTGCTACTAACCAAGATTGGGAATTTAACAAATTTCAAAGATGATATCAGTGCTTTTGGTAATGGGTGTGGTGTAGTAACAGCCATCTGAACAGATGCAAACCTATACCTCTCAATTATATACAGAGTTATAAACCAACGTTAACTCAATAATAAAATAATGCAATAAAAATGTGATTAGCCAGAGTGTGGAGGCTGGATAGAAACAGGTATCAGAGTAAGGTGAGTGTACTGGAGTTACTGTAGACATACAGGTAGAGATCAGAGGGTAGTACTGGATATCTGGGTCTGAAAGTCAGGGAGGTTATCAAATCATCAGAATAAATTACTTCAAAAACCATGAGAAAGAATAAATGACCTATGTGTTGGCATAAAATGAAAAGAGAAGCCTGGCAATCGAGCCATAAGGTTCATCAATAGTGAAAAAGTAGATGAAAAAGATCCAAATGTAGAGGTTGAGAAGGGACAGTGTAAAGAGCAGGAGAGCCGGGATAGAGTTTTGTCTCAAGCATGAAAGCAGCCCAGTTTCAAGGAAGTCCCAAGGAAAGAAATTGGTGGGGGGAATTTGCTGGGAGTGTCTTCAATTTCCAAAGTCATCGGCAAAAAAAATCTACGTGATATGGTATAATAGTACTGAGTACTTTCTAGGATGTATCTGCCTCTTTGCTAGACTGTAATAATGAGTGGTGATGGTGATGGTGGTGGTGATGGCAGTTGTGGTGGTGATGGTAGTAGTGATGGTGGTGGTGATGGTGATGGTGTGTGCGTGTGTGTCTCTTGGGACACAGGAGACAATCAGGAGGGAGAAAGAGACCAACAGTGGGAAAAGAAGTAAGGAGTCTAGAGAATTGCCAGATAAATACAGAGCATTTGGGTAAATTTGAATTTCATATAAACAATGAATAATGTTCAGTGTAAGTATGTCCAGAAAGAATTTAACTGGGTGTCCTGTATTTTTACTTGCTAAATCAGGCAACTCCAGTGCAGTGGCCACAGCACATTCAGTGATGTGACCCAAGCAAGGGCTACTTCCCACTGGGTTCTCTAAGCACCTTTATATTACTGTTCACTAGTATCCTGGGAATAATGAAGTCCCTAGCCACAATTAAAATCATGCATGGGGCCTCCCCGGTGGCGCAGCGGTTGAGCGCTGGGTTGCGAAGCTGCCCGCGGCCTCTGCGGTGCCGGTTTGATCCCCGGCTGCTCCCCGGCCACCAGAGGAGGGTCCCACATGGCGCGCAGACCTCTCCTGCCGCCCGCTGCTCCCCTCAGCAGTGCACTTCGGTCCTTCTGCCTGCTCTGCTCCCCGCTCTGGCTCTGGTGAATTCTCTCACCCTCCCGCGCTTCTGACTGTACCCAGTGCTTGTATAAACAAAACAAACAAACAAACAAAATAAATAAATAAAACATGCCTCTATAAAAAAAAAAAATAAAATAAAATCATGCATGCCTCTGAGACCTGAGTTTCTGCATTCCTATAGCCACAAAAAATATTTGAAAAATATAGCCATGGAAGATAGTAGACACCTCCCACCTCCTAGAATCTGGAATTAGGGGAAAACACAAGTGCTTACGAGTCTGTAGCGATTGCCATCAGGTAGCCATACACACTGTGGAGGTCATAGTGAAAGCTCAATTTCAGCTCAGTGTCCATGCAGAGGGTTTTTTCAAAGAGTATTCTGTCCACTACCCCTGTGAGGAAACATCCATTGGTGAGACATTTCCTCACAGCGACTCTAGCGACATAACCACCCAGTCGTTTGCTCCCTGGTGACATTTCCTGGCCAGTCTCCAGCAGACATAATTCTTTCCAGATTTCAAAGTCTACCTTCAAGGCCACTTCTTACCTGCAGCCTACATGGAGCCCCAGGTAGGTCAGTAAACATTGTTTTGCATTCCCATTAGCCGGGAATGGTGCTGAGTGGCATCACCTGAGAAGCCGCTCTTAGCAAGAGCAATCTATGATTAAAAATAAATAAAAACTGCCCATGTATACGTAACCAAGAAGAAGTGAGTGTACAGAGTCCAGATATGAGGACAATGAAAAGGGAACATTTTCACACTCCAGTCACACTTAAAAAAAATTGAGATGGTAATTGGGTGGTTTCATGAATAAGAGCTTAACTATGATGAGTAAATAAGTCAGAAGGAGAAACACAAATGCCAGATGGCGTCACTCATATGTGAAACAGAAAGAAACCAAAGAAGAGACAAAGCTTAACTGAAACAAGTCTTAGAAACTTTACATTAGAACTGAAACAACCAAGAGGGGAGGTTGGGGGACAAAAAGCAAAGGGCAGAGGGCCCTAATGGGCTGTGGTGGAGATGATGGGACCCTAGTGATGGGTGTGGAGTGGTGACATGCATCTGAGGATGTGTGAGCCTGTACCCCTAAATCATGTTGGGAGCCAATAAAATGAAAAGTCATACCAAAAAAAAAAAAAAAAAAAAAAAGAATTCAACTCTTGCCTCTAGAAATCACCATCATTTCTGTATTTTCCCTTTCTCATGCCTAAAATGTTCAACCTTTTCCACTTGTGGCTGTATTCTCTTTCTTCTCCTTGTAGACCAATAACCAGGTCATATCTGCATCATTCAGGGAGACTTGCCTGCACACAAGGCTTCCATATGAGACCCAATTCCAGAAAGTAATGGAACCAGGAAGCACAGAGGTTGTTTTTCTACCAGCCCATCAAAGTCAGTTATATTGGATTCAGAAATTAAGATGGACTATAAAACATAAAGTAAATTCTATTTCTTGCACAGCTCAGTTTGTAAAATAAGATTCACAACCACCCCAATTATGAGAAAGAACATTAATGCTTTCCCAGGGTCAGTAGTAATTCATCAAAATATTTGTGACACTAATGTGTACTGCCCAGTTCTGGAAAGGGGAGAAGCACACCAACTATGAGACCAATCAATCTGCCCTAAGTAGGTAGACAGATGCTTAGGGAGCAGTGCTCTGCCCCAGTGCTTGCCAGAAGCAGGGAGAAGGTGATGGGTTTGCAGTTTTCTGTAGAAAAAAAAACTTAGTTTTGCCAAGAAGATTAAGAGATTGAAAAGGAAACATGACAAACTGATCCAGAGAGAGAAGATACAGGAAGAACATGAACTGAGCAGAGAAGAACAAAGAATAAGTGAGGGGACCAAACCAGCGTTTCTGCAAGAAGGTAAATGGTTTGGAGTTGAGGTTCCACCTAAAAGTCTTTCCCTCCTTCAGTGACAAAAAGGGGTGCAATTAAAGTTAGAGGTACAATTGAAGTGGACAAACCAGAATAAACTGGCAGAGGCAGGCTAGATGCTCACCAAGCCTGTGGTCTCTTCCTGAAAGTATAAAATCTGATTTCACATTTTGGAATTAAGGAGTATGTTACTGGGTTTGGTCAAAGGAACTGAACAAATTGAATATACCCACTTCCAAGCCTGTCCAGAAAGCTCCTCTGCCCTCTCTGCCCTTCACCTAGGAAGCCAGAAGCAAAGGACTCCAAGATGGGAGAAACAGATAAAGGAAGTAATAGACCCCTGAGTGACTGCTTGGATGAGAATAGCTCATCCATCCTGGAGTACTAGTTAGGAGTAAAAAACACACTTTCATCATGTTGATCCACTGAATGTTGGGATTCATTTATTTTAACAATGAAGAGCATATTTGATTCTATACTATTTCTTATACATACACACAAATACACATGCATTTTCAGTCAAATTCAGGGAACGGAAAATTGACATTAACAAGAAATAGGACTTACAAATAGGCAGGACCTAAAAGGAACCATTGCTGCTTTAAAATGGTGCTAATGAGCTTTGAAATAGTAAAGTTACAGAATTAGTGCAGTGGAAGGTAGCCTGCACCTTCCAGTGTTCTGATACTGTGAGAAATGCTGAAATTGAAGCATAAGTGTGACAGGATTGGAGGATGCAAACAGGGTGGAAGCAGAGCTCCACAGCAGAGGTGCACACCACAGATGTACCCTTTCCCCCACATGCTCAGTCTGGGACAACAGTGCTACAAGGTCATCAGAGACCAGACAGTGCTGTCAGGTCTCCAGAGGAGGAGAGGTGAGTGTCTGCGAGCGCCCCTCAGCCACACTGAGTACTACTTAGGTCATCTGAAACCTGTCCCATGACTACATCAATGGCAAAGTGTGAATACTTACGAGGCGTGAAGGGAGGGGTGTTCAAAGGGTTGTTTTCACACGTGTAACTAGAATTCAAGGGAAGGCTGAATAAATCATCCCTTTCCTTCAAAGACACAAAATACACAAAATGAAAAATGTTACTGATGTAGAGTCGGCTTTGAGGAGTATCTATGAACTGGAAGCCTACTGAATCTGGGGTTTCTTATGAACTGATTTGGGGATCTTGAGTACTCTTCCTCATCTGTCTTAATGTCTATTTTAGCGTCAGATTAGATGGTACCGTAAGTGCCACCCAACACTAAAAAATACCAGGACTTTTAACCTTTTATACATTGATTTCAGTCAGTTAATTACTTAATATTCCAAAGGCAGAGCTTGTGTACCATGAGTTTTGTAACTTTTATTGTTGCTTTTGTTGACTACACCTTGCCCTAAAGAACCTAAGATATGGGAACAGTTCCATATCATTTCCTCTGCCTATAACCCAGTCAGTGTGGGGCAAGTGAAGATAGAATTGAGACCAAATCCAATTTTTCAAAATAGACTATAAATAGGTGAAACTGAATCCTGCTAACAGATAATTTTCCAGATTTCAATGATATATATCCAGCTAATAAAATATAATGGGCTCATTAAATGATTTCTTAATCATTAACTTTAAGTTGTAATGGATATGTGCAATAAATAGTAGCAATTATAGCTCCTAATAAAATATTTTTAAGTTGAAAGGCAATTAGTGGAAGAAAATGCTGACGCCATCAGAAAGCAAAGAACTTTCCCAAAAAGAAATAACTAGTGGCAGATACAGAATTAAAACCTGGGATTTTAAGGGGTTTAATTTACTGGATATAAGCTCAGCATTTAGTAAAAGGATTTTAAAATACTACTGTGTCAAGCTGACTGTTTATTACAGACCAGAATCAAAGTTCATCTCAAAACCTGGAATGTCCATTTCCAAAAGAAATTTGATCCCAGAACAACTTACAATCCACACTCCATCAAACGTCAGATTTTTATAAAATTCATTGAGCTGGTCTTCCCACCACTGAGTACAAATTGGATCACTATAATCAGGAAAAACTGTCGGTCCAGGGTATCCCTATAGAACAAAGAAGAAGATGACATCAATTAGTTCTGTGGATGGTTCCCTTATGCATTCATTGCTGGTTATTATTTCTGTATTATGTATACACATCTTCTTGATCCACTTATCTGTTTGGCAGCATTTAGGTTGTTTCCATATCTTAAGACAATGGTACCTCATTAATAAAAAACAATTACAAAAGGCAAAAAAAAAAAGGGAGAGGAAAAAAAGTTCAGCTTCCAAATGCCAAAAAATAGATGACTGGATCAAGAAGATGTGGCATATACACACAACAGAATATTCCTCCATAATCAAAAAAGATAAACTCATCCCATTCGCAGCAACATGGATGGAGCTAGAAGGAATTATGCTCAGTGATATAAGCCGGAAGGAAAAAGAAAAATACTGGATGGTCTCACTTATAGGAGGAATATAGGGGAACAAAATAAAACATCAGTGTAAAAAAAATAATAACAGTACAAAGCACAACAAAGCAAAAACAGACAATTATAAACCAGAGACATCCTGCAGGGCATAGGCAGGAGAGGGATCAGAGGGATGGAGGGAGGAGCCCAGGGGACTGGGGTGATGGTGCACGGGTGCATTGGTAAAGGAAATTCTATGGGCTCTACAGCTGGGGGTGGGAGGGGGAATCAAATATTGTTTAAAAATGAATAATGATGTAAAAAACAATTCTTTTAAAAAGTTCAGCTTCCTTAAGAGGCTCTTCACCAGCCTACATTAACTCCTGAAACTGCTACCTTAAGTAAAGGTTGGACACTGTAAGTTTCATGTAAATTAAAAAGACAGTCACTGAAACATTGGCCTAGAGCATCTTGCTGCATTATCACAGTTGAATTTATTGTTTCGGGAAAGAGAAACTAGGAGGTGGGAGGATGTTACGAAAAAATGAATTTTCTTTAAATAATATATTGCTTTTCAATCATGAGTAGTATTAGAGGGGCAAGAACTAGCTTTATAGAGACCAGATCTTAATTATTCCAACCACCAAAAAAAGAAGAAATGATAATCATATGACATGATAGAATGTTAAGTGCACCTATAATGGTAATCATATCCCAACATACAAATGCATAAAATTAACATGTTAAACTTATACAGTGTTGCATGTCAAATATGTTTCAATTTAAAAAGTAAATCCTTCAGAATTTTAATCACTCTCCTATTACACCTACTGTTTTAAAATAATAAAGGAAACCTCTAAAGCCATATAAATGGTAACAATACTATAACTTGCCTTCCACCCACCATTATACCTAAGTGCCAACTTCCCTAAATCATCACCAATTACTCTGATTCATGCCATCAACTTCTAAAAAATTACCTTCCCGAGGACAAAGCCAGAGTTGTCTATGATCCATATTCTCTTTTCAGTTCCATCTCTGTAGGGCTGGTAACTAATATCACTGAAGATGCCAGGAGTCTAATAAATAAATATGAAAATAAAACTTGCTTTTGTCAATTTCTTTTCTTTTTTTTTTTTTTTTTTTTTGAGGCATGCTTTATTTATTTATTTGTTTGTTTTGTTTATACATGCACTGGGTACAGTCAGAAGCGCGGGAGGGTGAGAGAATTCACCAGAGCCAGAGCGGGGAGCAGAGCAGGCAGAAGGACCGAAGTACACTGCTGAGGGGAGCAGCGGGCGGCAGGAGAGGTCTGCGCGCCATGTGGGACCCTCCTCTGGTGGCCGGGGAGCAGCCGGGGATCGAACCGGCGCCGCCGAGGCTGCGGGCAGCTTCACAACCCAGCGCTCAACCGCTGCGCCACCGGGGAGGCCCTTTTTTCAATTTCTTTTGCCCTTTGAAAGGTAAAAGTAGGCAACAGAGAGTTTGAACATACCACAATCATGACAGATTTCAGTCCCTTTTGATGTAGCTCCTCTACATAACTGGAGAGATTAGGGTAAGCCGTCTCATCAACAGTGAAATCCTTGTTTGCCTCCATGTAGTCTATGTCAAAGTACTGGACATCCTGAAAGAGAGAGCCAGCCAGCTAGGACCTAGGCAGTGTCGCCAGCAATATGACACCTCTGCTCCATAACCATCAAATCAGAAGCCATCATTTCTTAATGGTCCTGGTAGCTCCAGGACTCAGCTGCCTCCAGAGGAAAGAGCCCTTTCTGAAAGGGCCTCTAATGTTGCAGTTGGAGCGCTTATGGCTACCAGATGCATGTCCTAAGATCACGGGTGAGACTGGGGGACAAGGACAAGGACTGTGTCTTGCTTATCTCTGTAACTTGAGGACTTGATACTTGTCCTACAACAGGTCCTCTCTCATTGTTGGTTTGAACATGTATGTTAGTCATGCTATAAGCACATGCTAACTGGACCCTAAACATCAAGCTAGAACACACCATTGGAGGAGAACAAGGTCTTCCTGTCCTTTAACACTGTTAGAATACAGCTTAACAGTGATCAATGACAATGAGCTTTAGTTAACCAAACTCTTATACGGACACTATTATTGTGGTTGCATACTCACCTGTGAGGAACAGGTACTATTCTTAGTGAAAAGATTGAAATGAGAAGGGGTTAAGTAACATTTCAAAGGTCATGTGCGTGGGAAGGTTAGGAGGTCACTAAGGGCTCTGGTGGTCTACCCTTTGACCCCAAATGTTCTCTCTCTCTTTTTTTCCCAAACTGACATGTGCAGGTCTTCTAAGAAAGGGTCTATAGAGTCATGCTTGACTCTGAGGGCAATGGTATTTGTGACTTGGGCCAAGGCAGCAGGAGCAGCTCTAATTCTGCAGTAATATAGGACCCAGGCACCCACCACAGCCACATGGTGGGAAGATGATGTGTAGGACATAAGCTCATTTGTTTCTACATAAGCAATACCTCAAAAAGACAAACTCCAAATGATTTCACGCATGTGTTGTATATATAGAAAAAACAAGGAAACGAATGAACTAAATAAAATGAAAATAAAATTTTGGATTTTAAGACCAATTAGTAGTTACTGAAAGGTAAGTGGGGAGGGGTGGGTACTCTGGGAAAAGGGGAACACCAGTATCATGAAGGATAGAATTGGATTTTCAGGGTGAACTTAATGTAGTCTATATGGGTGTTGATTCTCAACAATGTACAACTGATACGTACTTTTCTAATACAATGTTAATTTAAAAAATGTCCTCCCCATAAGAGGCAGAAGGACAGATTGAAACCAACATCATCAAAGCTGAAATAGCTCTCTTTGGAGCCTGGTCCTGCTGTTTCACCAGCTCTGGGGAACTCAGTAAAGTTACTAACCACACAGTGTCTATTTCCTTATTTACAAAATACTGATGGGTAATAAAGATGTGGCAAGATTTGGTCTTATTCCTCCTAGAATTGGGTTCTTGCAGATAGCTTATATGGGAGAAGCAAAAGGAACACAGAATCGATTTTCCCTTAACACCAGAGCAACAGAGTGAGTTTTCTCACAGAAAGAAAATCATCTCCCAGCCTACCCTCATTGCTACTCTGAGTGGGGACTGAAAATTCTGAGATCAAAGTCAGCTCTACCCATAATCTTCCCTCCTTCCTTTAGATGTTAACCAAATATATGTTTGATTAACAGTTCCAAACAGTTCAAAACAAATAGCCCCCCACCAAAAAAAAAAAGTTTCATAACTTCATTAACCATATGTTACCTACCTCCTGGAGGAACTTATCAAATATTATACATTTAATAGTTATCTTTTATTATCTACTAGTAAACTTTGAACACCATAAATACTTTGTAACAATAAAGCTTTCAAGATTAGAGTTGGCTCCACCAGGAAGGAGCATACAAAGTCACTGTGAGAATTCAGGGTATTAACCACATCACCCCAGGTGTTGCTTGTGTTATAAAATCATAGCTGACTTTGACAGATTTCATCCTCTGTGCTGCAGCCATTATATGCAGATATAAGGCAGTCCTCACTACCAGTCCACCATGTCAGTCTTACATTTTATAAAGCAGGAAGCTAAGATCAGAGATGCTAATTAACCAGCCCAGTGTTGTATAGAGCTCAGAGGTAAAGCTAAAATCTAAACTATATCTGACTATAAACTGTGGTCATCCCAGAAGATAGGAAACTTAGCTCACACATTTCTGACAGTAGTTGTGCCTGTCTGTCCATCCGTCTATCCATCTATCTATCTATCTATCTATCTATCTATCTATCTATCTATCTATCTATCTATCTATCTATCTTTCTCCTAATATCTATCAGATGCCTGAAGTCTAAAAAAAAAAAAAGGAAAGGATGCTTTATGCATGATAAGAGAAGTTCCAACTTACATAGGGGACACTGGCGTTACGAGTCCTGCTAACAACAGTTTTCAATTTGTTGATGTCACCATAGGCCCTGCGACCAAGCTGGAACCCAAGGCTCCAGTACGGAGGCAGGAACGGTCGTCCAACAAGCTGAAAAGATAAAGAAAGAGGCATCTAAACATTTAGAACAAATGCTGTTTCAGCACCATGTAGACGCTGAAATGCTGTCTCCATTTCATTCTCTGGGATCTAAAATGTCAGATCCACAAGGAATCTTCTAGGATAATTTGCAAAATCCCACAACTCATATCTTTCTTTATTAAGTACTGAATATATTCCCAATAACTAAAACATCAGAAAAGAATGGAATTTTCAGAAAATCTGGGAGAAAGAAGTAAGATTCAGCCACTGAGTAAGTATTTTGTGAGTGTTCGTGGGTGGCAAAGGTGGATGTGGGCACCTGGGATAGAGGGGCATGAAGCAAGTAGACTTCCTGCTCCTGCAGAGCTTAAAGGAAATAAGCAAGTGAATGTCTAATATAAATTCAAGCAGTAGTATGTGCCAAGGAGAAATAATAAGATTAAGAGTGGGATAGACATAGAGATGTTGAAATAAGTGCACAACCCCAATCTACAAGTTATTGAGATAACATTCTGAGGAGATCCGGAGAATGCCCCAGGTTACATGGCATCCTGAGCGCTCAGATCATCCAATCTCAGTCCCCTCAGCACAGAGCTTTCTCTCATGTCTCTGAATTTCCAAATAGCTTATTTGCACCTTATTAGTGGGGGATTTATTCTAAGGTGTCTCCACTTATAATAAATTCAGGCAGTGTCAAAAATCTCCTATTGGATTTTAAATTGTCCAGCATCTCCAAATATATTTCATAGACCTTTTGTGTGTCATCTTGAACAAATCACTTCACCTTTCTCTAGCTTAGTTTTTTTGATGTCAGAATAAGGAGCTCAGGCTAATGGTGCCTAGTGTTCTTTCCTGCCCTATAGTTTGAGCAAAAATTAACACAGTTTCTTTTATATAGTCTCATCTCAATAAATTTTATTCACTGAATGAGTAAATAAACTTTGCTGATTCCTGGCCTTAGACCTCTGGAATAGGATCACACAGAGAGGGACTAAGAATTCCCTGAAAACAGGATGGAATCGGACAACTTTGCATTTCTCAGTTTTTGCACAGAACCTCTGTAGCATGCAGACAGCATCTGATAAATGTACATAAAAATAAACATACAATGAATGAAAGACTCATAATCAGGGCATTTATAATCCATAGTTTCCTCACCAATTTTATTGTTCTTTTGTTGGCTTGTAATTAGCATATGAGATAATAGTGATAAAGAAAAGACTACCTAAATGCAAACCCGTACCTCCAAGTATTCCTGAACCACTTGTTCTGGAGTATTCCCCAGGAATACATAAAAGTCAAGAATGCCCCCAATTGTGCGGTAAGTGATTGCAGGAGCAGGCTGAAGGGTGACCTCTGAAAGGATTAAAATGAGAGTTATTAGAATTTTGTGATTGAAGATACATTCTTCTCTAGAATAGGAATACCTGAGGCATCCCAAACCAATTCATTCTCATTTTGAAGGAGATGAAAATCACACACATTACATTTGTTAGATGATCACTGAACTTTATGAATAAAACACTAATGAAGAATTGATCTTTTAAGAGAAAGAACAAATTCTATTTTAATCTGGTTATATAATAACACAAGTGTCTGGGATTTGTGAGTGATTTCACCCATAGGAAAAGCTTTTAAAACATGTTTTTAACTACAGTTAAAAAATAAAAAGGAAATTAAACCCTTCGTAGAACACCACTAGTCCAGAAACTAGAGGAAGAAAGTTCTGGAACGGGGAAGGAGTGAATTACGAGAAACAGAGCACACAATACAGCCTTGTTGCCTACACAGACAGCATGGCCTATGTGCAAAATCTACTGCCTTGTTTGGAAGATGCCCATCAATGGATCTTATTGTCTATAGTATTATGGGAAAAGTGCATCAAAAAAGTGTCCTGGACAATTTTCAATAAAAACAGCTTTCAGCATGAAGTAAATTTGAAAACAGATGACCCTACTTTTGGCTTCCGGTTCCCACAGGCCATTGTACATCCAATACATCTTCCATTAAACAATGATCTCACCATGAAAGTCATTGTTATAAAAGCAGCACATCAAGCCATGTTCCTGCCAAGACAAAAAGGTGCTTCCTACCCATAGCATTGCTGTTCATCAGAAAAATCCCGAAGGAGGACCCACTGGTGTCTTCAAGGCACAGGAGGAATGTGTGTGCACCATACAAATTGCTCATACCCTGTCAACAGAGAGGGAAAAATGATAGTGCCCTGTGTTGAAAACAATTTCATCCACCCTACAACAAAATCAAAAGCTGTGTACAACATGTACATGGTCTCTGGTTTATAATTGTCTGTTTTTGCTTTGTTGTGTTTGTACTGTTATTATTTTTTTTACACTGATGTCTTATTTGGTTCCCCTATATTCCTGTTACAAGCGAAACCATTCGATATTTTTCTTTTTCCTTCTGGCTTATTTCACTGAGCATAATTCCTTCCAGCTCCATCCACGTTGCTGTGAATAGCATAAGTTTATCTTTTTGATTGCTGAATAATATTCCTCTGTGTGTGTGTGTGTGTGTGTGTGTGTGTGTGTGTGTGTGTGTGTGTGTATATATATATATATATATACCAATCTTCTTGATCCAGTCATCTGTTTTTGGGCTTGTGGGTTGTTTCCAGGTTTTACCTATTATAAATAGTGCTGCAATAAACATAGGGGCACAGGCTGGCTTATATTTTCTATGCCTTTGAATATTTTTCTTTCATTTTCTCAGCAATACATTTTCATTATATTTACAAAGGCACTGCCCATTTCTAGATTTTAAAAAGGAAAGAAAAAAGAAATTACTCCACAATTCATCTTTACTGCTTTAATGTGCATGTGATTCATTTGGTGATCTTGTTAAAATGCGGAATCTGATTCAGGCAATGGCCTGAGATTCTGCATTTGTAACAACCTCCCAGGTGATGCCAATACTGCTGTCGCTAGAACATACTCCAACTAGCAGAGACCTAGAATAATATTCAACCTGTCCAAACAGGCATTTTTTTCATCCATAAAGTTCTGCTGAGATCAGTCACCGCTGAAGTCCTCCTGTAGATACTCCTCATTTACACAGACATAGTCATTTAGCAGAAGTAGTTTCTAATACGTATGAGGCTATCATAGAGTCATTAAATATTTCTGCCTTAAAAAGTGAGATGTTTGAAAAGTCAATATAGAAGGAAGTATGAGTTTTTAGCCCTCAAGTATTCCCTAACACAAACAGGTCCAAACTGGACGTGAAACAACACAGCTAGAAGAATAGCTGGAGGGACTTTCCACAAGGCAGGGAGCGGTTCTGTCCTGGGAGCAACAAGCAGAAAGAAGGGAAGCTCACCTTGACCGGAGGGGTGTCCCGGGTGAATATGGGCCAGGTCTTCCAGGCCATGCTGTGGCGGTACTGCCCGTGCACGTGTTCTCCCAGCCCGTACACGCTGACGTTGGGCAGTCGGAAGGACAGCTGCAGGTACTGGTTGGTGAACAGGAGGGGCCCGATGCTGCTGTCCAACCTGGCCGTGGAGCAAGAGGCAGTCACCCAACAGCACTCTGTGCCAGGAGACCGGCTACTCCCTTCCCTGCTCACTTGGAGAGCAGCTGTGTTAGGTATTGGCAGCTGCTCTCAAGCTCCCTGGGAAGGACTTTTGAGGGTGTCCCTGATTCCTTAATTCCTAAGTAGCTTCACAAAGGAGATGTGATGCCAGAAACCCAAGTTGGATAATTGGGGAAAAGAGTAGATGTGCCCTTGCATTTCCTGGCATTTACTTGATGCCAGGCACTACTTTGAATGTTGAGGTGGTCCTGCACCCCAGGGTCCTTGGGGTTGCCAGTGCTGCCTAATGGGATGGGTGTAAACTAGCTTTCCAACCAGCCCCCAGGACCTGGACAGAGCAGTGCATCTCAAATTCCAACACCTAACATCTGGACAAAATGCTGGGTACAGTACCCTGGCCTGAACTCACCCCCTGCTCTGCTGAGAGAGGAGGCTGCTGGGAAGGGGGCAGAGTGGCCATTTTGTGATCCTTTAATATAGAGGAATCACATGGGCTTGCTTGATTTGGTTGTGGGAGCTACTACAGGCAGCAGCTGGATGGGGGAGCAGCTTCACTCCTGGGGGAGGGGGTCTCAGCAGCTCCACTGTATCAGCTCCCATAGCCTCAACTCCTCTTCATACCTTCAGTAGGTAACTGGAACTTCCCCTTTCCCTCTTTTCTGCTAGTTCTCCCTCTACCCTGTTGGATAGAATAATATTTTTCTTTTTCTTTTTCTTCTTTTTTTTTTTTTTTTTGCTGCAACAAAGACTCTTTTACTTGCATTTGTGGTAGCCGGTGGCTGGACCCAGAACCAGTAAGAGATTCTGACTCAATGAGTTTTTAGACCCTTTGTCTAGTAACATTAGGGCTTTATACATATTTATAGATACTATAAATATCTCAGTATATACATCCACAATGGATATTTTCATTCCCTTTCTATAGACAAAGAAACTGAAACTGATGAGGTGAGGTATTTTGCTTGGTATCACAGAGCTGACTGGTGATTTGGTACCCAGATTTGAATATATGTCTTGCTAATATTAATCCTCATATTTTTCCAGTATAATTTATGATTTAAGCTTAGACTGTTGTTAGGGGCTTGACAGGAAGTTTCTCAGGAACTAATCATTTGGAATGATAAACAGTGAAGTTGAGTTCACTTCAACGTAAGTCAAAAAAAATTCCGTATTTCATAACACACATGAACCACGAGAGTATTTATATACCTTAACAAAATAGCTCATTACATTTCAGTATCCTTGACACTGCTATCATGACAGATAAACAGTGCTAATGATTTATGGTGAAAGTATCATGGTCTCCCTTATTTTATTGTGGTGATAGTGGGAACACATATTCGAAGATAAAGAAAGAGGGTTGAAAACTCACAAGACTTTGTTGTTGCTTTTCCTCACGACTTTGAGGCTGAAAGGTTTATCATTGACCTGCCAGTCATAACTCTTATTGTCAGTCTCGGCAGTCCCATTAAATGGCATAATGTTTCCATGGGGGACTTCATAGCGTCTGTTCTTGGCATCCGTGATCTGTCAGAAGGAAAACTTCCATGTAAGATCATTTCCTTGTGGTGTGCTACAAAAGATTTTCACTCTCGAATAACCCCTGAGGAGAGCAGCTTTGAATCCTCAACCCTAAAGTTTCTGATTGGTGAGAAGAAAACACCTAATCAGGTGTTGGCCATCAAATATAAATCAGCCCATCAAGGGATTCCAGAGGCCCCCTCCAGAGCCTACACCCCTCTGCACAATTCACAAAGGAGAATGATCTGGACCCAATGTAGGGGTGCTTCTTTCTTCAGAGGTGTAGTCAGTGGTAACACCCAAACAAACCTTAAAATGGAAACGTCTGGCCGTCTGATTTTCAGCTGTGAAGAGGGCGTCGATGCTGTCATTTCCAAAAATTAATGGGGTCGGCAACCTCTTCAACTGGGCGACATATTCTGGGAGCGGGGAAGGGTGGGGAGGCAGAGAGGACGCAAGAGAGAAAGAGGGAAGCATTTAGCCTCTATTTTACAATTAACTTATCTGGACCATAAAGAGCTGATCCCTGGGAAAATATTAGCCCAGTACTCACGTGCGCTCACATTTTTCTGTCTGTTTCTGACTTCATAGCCCCAGTTGGTGGGGAAGAAGCAGCTGGGGACATTAATATTGGCCACAGGCGCCCAGCAGCACTTGTACATCCCTACGCAGACTTCCTGTATGACAGCAGAGTCAGCATTACAGAGAAGAAGGGAGAGAATTATATTTGTCTTTTTATTTATAAGCAATTTTATTCTAAGAAGAATTAAAGATAGGTCATAATGATATTCAATCATTCATTTTTTTCTTCTTTTATTCAAGCATATATCCAGTTATCCACTATGTATTTATTAGTTACCAGACAAGACACAGTTCTTGTCTTAAGCAAACTTGTCAGAGGAACAGTAAAGAGCAAACTCTGAGCCAGTGAATGGCATCTTGAACGGACCCCACCCCATCTCTACACTGATGAGCTCTCAGGCATCAAGGACTACAACTCCCAGCATGCCAGGAACCTGAGTAGTCAGGGAAATTCAAGACAGTGAAAGTAAGAAGGCCTTGCTGTCTTGCCCATCTGGTGCCAATGACTGCCTGTAGCCATGTGCTGCCAATTCTCACTGTTCCTTCTCCCTTTCTCCACCCTGTCTCCCTCCTTCTAACTTCCCTTATAAATATATATTTTTTAAAGAAAATTCTATATATCCATCTGCTTTGGGGTCTTGTCCCAAGTTTTTAAGTGCAGGTGTGATGACTTACAAATCAGGGCACCCTCTTTTATTTCTGGGGTTGCCCACTAACAAACTCGGATCTGCTGATAAAGCCAGACAATTCAGTATGATGAGATGACATGAGACATGAATGCTCCATAGTGGGCTCAGGGGCTAAGGGAACACAGCGGTGGCTGCACCCAGCCTGGGAAGCTGCAAGTAGGGTGGGGAGGGCTTCCAGGCAGGTGGGTGGTGTGTGCAGTCCTACAGCACTGGGGGAGGTTACACAAGGGACAGCAGAGAGGCATTCCAGGCAGATAAAGCAGAAATGCATGATAGACTCAGGAAAAACACAAGTTCATTGTGCCAAATGCAGGAGTAACTGAACTGAGGCTGGGAACACCTAGGATCCACACCACATGTCTGATGCCAGACTACACGGCTCAGACTTTTTCATGAAACAAGAAGACATGGCAAGAGAGCAAGAATGAAGTGGAAAATAAAGAGAAAACAGAATTAAGACAGAGGGTGACAAAAATTTCGCAGCTGCTTCTTGCTTTAAGTCATTTCAGCTTACAAGAGTTTTCATAGGCATGCTCTATTTTCAGATAGTAGAGGAAATGGGTGATGCTAAACTTGTTACTTTGGGGGTATCTTGAAGTATTTGTTTGTAGGTTGAGGAAGTGAGGAGAGATGCTGGCCATGCACCAGCTAATAAACTGCTCCCCATCCACAGACAAGCACCCACACTCTCTCCAGAAGTTCTTTCCCTCCCTCCAAAATACCCAGTGTGAGCCAAGGTAAAAAAGACAGGCAGTCATAGATAATTAAGTTCAAAGATGACAGTCGAGAACTACTAAACATTTGAGAGAAACCAACACCATGATAGAAAAGTAATAAACTTAATTAAAAAAAAGGGGAGGAAACAATTGATACAGAAAACCCATAAGCCTTCAAAATATATACAATTATTATCTTCAAAGAGAAGTACACATCCTTGGCATATATTTTATTTTTTTCAGGTATTGAAACTATTTTAATTTACATTTTATATAACTGATATTAATTTGTGTTTTGCTATTGGATTTCTTTTTTGAACAATATAGTTAATGAATTTGATTTAATGAATGTAAGTACATCTCTGAGCACAATAATTAGCAAGTATCAAATATTTTAAACAATTTGCTTAGACATCCCATATATTGTATATCCTCTAACCATATGAAATTATTTTAGAAATTAGTAATTAACAATGTACATAAAAATATCCAAAAATATAAATAAAAATATAATTCCCTATAAAGCTCAATCAAAAGATGATGATGGCAAGCAATGTGAATATGTTGCTTCTATTTTAAGAGCCACAGAGAATATTGAAAGTTGAGATATCAGACAAGAAGATTTAGTACTTCCTAATATTTGGACCTAACAACCAGAGGAAAAAAATCAAATCAAGTTTCAGATGATCTTAGAACATAATACACAAAGATAAAGAAGTGAGGAGAATGAGAATCCTCTTGGCAGCAACAAAGGGGATGAAGACAGAGCAGCGCCGGGAGGGCCCAAGGCCAGAGAATGAGTGATGTCATAGCTGGTGAACGACCCAAAACACATAGCCCAAGAAACGAGGCAAGAGCAAAATGAGCTCCCCAAAAGTACATGAAAAATTAATGAGGAAAAGTAATTCATGAAAGAGAGAAGCCAATGCCCACATTCAGCCATTCAAAACACTAATTGAATGGCTAGTTTGTCCAGGTCTTTATCAAGGTCCTGGATTACAGCTCTGCCACCAAGCAGGGCTGGGGAGACACATGGCACCATGAACTAAATGCCCCTTGTCTCTACCCATGCCTTGAGATGCCACACTTAGTATGACCAGATGTAAGTGCACACATGTGAGCATAGAAATCTGCTTCTGGGACTTCCCATCACATTCCAAGTCTGAGTAGGCCTTCCTGCTGTAAGGCCTTGCTGGTAACTTCTATAGTATAAGGGTATGGTTTGATAGAGTTAGACGATCAATAAATCTAAAGAAAATTCTGTAAGATCAAGGAAATGTAAACTCTTACCAAGTCCAATTTTAACAGAAAGAGGAGACAAGGTTAGAAACAAAAGGAGAGAATGACAATGACTACATAGGGTATTTTTAACATTAAGAAGAATTTCAGCAAAACTAATTGTACAAATGCCTGCCAATTAATGTGACATTCTAACTTGAATCTTTAAATAGTAAAATATAATTAAAATTAGGTAAGAAGAGAAAGAAAACCTAAAGGGAGCAGTAACTATGGAAAATTTTAAGAAGTAGTCAAAGGAACTGTCTCTAAAAAAATAATACCTTGGCAAGATGATTTAGGGATGGAATATTCTCATTACAAGTATATATGGGAATATATATCCATACATATACAAAAATATAGATAGATAGATAGATAGATAGATAGATAGATAGATAATTTCAAAAGTAGAAAAAAGTGAAAAGTTTCCTGATTCATTTTATAAAACTGGAATAATTCTGGTAACAAACTAGGCAAGGACAGTCCAAATAAACAAGTAAGCAAAAAATATATATATGCCAATTTCATTTAAAAAACATAGATGCCTAAAGATTTAGTGCAGTAGTAGCAATTTTAATCCATTAGGGTATTAAAAGAATTAATGCACTATAGCCAGGTAAGACTTTCCAAGTGAAAGTTAAAATAAGTCAAAATTAAGAAATCTTTAATTAATTAATTAATTAAAAATTAAAAATGAATGAATAAAAATTAAAAAGGAAATCTTTCAATGATTCCCAACATCAATAAAAAACAATGCTATCATGTCAAAGAAAGTAAACTTTTTAAACTTTAATGATGTAAATTTATTTTTTTAATTAATTTATTTATACAAGAACTGGGGCACAGGCCAGATGTGTGGGAGGGTGAGAGGATTCACCAGAGACAGAGTGGGGAACAGAACAGGCAGACTGAAATACACTGCCAAGAGGAGCAGGGGGCGAGACAGGAGAGGTCTACCACACCATGTGGGTATCTCGCCGGCCAGCTGGGATTGAACCCATGCTGCAGAGGCTGCGGACATCTTCACAGCGTGGCGCTCAACCACCTGCGTCACCAGAGAGGCCCTGATGTTGTAAATTGAAGTGCCCAAAATTCATAAAGCTAATTGAAAAATAATATAAGGTATAATCAAAACTGTATTAAAACAAAAGTAAAAATATACAAATATATGTGAAAAATATGTAAATTATATGGAAAGCACATAAAGACAAGTTTAGAAGGTTACACACTATTGGATTTGGACATAGGGGGACCACTCCGAACAAGAGCACCCCTAATATCTGCACATAACTATAATGTTGGAATCTTTCTGCTTAAAGGAACATAGTCAGTATAGATTATGTAATAAGAAGGAAAAGACTATGTCACAACACTATTCCCTGGGATAAGGTAGAATCTATGTAACATCCGATGCAATTGCTGTAGGGAACTATAATATGAACATAGCTTAAATAAATGTCTCCTGCCTACTATAAAAAAGCAATCACAGTAAAATCACAAAATCTTCTTAACTGTGCTCACAAAGTCTCCATAGATATAATTAATATTCCTGCCTCATTCTCTTCAGTCAGGGACTAAGTAGAGAAAGGGGTTGGGTTTCTGGAAATTTTCTGCATAACTGATTTTCCTAAGTCTGAGACAGACTTTAAGTACTTTTGCAACCTCTGAACTCTTGATATATGGAGTATAAAAGGTCAGTTTCAAGGTTTTAAATTGTTCCAAAGTCTTTAGACCTCCATAAAAAAGGTGCAATGAGACAAGAAATCTAGTTCATTCAGGTAAATATACAATCTGCCCCAATAATCCCAAGTCAGTTTTAAGCCACTCCTACTATCCTAGACACCAATACCTTTGAGATACTGTTGTGATACTGTCAACCTATGTGACTACTACAATAACACAGACCCTCATAAACTCATCCCCAGACTGCAAATTTGACTCATAATAAATCACTTCATCTCTACTATTTCCTTAACGTCAAACTTTTTCCTAGAGTATTCACTGGGTATCTTCCAAATAGATTTATTTCTATGTCATTTTCCACTAAGAAATTATTGAATTTAAGAGAAAATTGACATGGAAATTACCTAATCCAACTTCCATTTGATACAGAACTTTTTTCAATAGTCTCTGAAAGATGCTTAAATTCTATACATAGTCCATTCCTTCCAAAATCAGAAAGTCCACTTTCATAGTTAACATTTTACCGCTATTTCTTATGCTTATTCAAAATCAGTCTCAAGAAAGTTCTAGTCTCTAAGACCTATTATACTCATAGATTGCCTCTTAGATAAAATATCTCAAACAATGGGCCTCCAAGGTGGTCTAGGGGTTAAGTATCAGGACTATCAACCCTATGACCTGAGTTCAATCCCCAGCCAGGGAGCTGACCCACATATGGCGCAGCAGACCTCTCCTGTCTTCCCGCTGCTTCCCTCAGCAGTGTATTTTAGCAGATCCTCCTGCTCTGTTCCCTACTCTGTCTCTGGTGAATCCTCTTACCACTCACACCTCTGGCCTACACCCCAGTTCTTCTACACAAAAAAAAACCCTCAAACTATATTGAAAAATTAGAAGAAGGATCTTCAGTGTTAGAAGACAAGGAGAAAAAGAAATGCATATTAAAAAATAAATTTAATTGTTCTTATTTGCAGGTAGCATATGTATTAGAAAAATCCAAGAATCTATAGATAAACTAAGAGAATTAATAAGTAAATTCAGGAAGCTAACTGATTATACAATCAACATTCAAAAACATTAATTTTAAATCTGTATGCCAACAACAGTTGGACAGAAATTCTAAATTAAAAAATAATAGTTATAGAAAAGCAACCATCAGATAGAGAAAATCTAGAGGGGCTTTGTACTAACAATTTTAAAATTCTCAAAAATGAAGGGATTTAACATGTACATGGATTGAAATATTTACTTTTGTAAAGATGACAATTTTTCCAAAATTATTCTGTAAATCTTACGTGATCACAGGTTTTATAAGGAAATGGGCAGGCTAATTCTAAATTGCATTCAAAAATCTAAAGGATCAAATAGGCTAGGATACCTTGAAGCAAAATAAGAACCATTTGGAGGACTTGAAAAAGAGCAACATTCTCGTTGGCTCTTCCTCCTCTTCCTTTTAACCTGACCCTGACTCCCTAACTTCCTTATTGTTGCTTTTTGGTTCAATAGGGCAAGAAAGAGATAACTCCAAGCAAACCAGAGGTTCATAATTCATTTCCCCCCCACCCCTCTCCCCACTTCAGATACCCGTTGCTTTGCAATAAACCCCAGCAGATCAATAGCATGAGCCCATTTCTCTGACCTCTGTCACCACGCCACCAGGCACACACTCTATCCTGTCTGATTCAGGAAGGTTGTTTGGGCACTCTGGGGTAAGTGAAGTACCTGTAGAGAAATTGTAGGACAAAGGTGAACATTGATACCATGATTCCATTTCAGAAAGAAGCAGTGAAGTCACAGACTTCAACCAATTTACTTCCCCAATCCCTAATCACTAACTAGTAGCTTCTATCTGCACTAGATAGAGTGTTCAACACTCCTCTGAGCTTAAACACGTTCACTTTTATTTGTTTGTATTTTTATTGAACTATAATTCACATATCATAAAATCTGCCTTTTTAAAATGTACAATTCAATGGTTTTTAGTATTTTACAAAGTTGTGTTCTGTATGAATTAGCATGGGGGTTAGGATAAACGCAGACTGAAGGTCTAGCTTTATGTTAAATAAAAGAAATTACTTATTCATATACATTGAATAACAATCTCAAGGGACTTGTTACCCCAATAAAAGTTTAATAGGGAAAAAGCAGGGATAAACCAAAAACGGCTTATATCAATGATTTTCAAATCATCTTTCCAAAGTCATAATTCTTCCTAGAAAATGCCTTCATGTTTACTGTGGAGAGCAGTGTTGAGAGGTTAAGTAGAGTTCTCAATATATTTTCACTGAATGCTTAATCTTCATCTATAAAGTAGCTTCATCAAGCCGAATAAACCTCAAGTTCAATTTTAATTACAAGTATAATTTCAAGTTACAATTTTATTACAAGTATGATTTCATATTACAGTAACTTGTTATTCAGAACATAATATGTGCACTAGGGAGGCATCTGTCTGAGTGGAATCGATGAAGAAATCATAGCTATTTCAATCAGAATATGGGCTGCTGGCTAATTGTAATTATACATTCGGGCCATATTAGACAGCCTTTAACTTCCCTGTAATCTTTCTTTTTCCATACCATAATGCATTTAGGTACTGTTCCCTTAACTTGACTCTGGACTACAAGACAGGCATTGATTTTGATAAGCCTAATTTTGCATCTTGCTCAAATTGCATCAAATGGGACTTGGATATCCTGACTACCACTAGCATTCAAGGTTTAGTTGCAATGGAAAAAAATACTTTCAAATACAGATTTAAATTAGCTGTGGGAGTGGCATGTTGAAAAGTGAAGGATTAAAATGAATTTTTTGGCCTCCAGAGGAGACTTCCTTGACCAATCCTTCCACCCCTGCAGCCACCAACACCACCCTTACCTAGAGGATTCAACAGAAACAGCAGCAAGAGGATATCTACGGCCAGGATAAGTAGGTTGAAGACGAGCAGAAGGATTTCCAATAAAGAGAGCTTCTTCGCCATCTAAATGGACACAGACAAGGGTGTGATCAAGCCAACAGAATAGACCATTATCATGATGAGAATGTAAATTTGCTTGCACTGTGACCTGATTCTCAGCATTACCCTTACAAAATCCAGAGCCTATTGGTCTCCACTCATCACAGGGTGTCCAGTTAACTCTATTTTGCCTACAGATGATTGAGACTTAACATCAGACATAAAGAACTGAAGAAAGAGAGAAGAGAGAAACCAAGAAGAAAAAGAAGTGGAATGGGATACAGAAGAGAGATGAGGGGCTGAGATGGCTTATGAAGTCCTTTAGATGCCACTTTGCTCTTCATACCCTGAGCAGTAGAGGGGAGGTTATGATTAGAGAGAACAAGTAGCAGAACTTGCACCAGGTCTTCTTACTCAATTCCAGATCATAATGCTGATGCTTTTAACTGCTGAGAGGTCACTAGCTCTTCCACTTCTGAACTCTTCACCTCTGCGGCCCATTGACTGGTCAGTAGATCATGTCCTTTTTCTCCCTTGTTGCATTTATTTCGCACTCTTTGATCACATTGAGGCTTCTTTTCTCTTTCCTGTCTTTTATCTCTGAGCTTTTCCTGTTTTTATCCCTACCTGAGTACTAGGCCTTAATATCTGTCATCAGTTTCCCCTCCCTTGCTTCCTGAGCTTCTCTGAAATCTACTCAATAAAACCATCTGCCCACAGACTGCTGCTTGATGCATTCAAGTGGCCCAATGTAGATGCCACTGGGTTGAGCATCTTCCAAAGACACTGGGTCTGCACTCTTGCTCACAATCTTAATGAACACTCTCCTTGTTCACAGCAGAAATTTCCAGTAATTCTCCTCAAGCTATCCCAACCTCTGTCACCTCCACCCTTCCTCTGAGTCAGTATCATCCCCTACATTTCAGACAAAATAACTGTTTTGCAGAAACTAGTCTCCATGTTTCTTACCCCAAGCTTTTTTATACAAATGATCCACATTGTAGAAAATTCTTTTCTTTCCCCTCTCTTTTCAATAGGAGTTTTTCTTTCTTCTGTCTAAGCATAATTCTCCCATTTATTCTCTTTTAATTTCTCAAAAATGACAGTTGCCTACTCTCCTTGGCAGTCCCCACCACTCACAGGACTTTGTATAAGATCCGAACATGTGGAGGTGTGAAGATGTACCCCCAGATTATATTATCATTAAATGACTAGCAAGTGAATAAAATCTAAGGGAAAAATGAAACTACAAATATCTGTATCTGAGACAAAAATATGTGCTATTCTTTTATCATCTCCATCATCATTCACAATAAAATAGGCAGAAAGTGTTTCAGCATAAAAAATTTTTGAGGACAATCCAATCTGTATTTCTAACCCAGAGATTTAAATTTGTGTATACAACAGTCTGTTCTATGTCTCGTGGGCTGTGCCACAGACTTCACTAAATTCAACATGTTTAAACATGAAATCATCTCTTCTCACATCCAGTCCCAATATCTGCCAATTCTGACAGTTCGACTGTTCCTCAAATAATCAATACCTGGAGGAACAGAATCACAATTTCCTTAAAAACCTGAGTATCTTTTTTCGGACTCCTGTCTTTCCGTGGGTTCTCACAAGAAGGACCCCAGCCAGTTATGCTACTTTACAAATGTGGTTCCAGTCTGTTCCTTCTTCTCTGCCTGCACTGGAAACATTGTGGTCAGGCCATGGTGTCAGGCCTGAACTCTGACCACAGCTTCCTGACTTACTCGCTGCTTCTACTCTTTCTGTTTCTGAACTCCACTAACTCCACACTGCAGCTTGACTGACCTATATCAACAGAGAGTCATTTCCTTCTAGAGTCAAGTCTTCTCCAGATAAAACAGAAATAATAGAAAGTTTTTAGCTTTGTAATCATGGGTTTTTTATATTTTTGTTTGTTTCTTCATTTTTTTAAATGAAAGTGTTTAAAAACACTACATTATAACATCATACATGTTTCAGGTGTACATCTTGAGCTGCATACCTTGAGAATCAGCTTGTATATATGCAATATCAAGCTCACTGTCAAAAGTTCCAATCTATCCTCCACCAAATCATGGTCCACTTTCCCGATTTACTCCCCTCCATCCCCCTTACCTCTGGTAACCACTACGCCCGGCTACCCAGCCTGTTTTCACCCTTTGTTTCAGACATAACAAACAAATCTTTATACAGTGAGAACCCATAAATATTATGGACAGTCTCTCCCTCCCTCTCCCCTCTTACTTCATTTCTCTTTTAACTTTCTTTCCATTTACCTGAATCCTGCTCTTCTAAACCTCAGCTCAGTGCCGTGATTATTTCTGCAAGTATTTTCCAATTCAAAGACTGTTTCAGTTTCTCACAAAAACAGTCTTTAGGTTAATGGTTAATAAGCCAAGAAAAGAAACACCTTAACTGTGGAATGGAGTTGAGAAGCAGGGATCTATAGATTGCTTGCCCAGAGAACATTTAGGGTTGGGGTTTGGGATTGAAGTTAGAGTTTATTTTTTTTAAGATTTTATTTATTTATTTATACGAGAACCGGGGTACAGGCCAGAGGCGGAAGAGGGTGAGAAGATTCACCAGAGATAGAGCAGGGAACAGAACAGGCAGACTGATGGAATACACTGCTGAGGGGAGCAGCAGGTGCAACAGGAGAGGTCTGCAGCGCCATGTGGGACCCTCGCCGGCCAGCCAGGATTAAACCGGCGCTGCAGAGACTGCAGACAGCTTCACAGCATGGTGTTCAACTGCCTGCGCCACCAGGAGAGGCCCTGAAGTTAGAGTCTATTAACTACTTTTCCTATTAGCCCAAATCTGTCAGGTGCCTCTCCAGGGGTCCAAATTATTCAATAGTTTCCTCTCATCCTCACAAGATACATATCATAGTAACATATTCACAAAAAAATCCCTTCATCAAAGTTGACTAGGTGGGCATCAAGAGTCCCATTTTACAAATGACTGCTATGGAATTTTGTCTAGTCACAAAATTTTGCCTAGTCCACAGTTGTGGAACTGAGGCAAAGACTGGGAAGCCCTTCTTCTTAAACTAGTGCTTGAGGATGCTGCAGTGTCTCCTAGCCAAGATCGAGAGGATAAATTCCACCTCGCTTAGTTTATTAAACGTACAGCCTATAATCAGTACCCCACACTTAGTCCTTCTCCACATACTGTTTCTCTCCAACAGATTTTCCTTTCCAGCTTCTACAACCCTGAACAGCCTCTGCCCAGTTTGCTAATCGTCCTGGAGGCAGGCGCAGCTGCTTTAACTCCGGAAGTTCAGGACACTCTGGAAAGCCCCCAGGCATTTTCCTGCCATAGAAACTATGCTCATGCAGGCAGAGGGCAAAAGTGAATACTCCTGCAGGTAGGAACTCTTCCCGACTGAGAAACGCACCCTGCCCAAAGATGCTTTTCTATATCAAATGACATTTTACAATAATTAAAACCCAGGTTATTATTGAAACACCTGAATGTTTTTTATAGCCATTTCCCTCTCTACCCGAAGAGGCACAGTCACTTTTCTCTCAACCAAGACCATTATCCACAAGCTTCTGGAAGGATCCCACCTGTGTATTCTTTTTGGTTTCTCACACTAGATCCTGCCAACTCCCTCTCCTCCCCACACACACGTCTCTCTTCTCCACTCAGCATTGCCTCCCTGCACGATCTCACCTCTACTCCTCATCCTCTGTGGGAAGGAGGCAGGCTCAGAAAAAAAGTAAGGGTCCACGTAGCAGAGGCGACAGGACCTTTGCAAGAAGAATATTGCAAGTCCCACTTGCGCGGGAGAGGTACTCACCTCATATCTTTTTATTGTTGGTGTCTGTTCAGTGGTTCTTGAGAAGCACTGAGCAAAGGTAACTGGGTTGATGTTGCCAAGCCACCAGGATTGATTTATTGCCCTGCAAAGTTGAAGGCAATTGGAGAGGACGAGCCATAAAAGGGGCCTTGCTTTGCCTGCGACATGGAGAAAGCCCGATTTGTTAATAAAAGGGGAAGGTGAGGTTGTATTCTAGTGCTATTCTACCTCTATTTTCCTGTTCATATCCAATTACATGGCTTGTCACATCGTATTATACTTGCTGGTCTGTCCACATGACTTAAGTCAAGAACTAGAATTTTATCCAGCTGCGCTTAGCACTTTGTCCAGTGTCCACAGATATTTTTAAATCCATGCTATTTGCTTAATAAGTATATGAAATGAACAAGTAAATGAAAGAATGAATAGTTCTTGGCTCATGAACACATTGCCCCTTTCTCCAAGTTCTCTTGATATAACTCAGTTTTTTATGAATTCAAAAAAGCCTTCCCATCAAATAAAATGAAGTTTAAATATAGTTCCAATAGATTTCCCACTAAATAACAGAAGCACCATTAAAATAGGTATTATAGAACAGTAAACAGGAAGTCGCCCCTTCTGGATATTTGCCATGTTCTTTGATTGTTTGGCATCTTTAGGAAACACTAGTATTTAAAGATCTTCCTGCTTTCATATTCTGCCTGTCTAAGGAATGACCCAAAAATGCTCTTTCATAGTCTCCCTTCTGGACAGGGGAGAGATGAGTGGTGTGGCTCAGCCAGTGACATGGGCTGTGATCCAGAAGAAAGTGAAAGAAGGTGCATTGTGCAATCCTAATTGTGGAGAAATCATTCAGCGGCAGCAAGGACGGAGACCTAGGGGAGTCCCAGCACGGTATGGGGAGAGGAGAGACAAGCTGTCAGACACGTGCTTAGGGGAGCAGCAGGAAAATCTCCCACAAGGTCCTAGGGACATTGTCCAGGGCCACACAGCCTGCAACCTGACACTCTCACCCTCCTAAAATTTCAATGAGTCACTAAGAGCACTGACAAATTTCTTTTCTTCTTACACTAGTGAAGTGGGTTCTTTTTAGCTGAAATATAACTTCCATACCAAGACCTTTACCCTTTGAAGGTGTCCAATTCAGTGGGTCTCAGTATATTCATGAGGTTGTGTGACCCCTCACCACTCTCTAATGCCAGAACACCTCATCCTCTCCTAAAAAGTCACATACGCATTATTGGTCACTTTCCCTTCCCCACCTCTTCTTCCTGCAACCACCTGACTTCTTATTTTTATGGATCTGCCAATCTAAATATTTCATATAAAGGAGATCACAGAAAATGTGGCCATCTGTGTCTGGCTCCTCCCACTTGGCATGATGTCCACATTGACCCATGTTGTATGGAAATCCCTGTCAAAGCTTGGATGACAGCCATTGTGTTAATATATTACATTTTAATTATCTACTCATCAGTGGCTACACATTGGACTGTTTACACTTTGAGGCTATTATGAGCAATTCTGGCATGTATGTTCACATGGACATATATTTTGAGTTCTCTTGGGGCTGTATTTAAGAGCGGAATTACTGAGTCAAATGTAATTCTACCTTTAACCATTTGAAGAACTGCAGGACTGTTTTTCCAAAGTGGTGGCAGCATTTTATCTTCCTACCAGCAACCAAGGAGGGTATGTGTTCCATATTTTTCGTATATCCGATATAAAGCTATAGATGAGGGCACCCCATATTTTGATAGCATCTAAGATCCATTAGTAATATAGTACCAATAGAGATTCATGTTTGCTTCAAATACTTATAGCAAGTACACACACACACACGTTTCTGTCTTTTTGAACTCCTGGTATGATATATGTACCATATCTTTCACTCCCAAAACAAGATAGCCTTTGTTAAAGGGAAAATGTATGGATCTCATTTCAAATTGGAATGATGGCTTGGCCAATGACCAAAAAAGGAGATTTATCATTACACAAGCTTTTTCCATTCTTTGTGTGATAATTAACTCCCCACTTCCCCATGCTCCTTGGTGACATCATTCTTATCACAATGATGCAACCTGTTTCCTAAATGCAGAAAATGGTTAACATTACCATCTCTTCCTGCTCACAACCAATTGGGAGATGCTGGACCACATGTATGTCCTGACCAATGAAAAGCAACGGGCATTTTTGAAGGGAAGAGACAAGTATGTGATCTTGGATCTTCCAGTTGCTTATTAATAAGAAGGTAGAGATAGTGAATTTAGCTGTGGGCAGAACACCTAAAGTGCTCAAAGCATGCAGAGGAATGGAATCATCAGGTCAGAAATGGACCACATTATGACCTTAACTTGCAGAGCACCAGCCTCCCAGGTCAGATGCAAAAGTCTCAAAGAGGTAGCTTCAAGGACAAAAAGGAAATGTTGGTGATACCCAACCATCTGCCAAGGCCAGCAGAGCCTTGTCTGCATAGGCAGCTGTGATAATCAATGCTATAATAAGGGTGCTTTTAATATGAAAAGGAATGAATTTTCCCCTTTAATTAAAAGGGTTTGTAATTGTTATTTTTATTTTATCATATAGATGAAGAGAAAAAGTGCAATGACGTGATCCAGAGAAGAGAGAATATGTCCCCTACTAGCTGGCCAGGAGGTGTAAGTTGAGCAATGTCACTACGAGGGACCACTCCAGGGTGGTCACAAATAAATGTTTCTCCATGTATAGTGGTTCTCAAAGTGTGCTCTGGGGATCACCCTCTGGGAGGTCCTTGAGATCTTTACAGGTCTGTAAGAAAAAAACTATTGTCATAAAAACACTAAGAAGATATTTTCCTTTCTAGAGTTTTCCAGAGCCTACAGGTGACACCAAAAAATACTGAATGCAGGGCCTCCATGGTGGCGAAGCGGTTGAGCGCTGGGTTGCGAAGCTGCCTGCAGCCTCTGCGACGCCGGTTCGATCCCCGGCTGCTCCCCAGCCACCAGAGGAGGATCCCACATGGCGCGCAGACCTCTCCTGCCGCCCGCTGCTCCCCTCAGCAGTGTACTTCGGTCCTTCTGCCTGCTCTGCTCCCCGCTCTGGCTCTGGTGAGTTCTCTCGCCCGCCCGCGCTTCTGACTGTACCCAGTGCATGTATAACCAACCAAACAAACAAAGAAACAAATAAATAAAACATGCCTCTATAAAAGATAAATAAATAAATAAATAAAATACTGAATGCAGACACAGAGGAGAAATCAAGTTTTTCCTATTAAGTTGGATTTTAGAGATTAGCAAAAATACAACTCTTCTAATTTAGTTATGTTTTAGAAAATGCAGCTATTTACATTTTAATATGATAAATAGCAATAGACATAAGCTTGTGAAGAAACTATTTTGGTACACCTAATAATTTAAGGGTGTAAAGTAGTCCTAGGACCAAAAACAGTTGAGGATGACTGATCTGGTGTATTGATTTTCAAACTTTTACCTATATGTAATATCTGTAAAAATATATACTTCAGTAAAAAGTTACTTAAATAAAAAGTTAAGGATATATATTATATGTATTAAGTATATACTATATATTTATTTTATATATATAATTACTTATACATAATTATTTAAAATTCTTTAGTCAAAGAAACAAAGCAAAATAACAGACAAAACAAACCTTGGGTCCGGACAGAGGCACTGCAGTTACCAGAGGGGAACAGGAGGGCAAAGGTATCCTGTGATGGGTGTGGTGTGGTGACGTGTGTTTGAAGACATGTGAACTATAATCCTAAAACATGTAGTGTTATAAATCAACATTACCTCAACAAAATAATCATAAAGTAAGAGAAAAGATGAAAATATTTTCAGAAAGAAATAAAAACAAAAACAATTCTTTATTTCAATAGAATTCCAGTATGCGAGTAAGTGAATGATCAGAGCCAGGGTGTGGCACAATGAGCCCTGAACGCCCCCCATGCCCCTTCTCATGCCCCCTCCTTCTTCTCCCTCCTCATATCCACCCCTGGTCCCCACCCCCAGAGAGCAATAGTGAGCCCCAGTGCTCTGCACAGTCCCCTAATTTGGAAACCACAGCTTTAGAGAGACACTAGCATTTTACAGAAGACAGATGATCCCTAAGAGAATAAGTGGCTTGTCCAGGCACCAATGCAAGTCTCCTGACCGTAAAGATGGCTTCTGGGTTTTTCTTCCTCATATGCCCTGGCCAGAGGACCTGGCTCCTGGGATGGTGTGAGGCTGGGGGCCTCACACTCAGACATGGACACACCATTCCAGAGAGTGATGAAGACAGCCACAGGCCCAGCTCCTCACAGACCCCTTCCCTTTCCAGTCTAGACCGAAGGTCTTCGTGTCCAGGGGAAAAGGCTGCCTCAAGTCAAAAGGATGAGCGGACTCAAGAGAACTAAGATCTCAGTGTGGAGACTTGCCAGCCTTGTGCAGTTGCATGGGGTCTCAGTGCTGAGCTCAAGTCTGGAAGGCTGATGTGCCTGAATCTAGGGGTCCTTAATCTAGGGTCCCCAGACCTCCAAGACAACAATTTAGGAAACTTGTGACTGTAGATGGGGAAAAAAATTTGTTTACTAATTTCTAACTGAAAGTTAGCATTTTCTTATATTGAGATGGTAGACAGCAGAGCACAGTACTGTATTTGTTTTAGAAGCACACATGAGTTTTTCAGAAATAGAAGCACGGGCACTTCCTTTCACATTGTGAGTCTGTGGTAGCTTTCTCAAAATACTGCATATGCTGGTCATGATATTGAAATTATGACATTATTAGCCCCAAAGCTAAATCCTGTTATTTAATGTGATCATTTAAATTACCTCATGTGCTATTAAACTTCTATATAAAGTATTTTTCTCAATGTACTATAATTAGGACTCCTTTATGACAGTACACATTTTATTTTGTGCATTTTAGAGCATCATTCTTAGGAGAGGAGCAAGAGGCTGCCTATGGGGTGACTCTACAAATGTGGGGAACTCCTTCACGCTTCACTCTGGGACTTGGCAATCCAGATGCTTCATCAGAAATTCTCTCATTGACATTTTTTTTGGCCAATAAGCCCTTTTTCCATCAATAAGCCCTTGATAGTAACAGAAAATATTTCTCATATATCTAGTGAAGACGCTTTCCTCCTGCTGGCCTTCCTGGGCTGATTAGAGAGAGTGGACGAGTCTCCCATCAGTTTGATCATGGGGTTATTCTTTCTTATTTCACTAGTTGAAAAGTTAGCTCAAGCCTTCATCCAATGTCCCTTATTTTGATGAACATAAAACCAATTAAACAGTATTATTTTCTGTAACTTCATGCAGTCATACAAGAATATACAGGCAGCATCTAGCTTTGTGGTGTTTAAAAGGAATGATAAAGATATGGGGAAGTAAACATTCATTTCCAACATGTACACTTTCAAGTAATAGTAAAATTAAGTATCTGCATTAAACATTAACACAGAATTTCCTTATCCCAAGTTTTAGCCATCAAGTTAACCAATGCTGTTGCCAATTCTATTGCTGACAGAGTTGACATTTTACCAAATAGAGCAATTTTTATTATGATTAAAACAATGATCCAAGTACACATTTTTGCAAATCTAAACCTAGAGAAAAACCCACATCAGAGGTGGAAGGCAAAGGGTGGATAATCCTAAGGATGGTCATCCATCAGTGGAGCAGACTGCCCGGAATCTCGTGCCAAGACCAACTAAGAAACGTTTGCTGAGCAAGAAGTCTTAATCCCGAAGTGAAATGCCAATGGTCAAAATGCCACACAGTTCAGTTTCTTGAGAATTTGCTTGTTTTATTTTTCTCTGGCATATAAATCATGTACACTTGTGTGAACTGTGGTTATATACATTAGGCACAGAGTTTGAGAGGTAAGTTTGACACATTCCGGAGCACACCTCTGCAAAAACAAGTTATTTTCAGCTTCATACTCCTTCCTTCAGTTTTGCCTGCTTGAATCTCATCTTCATCCCCATTTTCTACTGGCAAGAGTCTCCCCTAAGACCTCTTCTTGCTTTCAGACTCTTCTCCTCTCCGTGAGGCTGGTCTTCCTGATATTTTTACATTATCTCCGTAGCTGGCACGATCCATGCTATCACCTTCTGTATCTCTCTTCTTTCTTACTTTCTTTTCCTTCCCCTTAAATCATGATCTTAGCTCACTCTCCTCCCCTCCCTGTAGTCAACTTGCACTGTTCTTTCTGGATACTTTCTTGAGGTGTAACTCAAAGGCCTGGCGCTGTCCTGGCCAGTTTTTCCTTGAGCATTTAGACAGTGGGTCCAGTTCACTCCCTGATTGCACATACACACTTCAGCTTCCAGGCTTCTGCAGTAACTATTGTCAGATGACCCATCAGTGTCATGCTGATTACTTGGAAACATTGAGGTCACCCATAGATTTCCCCCACATCCCAACCATCTGAACTTCAGGGTTAAAAAACACAGATGGGAAAAAAATCAATAAAATGACTAAGATATTTTCCCCATACAGGGCAAGAATCAATTAAAATACAATAATTTTATGGGCACAGAGTACACGTGGCTTTCAAACCGTGCATCGTCAGGATCTGGCTGCAAAAATTCACGGAGTGGTCCACTTCAAGGAAATGAACTCATGCAGCATGACGTTGTCAGTGACCGTGTTAATGCTTAACACCTGTTGAGAACCAAAGTCGCAGCACTGAGAATGTGGTGGTCAAAGTGGTTGACCCTGAGTGAGTCAGGAGGCTACGTAATTACATAATGGTGGGTCCGGCCACCATTCAAGGCCTAGCTGCCAGGAGGGTGTTTCTAAATACCTTAGAGTACACAGTTGGCTCAGTAGCAGGGAAAACACAACAGAGCCCCTTTCGCCCAATAAGCCATTCGTAACCACTGCAGAGAGACAGCCACAGGGAGAAAATGGCCTCCTTTTCATTCCCGGAGCATCCTTTCACTTCCTCCTCCCAGTTCATCATCCACCACCATCACCGCCCAGGAAGTGCCCAGCATTTCAGCTCCTTTGTAGCATACACTTCCCTGGCACTTCAGTTGTGCGTGGTGGCGAGCAAAGTGTGCTCCCACAGTTGCTCAGAGACAGCAGCGGGCAAAGTCCAGGGTAAGCACTTGGTAAAGTTGGGAGAGTTGGTTGACAAAGAAACCACAAATATGAGGAAAGAAATGAAAAATGCAAACTGAAGGAAAACTTTTGTTTCAGATGTTGTAATCGGGAAAGATTAGGAGGGCCTCCCTGGTGTAGCAGGGGTTAGTTAAGCACAGCACTGTGAAGCTATTCGCAGCCACTGCAGCAAGTTCCTTCCCCAGCCAGGGAGCTACCCACATAGCGCAGCAGACCTGTCCTGTCTCGTCCGCTGCTCCCCTCAGCAGTGTATTTCAGTCAGTCTGCCTGTTCTGCTCCCCACTCTGTCTCTGGTGAGTCCTCTCACCCTCCCCCAACCACCTCCCCTCCCCCAGGCCTGTACCCCTGTTCCTGTATGCACAAATAGCTAAAAAAAAAAAGACAAAAGTAAAGATTATGAAAGAAAAACAGTTGAGGAAAAGCCGACAGTAAGCACAGCAGCATAGATTTTGGAGTGTCGATTTCTGAGCCACCACCCCGCATTAATCCGAGGCTCAAATTCAACACTCATGAAGTCAGAACCAGCTCTGCAGTCAACAGCCTCAGGGGCATGTGAGCAGCAGCGCTTATGACCAGGTATCGTCTGTGCCGGCGGGAAATTTGTGGCCATCACTGGCGGACACGGGTGGATGGATGACAAGGCACTCAAGGATTATTTCAGAGAGGAGTATGAATCCTGGTGGAGAGCAAAATTGAGAGCAAGCTAGGAGGAAAACTCACAGTAGCAAGCAGTGCAGTGTTTTGGACAAAATTCCATAGACAGCAGTGGAAGAATTTTTATGAAAAGCTACACCTCTGAGTGTATGCAGGAGATTCCTTAACCAATTCATGCCATATATTTTTCGTTTAAATAACAGATAAAATTAAAATATTTCTATAATTTAACAATTAAAATATTTACATAATTTAAAAACTAAAATGTTCAAAAAATAATAAAGAATTAAATAAAATTAAAATAATAATTTAAAAATTAAAATAATTATAAACAGCCAAAAAGTCATCCAAAATAGTTTAAATGCCTTTGTTATTTCTTCACATTCAGAGTTTACCCCTTCTAAGCAACTTTGATGGCAATTTATCAATGTCCTTGTCACTCCACCCAACCTGTTCTGTTCTTCTGTATTATCAGTAACCTACTAAAGTGATAAAAATTAATGTCTAAAGTGTTTTGCAAAGCTTTCTATATGTTTACTATAGATGTTTCAAGAGATATAAAGCATTGTGGCCTATTTTTGTAATCCTTTCTTCTTCGTGGCACAGGAAATAATGGAACAACTTTTAACTTAGGGTGTCTTATACTTGACGAAACATGGTAGTTCCAGCTGTTTGGAAAGATCTCCAAAGCAGAGGTGAGGGAGCAGGGGCAAAGTCTTACATAGGTGTGCAGATAAGAAGACATGCATGGAAAGGAAGGAGTCAGACCCTCCTTCCAAAGGCTAATATATCATGAACTTTCCCCTCATCTCCACGCTGTCCTTGGTGACACCTCCAAAACAGAGGGAGTCCTGGGGGGCTTAGCAGAGGACATTGCTTGGGAAGGGCAGGAATCGCTCAGGTGTCTCAGGGTCAAGAAATATCATTTGCATTTTTCACTGATCACTAACCTGTGTTGTAGAGTTGTAGGTGACTGTAGGTGTTATAGTGCCGCTGCTCATGGTCATGCTGACACTGGGGGTGGAGACACTGGCCACTCCCCAGATATCAATGAACCCCAGCTTCAAGGGCTCTGTGTTGCTGAGGTAGTTGTTGAGGATTACATGACTCGTCATCGTATTCTGTCAATTGGCAATCAAAGAAACCACATGAGGGAAAATAGCAAAATTCACTCCAATTTTTCCCAGCCTCTCTTTGGGCATAAATGCAGATCATAATACCACAACCTCTGTCACCATCTTGTGTTGCTGGACAGCAGAGACCAGGGTTTCCAACCCTCTCTCTCCTGTTGCCAACTGTCCTTCCACAAAGGATTCTAGAATGATCTTGAACTCTAATATGACAAAACATCTCAACGCCTCCCTGGTGGCTCAAGGGGTTAAGTCTCAGCACTATGAAGCTGTCTGCAACAAACGCAGGATGAGTTCTATCCCCAGCCAGGGAGCTGACCCACATGGAGCAGCTGACCTCGCCTGTCTCACCCGCTGCTCCCCTCTGCAGTGTATTTCAGTAGATCCGCCTGTTCTGCTCCTCACTTTGTCTCTGGTGAATCTTCTCACCCTCCCGCCATACATCTGGCCTGCACCCCAGTGCTTTTATGCATAAATAAATAAATCTTATTAAAAAAAACACCTCAGTTACCAAAGACCTTTCTCCTTGCAGTCTACACAAGGAAAAACACAAAATGTGCAGAATAAAGGGCTAATAGCATAGATACAGCCTGTCCACCTGCACCTTGGGAAGTTAAGATAAGTTACTGATGATACATGAACAGGTTTAATCATGGAACATTTCCTGAGAGCAAAGTAAATCTCTCTGAAGTCTAAAGGAAGAAAAGGATGCAAATTAGCAAGACATGCAGTGAGGGAATTGTAGGTGGTACTTTATAGCTTGTGGTATTCAGCACCCCACTGAGCCAGAAGGACCCCATTCTCCCTTCAGAGGATCAGTCCCACTCACCTCACGGACAGTAAAGTTGGCCAGGTAATAGAGTTGTTTTTCATAGGTATCTGTAAACAAACAATAAGGTAAGTGTGACCGGGAGGTCAGCCCTAGAATTCTAATTATTTCCTTGTCTTGGTTAAAGAAGTAGGGATGGTTTCTGTTTATTTTATTTTTATTTTTTATAGAGTTCCATTTGATGAGATTATTCAGACTCTCACCTCAACCTCAGTTTGCATAAAATGTTTGAAGTGAGTGTGTATAGTTGGCTCTGCCTGGCAGTCATCTAATAAAATGCGGTTTCCTACCACCACTCTTAATACTTCTTTCTTGTCTTTACCATGCCCAACATCTTGTCACCTCAGAATTTCCAGATTCCTTCTGCTAGAGGCAGATACATATGCACACATACCTCATGCACCACATTGCAACACCAAGGCTAGTGTCTTGGTTGGTTTATCTTGACAGATATTAAGTAGTATTTTTGAAAGCAGTCCCCAGAGAACAAATAAAAGTCTTCCTTGTCCTTTATCCTTAATTTACATCACAGGTTCAGGGGTAATATGAAGCTTAGCATATCCAGTAAAGGTAGACCAGCCACAATCTTGTCACAGGTATCCCCACCCTGTACCCCACCTTTGAGGATATTTCACTCTTCTCCATGTGCTAAATTCTTTCTAATTTGCTGACCACTCAGAGGCTATCTTAGAGCTGTGCTGTCCAAGATAACAGCCACGCACAAAATTTAACTATTTAAATTTAAACTCATTACAATTCAATAAAATTAAAAATTCAGTTCCTCGGGTGCATGTGTACATTTCACATGCCCCATAACCACCTGTGCCTAGTGGCTACCCCAGTGGACGACAGAGCTGTAGAATATTTCCATCACTGCAAGCCATTCTACTGGACAGAGCTTGTTTAAAAATAGCTCACGATACTTGAGCCTTCCTCCTGCGAGTTCACCAGTTCCTGTGAACTCCTCACAGAACATCCTCACAAATAAAAGACACAAGTGATGGTGACACTGTCTCTCTCACTGGGACAGGAAACCACGTCTTTCAGGAACATGCCCTCAAACATAAAGGGCTTGGAACACATCTGGCGGCAAAGAGACTTCCCCTCTGACCCCCCTTCTACAGTGAGTTAGGACAGTTGGATAAAGACGAGAGATTCCAAGTTAAGCTTCATTTTCGTGCAGGAGTCTGCACAGCATACATTAAACACTTAAAAGTAAAAGAGAAAAGTAGCAAATGATATATTTTTAAATGCAGAATTGTTTTAACACAGAAAAGAAAGAAGCAGACCTATAAGAGACACATGTTGTGATGACTATCCCAGGCCCTCCATACTCACCGATGCTATTTCCATCATCCCAGAAGAGGCAACCTTCAGCCCGCCCCTGGTAATCCAAAGCGACCTTGAAGCCTAGTAAATTCTTACGGCTGCAGTGAGGCAGGAGAGAGGCATTAGCTAAGAACAATGACATGGCCCCAAGTCAGGGGTTTTCATAAAGATATAAAGTCCCATGCTTCATGGTGTGGAGACAAATTCCTGTTAAAATCTCCATGAGATCTGATGATACTAGGTACTAGGATTCAAGAGACCTGGGGGCCAGTTCTAGTCCTGGCTCCATTAGCTCTGTCACTTCTGTCAGAATGAGTGAAGGAATCCAGGGAAATTTTCCTCTAAACTTTGACCAGAGCTCTATACGTGCTGTGAGGAACTAATGGCCAACACATCGGACTCTTTCTTCCCCCACACCCCACCTTGAGGAGACTGTGATGTTGAGACCTTCCTTCTTTCATGACCTAATTTCTGAAGCACAGTACAGTGAACAACTCAGTATTGAACTGAATTTTTGGAATCAAATAAATAGGGGGCCCTAAGAATTTTAGTTTGACATCAAGTAGACAAGGACTTTAGTCCCTACTCAACTACTTACTAATGATCTGACTGAGTTAATCACTTTGCCTCTTGACACCCCTCTTTGCTCATCTGGAAAATGGGGTTATTTCCAGCCCTTACAAGATAGGGTTTCCTTTTTCCTTTTTTTTTTAAGAAAAAAAATCTCCAAATAGCAATCTCCATTTTGCATAGTTCTGGGCTCAGAGAAAATATTTGTTATCATGTAGACACAGTCTAGAATTTCTAAATCTTGCATGGGAGGGCTCTCAGCCTCAGGCATTGCGGCGATAATGTTTACACAATTGTCCTGCAATAGTTTTCCTAGGCAAGTCAACTAAGACCCAGATAGTCTTCTACAACTAGCATCAATCATGGTTGCACCTGTTTCACTTCCATTTCAAGTGTCACTAATTCTACCTACCATTACATCCACTTAGAGCTAAAATAGGTATTAAAAATTATACAAAGAGCACAGAGACTGAAAAGAATTAAAATGCACACAAACAAACCAATAAGCAAAAATGCTTGGTACACTTGCTTTTAGGCTTGAGGCTGCCACTTACAAGCTCTTGGGTTTTACCAAGACCTGAGCTAACACACACTTGAAGGAGAACCCTGAGCCCATCACTCACCTCATGAAGGTGTTCTGCGCTGGCCGCTGCCAGGGAAGGATGTAGCCCCCACGGACATGAAGATTAATGTGCTCAAGAGGGGCTGGCAAGGTCTTCCACTCTCCCTGAGATGTGAAGTCCACACCCTATGGCCCAGAAGAAGACAGGCGATGGTGAGGGAGAGAACAGGTTGTCTGCCCGCCGTTCAGCAGACCTCTCTTCTGCACGCGAGCCTGCTCGTGACCCTTGCGCACACACCTGTGATTGCACCTGCATGCACACACGGCTGCCATGCAGAACCCTGTATAACTCTAGAGCTCAGGCTGGCACCCCTTGTTTGGGGGCCTCTACAGGACGGACCACACGAGATCACGCGCGACCTCACCCTGCTACCCTTCCACACCCTGCTTCTTCGTCAGAGAGCACTGCTGGAGGGGGCAGGCTGAGCCTCTCATGCATTTCAGGCCAGCTCCTGATACGTCACCCACCAAGACACTTCTAGACCTGCTCACTTCTCGCACTCCCCACTAGCACCAACTTAGCACCATTTACTCCTACTTGTCTGAAAAGATTAAAGTAAGCCAACTTACTTTACAAATCATTACCTTTAACACACTCTATCTTGCTTTGGGTTTGACATGTGTCTCTTGCCTCCTGTGTGACAGGAGAAGTGCTCTTACCCCAAGCCATAGAGTCCAGTTCCCAAGAAACCACCCTTCCACATTTTCTCAAGCAAGAGGCAGATTTCTCAGCTCAGTTCTATGGACATTCAAGCCAGGTGATTCTTTGTTGTGGGGGCTGTTCAGTGCTTTCAAGATGTTCCCACAGTCTGTCCATTAGCTGCCAGCAGTGTCTGTTCCCCACCACCACATTGTGACAACCAAAAATGTCTCTAGACATTGCCCAGTGTCCCCTGGTAAACAAAATCCCCCATTTAAAAAATGATAACTTGGAAGTAAGGAGCAAAGCTGCCATCACACACCTCCACTCTTCGGCCCTGCTGTTCAATTTGTACAGATTTAATCCTAGTAAAACCATAACGGGAGGAGGTAGAAGGAAGCACAGTAACCAATAGGTACCACATTTTCTGGAACAGACTCGGCTTCATGCACTAGCCTCAGGACTCCAGATTCTGTGGGACTTAATACAAATTCCAACCCTACATCTGGGGGAGTTTTCAATTTTTCTCACTGATAACACAAGAAAGTTGGGTTACATGATCTCTGATAATATTTCCCTCTAATAGCTTATGAATAGTGGACATTTTTCCCATTGTTGTCCTATCTTCAAGAGAAACTTAATATATGTCAAGCTGTCAACATTATCTTCCTACCAAATGCTTTACTTCTCCCAGTGGGATTTTCCTTCTACAACACATTATAGCTAACTAGGCCATGGTTTTATTCTTCATAACATTTCATTTCTAGTACCTAATGAGTCACGGGTTTGTTTACTTCCCTTTGCATAGTTTCTGATCACAGCTAGCCTGACAAATTCCTGTTAAAATCTCCATGAAGATCTGATGATAAGATAAGATCTAACAGCAGTACCATTAAAATAATATAAGGTGACTCCACATGGCCTTGTATAGGGAATTCACACCAAGCGGAGTCACTGGTGAGGACTGAGAAGACTCAAAAAAAAAAAAAATCCCAACATGGGTTCAACATGGGAAACAAGCAAAAATGGCCACGAGAAAGGTAGGTGAAAACTTTGGTTCATACACATCATCTGCTCTTCATCTTCATAAAAATAGGAAATCAATAAGTCAGAATAGGTCCACACCTCCGATTTAAAATAAATTATTCCCTGGGGCCTCCCTGGTGGCACAAGGGATTAAGCACTGCACTATGAAGCTATCCGCAGCCTCTGCAGCACAAGTTTGATCCCTGGCCACCCAGGGAGCAACTCACATGGCGAGGCAGACCTCTCCTGTCTCCCAGCTGCTCGCCTCAGCAGTGTATTTCAGTCAGTCTGCCTTTTCTGTTGTTCCCCATTCTGTCTCTGGTGAATCCTCTCACCCCCCGCATCTCTGGCCTGTACCCTAGCTCTTGCATGCATAAATAAATAAATCTTAAAAAAATAAGGTAAAATAAAATATATTATTCCAGGAGCTTTACTAATCAAAACTTATGCCAAAACATACATACAATGAAGTTTCCTGCAGCACTTCACCACTGTTTCTAAAAAGAAAACAGACTAAGCTAGATCCTAAATGTCATTCCAGTTTAGTAAGTGACTCCATATGATGGAATATAATACAGTAGCTAAAAAGAATGGAGAGGAACTTCAAGGTGCCGATATACAAGATATCCATGATACATTATTAGTAGCTGACTTCAAGTGGTCTAATAGTGTTTGTGTAAAGATGAAAGATTACTCTCTGCACTCATTTTTATCAGCAAAACTATGTAATAGACTATGAACAGGTTAGCTTTAGAAGGGGGACAAAGAGTTGGGGGAGGGGAGGATGTTGATTTGATGACTTTCCATCTGCCAACATTTGCCTTCTTCAGTTTTGAATTTTTACTAGTGGAGCTATTTGTACTTCCCTAATGTATTTTTTGTGCCCTGCAGAGCTTTCAGGGGATCTTTTCAGTTTCATATTCCCCGTGATGTCTTCTGTCCTTTAGTATGCCCACATCTGTTTCTCCTCTAAATTTCTGCACCATGTTTTGTTTTGTTTTTTTCTTAGGCATGTTTTATTTATTTATTTGTTTGTTTTGTTTATACATGCACTGGGTACAGTCAGAAGCGCAGGAGGGTGAGAGAATTCACCAGAGCCAGAGCGGGGAGCAGAGCAGGCAGAAGGACCGAAGTACACTGCTGAGGGGAGCAGCGGGCGGCAGGAGAGGTCTGCGCGCCATGTGGGACCCTCCTCCGGTGGCCGGGGAGCAGCCGGGGATCGAACCGGCACCGCAGAGGCTGCGGGCAGCTTCGCAACCCAGCGCTCAACTGCTGCGCCACCTGGGAGGCCTCATTTTTCTGCACCATGTTTTAATTTGCCCCTTTTCATGTGGGCAGAGGGTGGAATGGGTCTCGTGCTGCTTGTGTATCCTCGAGAGCAAGGACCAGTAAACTTGGTCTGTGAAGGGCTAGATAAGCACTATTCTAGCCACGGGAAAAAGCAGCCCTCAACTCTGCTATTGTATTGTAAGCGCAGTTACTGCTGCCCATGAGTAAACAAATGTGCATGATTGTGCCCCAATAAAACTTGATTTACCAGGAGGTAGTTTACCAGCCTTTGCTCTAGAACAGAGACTAGTAACCACAATGTGTGCAGGTCAATGAAAGGCATACTTCTCCATGAACTAAAACCATTCTAATTAAACATTGAGATTTTATTTTTTCCTAAATGGCTTGCTCCATCAATATTTGGCTTCCTACAAGGTTTCTTCTATCTCTTATTCCTCAACTAAAGCACTCTTCTATTGAAGAGTTATATATAAATTCAGCAATTCCGGGAAATCTCCTTATCCGCCCTCACACTTCAGCTTTATGTGGCACGTGTGACTGTGCACATTTGTGTTTGTCTTTATGACATGCAGTTTTAGCTCCAGATTCAATTGTGAGTTCCATGGGGAAATATGTGCAGCAACCCAACACCCAGCGCTCAGTAAACATGTGCAGCAACCCAACACCCAGCTCAGCCCTGGACAGGGCTGGAGCCAGATGAGAACTGTGAGGTGTCCAGGGTGCAACTTCAGGTGGCCTCACCATCGGGGCCAGGCAAATGCAGGGTCAGCCTTCCAAAGGGGCTCCTCCTTCTACTGCGGGCCTCATGGGCCTTGCTGACCTCGCCCGAGTCCTAGCCCTAGCCCAGGGAGCCCCTATGTACTCAGAATGACTGACTGTTAGTGAATGGCAAGGTTAGCATGCAAATGTAGGACAAAGGCCAAGCTCAATTTAAAGAAAACTGGCTTTTTCCTGTAGAAAAGTCCTGTTTGGGAAGCACAGAAGTCTGCAAGCAGTGCCACCCACACAGATCCAGGCCAGCCAAAAAAGGGAGTGTGTGTGGGAGGCCTCAGGGTTCCAAGAGAAACAGAAAAAGTTCTGAGAAAAGAACTTCCTTTATCCTTGCACTGATTTTCACCTAATCCCACTGCAAACCCCTTGGCTAGAGGGGTCGGGGCAGGCTCTGCCTCCTGTCCCCTTGCTGCTATCCCGTGACTGTGTTTCCAGTCCCCTGCTTTACTTTCAGTAAAGTCAGATGAAGGCGAGGAAACACTTCCTTTGGTTTTTCCTTGAGAATCAAACAAATGGAGCCTCCCTGGTGGCGCAGGGGTTAAGTTTCAGCCCTACAAAGCTATCCTCAGTCACTGCAGCCTGAATTCGATCCCTGGCCAAGGAGGTGACCCACATGGTGCAGCCGACCTCTCCTGACTCGCCCGCTGCTCCCCTCAGCAGTGTATTTCAGTAGATCTGCCTGTTCTGCTCCCCATTCAGTCTCTGGTGAATCCTCTCACCCTCTGCATCTCTGGCTTATACCCCAGCTCCTGTACGCATAAATAATTTTTTTAAAAAGTAATCAAACAGTTGTCTGTGTCACTACACAACCAACCTTGAAGCTTCTTTAGAAGACCTTGTTTTCCCCACTGAGTTTTGGGAGCTCATATTAGCCCAGAAAAGCGATATGACAGAAAATGATATGTTTACTCTGCATTTCTAAACATACTTTCTTTACACCGTCTAAGACCTTGCTCCCCTTGGGAAATTAACTTCAACACCCCACTATCTACACCTGAGAGGAAAAGGCCCCAAATACATATGAACTTACCATGTTGCAGGGAGGATGTGAGCAAAAACTACAGCTCACAGCATGAGTGTGAGAGTTTACTGCTATCACTATCATACATCGCTGCAAAAAGGGGTGTTATAGGGAAAGATGAAAACCAAGACACAGAACCCCCCAGACTTCTCCACGGGAGGACCGCCCTGTGAGGGAGGTGCTACTCTCCCACTTGGAGGTGAGAAAGCTGAGGCTATGAGGTTCAACGTGATTTGTCCCAGATCACAACCTAGTGGGTTACAGAGCCAGGGTGTGGCCTGGAGTCTGTCAGATCCCAGAGCCTGTGCCTGCATCTCCCAGGCTGCACAGACAATCTGAAAAACTCACCGTGTAGTAGTCATACCAACGGGCCTTCGGGAAATATGCATCAACCTCTCTTTTACCCTGAAAATAAACACAAACAAGGCATGGACAGTTTTGTTCTGTTATTCAGGGCAGAGTAGCTAACTTGTACAGTAATGGGGTCAAAACAATAAGGGATGATCTTGGATGGGTATATCTCATCTCTCTAAAGGTCAACAATGTTGGGGGATCCTTCTGTCCCTCTCTCCTTCTCAAATGGGAGACTTGCCTACACAAAAACCGTGGCTTCCACAAAACATTTTGGGATCCAGGACACTGGAGACAAAAATTATCATTTCCTTCTAGAATTCCCCCACATCCTCTCTAAAGAGACAAACTGAGATTGGGTCTGGGGCAGAGAAAATTTTGTAAATTTGATGGTGCCAATATTTTGAAATCACGATTAGGGCAGTAAGTTTGGGAGGGGACACAGTTAACCAGTATTTTAATCAAAAGCCTAATCATCAACAGAGGAAGCAAAGAAATAGTTGCCTAAGGACCTCTTGTGGAAGGATGGGAAGGGTCAGCCCACAAGATCACACCTTTAGTTCAAACAATATTTCTGAAACATTTAGTTTCAATGGTGATCAAAGATTCTAGTGAATTCATCACAGAGTTGCCCCACACGACCTATATTCCTTATTCAGATAATGAAGAAATCATGATATTCTAAAATGTATCATAAAGCTTTTTTTTTCCTTTTAGATTAACCAATGACTTAGAATTGATTATGTTGATTTTAAATATGAGCTAAGGCCCAGAATACCTAAGTGATATTAGACACCTAAGGACTTCAGTGCACAGGGAGAAGATGGGACAGAGGAGAATAAGGACCCACATCTCAGGATCTCCTCCAGACCCCATCTCTGCTCCCTGCCTTCATCCCTGGTCTCAGAGCTGGGGTCCTCCATTCATCAGAGGCCTTCATACTCACAGCTTCCAGGACAGGGCTGACCAGAAAGGCTGGGCCCAGCAGGAACTGGCTGTCTATATCCCAGGTGGCCCGTTCAGACACAAACCTGGAAGGAGAAACCAATGCACCACAATCAGGAGCCCAACAGAGATCCAGGCCAAGACCGTGAAGAAACTCCTCATGTTCAGATCCAAGTCAGAAATGAAGTTGTAATCTCTGCTGTCCTTTACTCCACCCCTGGGTGTGTCAGAGTAAGACATACTCATTATTTCTACATGACATGGAGTTCTTCCAACTCCAAAAATGGCTGGATGAAGACATGTGCTCACCTATCGTTTTCTCCATGTTTCTTAATCATGGCACATTTTGAATGCAAGAATGATCTTATCCTTCAAATCTCCCCCCTGGAATACCTTATTTTGTGACCTGAGATGCTACCAAAGATTGGTAAGTCTTCATATGCCTAAATTAGAATGAAATTACTCTGTGCTATATCATTTTGAGAAAAAATTTAAATGTAATAGCATTTTATCAATGGCTGAATGACTGAGGCATGATTGAAATTCAAGAAAAGGAGTAATAAAGTACGATCTGTGCCTAAAAAGCTTATGGCAAAGGCAATCATGCATTGAAATTAACTTGTAAGAATTGTTTTCTTAAACTGCCACCACATAGGATGGAATTATTCCTTAATGACTGGGATCCTGGACTCACTCGTGGAGAAGAGGTCGCACAACGGTGCTGCCATCTGTGTGGGCCAGGTGCATCAGGGTGTAGAGGTATGGCAAGATGGTGTATCTGGTCTCTAGGACACTTCTGGAAAGATTTTCAAAGGCAGGGTCCCAGGCCACAGGGTCTTGCCTCTGAAGGAGAAAAGAAGTGTGTTCAGAGCTCACACCCTAGGAGATGTAGGGGACTTCAGGAGATCACTAAATATTTATTCAAATGAAGCTCTTCATAGCTAAGCCAAAGATGATCTAGATGAGACTCAGATAATGTTGTGAATCAACTGAGAAAGGTCACTGAAGCTCTCCCAGGACAACTGATAAAATTTCCCCATATGACATTATCTGGGGGATAGACTTGGTACAATAAAGAACACTAAGGAATATATTCACTCAAGTATGAGAGTCTTCCCTTGTACCGATTAACTACTCATGTATCTTCTATTTTTCTTCCCCTATTGCTCTGAATAGGACTAACAGTACTATTTTGAGTAAGTGTGTAAGTGTAGGCACCTTTGTCTTATTCCTGATACCAGAGAAAAAGCCTCCAACCTTTGAATAATAGCTGTGGGCTTGTTATATATATAATATTTATTATGCTGAAGTAAATTCCTTCTATACCAAATTTGGTGAGAGCTTTCATTATGAAAGGGTGCTGTCAAATGATTTTTCTACACCTATTGAAATGATCATATGGGTTTTATCTTATTGTCTTCATGTTGTGTAGAACATTTATCAACTTGCATATGTTGAAATATCTTTGCATCCCAAGGTTATATCCCACTTAATCATGGTGCATAATTATTTTAATGTGCTATTGAATTTGGTGTGATAACATTTTGTTGAGGAGTTTTGAATCTATATTCATCAGGGACATTGACTTGTAGTTTTCTTTCTTTGCAGCATACTTATCTGGTTTTAGTATCAGGGCTATGTTGGTCTTATAAAATGAGTTTGGGAGTGCTCTATTCTCTTCAGTTTTCTGCAATCATTCTGAAAAGCATTAGCTTAATTCTTCTTTAAGTACTTGATGGAACTTAGCAGGGAAACCATCTAGTCCTGGGCTTTTTTTTTCCCCCTCTGGGGGATTTTTGATCACTGGTTGCATTTCCTGACTTATTATTGGTCTTTTCAGATTTTTTATTTCTTCATGATTCACACTTGATAGGTTTTACATTTCTAGGAATATATCTATTTTTTATAGGTTGCCTAATTTTTTTTGTATATAATTGTTGTGGTCTCTTGTATTTCTATAGTATCAGATGTATATCTCTTTTTTATTAGTAATTTATTTAGCCCTTTTCTCTTTTTGTCTTAAGAAGTCTAGTTAAGGGTTGGTCGATTTTGTTTATATTTTCAAATTACCACCTGTTAGTTTCACTGCTTTTTTCTATTGTTCTTTGGTCTAGAGACCAAAGAACATTTATTTCTGTCTCATATTTGTAATATCTTCTGCTAACTTTTGACATAGTTTGTTCTAGTTTTGCTAGTTCCTTAAGGTGTAACATGGGTGGTTTCTAAGATCTTTCTTTTTCCTTAATGTAGAGTTTATCACTTTAAACTTTCCTCTTAGAACTACTTCTGCTGTATCCCACAAGTTTTAATATGCTGCTTTCGCATTGTCAGTTGTGTCAAGATTTATTTTTAATCTTTCTTTTGATTTCATCTTTAAAATTGGCTGTTTAATTTCCACATGTTTTTTGAATGTTACAGTTTTCTTTCTGTAGAGTTTTCTAGTTTTGAAAGAATAGCATGCAAATGGGCAGCAGGTAAATGGAGAGATAATCCACATCACCAATCATCAGGGAAAAACAAATCAAAACCATAATAAAATATCACTTCCTGTTAGAATGTTATCATCAAAAAGACAAAAGGTATCATGTGGTGAAAAGGGAGCCTTTGTGCACTATTGGTTGGGGTACATTGGTATGGAGTTAAAAATAAACAGTATGGAAAACAGTATGGAGTTCAAAATAAAACTACCATAAGATTGAGCAATGGCACTTCTGGGTATATATCCAAAAACCAAAAAAAAGGATTCAGTATTTCAAAGAGATATCTCTCTCCCATGTTCATTATAACACTATTCACAGTAGCCAAATATGTAAACAAACTAAATGTTCATTGAGGGATCAATGGATAAAGAAGATGTGAGAGATACAGATATAATGGAATATCTTTCTGTCATATAAAAGAAGGAAATCCTGCCATGTGCAACAACATGGATAGACCTTGAGGGCATTGTGCTAAATGAAATAAGATGGATAAAGACAAATATGATCTCACTTATATATGGAATCTTAAAAAAAAAAAACTCAAAGAAACAAACAGTAGAATGGTGGTTATCAAGGGGGTGGAAGATATGAGAAGGTGTAAGTCAAAGGTATAAACCTTCTGTTATAAATTGAAATATGTCCTGGGATCTAACGTTCAGCATGATGAGTATAGCTAATAATACTGCACTATATACTAACTATATGCTGCACTATATGCTAACAGTACAGGTTGTCTTCCTAGTAACACAAAGCTTTTAAGCTAAAAGCTAATGTCTTACCCTGGTTCCAATGGTGTTGTGGTTTCTTGAGAAGGGGTAAAAGGCCCCCAGTTGCATCCAGCGAGCACACATCTCATATTCAGCATCGTTAAAGAACCCACAAATATCTGCTCCTGTCTGAAATAACATGAAATAATATGAGTTTATTACTTTCTGAAAGACATCACCATCTGTTTGGTGATGAGGAATGATCCAAAGAACACTTACATAGGAGATGCCAAAGAGGCTAAACTCCAGCATGCCTGCAATCAGAACACAGCTGTGTCAGATGAGGGTTGCATGATCTGCCTCCTCCTCCTCCCTCCTCAGACCCCTTTATTGACTCTCCTCTCTACCATCCTGAGCATCAGGGGCACCTGGGAATCAGCACACATACCAATGATAGATTTTCTGAGCTGGTTCCAGGCAGATGTGTTGTCTCCCAGCCAGTGACCTCCCCAACGGCCAGAAGAGGGGAATGTGGAGCGGGTGACAACAATCCCACGCTCTCCGGTCGCCTCCTGCGTAGCTCTGGTTGGAGGCGAAAACAAGGAGGTGATTGAGAGAGAACAAAGCAGGGGAGGGAAAGCCACAAAACTCCCAGGGTTCCTGAGCCTACAGTATGGTAATGGAATGTGTCCTGGATTATTTAGAGAGAATATGGAAATCTGAGCCATAATGAGATCTCCACTGACAGATCCAGATGATGAAGATAGTAAGGACAATTGTGCCTTTACATGGTGCTTTCCAATATTTTACCAAAACTTCACTGTACACTAAACTCAGCAGATTACCTAAAAATAGTGAGCAATGACCAAGTCCATTTACTCATTTCTTAGCTTTATATAATTGGAGAAGAAAGGTAAATTCCTTTATAAGTTTTTTCTTAGGATAATTCATGTTTTTCGATTGATTGGGCACATAAAATGGTATAGTGATAATTCAGTAAAATATGTTGGCTATTCAACAAGAATAAGCAAAAACCAAAAAATTCCATTCCAGGTATGAGTCACGTTTGAAACAGATTTCTAGCTCTCCATGTTCCCTTTGCCTCTTATAACTAAATTATTACAGTATTAGTTGCACTGTGTAATAACTACTGGTGTCCCCATGTGTGCCTCCTCTGGTATCCCACAGGAGCCAGAGTAGAGGGACTCATAAATTTCAGCTGAAAGTTGATTGGAATGGCCAATTTGGTCCTACAGAATGACTGTCTACAGGACTGTTAGTTTCTCACTTAGCAGGGCCACAATTGATCTAAATCTGCCTCCTAAGTATGATGACAGGGCCTGAGTCCATGTCCGTGAGTGTCCACTTGATAACTAAGAAGTGTCACATAGCTGTAACGAAAATCTTTTTCATCCTTGGAAGGTGTATTGAAAGGAAAAGGAGAGTAGTTTCCTCAGTCTGTGCCTGCAGAAGGGAGATGAGGACTCACTCGTATGTGGGTCTGGTCTGGGACCACCCATACAGGCTGTGCACATCATAGTGTCGCACTGGGGTGCCGTCTGGAAGGATCTGCTGACTCCCCATACACAGGGTCTTGCTGCTCAAACCCCTGTCCCTGCCGTCCAAGTCTGAGGAGAAAGAAGTCATGTAGAAATCACACCCACTCCTGGCCATCCCTGATCTCTCTTTAAGGGATTAGACTGGAGTTTAAGATTAGCGTGAGCCCTACAGGGGTCCCCCTCGTTCCCAGCAGGATGGGGATGTGCTCAGCTCTAAGCTACAATGGCACCCACAGGTGGTTTCAACATCAAGTCCCCTCAGCATGATGAGTATAGTTAATAATACTGCACTATATACTAACTATATGCTGCACTATATGCTAACAGTACAGGTTGTCTTCCTAGTAACACAAAGCTTTTAAAGCTAAAAGCTAATGTCTTACCCTGGTTCCAATGGTGTTTGGTTTCTTGAGAACCCCCTCGAGGGTTCACCAAGAGAAAGTGGGAAAACACTACAGAACAGACTCCAATCTAGGATTTTTAATATGTAAATTATTTTGTGACCCTTAGCATAATTCAATGAAGATACAAATTTGGAAACATGCAGTAATCTCTTAAGGCCATATAACCGACAGAGAAAATAATTTCTGGAGCCAAAGTTCATAGATTCCATGATGAGGTGAAGATGCTACTTTCCACCCACTGGGGTAACCACAAGTTCCTGTGAGGAACTGATAAAAGCCTGAAGAAGTAAGAAACCTAAAATTCTTTGGCAACATTGCCACTGTCAAGCATTTTCTAAACAAATCTGAGAAATTCAACCAAAACCAAAGCACCACTGAGCACATGCCCTGAGCAGTCAGGATAAATCCCTGCCACTGGGCCCTTACGAGGGTCATGCCTTCTAGCCAGGTCTGGCAGGAGATAAACCCAATGTACTTACGTGGGATATAGGGAGGGTGGTTCAAAGGGTCATCTCTGCAGCCTGGTTCAACTGCCCCATTCACAAAGCTTGATGGTTCATTCATATCCTAGAAATGCCACATAGAAACAGCTTACTTTCCAAAATGATGGCATCTTGTAAACTCAGACACAAGGAAGCAGTGAATAAACTGTTTACCATTCAGTAATCCCATAGATGTCAGAACAGTATCTATTGATAATTGATTGGAATGATCAATGAAGACCTACAGAATGACTGACTAGAGAAATTTTAAAAATTCTCTTTCAGGGTGTGAGGTGAGGCTCAATTCCAAGGAATTCCTAGTAATCACCTTAGAGTTTTACAACAGGGACTTCAGGAAAGGTCCAAGGTATGAGGAATACTGGGGCTATTCCTGGGGCTATTCCTCTCCACCACCAGCTGGAGGAGCTTCAGCCTGATATGTCCAAAGTCTTTCTTGGGTGATTATTTCCTTGATAAAGGTCACTGATACATGTACTTACACTCACAAAGATAGACACACACGTATCTACATGGACAAAGACTCAAGTGCACACTTACAATCCACAGGCCATCAAACTTCAAGCTCTTGTTTGGGTTCTGTGGATTGTCATGTAATTCTTTCACTTCCCTCTTCCACCATGTGATAGTTGAAGTACGGAAAAAGTCTGGGAAGGCTGCATGTGCTCGATATAGCTGTAAAAATGAAATATAACTTGTTTGTTCCAAGCCAATATATTAGACAGCAAATGGGCACTTGCTGAAGTTTCATGTATGCAAAATCTCGTAATTCAGTAAAATATCAGTCGGCGATTCAATAAGAATAAGGAAAAACAAAAAAATTCCTATGGATACGAGTCACTTTTGAAATAGAGAGATTTCCAGTTCTCCATGTTCCCTTTGCCTCTTATAACTAAATTATTACAGCATCAGTCACACTATGAAGTAACTGCTGGTGTCTCCCTGTATGCTTCCTCTCATGTCCCATAGGTGCCAGAGCAGGGAGACGCATCAATTTCAACTGAAAATTGACTGGAATGACCAATTTAGCCCTACAGAATGATTGGCTACAAGACTGTTAGTTTCTCACTTAGCAGGGCCATGCTTGATCTAAATCTGCCTCCTGAGTATGACAACAGGAATAACTAAAAATTGTCACATAGCTGTAACGAAAATCTTGTTCATCCCTGGAAGGTGTATTGAAAGGAAAAGGAGGGTAGCTTCCTCAGTCATCATCTGTGCCTGCAGAAGGGAGATGAGGACCCACTTGTATATGGGCCTGGTCTGGGATCATGGTGATTGATAACTCAAACAGAGCCCAAGAAACATTCTGGGCATATTTGAAATAAAGTCAGCACAAATCAGACACCTTCTTAACCTCTGTCTTTGGACTGCTATCCTCTTTGTACCTACATGAATGGTGGCAATTAACACCCTGAACTCACTATGCCACGCACCAGAGGCCCAGGCCTCCACTTCCATCCTGCAGTGTCCTCACTCCTCAAAGACAACATGAGCCGCAGCGCCGGTTTGATCCCCGGCTGCTCCCCAGCCACTGGAGGAGGGTCCCACATGGCGCGCAGACCTCTCCTGCCGCCCGCTGCTCCCCTCAGCAGTGTACTTCGGTCCTTCTGCCTGCTCTGCTCCCCGCTCTGGCTCTGGTGAATTCTCTCACCAGAGATTGCAGCTTAGAAGGGGCAGACATCAGAGGCATCAGCGACAGTTTGGAAAGAAAGTTCTAGGTGATCCTCTCCTGTCTCACTCCTTGAGGAAAAGGAGTTGACAGGAAAGACTGCATTTTATTGTATTAGCCTATCTAATTATATGTATCAGTATTTTCTATGGCTTTAGGATCACTTGAGGATTACAGTTGTGTGTCACCTAAATGGGAAAGACTTAAGGAGGAAGCTTCGACTCTCCATTCTCTTACCCACCTCAAATAATAAAAGCTGTGTCTTAATTGTAACTTGGAAGTGAATCTATGCTATAATTCCTTAACTCTATTGTAAGATTTTTAATAGCAAGGACCTTATTTTATATTCTTCTGGTTGATCTTTGTATTTTCCACAGTGCTTAAAAACCTGACCTAAGGGCCTCCCCGGTGGCGCAGCGGTTGAGCGCTGGGTTGCGAAGCTGCCTGCAGCCTCCGCGGCGCCGGTTTGATCCCCGGCTGCTCCCCAGCCACTGGAGCAGGGTCCCACATGGCGCGCAGACCTCTCCTGCCGCCCGCTGCTCCCCTCAGCAGTGTACTTCGGTCCTTCTGCCTGCTCTGCTCCCCGCTCTGGCTCTGGTGAATTCTCTCACCCTCCCGCGCTTCTGACTGTACCCAGTGCATGTATAAACAAAACAAACAAACAAATAAATAAATAAGCCTCTAAAAAAGAAAAAAAAAACCTGACCTAAAATAAATGTTGCCTGCATAATGGTGAGTTCACATCATACACAGTAAATACCCGTCACTTTCTTCATAGCCCATATCACTGGTTAGGGAGCTGCATGGTCCTTTGTATATCTCAGAAAATAGGTGCCTTTATGTTACAGATGCATTTTAGGAGTTAAAGAGATAAATAACGCAGGTGGAGAGAGCGAGGAGAACAACGGAAAGAAAGTTTGGTCTTCAGTTCTTATATACAATGGACCAAAAGTAAATAGGAACCCACAGATGTACATAAAAAGTAGAAAAGGGACACAAAGGAGAAAATGGAAATGAATCAGAACCCAGAGGTTTAGCCCACTGAGAAATGGGAGAGCAGTGAGCCGAATTACTGAGAATTCATGAAGGGAAACACAGATAGAGAAGATGTGATACACACACTCACACGCACATGTGCGCGCACACTGGAGTATTACTCAGCCATGAGAAAGAAGGAAATCCTGCCATTTGGGGCAACATGGATGAGCCAAGAGAACATTCTGCTAGGTGAGATAAGCTGGACTGAGAAAGACAGAAACTGTGTGATCTCATTTATATGTGGAATCTAAAAACAAACACTGAACTCACAGAAACAGAGAAAAATGGTGATTACCAGGGGCAAAAGATTGGGGGAGCTAGAAGATGTTCATCAGCGGGTCCAAGTCTACCTTTCTAAAATGAGTACATTCCGGGGAAATAGCATACAGCTTGGTGATTGTAGTTAATATCGCCCTGTATAGTTAAAAGCTGCTAACAGAGCAGATCTTAAGCATTCCCAGCACACACACACACACAAATGATGATGAGAATGAAGGTTGTGCTAATTTACCTTATGTAATCATTTCTTATCTGTGGATATCAAATTACCATATTATTATACTTTAAATATATGCAATTTTGTTCATTATACTTCAGTTAAATTGGCAGGGGACGAGGGGAGAAATACTGAAACAGAAAATAAGTGAACAAAAGCCAAGGAGCCCAGGACCCTGAACTTGTCTGGCCTGGCGGATCCCTGTGTGCCCGCGGGCTGCCTGGGCCACCAAACTTCAACAAGGGAGAGAACAGGAAGTGGGGTGCTCACCCTTGAACCCTTACTGTGATCCTTTACAAGTACACCCCTGCTCGCAGGAGCCAGTAAGCTTCAACAAAAATCTTGAAACTGGGAGACAGGAGCAAAGGCGAGGAAAGCAAAGAAGGATGGGGGGTTTATAAGAGTGAAAATGGAGGTAAGTGTCCATGATGAAAGGAAGCACAGAGAAAAGGACCCCATAACTCAAGCCTGGGGTGAGAGTCTAATTTAAAAGGGCAACTAAGGGCCTTCCTGGTGGTGCAAGGGGCTAAACATCAGCACTATGAAGCTATCCACAGCCACTGCAGCACCAGTTCGATCCCCGGGCAGGGAGCTACCCTCTCCTGACTCCCGCTGCTCCCCTCAGCAGTGCATTTCAGTAGATCTGCCTGTTCTGCTCCCCACTTTGTCTCTGGTGAATTCTCTCACCCCCCACACCTCTGGCCTGTACCCCAATTCTTGCATGCATAAATAAATATTTTTAAAAAATAAAAGGGCAACTCAAGGCAAAGGCAGCAACAAGTACACTAATTCAGGGAAAAGAGGATTTCTGTAGGCATCACCACATGGAGACACCATGGGCCTTTGGAGTCTACAGCTTTGGACCTGAAATCACCACTGTCAGGTCTCCCTGGTGGTGCAAGGGGTTAAGCACCACACTATGAAGCAATCCACAGCCTCTGCAGCATGAGTTCAATCCCTGGTCTGCCAGTGAGATACCCACATGGTGCAGCAGACCTCTCCTGACTCGCCCACTGCTCCCCTCAGCAGTGTATTTCAGTAAGTCTGCCTGTTCTGTTCCCCACTCTGTCTCTGGTGAATCCCCCCTGCCCACCACCGCATCTCTGGCCTGTACCCCAGCTCTTGTATGCATAAATAAATAAATCTTTAAAAAAAAGTCACCACTGTCACCTCAAACCATGGACAAGAAATTTAAGTTCTCCAGGACTTCATTATGCAGAGAAAAAACTGGTACAAGACGATGTCCAGGATGTGTCCCTGAGTGCATTTCCTTCCCACACCTGCGCCCACGGCGAGGAGATGCCCCGTGTCCTGGGTACAGCTGCACCCCTCCCACACCCCTGCCTTCACCCAACACCCACCATGGGCCTTACCTTCACTTGAGTATCCCAGTCTAGAGAACTGTTTATAACAACATCAGGCAAATCAGGCCAGACCTGTGCAGAGAAAAATATTCAGAAGCAATGCACTAGGTAACTTTTATTTCCTAGGAAATTATATGCCATGGTACTAGGGGGAATAATATTTAGAGTTTTCAGGTAGGATTGATCTAGAGAAGAGTGGATCTCACCACGCACATTTATTCCTGAAAATTCCTTCACACTATTGACACATATTGATTAAGAAGATAAGAACTTCCGACCCCAGGCCCAGAGGGAAATTCTAAGAAATAGCTCAGAACACACACAGTGGCCCACCCCCGGTGAGGGACAGTGGGTCAGAGAGCAGACCTTGCCCCACACGATGCTTCCATCCTTTGGGTCCTTAATGAAGACGTCATCCTGCACGCCCCGACGGAATGCAGGATAGTCCTTTGTCTCGTTGCCAGAAATGGCTGGGTCCTGAAAACCAGATCCAGAGGTGACTCAGACAGAAGAAGGGAGGCATTCACTTCCACCAGAACTGCCAGCTTCTGGGAATCCTGGGAAATCACTTTTCTTATTGAACGTCAACCTCTCTACTCAGAACATGGATAGAAACACAAGCTACAGCTTTCTCCACCCAAGGCCATCCCTCTTCCAGACAGAAGCCACCCATTCATGTGGGACTAACCAGAATGAGGATGACGCGCATCCCATCTCTTTTTATGCGATTGATCAGATCGGGGAAGCCCGCAAACTTGGGGTTGAGGGTGAAGTCCAGCTGTCGCTCCATGTAGTCAATGTCTGCGTACTGCACATCCTGGGGGGAGGAGGGGAGAAGGGGTACACAAGGACTCTGAGTACCTGCTGGTGGCAGGCTCCAGATGAGAACCTCCCAGCACTCACGGATGGTGAATTTCAGATGACTTCTTTTTGAGTCTACCAAACTCTGCTATATTGTTTGTCACAAAGTAGCTCTTAGGAAATGAACCTAATTTTCAAATGTTTAATGATATAGTAGAAAAACCTAAATGAGTGAGATAGAGGATGCTGATGCCTATCTAGAGGCTGTTGTGAGGATAAGTGAGAACAGTAGATGAGCGAGTGTCCTGCAAGTGATCACTGTGTGGAAGGACTGTGGTGGCCTCTCAGTAGAGACCGTCATGGTATCAATGATTCATATTCAGAAAAATAACATCATGTCAATTACCCAGGACTGATACAACCTGGATGGTAAATCTACCCTCCAAAGCACAAAGCCTGTAATTGCCTTGAAATAGCCAATGCTGGGAGCTATCAAATACAGATTTCTTATTAAGAATGAACTATTGAGAGCCAGGCTTTCCACTAGTAAGAACAATTGTCCACAATAGAAAAATTAGTCGAATAAAATGAAATAAGCAAGTGGTTCAAGGGATCGGTTCACTGGTGATGAGCTTCTCTCTCTAGTTCTCACGTGAGGGACAGAGCATGCCCCCACGTGCATTTCCCCTGCTCCCGAGTTCACTGAGGTTAGCACAAAGCAGAGGGAGCACTGTGCTGCAGCACTGACAAAGTGACAGGGTGCTGGAGCTGAGGTTTTATCCACACACACAATGATCTGACTCAGTCTGAAATATCTTTTTAATTAAACAATATTACCATTTGGGGAACCTTCTATTACTGTGATATCAAGGATGCTTTTGACTAAAGTCCGTAAAAGAAATGCAAGAAACAAATAGCAGAAAGAGCCCTAGAGCTGGCCCCTTGTCCTCCTTTCTTGGCAAATTACTGTGACTCTGTGATATGGGGACACTAATCCCAGCTGACCTGCTGGGTTGAGTGAAGTTCAGCATGATGTTGGAGGAGAAAGCATTTTGTACTTTGAAGAACCCCTCAAAAATCAAACTATCCAGACACAGAGAGAATTGGGGTCAGCACAGCCAGGACACCACAGATTATGAACCTACATAGGGGATCTTGGCAGCCACCATATCATCATACAAGCTGGCAATCTCAGAGTCATTCTGGTATCCATAGCGACACAGCTGAAAGCCCAAGGACCAGTAAGGAACCATCACCGGTCGACCGATCAGCTGGAAAACAGATAGAAAACATTAGCCCCTAAAAAGGAAAATATGGACTGAGGTTCACAAAGTAATAAGAATACTTTTCTAGTACCCCAGGTTAGATAATCAACAAACTCAAATCCAGAGACACTGAGAGGGTGCAGTGAGGGGCAGTACCCAGGAGAAAGCTTCTGGCTGGACCTGAGCGCCCTCTCTGGGAATTTTGAAAACTCTGATTTTATTCAAAATCAGATTCTAGCTCACTGGTTAAAAACCCGGAATCTGAGAGAAAAGTGCTGATTTTCAGAAAGGCTCCTGAAAATCAGACAGGCTCCAGTCCTGCTAGCTAGGTGACCCTGGGCACAAGTTAAAGTATTGAGTGATATGCAGTGAGTGATACTGTCAGTGACATATAGTGAGTTTTATATACGTGCTTGTTGCTGCTGCCAGAACATCATGCTGTCCTAACCATCATAACCACCATCACACCACCCCAACTCCATCACATCACCACTGCCATGTCCATCGTCACCACCCCCTGTATACCCAACACCATCACCACTGGCACCATCACTACTACTGCTAATCTGCAATGTTTTGAGAGGTTACAAGTTTAAAGGTTATTGAGATGTATTTATTACTCCTTACTTTATAAATCTGTCTTCCGAGAAGATCCACCATTCCACTTGCCAACTACCATTCATTAGTTACTATACTAATGAATATGGGCACTCGCATGCAAAATGCCATTGCTAACCTATTAAACTCTCTCCTACCTCGGTGTACTGCTGAGTGACAAGCTCTGGAGTTGGCCCCAAGATCACATAAAAGTCCAGAATCCCTCCTATAGTGCGGTATGTCAGCGCAGGCAGAGGCTGGAATGTCACATCTGAAAATCAAAAAAATGTCAATCAAGCTAGAAAGCTTGAAGATGAGGAATTACCCCTGAAATTCATCCCTTTTCCCTCGTCCTGTGCCTCCCTATGATAGAGAGGAAGTAGTTTTACTATACCTACAAAGAACTGAACAAGTTACATGAAAGTCTACAAGGCCCCATTCTGAACTCCTGCCTTTGATGTGCTTTATTATCTAACATGCTTTGTTATTCTATTCTTTTTAAAATAGTATCACGATTTCTATTTTAGGATAGCACAAGTCTTGCAGGAAGTTACAAGCATAGTGCTGAGAGTTCCCTCGTACATTTCACCAGCTTCCCCCAATAATAACATCCTATATAAGCAGCGTACCTGGTCAACACTAGGACTGATGTGACATGACTGAGACACAGATGTGATGCTCTCTCTTCGGGTATAGAACATATTCAGGCTTCACATGTGCTTCTTTCCCCCAAGACCTGATTTTTTTAATCTACATTTTTTACGTCATTGTTCATTTTTAAACAATATTTGCTTCCCCACCCCCACCCCTCAGGTGTAGTCCCCATAGAATTTCCCTCACCAATGCACCCATGCACCCTCACCTCAGTCCCCTGTGCTCGCCCTCCCTCCCTCTGATCCCTCTCCCTCTTCCTTCTCCCCTGCAGGATGTCTCTGATTTATAATTGTCTGTTTGTTTTTATTTTGTTGTGTTTTGTATTGTTTTTTCCCCTGATGTCTTATTTGGTTCCCCATATTCCTTCTATAAGTGAAACCATCAATATTTTTTTCTTTTTCCTTCTGACTTATTTCACTGAGCATAATTCCTTCTAGCTCTATCCATGTTGCAATGAATGGCATGAGTTTATCTTTTTTGATGGCTGAATAGTATTCCATTGTGTATATATGCCACATCTTCTTGATCCAGTCATCTGTTTTGGGGCATTCCCCAAGTCCTGATTTTTGGGGTAAATATCACTGCCCATTTCCATACATATATGGAATATACATGCATATGTTCTTCATCTCTCATACCCTGAGTGAATTCTCTGACCCGAAGATTCAGCACTAGCTCAATTCATACAGCTAAACCCCACCGGCTGACCACTTAGATATCCAGAACTTGCTTGGCTTTGTAGCCCTTCCTATATGATCTTTGCCAAGTAAGAATTGACTTAATTCTGGTTACCACATGTTAATGAACTGAAATAAATAGAAAGGTTGTACAGGAAGGAGAAAAGACAACTGCCCACAGACAATTTTGAATCCGGGGGGTAGGAGGGCGGGGGCAGCTAGGGGAAGCACACTCTAAAGTTCCTCAAAAATGATCAGTTCACAATTATAGGGGGTGACGCCGGCACCGTCTTACCCATGGCATTGCTGTTCATCAGGAGCACTCCATGGGCACTGCCATCCTCCTCCAGGGCCATGTAGTAGGGCTGGACGCCATAAGAGTTCAGCTTTTCCTGGGAGAGTCATGGGGGAGAAGGCGTAGGAGGTTAAGACTTGGTGGTTGAGAAAGAAACAACAAACACTGACAGCTAAGCTGAGTCTACTCTTCCCTGTGAAACACATCAAATGCATGAGAACTAACGGAGCCTGAGGATTGGCCCACTTGTCCGAAAGCAGAAAGTGAGCATCCTGGGAAGATAGAGCATGAAGTGCACACCTGGGTGGGTGGGGGAGCGGAGGGGGGCACCCTTACCCCTGGGGGCTGGTCTCGGGAAAACATGCCCCATGTGTGCCAGTCCAATTTTCTGCGATAAGCTGTGTGCTCGGTCTCCCCAAAGCCGTAGAGGTACTGGGAGGGGAGGCGAGTGGAGATGCGGATGAACATGTCATTGAAGGTGAAGCCAAGGAGCTGAGAGTCCCAACTGCAACACAAAAAGGCATATTTGGAGAAAAAATGGGCAGAGATTTTGGCCTCAAGCAGCTGACTTTTCAGGGACAGCGAAACTCTTCACTCCTCCCTCCTCCCAGAACCCTGTTAATCTTTCAAACAAAATTCGAAGTCCACTTGATTAAAATGATCATAGATGCCTTTGTGAAGAGCCCAGGAGACTTTGTTCGTTCACTTTGCTCTTTCACACTGTCCATTCCTTTCTCCCTCCCACAAAGCACATCTAAGCACTCCTCTACCCCTCCCACCCATTCGAGCCCTGACTTTACTCTTGCTCCCCTACGGTTTCTTTTCCACGTAGCGCCCAGAGTGATAGTTTTTTTTTTTTAAAATCTCATTCTTTTCTGAGTTATAACCAGGCGAGTTCTTCAGTGATTTTTCATCAAAACATCTTAGGAAGTCTTTAAGGTCACACCTGACACACACAAATCCCCAGCTTCATCTCCCTCCATTCATATCCTTACTACATTGCTCCAACCACACTGGACATTTTGTTTCTTGACCTGTGCACTCAATAAAATGCTGTTCCCTTCTCCCAGATCTCCACAGGGGTGTATGAATCTCTTCCAGGTTCTAGTCTAAATATCACCTCCTTAGAGAGACCCACTATGACCACAGAATCAAAAGCAGAAATTTCCCATTACTCTCCATCATTCTGTACAGCAGCTGTCACAATCTAAACCTACTAATTCATATTTTAACTTACATTATCCTTGACATTTGCTTATTACTTTTGGTCATGTGAAGAGAGACTTCACCTTCCACTACCATCCAATATAGAGAAGGCACTCCATAAATATTTGTTGAATGAATCGCTAGGTACCTGACATTGCCTTGGGAAATTATTCCTAGGAGACTACAGATTTCTCATAAGAACAGACCGAAAGGAAATAATTTATTAATCTGGGAATGGATACTGTGATGCTTTGAGCCATGACATGTCTAAGGGCAATGATCTGACATTGAGTGGGCAAAGTATCAGACATGGCGATACTTACATAAAAGTGTTGGTACTCTTCCGGCGAATTTTAATGCCAAATGGGTCCTTTGTAATGACAACATCATAGAGTCGACTATCAGGGGTGCTGGATGGAACAGTGGGTATGTTGAGAGGAACTGGAACTTCATACCGTTTGTTGTTAGGATCATAAATCTGGGGCCAGAGGAAATACATTTCAGGTAAGTACAGTACTCTTGAAATCTATACCCTTGATGTCTTTGACGGAATCTAAATGCTATATTCCTTTGTCTTCTTTTCTTTTAAGTTCACAATATCAATCCTGTATTTAATTAACATACCAAAGAATTATGCCAGATTTAGCATTTGATCTGAGTCTATCACATCTAATTTATAAGACCTCTGTTACATTGACACACCTGCTCTGAATTGGTGCTATCTTGGAAAATCAGTCTGGAATCAGTATGTATTTATGAATATATTATTTATTACTTCATGTGTAGATGTATGGATGTATATGATGACCTGAAATTTTTTCTGAATTGAGAAACACTCCCCCTAAAAACATGAACTCTACTAGGTTAAAATAATCATCCAAGTCCTTGTAAACTGACTCACTGAGTGCCTATGATATTCCTGCCTGATTTGCTACTCGACATTAGGGACAACCAAACTGAATAAGACACGGTTATTATTTTTTTAAGAAACCCACATGCTAGTAGAAGGAGAAAGGGAGGTACCCACAAGACCTGGGTGATAACATGAAGGTAGATCTGTATAGAAGTGCTGTGAGATACAGGGAAGGAGATGTCTAACACTTTTCTGGAATGTTTCATGGGAAGAGGACAGCTTGAGTCTTGAAAGCTTTGTATTCACTAGTAAAACAGAGAAGGAAGATCAGGTCATCCCTGATAGAGAAATAAGGCACAGAGTGATAAAGTGGGTTGTAAGGAGGCAAATATTATGGGGTTTACTGCATGGTCAGGATGTACAGCAATAAGGAGTTATAGCCAGAAACCCACACAAGCTCATTTATGTCAAATGCAGCACGTGCCTCCACATGCAGAGCCCAGGTGAGGACAGGAGTAGAAAACAGCATCATCCCTGCATCAGGAGATCAAAGGAACTCGGTCCAGTTTGGTGTCAAAACATGAAGAACAGGAGGGAGGTAATGCCACTCTGGCATGATGTTTTTTCATTCACTCTCAATAGACATTTGAGAGTCAGCTGCCAGGCGCTGTGTCAGACTCCAGGACACAAAGACCAAAGGGTGGATTCCTGTCTTTGAGAGACTTACCACTTAGTAGAGAAACAGAAGCTGACATAAAAATAGCCCATCACAGGTCCTTAGAGGTGATTAAATTAGAGGAAAAGAATGCCTGACTCTTCATGGGTATTTCACAGATATCCCAAGTTCTGGATCCAAAACTGAGCTCATCATCTTATTTTGCCTAAGTCCAAACCTTCTTAAGGATCCCGTTCCAGTTAATGTCACCACTGCCATTATAGAGACCCAAGATAGAAACTCGGGGAACATTCTTGATGCTTCCCTCTCCCTCAGCACCGACATGCAATCAGTCACCAGATTCTGTCATTTTACCCTCTCGATGTCTCGAAGAAGCCCACGGTCTCTGCCTCCTTTCCTACACTTGGTCTCAGGAAGTTGTCTCTCCTTTTTATTCTTGTCCTCTCAACCATTTCCTTCACACAGTCATCTTCTTTTTTCTATTTATTTAAATATTTTATTTTATATAATTCTTACATGATTTTTCATCTTTGCACAATGTATGCATCTTCATCCTGGTTATATTCCCCATACAATTGCACACCCCCTTATTTTGACTCTAGTCCTTCCTTTCCTCTCCCCTCCCTCCCCCCTCCCCCTGGTAGTGTGTCTCTGGTTTATAGTTGCTTGTTGATTTTGATTTTTACTTTGTATTGTTTAGTCTTGTTCCTGGTCTCTTATTTAGGTTTTCTAAATTCCTGCTATGAGTGAGACCATCCGGTATTTTTCTTTTTCTTTCTGACTTATTTCGCTGAGCATGATCCCTTCTAGCTCTATCCATGTTGCTGCAAACCGCATGTGTTTATCTTTTTTGATTGCTGAGTAATATTCCATTGTGTATATGGACCACATCTTCTTGATCCAATCATCTATTTTTGGACATTTGGGTTGCATCCATAGCTTAGCTATTGTAAATAGTGCTGCTATAAACATAGGGGTGCAGGTGCCCTTTTGAATTGATATTTCTGTGTCCTTTGGGTAAATACCTAGGAGTGGAATTGCTGGATCGTATGGAAGCTCTATGTTTAGTAGGTCCAGAAATCTCCACACAGCTCTCCATAGTGGTTGGACCAGTTTGCACTCCCACCAGCAGTGCAGGAGAGTTCCTTTTTCTCCACAACCTTGCCAACATCTGTTGTTGCAAGTTTTTTTAATAGGTGCCATTCTCACTGGTGTGAGATGGTATCTCATGGTAGTTTTGATTTGCATTTCCCTGATTACAAGTGATGTTGAACATTTTTTCATATGCCTGTTGGCCATTTGCATTTCTTCTTCAGAGAAGTTTCTTTTTAGCTCTTCTGCCCATTTTTTGACTGGATTATTTTCTTCGTTTTTGTTGAGTCTCATCAGCTCTTTGTAGATTTTTGTGATCGGTACTTTATCGTTAGTGTCACACAGTCATCTTCTTGATTGCAAATTAGAACAGATCTCACGGTCTCATAATGGTTTTTAATTGCTCTTAGGATAACATTCTGGTACATGGCAATGTGGGTAATGTAGAAGAGCAAGCTTAGCTCAGGGTTCTGTAACCTAGACTAGCAAAAGGTAATGAAACTCAGAAGGGCATGATCATCCCTTGACATGTAAACACCTACCTTAAACTGCAGCATGTGGTCCTTGTGGTAGGTCACCTTCAGATGGAGGGGGGATACAGGTGTTGAAGGAAAAGCAGAGGCATAAGATCCAGGCTTTAAGGAGAGGATAGCAGAGGCCCCGTGGGAGTCATACTGAATATCACTAACGGAATATAGCTCCCTGGTAAAATAACAGGCAGGCACTCGCGGAACGGGGGATTCCTGAAAAGTAAAGGTGAAGTCAGCTCAGATATAGGATTATCACAGAGAAAGGCTAGACAAAGCAACTTGCAGGGAGGTGAAAATCCAACCATCACTCATTTCCTCACATGTTGTCAGGTAGTAATGACCTTTCAATTCCTGGTCTCCATGTTAAGTATTTGTGTACACACACACACATACATACCCACACACCTGTCACTACCTGCTCATCCAGATAAATACACAGGTTTCTTTGAAAGTCCTTTCTTTCTATAAATTTTAGGGAGTGAGTGCCATAAGCCTGGTGCTATGCTTGGGAATTATAGATTAATCCTAAAGGAATTTACTAGACAGTCACACCATTGGCATGGTTACCTCCCAGATACAGCCCCGGGCCACACAGTTTGTTTCACTAGCACCATGCTCATCTGGATAACAGTCTATCTTTTCTTCATCCTTTGTAATGGTCCACTCCACCGTGTATGCTTTTCCCAGCTCAAGATTAAGGCCTGTGATATGGGCAACCTGTCGGAATGAGGAAATGACAAAGAAATTTAGCCTCAAGACAAAAGCCTTGCAGGATGGAAAATTTCTTTTAGGAAAGGAAAGAGAAATCAGAGCAGGAAATCTGGACAACCCAGGTAACACACCACCAGAGTGTCTATAAAGAGAGTGACATGGGGGATGAGGACATCCAGATGCAACAGGAAAAATGTCATACTGTATCCAAGTCCTGCACATGACACAGTGAAAATATTACATTAAATAAAACCCATGATCGCCCCTTTTCTGGCTCCTCCTGTGCCTCTTGTATCAAGAAGGCTCTCTTCTGCACTTCCCCTTGTATATGAACACACACAAACACAGCCCACGTTGAGCTGATCTTGCCCTCCATACCCCCAACCACTATCCCCCTGAAGTAGTGGCAAGAAAACAGGAATGAGAATCAGGAAATCTTCATTCTCATCTACAGTCTTCTGTGCAAGTCTTTGGATCTTTGTGCAATGGCAACCCCATTACATTTGTTTCCATTTCTAACATCCCATCCTCTTCATTTCTCCAAGTTCAAAGCCTCCAAACATGAAAGGGTCTTTGTACCCTACTCACTAATTCAAATATCTAGTATTTTCTATGCATTTTTCTTATTTTTGCCTCTTCTTTAATTCACAATTTCCATAGAGGAAGATCTCATTTGTCTAGAATGTAAAGACATCTTCTAAGGGTTATCATGCTTCTTGCAGACTTGAATTCACCTTGCACTTCCCTGCATTACAAATCCCACCCCAAACCAATGTTCACAGTGGCACAGCCTTGATTCAGAATCAATACAACACTCTGTGAGAATTAGATCAAATCTTTCTCATTTCACCACCTAAGACCCTCCAAAATCTGACCCACAGGTACCTATCCAAACTGATCTCCTTCTGAAAACGAATCTCACTGGCTCTGGTTCTACAATAATCACAGCTTTATATAAAGCTCTTCTCCCTACTTATGCTGACTTATGCTGATGTCTCAACCTCAGTGCTTTATCTAACCAATATCCTTTCTAGAAAAATGGTGCCAATTGTAGAATATGCAGCTAGTTTCTGGCCCTAATTAAAAGCTCCCTTCTCACTCATTATTTCCATTTAGAATATGAAAGTTCCCAATTGGGGACTTTTTAATCTATGTGAGTAGCTGTAGCCACCAATGGGAGAGTGCAGGTCTGCTGGGAGCAGCTGACCAAGTGCTCCTTCCCTGATTCAAGAATCTGCCCCTTCACCTTGACCTGTTCCTTTTGGCTTCCTCTTCCATTGTCACAGGGCTACAGCAGCTGAAATGAAGCCATTTCCTGTCACAAGAGAAGAAAAGACCTGAACTCTGACACCCTTGAGCCAGCAACTGAGCCCTTTTGAATCATATTGCCTGAGGGGGTAAAAATCCCAACTTGTGTAAAGTAGCATTTTTTTCTGAGTTTCCTGTCACTCATAGCTGAAGGCATGTCTACCAGATGCTCCACCCAGCTCCACCCTGAACTGTCTGGGGCTCTGCTGCATTAAGCTCAGGACCTTAAACCAGGCAGAAGTGAACATTTCTTATATGTCAGAATGCGTGATCTGTCTCCTTCCCAGCAGGCACCATAAATTGTGTCTCCCAACCATCCAAGTTTTAGTAATAACAGTGCTCCTTTGCTTTTCTACTAACTCACTCATTTATTGAGGTGGTTGTTGTATGTGTACCCTTCAAATGACTTGCATTTGGTGATACATATAAGCACCCATACATTTTATTTCTAACTTCATAATGCATGCTTCCTCAATATACGTTCTAAGACAAAATATCAAATGTCATTGATAAATCATTATAGAAGAATAAATTTACTTATTTTTCTAAATTTGAAAGGTAGAAAGGATTCCATATAATGCTAGGACATCAGAAGAACTGTTTACAACGTGTTCAGGATTGTCGGTTCTCATGACAGGTGAGGAAAAGTATGTTATTATCATCTAACCAAAGCAGTAGCCATTAGCTAGGCTTCTCAAATTCTTTGATTTAAACTATTTCTTTAAAATGTTTGTGTTGGGACCTCCCTGGTGGCTCAAGGGATTAAGACACAACCTATGAAGCTGTCTGCAGCCACTGCAGCACGAGTTCAATCCCGGGCCAGGGAGCTGACCCATGTGGTGCAGCAGACCTCTCCTGTCTCCCCGCTGCTCCCCTCAGCAGTGTATTTTAGTAGATCCACCTGTTCTACTCCCCACTCTGTCTCTGGTGAATCCTCTCACCCCCCCGCCCACACCTCTGGCCAGTTCTTGTATGCATAAATAAATAAATCTTTTAAAAAATAGTAAAATAAAATGTGTTGGAGCAAGAGTCTATGTATCTCAACACAGTAAAAAAAAATACATTTCAAAATTTTAATTCATGGGATGTTTTATCTTTCTAGCATCAGCCAGCAACATTCAGATCCACTCTTTTCTAATCCTGTTTCCCACACTCCCTAACTCTGCTTTTCCTCTGTGCCAATCAGAGAGGACAGAGACTGATGGCCAAAATAAGGAACAAAGATGAAAGGAGATTTTTACCTTCTCCTGATTTCTGAGCAGTTCCCTAGCCCATCTGTCAACCTCCCCTCCTCCTTTTTCTCTCCTGGCCCTCTGCCTTCCCCACCCCAGGCCTCAGAATGTGCTCTGGTCCTTCAGGAATCCATGCAACCTCAGCAAGAGGGAACACCATAAGCTATGAGAAATTATGGGTAAATCAGCTCTGGCAGATGGTCTTTACCTTAAGTTTAGCATCATAGGCGACTTTAGGAGACATTGGAATCACGACATTGTATTGTTTTACTGTAACGTTCTTGGGCTCCCTGGTCCCAAAGACTTTAATCTCTTTAAATGCTAAATTGTTAGGGTCTTTGTAGGTTGCTTGCAAAATCTTCACATCTAGGCGTTTCTGCAAAAACAAACGAAGGACAAGGTCTGCCTGTAGCACATGAATTCTCAGACCACTTGGGGGCGGTGCGTCCTAGACCAGTTTCCCACTCCCTCAGAATGGCCCTTAGTTGTGTTTATAATGCGCTCAGTGAGTACAGTCTGATTTTAAATATTTTACTTTTAATTATTTTAATTTCATACCCCCCTGAGCAAGAGGCAGAGACAGGGGTACATAGAATAGAGACAGACACAAGAGAGACAGAAACACACCGACACGGAGAAATTCTTTTAAACTACATTTGAAAAGATGGCATTGATTAATCGATCATTGCCTCTTTGTACTGACATGAATGATTCCATTCTTGGGAATCCGGTCATAAATTAAAGTGTGCTCACTTATAATCATAAATGCCTAGAAGCTACAAATATAATCATACACATACAGGCGCGTGCTAATGGTCACCAGAAACGCTCACACCTGAGATTCATAAAAAACATGCTACTCACTATGGTGAAGGAAAACTCACACAGGAGGTAAGTTTGTTTGGCCACAGTATCTGAAAGTAAGAGAAAGATGAATCAGACAGGCCTGCCCAACAAGGAGCAGATCTCAGCTTGGCCATTCCTGAAGTGCCATCATGGGAATGACAAGATCATGGACAGAGTCTCTGAGCCCACGCCACAGTTCGCCCATCTCCTTCTCGCCTTCACCTTGAAAAGGCCAAGTGCATACAAGGCACATGACTGAGGAACCTGCTCCCTGCACTAGAGCCACAGAGATGTTAGGTCATTGGAGCCCAAAACATTTGCTAAGAAGCAAAGTCTAGAGTCGGGACCTCTTGAAAGTGTCTTCTCTGGCCTCGCTGGCATGCGTGTGTTTTTCACACTATCATGTGTGTTTCTAAGCACTTATTGGGAAGAAATGCCCTGTGAGTGGCAGGAAGAGTCTTGAAAATGGCTTTCAGGTACCCACTACCCCTCAAATGAGAGTCTCTATATTGTGGCCAATGGGAGGATTCTGAGACATAGAAACGTGCTTTCTTTTCATCTGTGGTCCACCTCCCACCACCCCGCAACCCTGCAACTAAAGCCCATTTCTCTGGGGGGAATGCTGCGTTCCCAGTGCAACTCCTCCCACAGCTGCATGCCCGCTGGAGTAACTCAGATGCAGGTGCCGAAGCAGCAATGCCCTCATCACGGTGCTCACCTCTCGTTTCCCCATCATCCCAGAAAAGTTCGCCTTTGGCTTCCTCATTATCATCCAGGGCAATGATAAGAGCTAGCGGATTCCGCCGACTGGGGGAAGCAAGACAGGTGTCAGAGACAAAGACTCGGGGCTAATCTCTCAAAGGAGCTGGGCATGTTGCCACCAAGTTTCAAATGGCAAAGGCCACTGGCAGCAGATGGTTCTGCTTTTCTTTAGGCACAAAGGCAAAATCAATAGGCACCTCTTCTTCTAGAATCAGTCATGTCATGGAGACAGAAGTACCCAGATGATTAGCCATAAACATCTATGTAGAAGATAAGAATCTGAGCAATGAGTTATCACTGTAATCACTACAGTGAAAGTTGCTGATGCAATTATTATTTAGAATCCAGACTATCAGAAGAAGAAATGCTAGTCAATACATGGTTCAGCTGAACAGCTTAGAGAGTAAACACAGAAGTGTTAGCTCTGCTGGGGGATGTGGAGTGGATACAGTTTTTTCCCTGTTTGAAAACCATTTTAACTCAGAAAGTAATCAAATGCTATAGGATGCATCTTTAGGATGGCAGCTTTCCTGGTTTGATTATTTGTTATCAGTTTGTTTTGCGGAGGAAAAGAAAACAGTCTAGTTGTCTACTTTACCATTTGGACTAGGAAACACCAAATGATACTCAAATAGATGGACATGGGGAAAGGGAGAAAGACAGAGGAGTTTCATTTGGCACCTTGCCTTATCTCACCACTCCTCTGAAGACCCCCAATTTCCTGCACCTTCTGCATCCTCCACTGACTTCACATTTCTTCCCCACTGTTTTCTTTTACAGTTCAGCCCTCTGTCAGGGCCTGTGCAAGTCAGATTCCAGTATCAATAAAACCACCTGCTCACACTTAACATGCAAGTACTGTGTAACTCTCATTTGTCACAAAGTCTGAAAGACAGTAAGGAATAGACCCCACATCTGTGGATGACCTTACAGATTATCAGATTCAACATATTCACCAAAAAAATTCAAGACAGAAAGGAAGAGAGACACAAAAGTTAAAATACTCATAGACTTCCGGAATGGCACTGGAAGCACTGGACCCCTGCTAGCAGTCCGGCAGCCTAGACATCCTGGAAGACCCTAAACATCTTGAAAGACCCCCCACTAAAGTGCTCCTGGTCCTAGATGAAGGGCAGCATGTGACCCCTGAAGGGAGTTAGTGTGATGCTGATATGATACGCCCTGGCTTCCGCTGAAGAGAAGTCAAGTGATCTCTGGAGGATGGGAATTTGGATCCTGCAGACCTCTGCAGTGGAAACACAAAAATTAATATACATGCAAGATAATAAGAGAGCTAAAAAGAAAAAATGATAGGAAACAACGAACAATAGATTTAGATTCCCCCAAGGACATTCAATACTCGTACCTTCAGATACAGTGTACTAAATACCTATGATTATACACCTAGTATTAAATACTTAAAAATATTGCAGAGGCAAGAAAGAAATCGGATAAGGGACAAAAGAGTATTTTATTAAATGGCCAGAAAGTTGGAAGTGGCAGCTCTCCTTCTGCTGGGAGGATCATGATGCTTCCAAAAGAAAAACTCATTGATTATCTTGGGACCAGAGCATTACTCAGAAAACAGATGAAAGGAAAAACTTAATCCTTTCTTTGCCGTTCCTGCACAATCTGAATTTTAGGCAACCCAAGTAGTTTATGAGAGTAAGTTCGTTATAAACAGAATTCCAGTTAGTAATTATAAGAGGAATGACAGACTTAGATCATCACCATTTAGCAAACTCTAAAATTGAACTAGGCTACCAGCATCTATGATGTGCACATTCATTAGGGAAAAGGTAGAAAGGTAGGTTGACTCTACCTGAATTCAGAAACCGACCTTCACATCTCAAAAAGAGAGACATCCAGACATCATGTGTCTTAGAGGTGATGCAATAGTTTTACACACCATCACCTCCAAAGGATGCCTGCCTTTGAACCTGAGTCTAATCAAGTCTCTCCCAGCCTAGAGAGCCATGAAGAGTAGAAAGGAATAAACTAAATTGCATCACAAGTAAGAAGTTGGTTCAGGAAGGGGGACACGCTACTGATCAAATGATCTGCCCTCTCCATCAAAACGATGACTTGAAAAAAAGAAGGGAGGAGATACTAATAGATTTAAAATAGATTTAAAATGGAAAAAAATGAGAATGTGTATATGGCAAAGTATCCTAATAAGGGCAATAAACACAGAAGCCCAAATGCAGTGAAGGAGATGGGAAGTTTGGGAAGAGCAAGATTTTCGCTGTGGCTGGACAGCAGAGCATGCTATGGAGGAGACGCAGTAGTTAATAACTTGGAGCCAGATTGTGACAGGCCTTGAAGACCCTACTCCTGAAAGACTTTGGGCTTCAAGCAGGGCAATAACAAGTTGAGCTCTTCATTTTAGAAAAACAAATTTGGCATCATCGTGCAGGACAGCCTGAAGCTGAATGATCAGAGAAAAGGAAACCAGCTTGTATCCTATGTGGATGTACACACCATCAGTTTCATAAAAAGTCTACAATTTGAAAAATGAAAGTTGGAAAGGAAGTTTAAAAGACAGAATGAACTCAGGATCTACTAAAAGCAAGTGAGCTAATACTTTTAGAGATAGATGTAAATGTGTGCCTCCCTAGTACAGTGGAACCTATCACTTCGGCATCAAAAATCCCTAAGAGGAGAAACCAGGGATATGAGGTTCATAAGAAGTAATTTTTGAACCGTGCTTTATATCACAAGAAAGAAATGGCTCAGTTTAAGAAAAGGAATGGGGAATTGAGATGATGGGGGGAGAGTGGCCCCGATGCCCTAGGAATGAGAATGAGTGAGAGAAGGGCAGGGCAGGATGGATGGATGGTCTCTGTGAGGAAGGCTGACTAACCCACAGACCCCATTTTCCAGGAATTGGGAGGTTTCTTAGGACATGGGACTCTCCATGCTGAAATTGCAATGGTCCTGGAAATTCTGGAAAGTTTACTGCCTTACCAGTGGCATGTTTCAAAGAGAAATTCACAGGGGTTAGGAAGACAGGGCTTAGGGCCTTTCAAAATCCAGCTGGAGGCAACCCTAGTCACGGCTTCCTCAGAAGGAGTTGAGGGAAACCCAGAGAACAGAGTCTGAGGACCACAATCACATCCCAGTCACTGTCCCCACCTCCATCTCAAGCTTCAGCATCTTCTGGCGGCAACACATAGCCACAGAAGCAGACTCCTGCTTTAAAGAAACTCCCCAGCACACTGTACCTGTCCTCGGTGGTTATGCCTGGCTGTTGTGTGGGGAAGATGTAGCCTCCTCGAAGGTGAAGGCCGATTTTGTCTCCAGGAAGATTCATCAGCACTTGTTGCTTCCTCTCCTCCAGCTTCTTGCCCTGTGGACAAATCAAAATGGCGGCCGACAGCTTACACACCTCTCCCTCATGCCCTGTGTGGAGTTATCTGCAACACCTCCCTCCTTTTCCCAAGAGCTGAATGACTATCTAGTCGTTCAATCAAACAGAAGGGGAAAAAAGATCCAGAGCAACAGGTTTTATCATCAGATAGGAATTTTTTTTGGGGGGGTGCGAATGGCTACATATTACTGAATTATACTTACATAATATTCTCTAAAAGGTATATGGAAGATGGATCATTAGTTATCAGATACTAGGAAACAGTGACAGAGCTGATGATAAAAGGGGTGACAGGATGGAGTGATTATGGATTATGAAACGGTTTTGTGTTCTTTTTCTGGTGAGTTTCATGAACATTTGCATGTAGTAAAATTCACAGAACCATACACCAAAAGAAAAAGCAGTCAATTTTACTCTATACTAACGAAAAAAATAAGTATGTAAAAATATGGTCAGTTAGGAATTTATAAGAACTTTTTATCATACTGAGGCTACTTGATATATATTATATGAGCTGAGCATTCTAAACAAGTTATCTGACCTCTGGTCAAGCTCAGATTGCTCATCAGCCCCTCCAATATTTGCCCACAAAACACTGTACTTGAGTCTTTATGTTGTTGCTCAGTAAAGTGTATGGACTTTTTTTCCCTTCAGATTTCATCATGATTAATATAAAGTGACAACAACTTGCTTTATCAGCTGTGAAATTGAAAAAGAAAACACTGGAGACACTCCTCAAAGGAAGAATGGAGGCTTCTCTCACCATGGGGGGCATCTAGTGTATGTGGCTGCCATTTTGGTCTCAAGGAGTTTAAGAAAAGTCAGAGCTACTTACAGTCTCATACTCATACCAGATGGCATCAGGTATATATGCCGTCACATTCTCTACAGCCTGAAATTAAAAAAGGAAAATCTGGTTTTCCATGGCTCAACATCTAGACAGGATAAAATGGATGTCGTAGTATCCCCTAGGGAACTTTTTAACCAGCTACCGAAAATGCATAATGACCTTCCTAATGTCTGCCATCAAACCGTACTTTCTTCCATTAGTAATAATAGAAACAATAACTTGGCAACCCAAAGAGAAATCCCAAATGAAACCATGTTCATGTTGACTAAGAAGAAACATGTTGCGAAAACGTCAGTTTTATGATGATCAACTCATCTCATCTTCCCAACAGTCCCCCGGGCAGGTATTATTAATATCTCAGAACTCTCCCTGAATCATGCCAGTGCCAAATGGCAGAGGTACAATCATAGCCTGGTTGGTATGACTTTGGAGGGAGTGCTGGCCCATGCTACCTCTACGCCACCAAGCAGGTAACAATGTGTTACAAGAATCCGATGAAACAAGCAGGATCATCCCTAACTCAAAGTCACCCACAGGTGTTTCTACACTGGTTGGGAACTTGGTCAAGAAAAAGCCTTCTAGGGCCTCCCCGGTGGTGCAGCATTTGAACACTGGGTTTCGAAACTGCCCGCAGCCTCTACAGCACCAATTTGATCCCTGGATGCTCCCCGGCCACTGGAGGAGGGTCCCACATCGCGCGCAGACCTCTCCTGCCGCCCGCTGCTCCCCTCAGCAGTGTGCTTTGGTCTTTCTGCCTGCTCTGCTCCCCACTCTGGCTCTGGTGAATTCTCTCACTCTCCCATGCTTCTGACTGCACCCAGTGCTTGTATAAATAAATAAAAATAAATCTTTAAAAAAAAAGAAAAGAAAAAGGCTTCTAGGGAAGAAAATGTATAAATATCAAATATCCAACTTCCCAAACCCCAGCATACTCTCCTCAGGATTGGCTCAGTCACAAATGTTGAAAATGGATATGGAATAAAGAGAAGCTAAAAGGGTCCAGGAAGAGAGGAGTTTGGGGGGTGTCAGGAACAGGAGCAAGCACCAAGGTGTCTCTGTGGGATCACTTGCCTCATACAGAACTGGAGTGATGAGGAGGCCGGGCCCCCATAAAAATTGTTCATGCAAACCCCACGTGTTGCTGTCCTCATAGAACCTGGAGATCAGAAAGATGTTCACTGAGATGTGGCTGGCTCCCCAGCCTACCCAAAACATGCCAGCCACCTGACAGGGGGAAAATCCCCAAATTATTCTGTGACATCTACTCAATCCCACCCCCCAATCCTACAGACAGATCCACCTGTCCCAGCTCAGGCTAGATCCTAAACATAGTATAATACAGAAGAGACCATCATGTTCAAGTTACCAAATCTTTCAAATTAAGAATAAAAAAAAGTAAGAATGAAGGAGCTACTATGATTTATTTAGGCTACAGAATTTGTAGGAGACCAAACAAAGACCCTACCTGGGTCCCATGACTGTTAGGCTAGTTCTGTCCCCAAAAGGGAACAGAATATGATTCTTAAATACAACTCTAGAATAGTACTTAGGCATCAATAACCTTGCAAACACCAGCTAAGTGTTCCTGTGTGTGTGTGTGTGTGTGTATAGGTATGTGTATATACACATATATAAACATGAACACGTGTAAACACACACACAGGAACACATTTATACACACACACACACCCCACACATATATGTCACTGTTCGAATTGTTTCCATTTTCACTCTGATATTTGATGATATAGTCAATGTCACTCAGTTGATTCATAGATCCCTTTGGATTAGATGCACTTACTCATGCAGGAGGGGCCTGGCCACTGTGCTGCCCTGGGTGTGAGCACGGTAGAAGAGGGTATAGAGGTAGGGCAGCAGAGTATAGCGGATTTGGAGGTAGTGCCTGGAGGACGACAGCAGCACAGACTGATCTCCAAAGTAGGCAGGATCCTGGTCCTGGAGGAAACAAGAGTTTGTAGTTGTTACCTGCCTATAAATAACAAAAGCATCTGAGAGTTCCAGGTTCCATTCAATGTAACTTAGAGTTTCTTTCCTGATGACCTGGGGCAAGGTTGCAAACTTTGCCTCTGAGCCATCAGGTTGTGTCAAGAGAGATGTTTCACCAAGTAACTGGTCACTGTCACCTTTAATAAGTGGCCATTGTCACCTACTCAGGAAGAAGAAATTTGTTTTATTATCCATTATAAACACAGTCCTTTAAACGCCTTTTAGAGGAACTCTCCTACAATGCTGGTGGGAGTGCAAACTGGTCCAACCACTAGGGAAAGTTGTCTGAAGCTTCCTCGGTCTACTAAAAATGGAGCTACCATATGACCCAGCAATTCCACTCTTAGTGATCTACCCAACCAGTGATTTAAAAGAGCACCTGTACACCTATGTTTATTGCAGCACTATTAATAATAGGTAAAACCTGGATACAGGGCCTCACTAGTGGCACAAGGAGTTAAGATGCAACCTATGAAGCTGTCCACTGCCACTACAGCACAAGTTCAATCCCCGACCAGGGAAGTACCCACATGGTGCAGCAGACCTCTCCTGACTCGCGCGCTGCTCCCCTCAGCAGTGTATTTCAGTCAGTCTGCCTGTTCTGCTCCCCACTCTGTCTCTGGTGAATCCTCTCACCCCCTGCACCTCTGGCCTATACCCCAGTTCTTGTATGCATAAATAAATAAATCTGTAAAAAAAAAAAAAACCAACCTGGAAACAACCCAAATGCCCAAAAACAAATGACTAGATCAAGAAGATATGGTATATATATATACAAAATGGAATACTATTCAACAATCAAAAAAGATAAACTCATGCCATTCGCAGCAACATGGATAGAGCTAAAAGGAATTATGCTCAGTGAAATAAGCCAGAAGGAAAAAGAAAAATACCGGGTGGTTTCACTTATAACAGGAATATAGGGGAACCAAATAAGACATCAGGGGAAAAAAATAATAACAGTACAAAACACAACAAAACAAAACAAAACAAAAACAGACAATTATAAATCAGAGCCAACCTGCAGGGGAGGAAGAGGGAGAGGGATCAGAGGGAGGGAGGGAGGAGCCCAGGGCACTGAGGTGAGGGTGCACGGGTGCACTGGTGAAGGAAATTCTATGGGGACTACACCTGGCAGGGGTGGAGGTGGTGGGGGCGGGGCAGGGCAGCAAACATTGTTTAAAAATGAATGATGTAAAATATATATAAATAACAAAAATAAATTTAAAATGAGATTTGCCACATAAAAAATAAATAAACACCTTTTAGGTATTTTCTCATGTGATTCTCATCACAAAATGAGCAAGTAGCAGAGGACAGAGGTCTTTTTAAAACTCCATAGACTGCCTCTCTGACTGCAGCAGTAGCAACAGCAGCTTCTGGCTGCCGGGCTGTATTCATAAGGCCTCACCAGCCCCTAGTAGCTGCACATGCGCCATAGTGAAGCACCGGGCAGGGTCAGTTCAACAGGCTGCTGGATGAGGAAGCACAGAGTGCCAGTCCTACTGTGCACCACATTTACTTTGATCCCATATCCTAGGAGATTTACCTTATAGCCTTGGCCGTTGTGATTCCTGGAAAACGGATAAAATGCTCCTAACTGCATCCACCGTCTGCAGAGCTCCTCAGAGGTATCCCGTAAAAAGCCACATATGTCAGCACCCACCTGGAAGGACACACAGACAGCAGGGATACCTCACCACCCTCACCCCTCCACCTTTGCCTTCTAAGGGGGACCTGCCAGCTGAGCTGTGCTAATCTCCCCCAAAAAGGGGTCACATCCAGCGTCCACGATCCCCATCAGATGATGCTGAGTGAGTTACTTAGCCCTTCTGTGCCTCACTGTCTCCATTTTGATAAAGTGGGCACTGACTAGCAACATCCGCTTTTAGTAAGTAAAATAATGTAGGTAAAACACCTGACACAGAGCAGTTTTTTGATGAATAGTAACTAGGAATATTGCTGATACTATTTTAACAATACCACTATCAGAATTAATTTTTCAAAGCCTGAATCTTAAACTTCCACACACCTAGTCAAAAATCTGCAGGCTGCCCTTATAGCTCATCTGATTAGCTCCTCAAAATCCACCTCGCCAGCATCAAACTCCACTCCACTCCCACACACCAATCCCCACGGACACATCAAGTTCTGCCTACTACAGCTCTCGCTCCTGTTTCCTTCTCAGCCCTAAAGTGACCGGCCTCCAGTAGCCTGATAAAATATACCAACTTTTCAATGTTAAAGTTAAGTGTCAGCTTTTCCATGAAGGTTCTCTTGACTACCTCCCCTGATTCCGTTTCCCTCATAATTTTTCTCTAAGTCAGTAAGCCCTTTTTTAGGATCTCTCTTAACATTTAATTGTAAGTTCCTTGTGGCACTTACCCTGGCTGGTCATAATCATTGGCCATATAAATCCTCCTTTTACTAAACTATAAACTCTCTGGGGAAAGAGAAAATATTCTGTTACTGTATTTATGCTTTTCTCTTCTCTCCCCATGTGCACCAAGCTCAGTACCTGCATGGGAGTGCTCAATAAATGCATATGTTGCCAAAGCAACCCCTAGGGTGCCGGCAATGCTGTTTCCTCATCTGGGCTCGGGATGCACAGAGGTGTTCAGTTTGGGAAGTGCAACTGCATATGCAAGGATATGCACGCTTGTTTGCATGCATGCTCTGCTTTAATACAAAAACTCCAGTGACATCACTTCAAGGTTTCCCTTCCTCTCTTTATAAGGCAGTACAGGAAAGAATGCCATGGCATCAAGCCTTACAGTCTTGAAGCACATGCTCACAAGATATCTGAGCCATGGAAGGTAGAGGAGTCTTAAGGCTTGAAACCTTTTAGAATGAAGCTCTCTGGAGACTGAGATTCATAAAAGAGCTTGGGACATGGACTCACCATTGGGATACCGAAAAGGTTGAACTCAAGTATGCCAGGGATGGACCACCGAAGGTCGTCCCAGGTGGCTGTGTTGTCTCCTAGCCAATGGGCTGCAAACTTGCCGGAGCCCGCAAAGGTGGAGCGGGTTAGAAGGAAGCTTCTCTTAGTAGGGAACAGAGTCTTGGAAGCTCTACAAAAGAAGAGAGGCCCAGGCAGTCAGTGTGCAACCTCAGTCAGTCTCAGCTCCAGAGACAGAGCAACAGCACCAAGGATCAGAGAACCCTGTTCTTTCTAGCTCTCTCCCAGGAGGGGCAGAGTTGCTGTTGGGAGCAGACTGCACCAGTAAGAGTGCAGTTTGCTTTGTATTGTTTTGTTTTGCTTTCTATTAAGGTTCTCATGCTCCATAATTTCCAATCATTTCAAAAGCAGCCATGAAAAGGCAGTAATGAGAATTGTACAATTTTTGTGAAAACAAAGGTGAAATTCAGTGTTACAAAGATATATGCATATATAGATAGATAGACAGGAATTGGTCTATCACTGCACATGATTTCAAACATGCACAAAAATGAGCTTATGAATAGCCTTTGGAACTTCTTTTCAAGTAGAATTTTTTTCCAGTAGAAATGCTTTAGTCATAATTTTATAACAAGAAAAGATATTTTATAAGCATGTGTGAATGTGTATTTTATAAATAAATATAAATATATTATCTATACTTTTAAAATGAGAAGTCTGTACATATATTTTAATATTTTTTCTCTGTGATTTTTTTCATCAATTTTCAAAAAGGTTGAAATTACACTCATGATGTTGCTAAGTGATGTGGCTTTGGCCTGGCTTTCCTTTGTGACATTTACAGTAAGTAGAGGAAATTCTCAATGTTTTTTCCCACACTATAGATTTTTTTTGTTGTTGTCTCTTTTTTATGAATTTATTTTATATAATTCTTACATCATTTTTCATTTTTGCATAATGTACGCATTTTCATTTTGGTTATATTCCCCATACAATTCCCACCCCTTTTTTTTTGACCCTAATCCTAATCCCTCTTCTCCTCCCCCTGCCCCCCACTGTAGTGTGTCTCTGGTTTATATTTGCTTGTTGATTTTGATTTTTACTTTATTGCAATTAGTCTTTTTCCTGGCCCCCTATTTAGGTTCTCTAAATTCCTGCTATGAGTGAGACCATCCGGTATTTTTCTTTTTCTTTCTGGCTTATCTCGCTGAGCATATGAAAAAAATGTTCAAACATAACTTGTAATCAGGGAAATGCAAATCAAAACTACCATGAGTTACCATCTTTCACCAGTGAGAATGGCACATATTAAAAAAACTAGCAACCACAAATGTGGGTGAGGATGTGGAGAAAAAGGAACTCTCCTGCACTGCTGGTGGGAGTGCAAACTGGTCCACACTATAGATTTTGAGTCTGCACGCAAAGGGAGATATAGCATCGTAGAATAAGGGTGCTACCGAACCCCCAAAGCACAGGTAACTTAGCCCTGCATACTCCCTCTGCATAGTGTGTCCCTGGGAAAAACACATGGGTCTTACATTCATGCAGAAGTGGACTTAAACTTTGAAAACTGAAGACCTGTTTGATGTTGTTCAAGTTACTTTCTTTCTTTCAACCTTCCACTCATTCATTAATTCATTCTTTCATTTCATACATCCCACAAAAATCTATTGGATTCTTTCTTCCCAATGTGCCAGGTAGTTTCTTCCTTCATTCAATAATAATAACCACAGTTCTTATAAAAGCACACTGGCACCTGGCATCTAGCAAGGTTAAAAATTCCCTCCTATAGCAGGTCCATAGCAATAGTGGTCTTACTCTTCTGTGGCGATGGCCATACTGTAGCCGTACAGATTGTGGACATCATACTGTTTGCCCCAGGACTGCAAAGCATCCATGCAGAGAGTTTTTTTGTACATAAGACCATCCAGGATTCCTAGGACAAAAGAGGGATCAGTCAGTGAGAGCCTCCCTGCTCCTTGACTGTCACAGAACCTATAAGGGTGGTTCCCTGGTCAATAATTATTGTGGCCACCCTGTAAATGATCATACTGCTTCCCTGCTATCAAAGAGTTACCCACTGACCCATACACATTCCCCCTCCTGGGTCCTCCTGAGACTCCAGATGGCATCTGGAAGCAAGAGGATACAGTTACACTTGAGGTTCAATCTGAATTCCTCAAGCTTAGCTCATGTAAGTGGTCCAAGAATAGAAATAGTGGGTGAGAAGGTGTCAGTCTCTCACCCCTTCTCTCCACTGACCAGTGTCGTAAAGGAAGATTGTCTCTTCCGTTCATCTATTCTATTTCGTGCTTCTTGTACCCTAGTTCGTGTCTAAATTACCTTTGGATCTTAACTACTATAATGGTTTCTTAATGGTTTAATTACTATTGATCTACTGATTTTCTAAATCACACTGTACTTTAACTAATAATTCCCAAGCCATTTGACTATCATATTTTCTTCTTTCTCAAACATAAAAAAGTTTCTACTGAATTGTTTATCTCAATTGGCCATTGAAGTGTAAAAGCAAAAGACTGCTTAATGATAATGATGCATGCTAAAACCTTCAGAAGGACAGGAGAATGCTTTGTGGACCATTTGGTTTCTTTTGTGTGGCAGTTTTAAGTCATCAGTTTTTAAAACCTGTTCTTTTTAATGAAACAACTTGACCAAAAACCTGTCACCGACTTTTGAGACCCATTAAAACAAAGTTTAATGAGGAAAACAAAGTTCATATCACAAAACATCTGGAGTGGGAACTGGTTGGCCTCCCATCCAAGCCCCGCAACATTTGATTCTGACTCATCTGCCCCAATTTCCTAGTAGCCCACTAGACTGCAAGTCTTCATAAGATGCAGCTTATGTTCCAGCAGCTCACCCCTACCTTAATAAGATATGATATGCCTGTGGGCCTCTAGCTTTCTTCAAACTACAATAAATGCTATGATTCCAGGGCCACATCCTTAGAGACAGTGTTGTCAGATGCAATCAGAGCTCACTAACATGACAGTCCTTGGCTGACTGTGACCTCCCAAGCCACAGCCTCTTGCTGGTCCAGCTTCATCCTCGCTTCACATCTATTCTTTACACTCTTAGCATCAGCAGACTAACCCTCATCTGTAGACAGGTTACCTGGTCTCTCTCTGGTAAGTCCTGACATGCGGGGACGGACCTAAGAGGAACACTAACCCCCAGCCTCCAGGCACTGCCTTGAACCTTCTCTGGGCCTCCCCTGAGCTGCAGATTGGGCTGTATGTTGAAGGACTAGATTGTCCCTTTTGCCTCTCTTAGGAAAGCATGATGTGTTTTGATTTTCTTTCTTAGTTTTCTTTTGGTGTTGATTATCCTTAATTAATTACCTATAATTTTCCTTTCCCTATGTGCTCTTATGTAAAAATTCCTTTGTCTGGCTGTTCATATCTAACCTCATGAACATTAAACATCAAATATGAATTGTTATTTTAATCAGACTAACCACCAAGACTTACTGGGAACAAATGGGGGATTATTCAGACTGTTTTTAGAACATCCTGTAAGTGAACCATCAACAAAGTTGGCGACTTCATTCATATCCTACAAGACAATGAACAAAAACTTTTTAGGAAAAGTAACATTTCCCCTTATGTTGCACTGATGGTACTCTTTATTGTTATTTTTTTTTTTTTTGAAGAATCAGAGAAATGATTCTGGATATTTCTTTTTTAAAGAGGTTCTGTGTATATGGAGAGAAATAAATGTTACTGTCTTCTCTACCCTTTAAAAGTTTCATCAGGAAGTTTCTTAAAATTCCTTCAAAATGAGGGCCTCCCTGGTGGCACAAGGGGTTAAGCACCACACTACAAAGCAATCCGCACCTTCTGCAACACGAGTTCTATCCCTGGCCAGCCAGGGAACAAAACAACATGGCGCAGCAGACCTCTCCTGTCTTGCCCACTGCTCCCCTCAGCAGTATGTTTCAGTGGATCCGCCTGTTCAGCTCCCCACTCTGTCTCTGGTGAATCCTCTCACCCCCCTGCATCTCTGGCCTGTACCCCAGCTCTTGTATGCATAAATAAATAAATCTTTTAAAAAATTCCTTCCAAATGATAAATATCTAGTCACTGAAAATGAAAAATTTCCAAATACATTAGATTAAACAAATTTCTATTCCTCTGATTCCAGAAATATCAACTTACACACACTCTCTCTCTCTCTCTCTCTACACACACACACACACACACACAGAGAGAGAGAGAGAGAGAGAGAGCACATTTACACAGATAAATATAAGCATATGCAGAAAGAGGGAGGGTCTGGGAAGAGGAAGACCAAACTACAGATGGTAGATGGCATTGGTTGATATCCTTCTTGAGGGTTTTGGTTGTCATCTTTTTCACTCTCTGTATTGTTTGAATTTTCTACATTTCTCTTACAAAAAGAAAAAAATTCAACTCTTGTGCTCCCTCAATAATGCTGAACATTTGCTGCATGGCACTTGACATGACATGATTATCTGTCCTCCCATTCAGTTTTGTCAAAATCCCAGGTACTTTTACTCTGATCAACTTGTCCAGCGTGTCCAAATGAACTGACAATCCAACAATTCATTGGGCTTGCAACAATGTAAGGAGTAGATGACCTATTTTTATTTCAGCTCATTCATTTCAGTATTTACTTCCAGCTTTAACAATCTTATTGTGATCCTAAGCTACATGTCTTGGGAAGGATATATGAATACCAAGATAGGGGGTACTTAGACTTGTTATCATACTTGCTTTCCTCTTCCACTTATGCTCCATATAGATGCACATGGTCTGAATATTAGTCACCTAATAATTAAAATGTTAAGAACTCACAATCCAGGGCCTCCCTGGTGGCACAAGGAGCTAAGCACAGCACTGTGAAGCTGTCCGCAGCCTCTGCAGCATGAGTTCAACCCCTGATCCCCATTCGGCCAGGGAGCTACCCACATGGCACAGCAGACCTCTCCTGTCTCGCCCTGCTGCTCCCCTCAGCAGTGTGTTTCAGTCAGTCTGCCTGTTCTGTTCCGCACTCTGTCTCTGGTGATTCCTCTCACCCCCTGCACCTCTGGCCTGTACCCTAGTTCTTGTACGTATAAATAAATAAATTTTGAGGAAAAAAAAAAGCTCACAATCCAGATTCCATCAAATTTCACTTCCTTGTGGAAAAGCTCAAATTCTTGTTTCCACCAAGCAGTACAAAGAGGGTTGGTGTAATCAGGAAACACAGATTTTCCAGGCCAGACCTGCAGGGGAAAAAGAAAATTGTTGATTAGCATAAACTGACTGGATATAGAGTTGAACAGTGGCTATGCAAAGCATTTCCAGCACACTCACAACTACGATGGGGGCGCCCAGGCCCAGGTTCTTTCAGCGAGGAAAGTGAAGTGCTCAGGATGTGAAGAATAAACATCAGGAGGGGTCAGGTCAAAATCTTATTTAGAAAAAGAAATGGCTAAGTCCTTCAGAAATGGTTGACTTTCAGCTCTGGTTCACCCTCCCTCACCCCCCCTCTCACTGTCTCTACTTCCAGGCCTCTGGTGGTGAGGGAGGGAGAACACTGTAAACTCCACAATCCACCACAAGTTGTGGGCCCTCCCCATCAATTCCTGCTCTCCTTTTCTCTCCTGCCCACATCTCTCAGATGCTAGGCAGATGGGACAGCAGCAGCCTTAGAAGTGAACCAGCAGCAGGTAAAGGACAAACAGAAGTTTAAGAAAGAAGTGGTAGGATTGTCAAATACTACTGAGAAATAAAGTAAGAAGAAGGAAACAGATCGTCTGCATTTGCCAGTGAGGAGGATTTGCCATCTGCCAACCCAGCGGCAGCAACGCTCAGTAGGCTGTGGACAGTGAGGCTGCGGACCAGCAGCAGGTGAGCTGCTGTCTCCAGGGACTCAGCTGGGAGGACAGGTAAGAGGGAGGAAGCTAACAGACATGTGGGGGTGCAAGGACAAGGGCAGGTTTCTCTGCAGCATATGTAAGGCATCTGAAAATGGAAAACCAAGCCATATAGGCACGCAGACGCACCACACGCTGCCTCAGCTGCTCCCCCACCTCCAGCTTCCCCATAAAATCACCTCTCCCTGCAACGGAGTCACACCATCAGACATGTTGACCCAGACCTTCATGCTGGAGCCCCTGTCGTACGGGCCATACGGGCTGCTTTGGGAAGAGTCGGTGGAGATGGCTGGATCCTACAAAGGGGGACAACAATGAAGGGCCAGACTGTAAGCTAGAGGCATTGAAAGGAGATGGGGGTTAGGAATCAAAGGAGGGGAGCAGGCGAGCAAGCATCTGGCTGGGGTAAAGAGGAGGCACGTACCACAATGATGACCAGTTTCTGCTTATTAGTGTGTAACTCCTCAGCAAATTCAGGGAAGCCTTTATAAGCCACTGGGTCATAAGTGAAGTCCTTCCTCTTATCCATGTAATCAATATCGGCATGCTGAACATCCTGGAAGGACACACAGAGCCCAGCATTTAGTCCCTGGGAGGGTCCCTGCTTAAATGAGTCGTTCAAGTGATTCCGGCAATTCTCTATGCTCCCCACTGATGCTGGGCTGGGCTCCAAATAGTCTTCATCTATCCCTAGCATCTCACTGTTTCTTTTCAATAGTAATTTCAGGGCCTCCCTGGTGGCACAAGGGGTTAAGTCTCATCACTATGAAACTACCCGCAGCCACTGCAGCATGAGTTCAAGCCCCAACCAGGGAGCTGACCCACATGGTGCAGCAGACCTCTCCTGTCTCCCGGCTGCTCCCCTCAGCAGTGTATTCCAGTAGATCTGCCTGTTCTTTTCCCCACTCTGTCTCTGGTGAATCTTTTCACCCCCACACCTCTGACCTGCACCCCAGCTCTTGTATACATAAATAAATAAATCTTTTAAAAAATAGTAATTTCAAAAACAAATGACCCATTGCTTCCTTAAAGCCTGAAATCAGGTTAACTACCTTGTCCAACCTAGTCGCCTGCCCTCAAGCATTAAAAAAATCAAGCTAATAAGCAAACTATGTCAATTACAGCAATCGCTATAAAAACTATTAGGTGCCTTAATCCTCCACTGTCCCTAAGATAAAAGGAGAGAAGGGGCTTTCTCTCCCACTTCTTCACTCCACTATAACCACATTTTGTTGTGTTTCTCTTCTACTTTAAGTCTTCTTTGGCATTTATTAAAAATAGGAAAAAAAAAAAAAAACAGGCCTAAAATGGAGTCCTTTATACTGGATTTCCACCCAGAATTGATACTTATTATAGTTTCAAACTCCCTCACGATAGTGACCCTAAAACAATCTGGAATTTCCTAATCAGAACCAGAGGGGTTATCTGCCTCATAAGACACCTCTCTCTGCCCCTAAGGAAGAGGGTTTTACCTGCAATTATCTTACCTTTTGCTAATAACCATTCCCACCCTCCTTCTATTTATAAACACCCTCCATTTTGCATGAACCCCTGCAGCACCTCAAAAACACGCTGCCTGGCTCATGAATCACTTAATAAAGTCAATTAGATCTCTAAGCTTGTTCATTTTTGACATTGTAGACAGTTGTTTTTATTCCCCAAGGGAATTCTTTTCTTTGGGGAAGCTTTTTTTAAGCATCACTTACATAAGGAAGATTTGCTCCACGGTTTCTTGCCACGACTCTTTTCATGTTGTCAAGGCTTCCATAATCATAGCGACTGAGATGAAATCCAAGTGACCAATATGAGGGTAGGACTGGCCGCCCAACAAGCTGAGAGAAATATGTGCAATGAAAGTTAATAAATATAGGGCCTCCCTGGAGGCACAAGGGGTTAAGCATCAGCACTATGAAAGAATCCACAGCTACTGCAGCACAAGTTCAATCCCTGACCAGGGCGCTGACCCACATGGTGCAGCAGACCTCTCCTGACTCGCCCGCTGCTCCACTCAGCAGTGCATTTCAGTGGATCCGCCTGTTCTGTTCCCTGCTCTGTCTCTGGTGAATCCTCTCACCCCCCACACCTCTGGTCTGCACCCCAGTTCTTGTATGCCTAAATAAATAAATCTTTTCAAAAATGTTTTTAAAAAGAAAGTTAATAAAGTGCTCTGTTTTTGATGAAACTTTTTCTTGGTCTTGGTTTGGGGGCACAAGACCAATTTGCCAACATACTGTTTCATTATTAGAATATATGTCTATTTTCCTAACCCCTTTATAAATTGTTAAGGTCTAGGTCAACTTATTCTTTTTTTTTTTTTAACCAAACTCCATATATAAAGATGACTGATTTTTTTTTTATTATTTTATATTTAGTTTTCTCTTACATCATTCTTCATTTTGATATAATGTTTGATTCTCCCCTTAGGTATAATCCCCATAAAATTCCCACTACCAAATCACCCATGAACCATGATGGATATTTTCTAAATTTTAATTTTGAGTAATTATAGATTCAAAGGAAATTAAGAGATTTTAAATCTCTGCAAATCTTAAATTTTTATTTCTGCCATTGTATTTTATGGTCTTGTTTGTCCTCCTTTTGCATGTTCTTATAATTGATCATTTTACATTACTTTTTTGCCTGTGTCATCCATTATATGTTTCTGAATTGCATATTAAAGTGTTTTATTTATTATTTTTTGAGTTGATATTGGGTTACATCACTGTTTCCGTAATATAAGTGTAGGACACCCCGATCAGGCACCACTGCTAGCATGTGCCCACTGCCAAGGACCCCACAGTTGCCATCACAGACCCTCCCTTCTTTGCTCTCATCCTTCCCCTCCCCTTAAAATGTTAATAACATCATAATTGTTTCATTTATTTTGTATTATTTTTAACTGAGGTAATATTGGGGTGCCCCTATCAGGCATTACCACCACAGTGAACCCACCATCAACTCACCCAGTCTCACAAGATAGACCACTGGGCTTCCTTAGGGTGGGGTCAACTTACAATAGCTCTGCAGGACAGCTAGGAGTCACCCCTGCACATTGGGGTACCTCGGCCATAATCATGGCATTGTGAGCTTACCGCCAGATACTCTTGAACAACTTGCTCTGGAGTATCTCCCAGGAACACGTAGAAGTCAAAAATGCCCCCAGTGATGCGGTACGTGATAGCTGGGGCGGGCTGGAGGGTGACCTCTAGAATGATGGAAAATAAAGAAAAATGAGAATTCATTCTAGAGTGTGTTAACCCCACATCAGGGTTAACTGATGTAGGAAACACTCTTAATAAAAAAATGACCCATTTCATGAAGATGTTTTGAATAAGCTACTGTGGCATAAAGATTATTTTAAACTGAAGACATCTGAGTTTCTGAAATCCCTTATCAACCTAAAAGCAGAGCCTTTCAAAAGCACTGGGTTGTTTATAAATCCCCTCTCCTAGAGGGACTCTAATCTTCTCAGAGACAGGAAGTTGGCACCACATCCAAATAAATTTTCTCGTAAGAATGTTGGGTTCCCAACTATTCTCCCAAGGGCTAATTTACGTTTCTAAGTCGTTTTTTGTTCTCTAAGTGCCTTTCATCCTCCTACCTCTTCTAGGAAGCACTTGCGATAAGTGCCTTTCTCCCCACCCCTCACATCTGTCCACTAGGATGGTCTATAAGCTCCAAATCCTACCCACCCTTTTGAGTTACCCTTCACTGAGCACCCTTGAATGTTGCACATATAAGTAATCACTGTCTGTTCTCTTGCTAACCTGCCTGTGATTTTGTGATTTGCCGGTTTCCATCCACTGAACCGAAGAGGACAAAGGAAAATGTTTTCTTCTCTGACATTCACAACTATAGGAAATGCTTTCCCCATGCCCCAGATCCAGGATTATACCCTTCACATTTAGGGATAAAAGGCCTGAAGATCTCCAAACTCTACTGTTTGGTCATAGGACCAACTCATGCATAGATTATGGGATCCTGTGAACTTTCCCTTTAAATCTGACTCAACTTGTTTTCTGGTTCCTTTCATCTACCTGAAATGAAATAATTCTGTATCACCTCAAGACTGTTCAGTATCTTAGAATCATCTTAGCCCACCCATGGTGGCTCTCTCTCTGTTGGTGAAGGTTGGGGTCTTTCTTTTTTTAATTTCCACTTCTTTGCAAATGAATACTTTTGTAAAATAATGTGAAAAAGAATTACTAGGGAAAGTTTCATGCATGCACTTGGATGCTAAGGCAACGTTTACTCTCTTACCTTAGACATGAAATAACTTGTGAACCCCTGGTGGCCCAGGGGTTAAGTCTCAGACTATAACCACTATGGCCTAAATTCGATCCCCCACCAGGAAGCCAACCCACATGACTCAGCAGACCTCTGCTGTCTGGCCCACTGCTCCCCTCAGCAGTGTTTTCGGTCCGTCTGCCTGTTCTGCTCCCAGCCCTGTCTCTGGTGAATCCTCTTACCTCCACTCCACCTCCTCCCCCCAACACCTCTACCCCAGTTCTATGCAAAAAAAATTTTTTTAATTTAAAAAAAAAGAAATAGTTTGTGAACCATCCATAGGCCATGATTTGAGTAGCACTGATCTAGTCCTTTGATTCTCAGTTGAGAAGGAGATGAATATCTTATACCTCCGTCAATCCTGGGGGATTCTGATATACGTCCTCTTCCCCTGTGGTGACTGATTTATTGCCACTGGAATCTGACGTTTCACTACTTGGCTTTAAACAACCTGATACTCCTCTGCATGATGCTTGTCACTCCACCTCGCTACCCTGGAGTGTCTAAATGTGACAACCGCTGCTCAGCTGTAGCAACCTGGTTAAGCTCAGCACCTGCCATCATTAGGCCCACGTTAGGATTCTATCAGCCTACTCCACTATATCACAGTTAAAGAAGGGAGTAACAACTAGTAAGAAACTGCTTAGAGTAGATTACAGGAAAGAGTTAGTCAGCTGCCTTACCTCTAGAAAATATTCCAAGAGAGGCAACCAGGTTCAAGGAAATAAATCAAGGAGAGCTACCCCATTCATGGGTGAACAGGCAATGAAGAGGGGTGACACAATCAGGGACCACACAAGGCCCTAAGCTCTGGTTTAGATATTCCTAAAAGACCCCAGTCCTTTTATTGTAACACTGTAACAAAGGGACTAAAAGTCACTCCTGTGCCCTTTGTCCACAAATATTCCTTCAGAGCTTTACCCATGGCATTGCTGTTCATCAGAAACACTCCGAAGGAAAATCCACTGCTGTCTTCAAGGCACAGGAAGAAGGTCTGTGCACCATACAAGTTAGCTCCATCCTGTGGAGAGATAATTAAAAAAACAAAAATTTACAATCTACTAGTCCAAACCCCACATTGTCAGAAATGGTTCAGGAAATTAGTGCTAATTGTGTGAATACTGAATAGGGAAATCATGGTTAAATTTGAATAAATGTTTAACATCCAAGATCTAGATATGGTTGCTGTAAACAAGTGAATTATTGGTTTCATCATCTGTTCAATAAGGTAAAGGATTCTTATTTTTTCAGAATTTCTTTGGTAAACACAGATAATGTACAAGAATAATCACTTAATAAATTATTCTTATAACCACCCTTGAAAATTGCTTAACAAGACCTGTAAGTATTGCTGAGCCTAGAAAACAACTGCTTTGGGTTTTAGCTGTCAAAACACAGCATGACAATGACAGCCACAAAATTCCATTCCTTTTACTCTTTCACTGCCCGAAACATTCTTCACACAAAGAATGTCTGAGTATTTTAATTGATATTATACCCTCGTTTGCTGGCAAACCTGTGAAACTGGTGATTCATAAAGGATCAACCTAAAATATGGAGATCCCAGCTAACATTGGACAGAGTCAATATGCATGGTCCTCTCGCCAAGACTTCTTAGGCCAGAAGGAAAATACTGTTATTTACTGAGTTGTTATTTTAAGAAGCTGTTATTTACTGAGCACGTCTTGTGTGGCAGACACTCTTCTAGACTCTGTATGTGTACTTAATTCCCACCACTGTCCAAAGAGATAAGTTTATTACCTCCTAGACCAGACAAGGAGCTGGAGACACAGAGCAGTCACATGCCCTGAACCACACAAGTGGTTCTTACTCCTAACCATTGTGTTGCCAGGGGTGACTTTGAGAATGAGCTATGACATCCAGGGAGAGGGGCCCCTCCTGAAAGCTCACCCCAGTGGGAATCGTGTCTCTGGTGAATATGGGCCAGGTCTTCCAATCCATGTTGTGGCGGTACTGCTGGTGCACGTGTTCTCCCAGCCCGTACACGTTGACACTGGGCAGTCGGAAGGACAGCTGCAGGTACTGGTCGGAGAACAGGAGGGGCCCGATGCTTGAGTCAAACCTAGATGCAGATGGGAAACAGGGCCAGGAAGCCAAGTGGAGAGAACAAGACTGCTTAGAAAATGTCCTTTGTGTCTCATGACGTGCTACCCTCAGTTTCATCCACCCCACCTGCTCTCCTGTGATATTTTTCCCTGGACACCAAGAGATCAGGAGGAACCACGTGGCACATTTCTTAGATCTGTCCACCAGACATTCCTCCACGTGACTAAAAGAGTATACATTTGTTACATTAGATGGTCCATAAGTAGTCGCTGGTGGTTAAGTGGTTAGAAGAATAGAAGTAAAGGAAAAATAAAGAGGAGGGGGGAATGAACAAACAGAAGGAAGGAGGAAGGCAGAAGAAATGTATCTGCATGGAGCTGCAGCATCTAGTCCCCAATAGCAGCTCGCCAGCTTTGGGAGTCTCCATGAGATGCACTCTGCTCTCAGGCTTGCAAACCTCCCTCCCCTACTACCTTCCTACTTGGCTCCCCAGACAGGTTTTCAAAACTCACAGGACACGGCCAAGTTTTTTTCTGATCACTTTGATACTAAATGGCTGGTTGGAGACTTGAACTTCATAGTTGGTGGAAGCAGCAGCATTTCCTTGAAAGGGCTTCACATGCTCATGGGGTACTTCATACCTCTTCTTTTGGGGGTCAGTTAACTGTCCAGACAAAGGAGGGGAATGAAAGTCAAAATGAAAACTCTGTCTTTCCAAATCAGAACCAACCCCCAACCCCAACACCAGCACTTTAGATATCGGACCACTGGCACCGATCCAGACACTCTGTGTCTGCTGTAGGCTCACACCTTGTACCACCAGATTCAAATGTTTAACACTCTACAGCACTAAGAAGTTATCCCTCTAAAAGAAGGCCACAGATGGCTTCAACACATGGGTGCTCAGTAAGAATAATTACATAGGGAAAAACATCTGCATAGCCAAACCATCTTCTTTGTAGTAACTGCAGCTATCCAGTAGGGAAGAACACTTCAAAAGGATTTTTTTTAATATAAACAAAGTCCAACCTTAAAGTGGAAACGATTGGCTGTCTGGTATTCCGCTGTGAGAAGGACGTTGATAACATCATTTCCATATGGGGATGGAGAAGACAGCCTTTTCAACTGTGCTGTGAAGCCTAATGGGTAGAGAACAGGGGTTTTCAGAGCTGGCTGAGTAAATTCACAAATAACAGCCACATGAAATGAAGCTTTATGTCAAAGGGACTGGTAAGCGTCTTTATTGCCCAAAAGAAAGACCATATACCTCATCATGCACAATACCACCTTAGCCAGATTCTGAAGCTGGGTACTGTCATTATCTAGCCAAAAAAAACATGCCTCTTTTCTACAAAGTCTGATTGAGAACCTCAACCAAAGGCCTAACTCCCTTTCCGCCACAAACTCAGCCTTTATACTCTCAGCCCTCAATGTGCAAGTAGACATTATCCCTTCTCAGGGATTTTCATCGCAGGTGGTCATATTCACTGATGCCATCTCCCTAGTTATGTAATAAGCCAGTTGAGAGCTTATTAGAAAAAACTCATCAGGCTAAGAGTTTCTAGGCAGGAAGCCTGCCTTTTCCTGTATGCTAAGAGGCTCCCCAAAGTTGTCACCTTCCAGCATCCCCCAGAAAGTTCATTGCTATGCTCTCCATTTTAGGATGGGAGAGAGAAGTGGAGGTGTTTAGTTTTTGTGCACTGACATTGATTAGTTAACTTTCATAAGATGTTTATAAAATTGGGGTTATTTCCTTATCATTGAAATCACACTATATTAGATTTGGATATGGTCTCAGAGGTTACTGAGTTCAAATCATGCTCTTTAAATGTTAAGAATTTGGTTAGCATTAATCATTCCAGTTCCATATTGTAACACATGGCAGGAGTTTGTCCTTTTTTACAGCTGAGTAGTATTCCATTGTGTGTGTGTGTGTGTGTGTGTGTGTGTGTGTGTGTGTATACACACATTTTTCTGATCCACTCCTCTGTCCTTGGGCACTTAGGCTATTCCCATAATTAAGCTATTGTACAAAGATGTAAATCTAAATGACCTCAATAAACATAATTTGGGAAAAAATTTAAGGAAATCAATTTGAGATTCTCAAAAAATGATAATTGGAAACTTGGGGACAAAAAGGTCAGGATGTTTGTGCAAGGTTACAAATCTCCATAAACACAGAGCCAGGAATAGAGCATGTCTCTAAACTCCCAAGACAGACAGTGATTTTTTTCTCTGTTGCCAAAGTAGATTCCTGTCCTTGCTAAGAGAAGCACCCACATGTGGGCACAGGGCTGTGCAAGCTGCTATGGCTGCATAGGAAGTGGGGCCTTTAAAGCAGAGGCTTCTGCCTCATGGTTGTCTGGCTTACCTGCTCCTGTGTTGCTAAGGTCACCCGCCATGGAATAGCCATGATTGTTGGTATAGAAGCATGAAGGCACGTTGACAGAGCTCTGAGGCTGCCACCAGCAGCCACGTTGCTCACACACATCCTGAAATAAGAGATCATCAGTTACTTCTTCGACATGTAGGATACTAGCAGTTATCAATATCATCTGAGTTTGTGGCATCCTTAACTTCATTTGATAAATAAGGTAACTGATATATAGAAAACTCATGCTGTATCAGTGTAGAACTTGTACTTAAAGCTAATCTTTCTGATGATTGCCTTTCCCTATTATATAATAAAATGGGGACCGCAAAGCATTCCAAGTCTGTTGTCACAATAACAGAAATATGTTTATTTAAATATTCTAAACTACAATACAGTTATATTACCAATAGCCTCAAACGACAAATGGAGTTTCATTTATATCAGTGTGGACTTCAAAAAAAGAGACTATAATCAAATTTATTCAGAAACCAATCAAGTTCATTTCAACAGAAGTTTGAAACCAAACCAATCCTGCTTTGACATTTAGATATGTATATTACATGTGCATATGTGACATACATTATATACATATCTAAAATAATCCCTCAATTCCTCCCAAGGCAGAAAGTCATTGCTCCTTGACATCCAAATAGATTCTAATTCTTATTTAAGAATAAGGTACCAGCCACAATTAATGACTGAGTCAAGTGGAGAGTTAAGTGAGTACAATCCCTTCCTGGAAACTCTTTGGGAGGCGCAACTAGGTCAAATGCAAAAAAACAAAAAGAAACCCCTCTTCTTGGGTCTGAGCTAGGCTTAGTGACTTGAAACTAATAGAACGTAGCAAAAAGATTAGAATAAAGAAAGCCTGAGTTTCCTGCCTTGCTTGTTTTCTGACTTGCTCTGTTGGAACCCTCACTCGGGGGCAAGTGAGACGTAGTATGGGACTCACACAGCAAGGAACTGAGGAAGATCTCTGGCCAAGAGCCAGCAAGAAGTAGAGGCCCTCAGTCCAGCCATCCTTGAGCCAATGGATCCTGCCATCCTATCAACAATCACATGACTGGGCTTGAAAAGGAACACCCCACAGTCCTCATAGAGACCATCTTTGCAGTCGTATGAGACTTCGAGCCAAAAGCCCCCAGAGATAACAAGACCAGATCTCCAACCACAGAAACTGTAAGAAAATAATGTTTACTGTAGAATAACTAAGTTGTAGGACCACCATTGATTGGCAAATGCATTATTTTACAGACAGAAACCTCAAGGCCACAAAGATCAAAGCCACAGAGGTGATGTGCCTGTCAAAGGGTCACTCATTAGCCATTGAGAAGGCAAAGCCAGAAACCCAGGGCTCTCAATCTCCACTCCTTCTGCCTGTAGTCTGAGCTGAGGATCTGCTGAGCACATTTTCAGGAAGATATGGCAATGCTTTACAAATAATAAGAAAAATTTGCTTAGACATCTTAACCACCAGGTTAAATCAAATGCTACTTTCTCACTAACAGCCATTAGGAGGGGTGGAGGGGCTGCTAGTCTGTGATCAATGCAGCTAACGGATCACATTCCCTGTGAACTCAGCTTCAATCAGCAGTGTCTGTTTTTTCCTTCCCAAAAGCACTCAGATGAAACTTCAGCGTAAAGGGAAAGAAGAAAGGTCTTGAAAAGGGTATTAAAGAGAATGGTTTTTGTAGGCTGCACAGAGTTTAATCATTTCTACATTGAACTAGAAAAAGCAAAGGGCAAAGAGTACCTAAAGCAGCAAGAAACGTGAGCAATCTCTGAGAGTCCGTGTGAAACACCAGTTCCTGGAGTAGAGCCAGGCCATGCTGAGAAGGGGGAGGAGAGCAGAGCCCCAGGAATACAAAGAAGGGGGCAAAAAGTAGGGGAGCCCTAGTAGTTGTCAAGAGAAGCAGAATGAAGACAAGAGTGGGACCGAAGGAACAAGAAAAAGTAGACCCAAGACACAAAATGCCCCTCTATGTTGAACATGACGATTAAAACGTAAGAGAGGGGCCTCCCTGATGGCACTGGGGTTAAACACACAATGCTATCACTAGCCACTGTGGCATGAGTTGAATCCCGGCGAGGGAGCTGACCCACAAGGCTCAGCAGACCTCTCCTATCTCACCCGCTGCTCCCCTCAGCAGTGTATTTCTGTCGGTCTGCCTGTTCTTTCCCCACTCTGTCTCTGGTGAATCCTCTCACCCTTTCCTCACACCTATGGCCTACACCCCAGTTCTTATATGCATAAATAAATAAATCTTTAAATAAATGAATAAAATAAAACATGAGAGAAACTGCCAAAATAACATAGAATCTATAATTTCAAATACAGTACTGAGGGGAAACTAAGGCAGGAATACATGTTATGGGAGGATAAGAGAAGAATAAATGGAAAATATAAAATGAGACACTAGGGAAAAAAACTGTCATGTCATTATTTCATTCAATATTTAATTTAAAAAGAAAAGATAGGGGCCTCCCTGGTGGTGCAAGGGGTTAAGACGCAGCACTAGGAAGCTATCCGCAGCCACTGCAGCACGAGTTCGATCCCCAGCCAGGAAGCTGACCCACATGGCTCAGCAGACCTCTCCTGTCTCATCTGCTGCTCCCCTCAGCAGTGTATTTCAGTAGCTCCACCTGCTCTTCTCCCAACTCTGTCTCTGGTGAATCCTCTCACCCCCCCCCAAACCTCTGGCCTGTACCCCAATTCTTGTATGCATAAATAAGTATTTTTTAAAAAAAGCAAAGATAGATTATACTTAAAGAAGTAAATGCCACTAAAGTTGCTTATAGGAGGCACATTCAAACTTTAAGATCACAGAAGCACTGAGATTAAAAGGTGGGGGGGGGGGCAGATGCATAAGAAGAATGCCAACCTAAGGCCAGTACAGCTGCAGAGATAGCAGACAAATAGACCCAAGGGGAAATTCATTATCAGGGAGCGGGGAAGTCACATATGATAACAAAAGGCTTATTTTATGGGAAATATATGACATCTCAAACTTGATTTTCAACTAATGATAAAGACTCAAAATATTTACAGAAAATTTTTAAAGAGTCACAATGTAAAATTGAAAGAGTACATAATGAAATATTTTTAAGAGCTCCCTCAGTATTAGGTAAAGTACACAAAAGGTAAAGGTATTTTATTGTTTACATATATGCACACACATATCTATGCCTATGACTTCTTAAAATTAAAAATATATTGGAGAGCCTAACCTGAAAAACAAATAGAAACAAAAAATAAAACTTTAAGGCTACAAAGGATGAGGTCAAATTGTCATGATTTCCATGCATAGTATTGACTATGTAGAAACTTAAGAAAATGTATAGAAATAAACTTTGACTTATTAAGTTCATCATTATTATTTTAGATCTTTTACTTTCTTCTCAATGTTGTAACTTTTTTCCTTTTCACCTTTAGGCTTTTAATGTTCCTGTAATCAGTTCTGAGATATGATGTCACATAGGAATATGGACGTTTGACTTTGACTCCATTAAGATGTGAAATTTCTGTTTATCGAGAGCATAAAATAGATGAACACAGCCTCTTAAGACTAGAAGATATTTACAATGTATGTAATTAAAAGCATTGGAATTCAGAATAACACAACAAGAAACTTGTACACATCAAAGTGAGTTGGAAATAAGTCACTAATGACATGACACCTCTGAGAATGTGTGCACCGTTAGGAAGCAGCAGATCTAAAATTTAGGAAAAAAATCAGGACCTCAGTAACTGGAACATTTTAAAGAGAGGCTCTCTAGGATATGCATGGGGTCTAAGTGTAACCACAGAGACCCAAAGAAGGCTATACAGGATCTTAGAATGAAATATTTGAACATTACCCAATGTAGAATAATGAATGCTGTAGGCATTTGAGATAAGTAGAAATATAATGGAAGTAGGATCTTCAACAGGAGATTCAACCACACACGTCATGGAATTCAGAGCAGATGCTCAGACACTTTTGCAGGAATCCTAGCATGAGGTAGTGTCATCTAGTGCAACGGCCGTGTGAATGGAAATAAAGGACTTAATTCTGGGAAATAGTGTTAAGGAAAATAGTTCAAATAATGAAATACTGGCCCAAGAGATTGAAGGGGAGAGTTAAGCAAAAGTTCTGTTGTTTCTTCCTCAGAGACCAAAAGGGTCCAAGAACTACAAACAGAAATCCAATGGCTAGGACAGGAAGGCAGGTTGTGTAAAGAGCTAACGGGTTGTGCCAATGTCACAGTGAGACATCCAAGTGCAGGCACCCTGCAGCAGCTGCCACCCCACAACCAAAGCTCAGGACTAGAGATGTAAGAGCAGAGACTGAGGACTCCTGAAGATATTCCTTCAAATAAGGATCCCAAGGGTGCTCAGGATGGTTTGATACGTTCCTTTGTCTTGTCCTGCATACATCACATTATTGGGAGCAAGAAACAATGGAGTCTACAATAAAGAATCACCTGCGAGAAAATTTGTGGTATTAGTTCTTTGTAAGTAATCCTGGAGGAGGTGGGAGAGATAACGTAGTGGAGCAATGGCCGCACCACTGGAGACTGCCCAATCTGGGGTCATGGTCTTAACTCCGTGCCCCTGTCCTCCTCCACAGAGCTGTGCACTGCCCTAAACATAAACCTTACATAAGCTATAACGTGCACATCAGTGGCCAGACTCAGCCACTCAACAAGTGTCTCATTCAGCATATAACACCCAGAACACTTAAAACATGCAACGAAATAATGAAGTAAGGCCTATGAACAAGCAGGCCGTTGATGGTGCTCCAGGAGTATTTCTCTCTGAGTTAACAAGGAGCAGACCAATGAATGAAGGGGAAGGTCAAAGATTACTTCAGTTGGTCAAAACATATAGAAAAAAGCAAAGGTCATTACTGAACAACAATCTTGATACCATGGTATTTATTAAAAGCAGCTGGTCAGGGCACTGGGTTTGTTCTAGTCTGAGGATTTCACGATCCTTAACTATTTACCAGGTTGGCCTTCTTTCTCACATGCCTCCCACAGAGCCTCCAGACTTCCTGTATAGTTTTTCCCCCATCACTCAGCTCCAAGCTGCAGTTCCTAGGCATTTTAGCTCCTGCAAGCTACTTCTCTGGTCCTGGTTCACTTCTCTTCCTAAACTTGCAGCTTCCACAACCCCAGGTGTCACATCCTACAGCTGACCTTTCAGCTCTTCTCCTTGCTGCCTTCATTCATTTCTTGCTCAGCATCGATGCCATTCCCGTCAATTCCAAAGGCCCAAGTCATAGCAATTCCCATTTTCTACTGTTCCCATCTCTAAGACTTTGTCCAGGTCATGGGCTCAATTGTGAGCCCAGACAAGACATGTTGAATTCCACATCCTCAGGACTTCAGAACTGATTTTATTTGGAAAAAAAGATTGTGGCAGATACAATTAATTAAGAGATCACCCTGGCCCTTAACCCATGTGACCTGCGTTCTTACCATAGTGGGAAGCCAGGACACACACACACACACACGGAGAACACCATGAGAAAACACCATGGAGTGAAGCCTTTAAAAGCAAAATCAAGGATTGATGGTCATTGCCAGAAGCTGCTCAGACAGACACACAGATCAGCTTCTGCCTCAGTACTCAAAAAGAACCAGCCAACACCTCGATTTTGGATTTCTGCCTTCCAGAAGTGTGAGAGAGAAAGTAGGGAAGAAAAAAATAATCTTTAGACAAACCAAAAGAGCCACTCAAGAACATCACAGACATGCAGCTCTCTCCCTCCAAGATGCACACACAGCTGGGGTGGGCGTGCGGGGTCCAGGCACCCCACACACCAAAGCCCTCCTGTATCTGACACAGGTCTGCCTCTCACGCCAGTGGATTACCTTTGATCCTCATTCATTCTCAACGTGCAAAGTGACTGATAGGGCATGTGCAGTGCATTTTATTATCATAATATCCCGTTGGACTTCAGTTGCTAGTCACCAAACATCTCTCTCATCACTCCCCAGATGATTGCTCTATCTTTAATCACGTGTTTATGACCATCTTCCGTCTAGAACGTGGCTCTTGAAATGATGTCCTTATCTTAAATAATGTTTTATGCATATGTATGGCTTTATATGGTGGATCCTGGATAACCTTTGGAATTGTGAAAGGAGAGAGACAGCCAAGAGAGGGCAAGAAACAGAAGCAGTAAGAGAGGGCGAGCGAACCCAGAACTATGAAGTGTTAAAAGACATATCAGTTTTTAGCATGTCAGTCCCAAGTCTTGCATGGGACATACTTACACTAAAAATGTAGTCATTGTGTATCTGAATTTCAAATTTATGAGCAGCCTGTACTTTTATTTGCTGAATCTGTTGACCCACAGCAATTTCAGGACTCACTCTCCTGAACCACCAAGTGGTGTCATGCCAACAATTCTCTGAGAGTTATAAACAGGGAAAATAAAGCTACCCAGTGTCAAAAACTCTTAGGTGAAAGCAAGATCTATAACTCAAACCTTTGTTGGTGTCTTTTCGGGGATGCAGTTTATCCGTTCTGATACTGGTATCCCTGAGCACTCAGAACCTGTGATAATGCCAAAAGCAAACATAAAATGACTCTCAGACAGGTTTAGTATCAAGCATTCAATATCCCCCCCAGTTTTCAACACCTCCTATTATAAGGACACCACTTGCGATTGGACCTCATGCTGATGTACTTGAGATTTATGCATTCATTCTAGAAGACCTCTTTGTTCTTACTGACTGTATTACCTCTGCATAAACCCTCATCATCTCGTTCTACCCCCAAGGACCTTGCTATGAGACAGTGCATACAAGAGCAAGAGCTTGGCCGTGAGAGTGGGAACTCACAAGGTGGGAGCCAGATTTACGTTCTTGAGGCTAGAAGTCGGCAAACTAGGATCTGTGGACCAAATCAGTCACAATCTGATTTTTAAATAGTGTACTTACAGTCACACCAGGTTTTGTATGTATTATCTATAGCTGCTTTTGTGCTATCTCAGCAGAATTAAGTAGTTAGGACAGATACCACGTGGCCAAACGGTTGGACCAACCCCAGAGATTTCGACAAACTCTTAAGTATTATGTATCTGGCCTTTCAGCCTGCAGATTGTCTATGCTTCATCACCACTCCCCGCGGCCAGTCGTAGTTTTGTCTACTCATAGAGCTTGTGCAGCATATGTTATTGTCTGGGAAGTTGACTCTCTGGTCAGAACCCAGTGCTCCTTGTTTAGTCACCAGGAAGTCCCTCAACAAGGGACACTATGTGTATGAAAACGTAAAGTCTCCATACAGGTCTAGAAGGTCAGCTAGCATCTACTTCTTGGCTTTGATTCACTTTTTAAAATCAGTCACAAATCACGTTTATTGCATTCTAAAATAAGGAAGTGAGGTTTCTTTAAGGCATGCTATAATAAGTTCACGACCACAGGAAGACAAAACATCAAGGCTTCCAGAGCCTCTTTCTTTTCATCAGGGTTTCCAATTTAAAAACACTAGAAAAAAAATAAAAACACGAGATTAAAATGACTCCGTACATGTGCGACTCTCTGCATAAAGATTTTAGTTCCATCTTCAGGATTGTAAATTTTAAGAGTTGAACAACTTTTGAACTCTTTAACTTCCCAAAATGTAAACCTGGCATTGCTGTAAATCTGGCATTGATGAGGAGGTGAGGAGGGACGGATGATTCCCTTTAGCCACGGAAAGGCCCTTTCATTGCCTGGCTCTTTCATGAAGCTTCTCCTAGAGGACTCAGCTAAGAAATCAGGGATAACTCAGCAAAACTCAGCCTCTCTTTCACAAGGTAACAGTTCAACAAACTTTCAATAAAAGGAAAAACACTCTTATTTTCTTAAAGAACCACACTTTGGCTAAAAAGATTTGACTCAATTATCTGTTAGCGTTTCATATTAGAGTAATGTTAATTCTTTTTTTTTTTTTTTTTTTAGTAATGTTAATTCTTATTGCTGACAAAATTAGACCTACTTAGCGAAATTCGGCCAGTAGATTTCAAATGTCCATTGTGGAATCCTACACTCTACTAATTGGCAAAAGAAAGTGTTAGAACTTAGGCCTACAGAGAATGCCTACTGAGCTGTCCTGGTGTTAACTAGGTGCTCCCCAACATGCTTACCACCCACACACATGCACACAAGCATGCTCACACTCACACACATGCACGCACACAACCCACATGTGGACACACACATGCACATTCATACAGCCCACACATACACACAAACATGCTCACATACATGCACACCTGCATGCACTCATACAGCCCGCACATGTGCACACATACATGTGTGCACACTCATACACCCATGTGCATGCACACACTCATCCAATTCACACACATTCACACCAGGGAACATGGAAGCATGCACCTCTGTGGGGACTGTGGTTCTGCTCTGAGGAGCACTCTCCCAGGAGGGGCCCATTGGAGTACCTGATCCAGAATTCCTGGCTGAAAGCACAAACAGTGGGATCGTGACGACAAACATAATAACCAGAAGGGCGCAGAGCATGAGCTCCAAGTTAGTACAATCTTTCAGCTTTCTTCTTGCCATCTATCAAAAAAGAAAGAAACATTTTAGAGTTTCAACAATCGCTATCAACTTTTTAAAAGGAAAAGCTCAAACGCACACATAAGTAGAATGACTAATAGAGCAAACCCCCATGCACCCAAAGTGACTGACCCATGGCCGATCTGGTTTGTTTTCATCCCTACTCGCTTCTCTCCTTACTCCTTACTCTGCCTTCGCTATCTATAAGAATGTTGTTCCTTTGGTGCAAACAATACCTCCTCGGGGCTGACAATTAGCTGCCTTCCCTTCCTCTCCTGTTCCCACACTTTATCTACCTGTAAAGTTTTCACAGAGGGTGAGCTGCCTCCCACTATTGACTTTTTTTTATTGATAATTGAGGTGATGTTAGTTAAGGGCACTGTGTGGGGTTAGGTCACACTGTCTCCCTCAGCAAGTGGGTCATGGCACACGCCTACCCAAGGCCCAGGTCCAGGCCCAAGGCCCAGGCACACCCACCACCAGCCAGTCTGGCCCTCAGGAACCCCAATGAACTTTAAGCTGCTAGAGGCCAGTGAGGGAGAGTCTTGACTATCCCTGAGTTATCCCTCAGTCTGAGAGCTTGAGACACCAATTTCCTCAGTCCTGAGGGCAACCGGGGGGACAGAGGGGGTATAAGGAAAGACAGGCTGGGGAAATTCTTCTGGGAGTGGAAACCAAGGACCGTTCCATGAACCTAATGATGCCACCATCATTTTCCTCATGCTCCGTGATGTAAGAAATGCCTCTTTGGGTGCCCTCCTCCCTCAGCAGGTGGCACTAAACGAGCATGTTCTGGTTGGGGACAAGACAGAAGAAACACCTGTGCCTGGGCTTTGTATACTAGAGGTAACTGTGGGTCCTCATTCCTATTTCCCAAAAGGGAAAAGGAGGACAAGACACCTCAGGGTGACTTCCTCCCAGAAAGCTCACCAGTCACCATGGGAACATAAGTGAAAAAGAAAGAAAACTTGGAGCTAAAAAATAACTTAAGGGCCTCCCTGATGCATAAAGGGTTAAGTGGCAGCACTGGAAGCTATTCATAGCCACTGCAGCACAAGTTCGATCCCCCCCCCCAGGGAGCTGACCCACATAGCGCAGCAGACCTCTCATGCCTCCCCACTGCTCCCCTCAGCAGTGTATTTCAGTCAGTCTGCCTGTTCTGTTCCCCACTCTGTCTCTGGTGAGTCCTCTCATACACCTCTAGCCTACACCTCAGCTCTTTGTGCATAAATAAATAAATCTTTTTTAAAAAATAACATAAATCACAGCACAATCACTTATTTTAGGATCCAAGTCAAGTTTTTTACACCAATTATCTTTGAAGTATGAAAAGAGGTACATCAAGGTCTCCAGGAAGGGTCTTCCAGAATATCCACCTCCTCCACATGACCTTCGCAATATTTCTCCCTTAAAAAGTAATGGTCTGCAAGCCTAACCCAGCTGAAGACCAGCCCACAAGTCTCCCCTGTTCTCTGGGCTCTGCTATTCTCAGTTCAGAGCCTGCTGGTTCTGCCAGGCAGAAGCGCCTGCAACTCCACAGTAGAGGCCCCAGCCCAGGCTCATGGTGAGCTGAGATACTCTGCACTGTTCTCTGCAGCGTGATGGGCCTGTCTGCTCCTTTGTCCGTATCGTACAGGCCCATTTGGTACATTTCTATGAGAATGTCAGTGGAAGTCTTCCCAGGAAGAAATGTCCAATTCTTTGATTAGTCTACCATCTTGAATCCATCATGTAGGTTTGAAAAGTTTCCCAGATGATTCTGACTTTCAGTCTCTCCCCACTGCTGTTGGAAAATGACCTTGGGAATTCTGAGATGATCCCTGGTTTAACAACATGGTACAGTGTTGTCCTATCAGGTGGGAGGCGGAGCTGCAAGTGTACACTAGGACAGTGAAATGGGACAAAGACAAAATAGGAGACAGTGATAAGGGGAAATAAAATCACATATTTGGAGGGGGTTGTGGGGAATGGGTGGCCCCTTGTGAAAGTCTTCAATGCAGAACTGCCCCTCATCAAAGCATCCCACCCAACACTTCCATAGGTTTACAAGACCCTTTCCTTACTCAAATTGTGAGCTCCCAGGGTATGAGAATGATGCCTGCTCTTGCCCTTTCTTGGTCTCCTAGGTACCTCCTAGCAGAATCTGTTTAATAAATACCTATCAACTGATAATATTTTACTCCCTGATTAAATATTTACAAACTATCTGGATAAAATACCCTGATTAGAGTACATCATGAAAGTACAGTAGGGGATAAAATGCTCTCTGCACTGAGGAAGCTTAAAGTCCAAAAGTGTTACTTCCTTCTACACAACAAAAGCAAGAAGTAGAAACAGCACTGCTTCTTGGGACTCAGAAGGCCTGAATTTTATTCTTGATTCTGAAAATAACTAGCCAGATGACTCTGGGAAATGTACCGAAACTTTCTGGTTCTCATTGTCCTTATTCATGAAGCAAAGGGGTTGAACTAGAACTATAAAATTCATACCAATTTTTAATATGTCATTTGTGGGGCAATCACACAAATTGAGTGCTTCTTTGTCCCTCCCTTCCACTAAAGATGCCCACGCCAACCACATGTCAGTATTTCCCTCCTTTCTCTACCCTCAAATTCTCCTTCTCAAGGTGAGAATCTGCCGATGGACTGTGAGAAGATCTGAGCTTTGTTCCCAGCCCCCCCATTTCTTGCTGGAGTAACCCAAAGAATTTACTAAACAATCTCAAGTCTCGGTTTTCTTACCTGCAAAAATGGAACTAATAAGATAGATTATTCTTGTTATCTAATGTCATCTTCCAAATAAGAACCCGATAAAAACACCCGAAAGGATAAAGTGTCACAAGCATTATGTTGCAATTTACAGGCAAGAGTACAGCTGGTGAGTCCCAGGTAAGGAACACCAAGCTCCTCAGAAAGTCTTCACAGTTCTGCACGCCCCTAAATTGCTCAGTGTTTTGTGAAGAGGCAGTTACCTGAGGCACAGGAACAGAAAGTGGGGAAGACCCAGGAAAGTGGTGAGCTTGGTGGCCTTGCCAATTCCAGGCCTGCTTTCCCCACCTCCCACCCACAGCTCCTCTCCAGGCTGCCAGGAAAACCACCATCTTTACTTCAAAAGCACACCCCTTCCCGCCTACCTCAGGTCTTAATTCAAGTGTCCCCATTTGGAAGCCAGAGGTTCTCAGCGCAAATGCACTGTTTACACTTCCTCGTGCCTCATTCTCCACCCAATCAACATGCTCTCAATCACCATGTTCTCTTCAAGCAAAAGAAGCTTCCTCAGCCTTTGCCCAAGGATTAAATGCCAAGAGGACTTCCTTCTCACCCACAGGTGGGAAACTGTTATTTGTCAACATGAAGTCCTCTTACTATGCAAGAGGAAAGGGAACTCCACCTCTCTCACCAGGATTGCTTTCTAAGATAGGAAGTATCTACCTAGAATCGTTCTTGCTTGTCTTGTGCCCAACACCTCACATTCCCAAAGGTTTTATAAAATATCCCATAATGTAAATTTTGCATATAAAATTCCATAAAGATTGAGTCCCTGCCTAACATAATTAGGTGACTGAATGAGGTAAAGAGTTTCTCAGAAGCCTATCAAAATGACCATGGGGGTTAATAACAGTTGTGAGATTGGAGGCTGTTCTTTACTTTAATTAAATTAACACTTAACTAAAAATTAAAATTTTTCCAAATGTTTACTAACACAGAGTTAGACGTTATGAACCAAAAGGGACCCACATATTGCTAGTCAAACCATAAATACCATATGCTCAGTAAAAACTTGACAAAGAGGATTAAAGGCACTTATACCCACAATCTGAAATTCTTTCTATAGAAATTTAGTCCATAAATGCACTTGCACCTGTGAGAAACCATGTACAAATAAAGGTTTTCATTATAACATGCTATATAAGAACAAGAGATTGAGAATTGGAAAGAGAACTATTTTCTAGCTATACAAGAGTAACATTTCCTTAAACCTTGAGAGGAAAAAAAATATCCTCTTTGGCATCATCTGACTGATCTTACTTCCCAAATTACAGGGATCTTAATGGTGAAACTTATGTATCAATTAGGGAAACAATTAAGGAAAAATCAAGATAAAGAAAATTGGCAAAAAGCAAAAAGAAGAAGGAAGAAATGTAAATAGCTTTAACTGCTTTCAAAAGAGGAAAAAATGTTTTGAATTACTGCTATTGGCAATCTGTCCTCAGTCTTTGAATATTCTATTCCATATGACCAACATAAACTGCAATTTTAATGTAGCAATGATACTAACTAACAAAGATTTAGCAAATATTCTGAGAGGTTTTGCATAAGTGGTTACATGCAATCCTCAATAACCACAAGTTACTTCCTACTACTGGCCTCACTTTCAGATGAGGAAATGAAATTTCAGCAAGGACCAATAGCCTGCCTGATGCCACACAACTGATAAGAAGCAAAGCCACTACCTGCCCTTTGGACTCCACAACCAGAACTTGTAGTCACTACTCTGTGTTCGATGCTATCATGGCCCATATCATATCCCAGCTTAGCTATATGTGAGGTGGTGGTTTTATCAAGTGGTGTCTGCATCATTAAGCAAGTACTTAGAAAGTACACAGCACCAGGGCACATTGTTTCATTCTGTCCTCACAACCACCCTCCAAGCAGGGCCTGCCATTACCCCATTTTACAGATAAGCTAATTGAGCCCCATTAGGGCTAGGTGACCCAAGGTCCAGACCTCAAAGCCAAGCTTTCCAGGCTATCTGAAACCAAAACCAGTGTCCACCACATGATGCAAATGCAAAAACTTACAGTTTCATAAATAATAAAGGTTTTGAAATTAAGAGGAGGTGGGCCCTAGAGGGGATGCCTAGGTCCTTCCAAAGACAACACCAGGGAGGGGGTACAGGGCTTATGGAAAGAAAAGGAAACAAACATTCTGTATCTCTGTCTCCATAGCACCTGGGGATTTTAAAGTGGTTTTAGAAGTATCTGGAGCATGTTCATGGCCCACATCACTGTTTTAAATTCTCTGTAGACCAAGGAGAAAAGCTATTGACACCCCTCGTTCCCCAGTTTATTATCACCGCTTATGGATGCTATGTCTCTGGAGAAACGGAAGACCTGATTGCAGTTTGTTTCTTCATCAGTTATGTATTCAGTTCCTACCAAGCACCAAATGCTCTTCCAAAAGCTGGTTACACAACAACAAACGATAAAAAAAAAAAAAATTCTTGCCCTGTGGAATTTATATTCTGGTGAGTAGAAAGAAAAAAGAACCATGGACTAAATTAGTAAATACACTTAAGTTAGACTGTGTAAGCGCTATGGAGAAAAATAAATTGAAGGGAGGGAAAGAAGAGAAATGTGGGGGTAAATGTTGCAGTTTTCATGAGGCTGGTCGGGGGTATCTCACTGAGAAGGTACAAAATATTACTGTTACCTAAATCGTGCAGATTCTAACTGATTCCAAGTTTTGCCTCTTGAATTAAAATGGTTTATAAATAATTGCCAAAGCTCTTTCTCCTGGTACTGTGGTAATTATTTATGCAAAGTAGGTAAATAAATTCAGGTGGAGGCCCCAAACACAGAAAGGCTATCTGAACTCACTTGGGAAAACTGGATTATCGGCACCCCTTTTTTATTATTATTATTTATATATATATATGTATTTTACTTCATTTTTTCTTTTTGTACAATGCATGCCTTCTCCTCTCAGGTGTAGGCCCTGTAAAATTCCCACCACGTTTACCATCACCATAGTCCCTTGTGCTCTTCCCTCTCCTGCTTTGATCCCTCTTCCTCCCGCCTCCCCTGCAGAGTGTCTCTGATTAATAGCTGCCTGTTAATTTTGTTTTTTAATTTATTATAATTATTTTTTCCTGATCCCTTCTTTGGTGCCTCTACATTCCTTCTATAAGTGAAACTATTTGATAACTTTTGTTTTCTTTCTGGCTTATTTCACTGAGCATAATCCCTTCCAGCTCCATCCATGTGGCTGCAAATGGCATGAGTTTATCTTTTTTGATTGCTGAATAGTATTCCACATCTTCTTGATCCAGTCATCTATTTTGGGGCATTTGGGTTGTTTCCATATCTTACCTGTTGTAAACAGGGCTGCAATAAACATAGGGGGCGCCGCTCTTTTTTGAGTGAGAGCCAGTCTCTAATTGGGGTCTGGTGACCCAAGTCTTTTCTTTTAAAATCCTTTGACGACACAAGGCAAGACAGTGGGAAAGAGAGGCTTGGTTTTACAAAGACTGGAATAAGTCGTAACTAACCCTCAAAAATCCTGGGTGAAATGCAGTGATTTTGTTCATAGCTCCCAACTACTCAGCTCAGGATTGGGAAAGGGAATTTCCCCCAAGTCTGTTCATGCCCAAAGTGCAGAGATGTCAAAGCAGACTTGGATCCCACTCAGATGTCTGAACCTGGAAAAGCTGCTTAACCAATCCAGGCCTCGGTTTCCCCATCTGAACCACAAAGGGAGATCATCACTAGCAGACAGCTGTGACCCCTGTGCCTGCGGGACCTGCGCGCCAAGAGGCTCGCCTTCCACGTCACATTCTGCAGCTGCCTCCTGAGCCAACTTTCTTCTTCTAGGTCCATCTGCTTATTCATACCCCACACTTATGAGGCAGTGTGGAAAGTCACCTTACTAACTCAGCAAAAGCAGTTATGAAGGAATACCCGATGCTAAAGCCATTGGCATCATGGGTCCATATGAGTGATGAACTGTATTAAACTGGGAGCACGGGGAAAAATGCCTCCCACTTGCTTCTTGATAGCACATCAGCCTCACCCAACACAACAAACCAAAGACCCCTCCTTTCTCTCTCTCTCTCCATGCCCACCACACTTTCTTGCTGTTCCACACCAGGACCAGAGCGACAGACAGTTTGGGGATCAGGAGGCCCCTTTAGCCACCTCTCTGTCTCTCTGCCACCTTTACCAGTGAGCCCACGGGCTTGGTCGTGACCTCCCTCTCTTTCCCAGTAGTACGTCTTTCCACCTCAGTAGTAAGAAATGCCCATGTGTGTCCAGCTGAACTCCAGCACCCAGAGGACACAGTCCTTTTTCATTTTAAATTTTACCAGAGAGAGGCCAATAATAATCCACACCCTCCAAAATGGAACCCATCCTGCCTTAAAGGTGGCTTCCCCAAACCCCCAACTTTCCTTTAGAACCTCCTTCCAGACTCCACACAGACCCTCTCACCCTCTCACTGTACCCCAGAGGACCAGACACCCTTCCCTCTGCTCTTGGCTAGTTTATTTGAGCATTAAGTGCTTCCCAGACTCACAGGGAAGCAATCTCTCTATGTTCTCTAATAGGCATCCCTTGATCACAACTCCACACCCTTATAGAAGGAAGGTGCAGCAACACTGTTAGCTAACCCCCAAATGCCAACTCCTTCCCCTCATTCCCCCCACCCCATCTTCCATAGCAGGAAAAAACTACAATTTCCCTCCCCGCATGGGTCTATGAAATCATTCTTCACACCACAAACAGAGACACAGCAACATACAGGCTTAGATACAACAGGGTGTGAAGATCCAGCCTCCATCCAGAGGAGGAAAACATACACAGGCAGTTGCACACAAACACACACACACACAGAGAGAGAGAGAGAGAGAGAGAGAGAGAGAGAGAGAGAGAGAGAGAGAGAGAGATGCATGCATGAATTTTGTTTTGTTTGTGTGTTTATATCATGTTGTGAATTGTTGATATTTCTATTTGTCTATGTTTAACAAATTCACAAGGGCATTTTGACCAAAGGACAGCAGCAAAAATCCACACTGTTCTATGCACACACACCAGGAATCCTAATGGACACTGGGTTTATGACCATACCTCATCACCTCCCGCTGATCCACTCTCTGAAGGAGGGCCTGGTGTTAACAGCAGAGAAGCAGAGTCCACACAGAGCAGCAACAGCCCAGGTGACGGTGTTACTAATGACTGCCAGCTTTTATTGTCAGTATCAGATCTACTAGTTAATTAGTAATCACAGGCTTCCCATGAGGAGAACATACCTAAGATCCTAGAACAAGAAGCAACCAACCTGACTCCTCTAAACCCTGCAGGCCCTGAATGTTTTCTACAGCAGTGATATCTATCAGGTGCATGGTAAAAGAACACAGTCCAACTCAAAATGTAGGAGATAAACAGAAAAAAATAAGCAAACCCAGGATCCCAGAAGAGCCCATCTCTCCCTGTGACCTCTAACCTTTCTGCAGCAGGTGACACTTGGTGGCCCAATCTGCTGGTTTGCATTTAAAGGGAATAGCTGTGAGATTTTTCAAAATAGTTTTATTTTCTTCCCTCCAGAAGAGGTACCACGAAGACTAGCTGGCAGTCTGGTGCTTCCTGTGGACCTCCCTTAGATTTATGTTTTTAAATTCATGACACAAAATCTATAAGGATACAAAGAAAACCAATTCCATTGAACTACTAGAATATTTTTAATGCAATGAAGCAATGTCTGTGCTTCCTCAATAGTACATATGCAAAGTAATGAAACTAGACCACTAACTCATACTATTACAGAAAAATTAATTCAGAATGTATGAAAGATTTGGATATAAGACCTGAAACTACAAAATATATAGAAGAAAACACAGGCAAACATTTCATAATATACATTTCAGAGTTGTCTGTGTGGATTCATCTCCAACATCCAGGAAAATAAAAGAAAATATAAACAATTGGGGCTGCATAAAACTAAAAAGCTCCTGCATAGAAAAAAAAACCCATCACTAAGACAAAAAAACACCTTACTGAATAGGAGAAAATGTTTGCATATCATACAGCTGACAAGAGGGTGATACCCAAGATCTACAAAAGAATCATACAACTCAACAAAAAGCAAATGGGTAGAAGATCTAAAGAGGCACTTCTCCAAAGAGGTCATACCAATAACCAATAGATACATGAAAAAAATGTTCATTATCACTTATCAGGGGAAAGCAAATCAAAATCACAATGAGATACTACCTCACACCTAGGAGAATGGCCCCACATCAAAAAGACCAGAAACAACAAGTGTTGGCAAGGGTGTGGAGATAATGGAATGTTCTTACATTTGGTGTGGGAATGTAGACTGGTCCAGCCCTTATGGACAAAAAGTATGGAGATTTCTCAAAAGGTTAAAAATGCATCTACCATATGACCCAACAATTCTACTCCTATATGAAGAATGCAAAGACACTGATTCAAAGGGATATATGCACACCTATGTTCACCGCAGCACTATTTACAATAGCCAGGTTATGGAAACTACCTATAAGCCCAGAGGAGTGGATGAGGAAGATGAGATATATATACATAATGGAATACTACTCAGATATTAAAAAAATAAACTTTTTTAAAAGATTTATTTATTTTATGCATACAAGAGCTGGGGTATAGGCCAGAGGTGCAGGTGGGTGAGAAAATTCACCAGAGACAGAGCAGGGAGCAGAACAGGCAGAAGGACCAAAATACACTGCTGAGGGGAGCAGCAGGAGAGACAGGCGAGGTCTGCCACACCATGTGGGAATCTCCCTAGCCGGCCAGGAATCAAACCCGTGCTGCAGAGGCTGTGGACAGCTTCACAGCGCTGCGCTCAACCTGCTGCACCACCGGGGAGGCCCCATACGCTCATTTTTTGTTGATTAGGAGCTTATTCATGGCCTCCCAGGTCCCTGGATCTCACATGTTATGGTTTAGGGGCTCCACATGGCCAGAATGTCTTTCAGCACCACCCTGGACACTCCCTGATTAGGTCCTCAAGTTTCCTGTGCTCACTATCTTTTCCTGATGACAGCATTCTTTCTATTCCTTTTTCCTGTGCTCAGACCATTTGAGTTCCAATTCATTGCCTGGCCACTTCTTACTCACTCATCAAGATTCTACTGCAAGTCTACTACTGATTTTTTTTTAATTTTAATTTTATTTTATATATTTTTTACATTTTTCATTTTTGCACAATGTATGCACCTTCATCTTGGTCATAGTCCCCATACAATTCCCACCCCCCTAATTTGAATCCTAATCCCTCCTCCCCCCCATAGTAGTAGTGTGTCTCTAGTTTATAGTTGCTTATTGATTTTTATTTTTACTTTATTATAATTAGTCTTTTTCCTGGTCCCTTATTTTGGTTTTCTAAATTCCTACTATGAGTGAGACCATCCGGTATTTTTCTTCTTCTTTCTGGCTAGTTTCACTGAGCATGATCCCTTCCAGCATCATCCATGTTGCTGCAAATGGCATGTGTTTATCTTTTTTGAATGCTGAGTAATATTCCATTGTGTATATGGACCACATCTTCTTGATCCAGTCATCTATTTTTGGACATTTGTGTTGTTTCAAAAGCTTAGCTATTGTAAATAGTGCTTCAATTAACATAGGGGTGCAGGTGCCCCTATGATGTTTCTGTGTTCTTTAGGTAAATACCTAGGAGTGGAATTGCTGGATCATATGGAAGCGCCATCTTTAGCAGGTTGAGGAATCTCCACAGATCTTTCCATAGTGGTTGGACCAGTTTGCACTCCCACCAGCTATGTAGGAGAGTTCCTTTTTCTCCACATCCTCGCCAACATTTGTTGTTGCTTGTTAAAAAATAAAAAATAAACTCTTGCCATTCGTGAGTGACATCATGGATGGAACTAGAAGGCATTATACTAAGCAAATAAGTCAATGGTTGGCATCACTTATATGTGGAATATAAAGAGATCAAACAAAAGGTCAGATAAAGACAAACCAATAACAAAGTCTAGTTATGACTATAGAATTGAAGCTACCAGAGGGATGGGGGAGAAAGCAAAGTAGGGAGGGGGCACCATGGGCTGTGGTAGAGGAGGGGTGTTGGAGTTGGGTGTGATATGGTAACATACACCTGAAGGATGTGATACTATACCCGTAAATCATATACAGTGTTGTGAGCCAGTTTTACCTCGTTTAAATATGGATAACAGAAAAGACCTGGAATAAAAAGTATATATTGTTCTATTGTATGGGCACCCATATCCCAAAGTGCTCAGAGAAATACTAGCCATTTATCAAGTCCCCACTGTCTAGTTCCTTCAAGCTCTTGGTCAAAGACAGACTGATTTGAGGGACCTATCCTGGCCACTGAGCTAAGAAGGGGCTGCTGAGCACCAGTGTGTTCTCCCATCTTCTTGGCATTAAACATGAGTTAATGGATTCTCACTTCCTGGAATAAAATCCTCACAGAAAATAAAATACTCATCTGTCTAAATGTTACCAGCAGTAAACTGTGGGTGGGTTAGATGACCCTGAAAGTATCTCTAATAGTCCATTAGTCTAATATACTTAAATATAACACTAAAATTGAGATGAATCACTTCTTGGGAGAGTGTTTCCATGTTAAACCTTCAAATGGTAGTTTAGTGGGTTCTGTAACATTTCATGGAAAGAGAGTGGGGTTTGGAAGTAAGTCAGCCTGGGTTTAAATATTGGATTCTCTACTTACATGCTCTAGACTTTGGGCAGTCCTTTAAATTTTTGGAAGCTCAGTTGCCTTCTCTTTAAACTAGAGATGATAACATGCATGCCATAATATCATTCCAGGTCTAAGCCAAAATAGTGAGTACCTGGCATCTGATGTCAATTTCCCAATCCCTCCCCAACTTCTTTTTTCTGAAAATAAAATACAGTAAACAGTGCAATTAGCTTAAATTCTGCTAAGAACCATTGCTCCAGTTCATCTACGCCCAGGAATAACATCACTAGGTTGGGTTGAAAGAGGGAGCCTCTTCCACCAATGGACCAGCATCACAGAGAAGTGAGCCACCAGCGCCTCCCATGAGAACTAATCCCACAGGCCAGTGGAGCAAAGCCAGGCCTAGTCCATTATTTTGTTTGAAGGAGTCACACACACTGCTCAAACCCACAAACACATGGCTCCTATCCCCCTTCCAATCACAAATCATGTCCATCTCTACCAGCTACACACTTGAAATGTACCTCTTTCTTATCGCAATGAGTTGATTTTCCTTCCTTTGTTTCAGATACAAACTCTTCACATCAGAGGCTACCTGGAAAGGGAGAAATGCACTTGTTTGGGGCAGCAGTAATTTCTCTGCCCAGAAGTGCTCAGAGGAAGGTGAGAGCAGAAGGGACTTACACTGAGCATTACAGCATATCCTTCTCTTGTGAAATACCTGTTACTCAGCAATTTCACATCAGCTTTCACCCCTTCCTGCCTCTTAACCCCACAGACTGAGCACCTGCCACACGCATGCAAATCCAAGGAGAAAGTTATTAGGGATAAAACATTGCCCAAGATTCACGCGCTAGTAATAAAACTTCTTTTAGAACACCTTGCAACTTTCAGAGCACTTTAATCTGTATTATGTCATTAAGCACAACAACCCTAACCAGTAGGACAGGTACTTTTAATGCCCATCTATAAATGAGGAAACAGAAACTAAGGACAATCACTTACTAAAGGTCACTCAAATAGCAGCAGAGTCAAACCTATGCAAATTAAATTTCAATCTAGTGATTGAATATTCATAAAGTACAAAGTCAGTAAATTTGAAAAAGCAAATAGTTGCTTCTTCATTCTATATATTTGTTCATTCATTTAAAAAAAATTAAAAGTTAACTCCCCACCCTTTCTACCAAAGTGGAAATTGTCAGATCCTATCATTTATCAGTTTCCCATCCTCATCTCAGATGGCTACTTTTCTTTAATCCCAAATCCTGACTAGAGACCCCCAATATTTCCTCCCCACACCCAGAGGACACCTGCCAACTCCTACAGGGAAGGGCAACACAATCCTGACCTCTGGTGCCAGCTGATTGGGCCGGCACTGGACAGCTGACCAACCTGGTCCAACCAGATTCTTCCTCTCTGACATTAGGATTTGAGACACAGAGTCGAATTCATATTGCATTGGGCACTAAGATCATATCATTTTATTGAGGCAGAAATTAGAGTTTACTAAAAAGTACTTGCTTTCCCAAAAGAGAAAGGAATAAGCATGTAGAAAGTAGCAAGAATTAGCGGCCATTTAAATTCAAAGAAGGAAAAGCAGAGAGACGAGCAACTGGTACTTTTCCTATTTCTATGAAGTAAATTTCAGGTCATGCTCCTGCTTCTTCGCCAAATTACTGCCTCTACTACGCCTGCCATCACTGCTTCTGCGACACATATCCTGCACCCCCTTCTCACTGCCGTTCTCGACACATAGCAGGCCTGGATTTGGGGGTTCCTGAGACGCTCGCATATGACAGCTCCAATGCCACTTGACCATGGAGTCTAACAAGACTCCAAATTTCATTTATGGCGGAGCATTTGGGTGAGGGCGGCTAACTCCTCCCACTGACAAGACAACACGGATCCTGAATAAAGCTCCTGGCGCCTCCTGAGTGGAGGCCATGTGAGGTGTGGCTATCTCTGGGATGGTCCCAGTCTTACTCCCTCGTAACCCAGGGGTTCTCAAATGCCAGTGTGCATGGGAATACCCTGAATGGCTAGTTCAGACACAGATGAGCTCCAACTTCAGAGCAGTTGCTTCCACAGCCCTAAGTGGGGTCCAACCACTTGCATTTCTAACAGGTTCTCTGTGACTCTGACCATCCTGTCTGATGTCACGTGCGATGAATTACTCGAGATGACCTGAATGAATGAGTCCTCCAGTCAGAGAGCCTATTTAATCCACCCTCTGCGTGCAGGGCTGGCATGAGGACAAGGCCTCCTGACATGCTCCAGGGGTCTCTGAGCCTTGCTGCCACTGGTGGCTACAGTTTTGTCCTGGGTCAGGTTCCACGGCCCAGTTCTCTCTCCCCTCAGGGCCTCTCCTGAGTGGCTATGTGCAGTGTTGTGAGAAGTTCTCAGCCTTTAACCTTCAGTGCAGGAAGCATGTATGGCCCCAGGAGCAAAATCACATAGAATCTAGCGAGGGCTACACACGAGACTACATCCTGAGGAATGCATCGTGGACAGCATCACCCTGGCATTAGGGAGATGACCAACTAAGGGAGCAAAAGTCTAGCTGTGTGTCACATAGCCTGAGGAACACAGAAGAACAGTATCACATAGTCCCTGCTTTTGAACAGCTCGCCATAATGGCAAACACAGACAAATGCAGATTTTAATAAATAGGGTGAGTGCAACAGCAGTGGGATGAGCAAAGCATGATGGAAGCAGAGAACTACAGGCCTGGAGTCCAGAGGCCCTCATCCCAGGGCTGCCTGGAGAAACCAGGAAGAATTCCCTTCAACACTAAGGACTTCTCTTAGATTTTCGTTTGCACATTACCGGTGGCAATGCTAACCTGCAGGGCCGACAGACGTGTCCTCTCAGGGATCTTAAGTGAGCCTAGAGTGTGTGTGCATGCGCGAGATTATCTGACAGTAAAGACAGTTCTGTTTTCCAAAGTTTGTAGTGGGTTGAAAGGGCGCCTTCACGGCTAAGTTCCTTTGGGCAATACTGCCACCTGGTGTGCAGAGGAGGAAAGGAAGACCAGTCTGGTCTGCGTGCTGACCTCTGCTGGGTTGTGGCCACCGAAAAGAATGAAGGACCCAACTGAGGGCATCACAAGTACACTGACTTACGCACAAGGTCACTGCTATGTGATTTTGTACCATGAAGGACTGCCTGATTATCGGGATAGGAATAGTTCAGGATAAAACAGGACGGGCCATTTTTAGTAACGATTAACCTGTGTGGCATTACTTGTAAATAAAAGGAGCTGTAGTCAGAAGAAAACATGAAAAAGACAAAATGTCTACAGAGACAAAGGGGGCAGCGCACATAACGCATATTGAAAAATTTGAAGGAAAATGAGGGAAAGAAGACAGGATGAAGAACATCACAGACACATCACAATGGTAATTACGAACCAACAGAGTGCCTGTCCTCATGGATGCGTTGGGAACAGTGAGACATTCAGAGGGAGCCAACGGCCCAGAGAGAGACCGTGAAGAATTGGCAGAATGAACCAGTGCAGCACGAGGGAGAAGATGAACAGAGGCTGGAAGGCTCTAGCCCTGCAAGGAAATGCTATTGGGCAAACCAGCCTCTCCACGTCTTCTTCCCCTTCATCTTCATTCATCCCCGGATGAAATGGTGGCGTGAACGAAGCATGACGGACAAGAATAAAAGAATTTAAAAAGCTAAAGCATTTGTAAGGGGGAAGAGAGCACCTGGTGATGGTGAATGTTCTAAAACACACTGCGTATAAATAACCAGGTCCCCATCTATGCTGAGAAACTAGTCTGACGTAAAACTTTTGCAGAAGTGAAGCTGAAATCAGTCCACATTCCTCTGCAGATCAAGGTGAATTACCCATTCGGGGAAGCCCAAGCTCACCAAATGTTTGGAAATGTTTAAAAATGGGAGAAAACTAGACTTCAGAAATGACACCCAAGTGGGCCTCCCTGGTGGCGCAGTGGTTGAGCGCTGGGTTGCGAAGCTGCCAGCAGCTTCTTCAGCGCCGGTTCAATCCCCGGCTGCTCCCCGGCCACCAGAGGAGGGTCCCACATGGCGCGCAGACCTCTCCTGCCGCCCGCTGCTCCCCTCAGCAGTGTACTTCAGTCCCTCTGCCTGCTTTGCTCCCCGCTCTGGCTCTGGTGAATTCTCTCACCCTCCCATGCTTCTGAATGTACCCAGTGCTTGTATAAATAAATCTTTAAAAAAAAAAAAAAAGAAATGACACCCAAGTATGTTAGAATACAATGTCCAGGTATGTTCAAAAAAATGTTCTCGTTGTTATCCATGGGAATGTTATAGATGACGAAACGCTTATTTGTGAAAATTTCAATCATTCAAAAATGTTTACTGATTGGAAACAGTATGAGCTGTTGGAAGCTAGCATGAGCCTTCATGAAATTTACATTTTTAGTGGGGGCAGGTAGATACAGGAACTAAATAACTGCATGTCTGCAGGAATATTCCACAGGTTAAGGATGACAGTAAGCACCCAACATGCTTGCTATAGTTAGGGATGGTCTCTGACAAGGGGACTTTTAAGAAGAGACCTTCTGAAAAGAAAGTGAAAGTATGTAGGAGGAAAGTAATTAAATTTGCAAGAAAAGCAAGTGCAAACGTCCTGAGGCAGGGGGTGCTTGGTGAGTTCACAGGACAGGAAAGGTAGCTGGCGGGGAGTGAGGGAAAAGACAAGGGTCACAGATTGACAAATGAGAAGGAACAGAGGCCCAAATGTGTAGGGGACCTAGAGGTTACGTCAGGACTTAGTTGTTATGATGAGAAAGATGGGAGGCCCTGAAAGGTTTGAACAGAGCAATGCCATGATCTCAGTTCTTCTGTCACACAATCATTACTGTTGCTTTGGAGAAAATGGGGTAAGAGAATGGGGTGGGAAGCAAAAAGAGAAGTAAAAATCTTCAGCAATAATCCAAGTCAGCTAGGCCCCTGGCCCTCTCCCTGCACAGCAAGGTGCTGTCTTGCTTGTGTGAAAACTCCTCTTGCCAAACACAAAAGCTGGCACAGTGATGATGATGACTGAACAAACTCTGTCAATGGCAGCCAGGCCAGTCATAAGCTGGTACCAGACAAGGAATGGTCCATATATTCATATTAAAAACATAAGTCTGGGAGAGACTCGGGGCCCAGAGGTGTGGTACAGGCATGCAAATGGAAAGAGGCATCATTTCCAACCTCAGTTCCCCACAAATCCACACGTACTTGGCCTGCTGCCAGTTTCCATGAACAAATCCCATAAGCAAATCCCACTCTCCTTTCTACTCACACAGGTGCAGATGGACACGCAAATCTGGGCTTGGGACATTGAGACCCTGTCTTGTTTGCATCCCTGATGCTGTGATGTGCTCCCCTAGGGAGACAGCAATACAGAAACACCTGGGTTAGTAAAGGCTTCTGCCTCACCCCAAAGAAAGAGCCATCACTCTCCCACTCTTGCAAAGAGCCCTTGTTGGGAGAGATCTTATAAAACAGCGGCATTCCTCCGAGAGTGCTGCCAGGACTTTCGACGCAGCCACTCTGGAATACATCTAGGGCGAGAGTCGGACGCCTGGGGAAGGAGAAGCCTTGGCTCAGAAGACACACTCACCTTTCTCTGCCAGCTGGCACGTGAGGTTCCTTTGGCCCGGGAGGAGGGACACCATGTTGACGCTGACTCCTGCCGTCACCGTGTCCTATGAAGTCAAGGGTGTATTTCTGGTCCTTTCAGTCCTGGAGTTTGCAGTGGGCATCCTGGCCAATGCCTTCATTTTCTTGGTGAATCTCTGGGATGTGGTGAGGAGGCAGCCGCTGAGCAGCTGTGACCTTGTGCTGCTGGGTCTCAGCCTCACCCGGCTCTTCCTGCAAGGGCTGCTGTTCCTGGATGCCATCCAGCTTACCCACGTCCAGCAGATGAAAGACCCACTGAACGTCAGCTACCAAACCATCATCATGCTCTGGATGATCATAAAGCAAGCCAGCCTCTGGCTGGCCACCTGCCTCAGTCTCCTCTACTGCTCGAAGATCGTCCGTTTCTCATACACCTTCCTGGTCTGCTTGGTGTGCTGGATCCCCAGGAAGCTCCCCCACATGCTCCTGGGTGCTCTCCTGATCTCCTGTGTCTGCATCGCCTTCTGTCTGTGGGACTATTTTAGTAGGCCTGGCCTCATCGTCGTGGCTACAGGAGTCATGAACCACAGCAAGGAACTCAATGTGCAAATCGTACAACTCCATTTCTTCCATTCCTTCCTCATCTGCAGCCTGGGGGCCATCCCCCCTTTCCTCATTTTTGTCATTTCTTCTGGGGTGTTGATTGTCTCCCTGGGGGGGCACCTGAGGACAATGAGAGCCATAACCAGAGACTCACGAGACCCCAGCCTGGAGGCCCACATCAGAGCCCTCAAGTCTCTGGCCTCCTTCCTCTGCCTCTACGTGGTGTCGTTCTGCGCAGCCCTGGTGTCGGTGCCTTTACTGATGCTGTGGAAGCACAAGCTGGGGGTGATGGTCTGTGTGGGGGTCATGGCCGCCTGTCCCTCAGGACACTCAGTCATCTTGATCTCAGGCAACCCCAAGCTGAGAAGAGCTTTGGGGGCCATTCTACACTGGGCCCAGAGCAGCAGATGGGGCAGCATGGACCTCAGGACACCAAATCCCTGCTGAGAGTGGACAGGTAGTGGGCTCTTCATGAACTTGCCCCCAACTGGCCATAAAGCCTTCATAAACCTATCCCAGTTCCTTCTGCAAAAATTCCCTTAGAGTCTCTCCACTTGACATCCCAGGACTCACCCACAGAAGAATAAAATACTTGAAGCTCTAAGCGTGGCCTCGGCAAGTGGCATTTGTTCCTGAAGTTTGCTGGATAGAATGAAGTAAACAGAGATGTCAAAGTATGTGGATTATCAGTGCTTGGCGTGAGCCAAACCACCAGTAGTCACCTCTTCTGGAATAATTTCTAAATTCCAAAGCAGTGGGGTCAGCTTGCATGTGGTTGCCAAGTCTATTTCTTAGAACTGGTGTCAACATGATACTTGGACATATTTTCACTATTATGGCAATTATATGACCCTGGTCGAGCTCTGCGGTTTTCATGGAAACATAAGAAATGAAGAGACAAACTGGGAAGAACAATTATGTCATCATTTCAACTTCATGAGGTACTACTTTAAAGCGCCCCAGAAACGAGAAGCTTGGGGGTCATTTTGTCAGAAATGCATGTTCAACCTGCTTTACAGTGGGAAGAAAGAGGTCGAGATTTGCCCAGTAGGGGCCCTAGGCACTAGAGTCAAGGGGGTCACTTGCCCTTGAAGACAGCAGTTCACCTGGTACCAAACATTGGTCAAGACAGCCTAGCTAAGTGTTATGTGGCCTAGGTCCAGCATCTTCTCTCTGGCTGCACATGAACCCAATCAGGAAGGCTCCCTCAAATCAGATCCTAAAAAGAAAGCATAGAGCCCACGAGGCATCCAGCTCTTGAGAGGCGCCTGGTGCTGCTGGTGTGGGCACCTCGATGCCCCCTCCTGTCAGGTCTTGATAAATAAATCCAATTGCTCCTCCCAGATTTTCCAGACACACGAACCTTTTGGTCACAAAATTGGCAACTTTATCTGGGTCCTTTCCTTGTGGGACACAGACATTTTCCTAGTTTCCCTCAAAGGTTCCCACTCCTGGTTACACATTGAAATCCCCAGTGGGGGTTTGAAAAATCTCAATGTCCTGGCCTCGTCCTAGCTGATCAAACTGAAGTACTGGCTTCAGGCATTGTGGGTTTTTTTTTTTTTTTAGGATTTATTTTTATTTATTTATGCACACAAGAACTTGGGTGTAGGCCAGAGGTGGGGTGGAGAGATTCACCAGAGACAGAGTGGAGAATAGAACAGGCAGATTGATTGAAATACCCTGCTGAGGGGAGCAGTGGGCAAGACAGGAGAGGTCTGCTGCACCATGTGGGTCAGCTCCCTGGCCGGCTGGGGATCAAACTCATGCTGCAGTGGCTGGTGATCGCTTCATAGTGCAAGACTTGAGCCCCTGTGCCACCGGGGAGACCCCAGGCATCTTGTTTTAAAGCAACCTGCATGATTCCAGGGTGCAGCCAACGTAGGGGACCAATGCTTCAGATCCCCTTTTCCTAAAGCTGGGTGATAGACCCTCTGGCTAAACTGTTGTGTGATCTCTGAAGCCCACTTTTCTCTAGAGGACTTGGGGAAATATGATTAGGAAAGAAACCAGGGGAGACTCTTCTTGTAAGCTCTGTCTGTAAACTCCATTCATCTCCATTATCTTGCTGCCCTCCACAGCTTTATTTTCAACAAGATGCTTCGTACAATGTCAAATTTATTAAAAAGTTGCAAGTGTGTACCTATAATCTTGTATCCAGATTTACCCATAAGTTATATTTTGCCAATTTCTCTTTCCCCCCGTGCCCCCTCTACATAGACATAAAATTCCAATGCAATAATTGGGGTTCCCTTGTTGTCATCCCCTCTTATACATTTGTACCTCCCTGCAACATGGTTACATGAAATTTATCCTCCATTTATGCTCAATATATTCTCTCATTTGCTTAGGCCTAGCATATAGGGGAAAAGGTTTTAGAACTGCTATCTTATAATAGTGCAGAAAGCAAAATGACTAGCTAGAGCTCAATATTTGCTTATAATAATTTTTCATTTTTAGGCAAAATGTATATACAGAAAAAAGCAGAGATGTTAAATGTACCATGTGGTGAAGTTTGATTAAGTGCACATGCATGGAACCAATACCCCAAATAAGATACTCTGTGTTGCCCTCAGCAGGCAACAGTCCAATATTTCTCTTCCACTCAATCCCCACCCACTAGAGGATCACTATCCTAATCTCGCCCCACAGATTATATCTTTCCAACAATTAGTTTTGTCTGTTCTTATATGGAATCATTGAGTAGAAACTCCTGTTTCTACTATTTTTGCTTCATATCATGCTTTTGAGATTCATCCTTAATAGCATATGAATCACAACAGGCTTAGCCCCATTGACGAATGAGGATATTTGGATTGTTTACAATTTGCGGGTACTGCAAATAAAGCCTCTCAACAGGCTTGAATCCATCTTTGTAGCCATAGTTTTTATTCCTCTTAGAGAAGAATCTAAGAGTGCAATCACTATGTCATAAATTTGATGGTCATTGAACTTCACCAAAACCTGCTAGAGTGCTCCCAAGTGATTCTACCATTTTGAGCCTCCATCCACAATATAGTAGATGTTCCTCATTCTCACCAACAGTTGGTATTGTCAGTCTTTTTAAATTGAGGGCATTCCAGTGGAGGAGAATGGTATCTCATTATGATTTAATTTGCATTTTCCTGACAAAGAATGATGTGGAACACTTTTTCACACGCTTCATTTGTCTATCTCTCATTATAAAGTAACTATTAATATTTGATTTGTTTGCCCTTTTTTAACATTGAACTGGCTTTTTACTATTTATGTGTGGGAGTTTATTGATTTGTATGTCTGTTCTTAAAATGACGTCTTTTTCTTTAAAATGGTCAATATGACAATCTAAAAAAAATGTTATCTCTCTTCACTTGTTTGTCTTTAACTTCAGAAACATTTTATAGTTTTTAGTGCAGAAGTTTTATATGCCTTTTGATGAAATTATCCCCAAATGTGTAATATTTTATATTATTGTATATGGAATATTTAAATTTTGGTTTTCAGTTACTTACTGCTGGTTTATGCAATTTTTGCATATGGATTACGCATCTTGCAAATTTCCTAAATTAACTTGTAATTCCAATATTTTTTGTAGGTTCTTTGAAATTTCATACTTCAGCCATCATGGCATCAGCAAGTAAAAACAATTTTTCTTCTTCCTTCCCAAACTTATGCCCTTTATTTATCTAACTTTCTGCACTGATTGGGATCTTCCTACAATATTGATTGAAGTACTCGATCCCTGCCTCAATCCTGACCTTAGGGGAAAAATATCCACCATCTCATCATTAAGTAAAACACTGGTTTTACTTACAAGTGTTCTTTATCATATTAAGCATGCCATTTTTATTCCTGGTGTGCTGAGAAATTTTTTATCATGATTTGGAGTTGAATTTAATTAAAGGCTTTATTTGTATTTATTGAAATGATTTCTCTCTCCTGATTTTGTTAACATAATGATTTGCTTTGAATAAATGTTAAATATTAAGTCAGTCTTGCATTCCTGTAATAAACCCTACTTAGTTATAATGTAGTATTATTTTAATATGCTACTCTATTTTATTTGCTTCTGTATTATCAAGCAGCTTTGCTTCTATGTTCATGAGGAATACTAACCTCTGTGTTTATTTTCCTTTAAAATATCTTTGTCAAGTTTGGTATATATACATATGTACATACCATACCATATATATACATATATCACACCATGGAAAAGGTGGAATAGATCTTAAAGTGTTTTTGAACAGCATCATTAATGAGTATCTTGATATGGTATTTGAAAGAGAAGGAAGAATCAAGGAGGTTTTCAGTGTATGAGTGTGTTGAAATATGATCTAATCACCAACAAAAGAATGGAGAAGTTGGGAAAGGAAGTGGGTCAAAATTGAGGGAAAATGCTAAGTGTGGTTTGTAACTTATTGCAAATGGGTTGACATAATTTCCTTTAGTTGGAAAACATCAGCAGATTCTTGGTACTGAGTCAAAATTCAGATTAGAGGCTAGAACTAGGGAAATATTAGCTTCGGAAAAGAGAAGCTAATCTGGAAAATATAAGTTTTGAATTGGGTTATAAAAGCAAAGGAAAAACATTAGCAAAGTTGGATCCATAGAGCTTTGGAAGGAACAAGTGGGTAAGAAGATGTAAGGAGGATGGGTTAGAATGAACCAGATACTTTTGAAGGGGGTAAGGGAATAGGGAGGGGGGTTTCACAATACCTTCTTTGTAACTATCCCTCCTCACAACTACAACTAAAATGTTTACTACGACCCTGCCCCAAACATATTTGATGGGCCCATTCCATGCCTTAATTACCACATCCATGGATTTCTAGCACAATGTGTTTCCTGACGGATGGTGCAATGAGTAGACTTTAGTTCCTTACCATTATAAAGTTTCCATCGTGGTTTTAAGTTCACTAACAAGCTTGATTTTCAAACAAACCATCACAGAATGTCTCCCCAGTCACACTTACTTATTTGACCTTTCAACAGTAAAATATCAAAGCTTTTCTTAGTACACAGATATATGTCATTTCTTGATGTTGTAGATATCATGGGTGTCATTTTAATAAATTCACTGCTTGCATAAACTTTTTAATCAATGCCATAAGTGAACAAAGCTAGCTGCTTGGAATTATTATTTATACCCTTGCTTTCATCTGTTGCAATAAAACATAACAGATTATTTAATTCTTCTCCAGCAAGTTCTCAGTCATTTTCAATATTCTAAGACATTGTGTTTCTGGCTATAATATATTTGTGAATGTTTGATTCTGCTGAAATCATATAATTTCTTCTTCACTCCATAAACAGTCTTTTAAAAATTTATCATCTGTAAAAAAATTGGGAGACATGTCTTCACAAAAGACATAGTGAGACTTTATTTGCATTCAGAAATTAATCCATTGGAAAATTGAATTCCTTCAGTTAAATTTTTATCAGGTATGTTTCTATATTGCAGTTGTTCT